AGAACGGAGGTGCCGTGTGACCACCATCATTTGCGCCTTTATTCTCGCACGGCCGACAAGTGAGTCCCGCGAGGGATAGGTAGGCCAACAAGGCGGTCCGACCACATTCTTTCTATCGGATGCCATCCATCCCACGCTGACCAGGGGTCTCGGCTCCCGGACTCACTAATGCGAGGCGTGGCTAGCTGCTTCACCCACGCTAGATGAAGGATCACGGCAGCCGGCCAACACGAGCGCCCTAATGGACCCTGCAGAAGCCGAAAGGCGATTTCAAGGAGCAGGGCTTGTAGGATCATTAGGGGTAGGGTGTAATTTGGATCAGCGGGATTACCTCACAGGGTGCAAAGTGCCGGGACGATAGGGGGATTCCGTTGCCATCAAGAATACACGGAGCAGGCACGGGGTGAATCCTTGAATGTCATTGGCCCCCGGAAAACGGAAGAACCGGCCTCATAGGAGGCCCGATGGTCGACAACACTACTGAGATAGGTAGGTAGACATTGTTGCGCCGTACTCCGTACTCGGAAGGGAGAATCGGATATGTCCGCCGGGAAGTAGTTCAAGGTTGGTAATCGGAGCAGCTGTCAACTGCATCACTCATCCGTGACCGAGACACAAGAATGACCCACGTTTCTGGCCGCGCAGCTATCGTCTCTCGTGGCTGGCATACAGCCACGTACCAGAGATCCATTCACGCAAGGGATATGGCAGGTTCAATTACCATGTGGAATCTCTTCTGATACGTCCGTCCACCGTGGGTACGATGCTGACCCAGAAGGGACCATACATTGGTGAGATTAGGTGTCAGGATGGGTGTTGATTAAGGTTCCAGGGAGATGTGGTCGTTATCAGCAAGCAGAAGGTCAGCGTCCCGCAACGTGATCGCTAGACGTCCTCCCACTGGCTGATGGCTGCGTCTGAGCGCCAAGATCCCTCGGACTAAGGTACTAATCTTAGTAGATCGGCTAGGTATCGACATGCGTCCCCCATGTCTGCCGCACCAACATCGGTCCTGGACTCCTGGGTATGTATCTAGATCGGCTGCGGCCGTGGCAACGACCGCCGGCCCGTCCACGTACTTCTGAGGGAATCGGGGTCTGGGCTAGAGCCCCTGTGTCATCTGGAAGGTAGTTGGAACATGATTGGCACCGCTATGGAATTTTGACTTCTAGAAATCTGTCAGCATGCGCATATGCAAGGAGGGGCTGACAAGTCAATGGGAGCGATGCATCCAGCGTATAGACTGTACGAGAGCGAGATTTAACCGTTGACCGTCTGAGGCCCGAGGGAACCCCTCATCTCCATGTCAAATCTTTCCCCACCTCATGATCGTGTAGGACACGGTTACTCCGCAGCGCTACCCGCCAGGTCAGCATCATCTCCGACCTGCTCACTTGGCCTCCTTCCTTGTTGGGGGGAGGTGTCGAGTGCTGCCGTGCATCCCTCGGCACCAGATGGCGTGGAGAGACAACAGCTTAGCCATGCCGGATGCTGCCCGGTCAGCCGGTTGCGTCCGGATGGCGCGTCTGATTGGCGGGGGGAGCGGTAGGGTCCATGATTCTAGAAGGCGGTGACCGTCGATCTAGCGGGATTCTGCCACCACGTGCGCCGTTTATTGGCCAGTGGCAGAAGTTCGCGGCCGGAAGATCCCCGCCTCGAGTGCAGGACTTAAAGTAGACTAGTTTAGTAGAGAGTAATCAATCCATCAGTTGGCTCCGCCGCCACTCGCCCCAAGTGGGCGGGTTTAAAAAAGTCCAGCCTAGATGGAGTCGCGACTAGGGTGGATTAGGAAAGAAACCACGAGATACACTGAGCAAGGAGAACTCGACTGGGGAGTGCGACCATGCCGGGACCCCGAGGGCTGATGCCGTGTAAAGTCTGCAGTGTCACCACAAGTGTAGTTGAGCCGGGTCGATGATGCGACGAAAACGCAAATGCCAACCGGCGCCTGGAAAAAAATTATGCTTTCGAGGCTCGTGGGAGTTTCACCCGCTCCTAGGGTTGCTTGGCCCTGGCCGGTGTTCTGGGTACCAACCGGGTCTGGGCGATGGGGCTGCCTGCCTGCCACTCACCACTGACACGGCAGCCTCGACTTCGGAGGGACAGTGGAACCCGCCACTATGCTGGATCTTCTCCGTAACCAGTCCGGCCTTTGGCTTATCACGTTCCACCATTTCGACATGTGCCTGGGGCGTGCTGGTGGGCTGGTCCTGGTCCGCCTGCGCCCAGAGATTTTCTTTTGCCGTTACCCTCCGGATATAAGTTCGACGGATGGCCGTGTCCAACGTGGCCGGCATCGTGTGTGACGCTTCCATCACGGTCAACTCGAGCTTGCTCCCTCTTCCCCTCCTCCTTCTTTAGGAGTACGCCTCAGGACGTCTTCAGCTCGCTTCTCGCGTCCACCCCTCCGTCGTCAATTGCCCGGACCGTCGAACCTCGAGTCGACTGGTCATCCGACGACGTCAAAATGACCGACTTTGGCCTTCGTGCTCCTCATGGGCCTGACATGTCGGGTACCCATAACCCTCTCGAGGATATGGACATCCACGAGAAGGGTGCCTTCGATGAGCTCATTCGCCCCGATGACAGCTACACGCCCGACGGCACGTATTGGGCGGACCTACCCCTCCTGAAGCGGGTCAAGTTCGTCGGATCCTACGATGCCGCAGAAGCCAAGCGTGAGCTTAGTGAGATCTGGAAGATGACCAAGGAGGATCCTCTGTCCCCGATCTCGTATTATTTCCGAAATATGGTGCTTCCTGGTGCTGGTCTGGGTCTGGAAGGGTACGTACTGCTCTAGTTTGGAGACCTGGGAAACGCGCGTGGCTCACATTGCTTGCTCTAGTTACGTGCTGTTCTCGATTGGAAACATCAAGCCTCTGTTTGAGGCCTCCTTCAAATCATGCTGGGATGAATATCAGACCTGCAACAAGCAGTGGATCAACGCGGTCGACTATCTCGAGATTGTCGGTATCATCATGGGTCAGATCTTGGTCGGAGTTATCGGTGATTGGTATGTTGTGAAATCATCTGCGGTACATTGCGGGCAAGGTTGGCTAATCCAACGTTAGGCTTGGTCGCCGATGGGGTCTCATCCAAGACGCTGCGATCATGTTGCTCGGTTTGGTCATGCTTACTGCTGCATGGGGTGTCACTGAGAACGGCTGGATTATCTGTTATGCTTGGTCCTTGTTCGTCTATGGCATCGGTGTCGGTGGTGAATACCCGATGACTGCCACTAGCGGTATGGAGAACGCTGTCGGCTCTGGAAAGGTCTCGACCAAGGAGGACCGCCTCCACCGTGGTCGCAAGGTCACCAGTGCTTTCCTGATGCAGGGTTGGGGTCAATTCTTCAACCAAGCTATCCTGATCATCCTGTTGCTGATCTTCCACCACGGTAGCGGTAACCCGCCTTACTCCTCGGTGGCTACCCAGTGGACCTACCGTATCTCGTTCGCCATTCCCGCTGTCGGCACCTTGTGGCTGGTGTACTACCGTGCCTACCACATGAAGGCAGCCAGCAAGCAGCTCGCTGCCGCTAAGAAGAAGGCATCTGTTACTGGCTACGATGTCAACTCTTTGAAGCTGACCTTCCGTTATTTCGGCTTCCGCATCATCGCTACGGCGGGTGGTTGGTTTGCCAATGACGTCTTCTTTTACGGCAACAAGCTTTTCAGCTCCGAGTTCATCAAGGTTTTGAGCCCTGGAAGTAATTCCATTATGCCGACTTGGCTCTGGAGTCTGTGCAATATCGGAGTGTCGTTGGCTGGTTACTACTGCGCCTCCTTCTTCGTTGACAACAAGCTTTACGGTCGCAAATGGATGCAGATGATTGGTTTCCTCATGTGCTTCATCCTCTTCGTCATCCCTGCTTTCCACTACGACTATTACGTCCAGCCGGAGAACATCCACGCTTTCCAGGCGATGTACTTCCTGAGTTCCTTCTTCAACCAGTTCGGTCCCAACTCGGTCACTTTCTTGGTGGCTGCGGAGGTGTTCCCAACTCCCATCCGTGCCACGGCTCACGGTCTCTCCGCCGCTTGCGGTAAGAGCGGCGCGCTCCTGGCCTCCGTCCTGTACAACTACATCGACACCCAAACCAAGTTCTATGTTGTCCCTTGGTTTGGTCTTGCCGGCATGCTCCTGACCTTCGTCTTCCTCCCGGATACCACTGGTCTTGATCTCAAGGAGCAGGAACGTCGCTGGCAGTACATTCGCGACGGCCGCGAGGGTGACTACCACGGACCCGCTATCCACGCCAAGCACCTCTCTCTGTGGGAGCGCTTGACGGGTGTCGGCAAGAGCTACAACGCCGAACTCGACTACAAGCAGAAGGTCGAGGAATACCGTGCGGAGTGGGAGGCTGCCATGGCTGCCCGGATCTCCGAGAACGAAAAGGGCGAGGACTTCGTGCAGGATACGGACGACTCCCTCCTCGAGGGCCATGTCCACGCCTACTTCCACCGTACCAGCCCCATGTTCCGCCCGATGGAGCAGACTGCCACCAAGACGGACAATTTTGCCCTTCCTCCGGCTGCGCAAGATTCCTCGACGGAATCTTTTAATGAAAAGTCCGAACTATAAACATGGCGTCTTTTGTGGGTCTTTTTTTTTTTTTCTTGGGAAGCGAGCATGTGTGATTGATTGGATGTGGCATGTCTGTTTTGGATGACGACACGCTTCACTTTTGCATTCTTAGTATATTGTTCTTGTCGAGCGAGAGCTTCTTTCGTCTTGCACTCAATACCCAGGTACATACATGGTACTCGTTAGTATATAGAAGTCGATTAATATTATATACCCAAGTGATGATTGTTGCATGATCTGACCTCCACATTATCTTCTACACCCCCCGGTAATTCACTCCATGGTAACTCTAATCCCCATTAAAAATGCAACGTCCCTTACCTCACCACCCCAAGTCTTCACGCTTCCGGGACTCCCCTCATTCTGCCGGTCAAACCATCCCACCCCTCCCACCTAGCATCCAAACAGGCAGGCGATAAGAAAAGCGGTATCCATCTCAACCCATCATCTGTTTACAACCCCGCCATGACTGCTACTGATTCACATTTGACTACCAATCATTGATTCTCCTTATCATAATCAATTTCCTTGGTACTACACGACAGTCCATTCACCAATTTCTAGCCGAATCAGCCCGCAACAACTCACCACAAAAACAACGCACCCAGTGATCCAGAACCAAAACGAAAGGAGAGGAGGAAAGGAAAGGCAAAGAAAGGAAATATAAGATATAATGCCCCTCTACGCATTCGGCTCCAACGGCTCCGGTCAACTCGGTATCGGTCATATTGAAGATGTGTCCACGCCTACGAAATGTCTCTTCGATGATATCGCACCACCAGCATCGGAGATCACTCGCATTGCGGCAGGTGGGAATCATACTCTGGTGTTATTCTCTGATGGACGGGTCTATGCTACGGGGATGAGTGTGGATGGAAGGTGTGGTGTGGTCCCTGGTGATGGTGATGGTGGTGATGGTGGTGATGATGGTATAGTGATGAGGTTCCGGCAGGTGGTTGTGGATGGGGTGCAGCGGTTTAGGGATGTTTCTGCTACGTGGGAGGCGTCGTTTTTGGTTTCGGGGGAGGGGGAAGGGGAGGGGAGGAGGGTGTTTGTTTTTGGGTCGGGAGGGAAGGGAGAGTTGGGGCTTGGGAAGGAGGTTGCTATTTGTAAGGGCGGTGGTGGTGGTGATGTGGAGCAGATTTGGTTTGGGGACAAGGTGGTGGGGATTGCGAGTGGCATGGGACATACGGTTGTGGTGCTTGAGAATGGGGAAGTGTGTGGGTGGGGAGCGGCCAGGAAAGGGCAGCTGGGGCAGGCGAGGAAGGGGGATAAGGTGGTTTGGGAGCCTGTGAGGATTGGTGAGGTCGGGTTTCGGGCGACGGGGGCGGCGTGTGGGAGGGAGTTCACGGTGGTGGTTGGGGATAGGGAAAAGGGGGAGTTTGTTGTGTTTGGGTCCGCGGATGATAGGTGGGGAGTTTTGGCGGGGAGTGTGATTCCTGCGCCGGTGGGGTGTAGGAGTATAGAGGCTAGTTGGCATGGGATTTATGTACATTGTCAGGATGGGGAGGTTGTCGCCTGGGGGAGAAATGATCGCGGGCAGCTGCCCCCGCGGGAGATGGGGAGGGTAACGGATTTGGCGGTTGGTAGTGAGCATGTGCTTGCGACAATTGATGAGCAGACGGTTGTGGCTTGTGGGTGGGGTGAGCATGGTAACTGTGGACCGGTCACGGATGCTCAGGGTAATGTGAAGGGGATATGCAGCCCAATTCCTCTGCCGGAAGAGGTGTCGAGTGTTGTTGGCATCGGCGCGGGTTGTGCAACTAGCTGGGTGATCACTCGTGACTAAGGATTGTGACTGTAATTGCGCCGGCGGGGACGGGATTCGCCCTGAGGGTGAGTTTCCTGTGCTGGTGTTGTGCTCAGGGAAAGTTTGGCCATTCAGTCGAAGAGACCAAGGCCGTGCAGCTGCGGTTTGTTAGCTCGAGCATCAGATGAGAACGCGCTCAACGTACCTGTGACATGCGCTGAGTAGGGGGGATACCCATCTCATCTTCTTCTTCAGCAGTTGGCTGTGCCATTTTGGGTTCAATATCCCGTAGCCCAGGGCCGATGCTTGTCTGCTGACGCATGTCAGTGAAGAAGCGCCAAAGTGAATGAGTTGTGGCCGTACCTGATCACCGGTTGCGTCCCAACCGAGCTCGTCCTCAGCTTGACCCTCATCCTCCTCATTTGGTACGTCCCATTGTCTATCGTCGTCCGCTGGTACAAACAGGCTGTCGGATTCGATCGATGGTGGAGGCCGCTGAGTTTCTGTGTTTGACTGTGAAGCTCGAGTGGAGGTCCCGGTGAGAGGTCGGATAGACCGACTGCGAGGGGGAGGCATTTGTTTCATCTCCGAAGTCGTACTTCTCTGGCTTATCTGCACGGGTGCAGGAGTTTGCCGTGCAGATAGCTGGACTGGTGCTGCTCGAGAGGAATCGGGGGCATCGTCTCCCGATGATTCGCCTCTGGTCATCAATGTGAATTCGGATCTGATGCCCTCAAAGTCGTATGCGAATTGCAGGGGGCGGCATGGGCGTGTGAACCTGGCGGTAATCATCGTATTTGCTGTCTCTGCATGTGCTATTGCCGCCTTAAAGTCCTTCATGTGGATGGCAACGTGAAGGTGATCTTCAGCCAAATAGTAGTCAAAGTCCCTTTTATCAATGGCGACCGAAGTGTGGATTGGTTGTCGAAGAATTTCTGTACTCAGAATAAGCATAACGTACGCATGTATGATCAGGTCGGTAGCATCACCTTTGCCGTCTGAGCTTTTCATGGTGAAGCTGGTGAAGACCGCCTTGCCATGTTCAGAGTAGATGTCCAGTTGCTCTGCTGAGGGGCCGAAATGGTCCGTTATCTCCTTCAAGTATTTTGGCTCGATACTCCATTCATTTGTTATTTTGGACCTGTCAAATATGGCATGCTGTACATGAACGGGTTCATACATCAGCTTATAAAGTTTAATGACGCCTGAAAATCTGTTAGCAACCGCTATTGATAGTGAGTCTATGTTGGCGGGGGACAGAAGTGTTACCAAGCCCACATATCAATCTGATGACGAGTCTGCACTCAGATTCATCTAGATTTTCCTGGAGTTCAACCTCACAGCGTTCGACAGAGGTGTCTTTGTCACGCCCACTTGATTTCCCTTTGAAAGCCGACAGAAGAGCCTATTGCATATTAGCTTAGGAACAATTTGTCCAATTGGTATGGGTCTCCCCACTTTGATCAACATCTGACAACTGAATTTGTCTGGGCGAGCTGCCCTAGATGAGCTGCCACCCCTTCCTCTGCTGAAGGAATACGTTTCAAAGAAGCTATCTGCCTCAAAAACAAACGCAGAGTATGCCGTCTTGGTCAAATTCAGCACGCTTAGTCGAAGCTTTGATAATTTGTTAGCGCCACCTTATATAATATCCCCTCAGACATATAGACTTGCCAGATCAATCTCAGCTTCAAAAGCTACGTTGTCGTCGAATTTTGCTAGACACGTCAGAGCATCATGTAGCTGGTATATCGCCTTTGGGGCGAGTGAGAACGATAAACTCGCCATATCCGTTCTCTAAAGGAGAAACGGCTCATCAAGCGCCACAGATTGAGCCCTGTTGTCCCCTGATGCTCAAGAGCTTTGGCTGCAACGAGGTTCCAGCCAAGTACTCGAGATTTCTGTTTGTTGGACTATGGGGTCTTTCCAGTCTTGTCACGTCTGACCGCAAACACGACGCGAGCTTACATAAGCGGTACTGTACGGTAGGCGCCTTACTTCCTCCCTCAGGAACACGACTGCGCATCGCTCCAAGAGGCGCTGTGTCTGAAAGTGTGGGAGTATAGGCCGATAAGTATCAATCAACTAACTGTTGTGTTTCTCTTTTGAAAGGTGCGATACTCTGCCGCGAAAATGACCTTCGCGTTAGCCGGTGACGTCCTCTATATCATCTTGGATATCCTGGGCGATGAGAAGGATTACAACAGCCTTTTCCAATGCGCAATCTCCTCGCGGTGCTTTACGGAGCATTCCTTAGCTGTATTATATAAGTGAGTCTGGCTGTATGGGTGCAATGATGTGTGGTGTTGGATGCTGATATCAAGACAGGCTGTGTGATACTTCGCCAGTGAGGGGCGGAGGAACAGAGGACGAGCAGTTCAGGTCCCGGAGAGTGGCCACCACTTGGGGCAGTACCAAGGGCGAACAAGATCCTGCCATACGAAAGTGGGCTTTACTGTGGCGGTCTATTGTCCTGTCTACTTTGGATCAGACCTACCTACCCTACTACAGCTATATTCGCTATCTTGATCTGGATGACTTTGCGGACCTTCTCAGGGACCCCGGGTTCACGGGGGAGGTGAAGGAGTATGTTTCCTCCAGCAGGTATAATGTTGTTCGCTCTGTAACAATTATTAGGGATTTCTTTACTCCGGAGCTCCTAAATTTTGTCTCCCACGACTATCAAGCCAAGGGAAACAAGCGGCTCAGGTCATCGAGGCTTGTTCCTGACAATGATTGGGTCATGGTAACGATTGGCACGGGTCTGTTTCGCCACTTTCAATAAGCCCTTAAGTAGCTATTGATATGCGTCCTTCCCAGTCCTCATCAGCTGACTTCCGAAGCAATCGTCCAGAAAACAATGTCAATACGAGGAATGTCTTGTAACGGTAGTCTCCATCTACGGGCTCCCAGGAACATGATTGGGGAGCTCAGTGATATCTGACTACTCTCTAGTTCGACCGGAAACCCTTTCGGCATGGATCGAAGATTTGCCCTTGCTGCAATCTCTGACCATCTGGTCAGGGGACGCTCTTAGCCAACATGCTGGCGATAAACTTCGCAACCACTGCCCTGCTTTCAAACACCTTACGATATATGGATGGTAGGGCTCTGCTGCCAGGATCTGACATGTAAGGCTTACCTCGTATGATAGGAAGAACAACCCTCCCAGGACCGCAGAAGCAGACTGTGAACAGTTCTTGAACGAATTGCGCCCCAATACGCTAGAGTACTTTGAAATACTCAGTTACTCTCAATTAGGGCCTCGCTCCATTAAAAGCATAGGCTCGCATCTAAATTCTCTAGCAGAGCTGAAGTTGACAAGTCTCACCATCGAGTCGATCGCTGAGCTGCCATCACTAACAGCGGCACCAGCGTTGAATGTGCTGGTACTGACAGACTCAATACCAGCTGCACGGGACGAAAATTTCTACGCTGTCGTCAGGCGAGTTGCTGAATGGATGTGCAGTTGCAGATCATTGAGGCGCTTAGAACTCAGGCGATTCGTCGACGACTCCTTCTTGCTATCGCAGGTTCTAGCCGACGAAGGGATTCATCTAACCACCCTATCCCTAGCTGGATATGCAATGGTGGACGGCCGCGCATTCCACGAAGCTCTCGCCTGCCAGCAAACCTTGCAAAATCTCTATCTTCGCGGTGAAGCGAGTGAGTTTATGCAAGGCAACGAATTACTTGTACAAGCGATTAGCCAGCTCAACAACCTCCGTGAACTGGAACTTAAAGACATATCTGATTGCTTTACCACGGACCATGTGATCGCCATGACACCGTATCTTCCTCACCTTGAGAGGCTCTGGATAAGCGGTGATTTCTTCGATGATGGGGCGCTCAATACGTTCCTGTGTCTGCCAAAGCTCCAAAGTCTTGCGATCCACGCCTTCAGCAGATTTACTGCCGATGGTATACTCGGCTTCATATCACAACTGGGTCCCGGGAATAGAGGCTTCAATCTAACCATCCTAAACGCAGTAGACAGCTCTCTCACCGAGGAAGCCCAAAACGTGATCCGTGACACTCTGAAGGTGAGTCTAGATGGGTCATTCGATTATGGTCTCGCTCAAGGTAGGTTGACCATCGGAACTCACCACAACCAAAGGGCTGACGACCTGCAGAAGAGTATAGCGACACGGATTCAGACGAAATGTACGAGTGAAAGTTGGATAGTAGATTTGGAAGCATTTTTGCACGGGCTAGTGTCCAAAAGCACTGCCATGGTAGGAAATCAAAATGACATTAGTAGTTGCAGATTTTACCCTGATATTAGTCGACGGGCTTTTTGGTGGGAGCTCGATCTAATTTCAATCCAAACATGGAGTAGGTTGTTCTGTAGTTTTTGTACGGAGTACGAAGTACTGCTTACTGAAATCGGCAAACAAACCACTTAACGGAGATTGGCGGAGCGCGTCTCGACCGCGTCCCGCACGCGTTACTCCTTCCGCCGCGCGACGTCCGCCTTTCGGAGTTACAGCAGCCACCAGAACCGTCAGCCCCTTCCTCAAACCACTTCTCTATACCCATTGTGGGAGTCAACTGATCAAACCACAGGCAGACTTTCATGGACACCTGGTTCCTGTGGTAAAAGACCACCAGTGCGCCATGTCTGCTTCCCGCGCGAAATTGGCGGAGCTGCGTGCCCTTCGCGCCGCAGGAAAGAAACGCCTTTCGACATACGAGATTGAGGAACAGGACGACATCTACGAAGAAGTCGATGATGAGGGTTATAAGAAGATCATCCGCAACCGGCTGGATCAGGATGACTTTGTTGTCGATGATAACGGTGAGGGATATGCAGATGACGGTCGCGAGGTTTGGAACGAGCGGACCGCAGACTACGGTGACAGTGAAAGCGAGGATGACGGACTGCCTGCCCGGAGCAAGGCTGCGAAGCGGAAGCGCGAGGAGGAAAAGCAAAGGAAAGAAAAGATTAACAATGGCATCTCGAAGTACTTCAGCGGCGGGGCTGCGCCCTCTGCTCCGAAGCCTAAGGTGAGTTGGAAGGTCCTGCGCAGCAGAAGATGGCTCTCTAATATGTTCTCTAGCCGATTGCTACTGCAGAAGACGATGCCTTCATGGCCGATTTGCTCGGAGAAGTCGATACCAACGTGGTCCCGCATCGTGTGCCAACGAGGAACATAATCAAGTCTGAGACTCGGCGCAAAGTTCGCATCTTGTCACCCCCGCTCGCCGACAGGACACGCAGAGAGAAGCCTATCAAGAAGGATGAGAATAGCGATCCGATTTCACCCACCAAGGACCAACCAGAGCCTACTTTGGACGATGATGACGGCCCGCTTCCTGGAATGGATGATGATGACTTCCCGATGAGCGATCCGATGCCATCGTCTCCCATCAGCAAGGCGGTAGAAAGAAAATCTACCACTATATCTGTCAAAGTGGAGGAACCTGATGATGATGACAATGATATAATGGAGGTTGCAGAAGTCACTGGACAGAATGAAGCTAAAGCGACAAGCATCAACATGGCCGGAAGCCGACCCCCACCGAAGCTCAAGCAGGAAAATCGCCCAGCTCTTGCAAGCTCTTCGCCTACAAAGCCATTGCCCGAAGTAGATGCATCTTGGAATGACGTTAGGAGCAAGCTGAATGTCCTCAGCAGCCCAGCGTCGTCGGAAATGCGTAGCTTCGGTAAACTTCGCGCCCAGGATGTTGTCGAGGACGACGGCAGTCTGCGCATGTTCTGGTTGGACTTTACAGAAGTCAACGGCAGCCTTTGCTTATTTGGGAAGGTGAAAAACAAACAGAACGGTTCTTACGCCAGCGCATTCGTCAAAGTTGACAACATTCTACGAAAGCTCTACTTCCTTCCCCGAGAGTATCGGCACAAGAACGGGCGAGAGACAGACGAGGAAGTGGATATGGAGGATGTTTATCAGGAAGTCGATGGCATGATGTCAAGGCTGAAGGTAGGGATGCATAAGATCAAGCCCTGCACCCGAAAATACGCATTCGAATTACCCGGAGTCCCGAAAGAGGCCGAGTACTTGAAACTTCTTTACCCTTATGATAAGTCTGTCTTGCCAATGGACGTCAAGGGTGAGACGTTTTCGCATGTTTTCGGGACAAACACGTCTTTATTCGAGCAGTTTGTCCTCTGGAAAAACATCATGGGCCCTTGTTGGCTGAACATCGAGCAGGCAGATTTCTCTGCTGTCAACAATGCCTCTTGGTGCAAATTTGAATGTCAAGCAACAAAGCCAGCACTCATCTCCCCGGTCCCTGATTCCGAGAATCTGGAAGCACCCCCTCTTACGCTTATGAGTCTGTCCTTCCGGACGCAGCTCAATGTGAAAGAAAATAAACAGGAAATCCTGGTGGCAAGTGCAAGGGTTTATGAAAACGTTTCCCTCACGGACACGACGCCACCCGAGAGACTGCCCTGCAAGACTTTCACGGTCATGCGGCCTGCGGGCTCTTCATATCCAATGCACTTTGAGGCGGAAACACGGAAGCAACGTGGCATGTACATGCTTGAGAAGAGTGAGCAGTTTCTGCTCAGCAAATTTTTGGCACTGTTCGAAAAGATGGATCCGGATGTTCTAATGGGACATCAGCTCCAGGAAGTGGATCTCAGCATCCTGCTCAGCAGATTGAAGGAAAAGAAGACACCAGGCTGGCATCGCCTCGGGCGCTTGAAGCGCGGCGATTGGCCCAAGAATTTCAATAAGGGTGGCGGCTTCTTCGCCGAGCGGCATCTGATCGCAGGAAGACTGATGTGCGATGTTGCCAATGATATGGGCAAGGTAAGTCTTTTTGCCTTCAAGTGAAGGACTGTATGCTGACGATATGGCAGTCTCTGATGATGAAATGTCAATCTTGGAGTCTGACGGAGATGTGTGACCTCTACCTGGGAAAAGGAAATGCCAGACAGGAATTGGATTGCGAAGCAGCATTGAAGACATGGGCCACTACCAAGGATGGCCTCATGAACTTCGTAAATCACTGCGATGCGGATACCTATTTCATCGCTGCATTGGTCCTGCGACTTCAAATGCTACCCTTGACCAAAGTTCTCACGAATATTGCCGGTAACTCATGGGCACGAACACTTAGCGGTACGCGAGCGGAGCGAAACGAGTACATTCTCCTCCACGAGTTCCACCGTAACAAGTATATTTGTCCCGACAAATACGCTTCCAAACTACTGAAAGCAGAAGAGAAGCTGCAGGATGGCGATGATGATGATTCGGCAGACAAAAAGAAGAAGGACAAGTATAAGGGTGGTCTTGTCTTTGAACCCGAGAAAGGTCTTTACGACAAATTCATCCTGGTGATGGACTTTAACAGTTTGTATCCGAGTATCATCCAGGAATACAATATCTGCTTCACGACAGTGGAACGGACAGCAACTGTGAGTCTGTCTAGAGAACTTACTTGGACGCGAGCTGACACGCTACAGGTTGATAACGACAAGGAAGAAAAAGTCCCCGACGTCCCTTCCTCAGATCAGGAGCAGGGTATTCTGCCTAAGCTCATTGCTACCTTAGTTGGCCGTCGACGCGAAGTGAAAAAGTTGATGAAGGACAAACGCGCCACCCCTGAGCAACTAGCTCTGTGGGATACCAAGCAGCTAGCCTTCAAGCTAACCGCCAACTCCATGTACGGATGTTTGGGATACACGCAGAGTCGCTTCTACGCTCGGCCCTTGGCCATGCTCACCACGTTCAAGGGACGTGAGATTCTCAGGAGCACTAAAGAGCTGGCCGAATCCAAGCAGCTTAGAGTTATCTATGGCGATACTGACTCAGTCATGATCAACACCAACATGGACACGATCAGCGATGCTCTCAAGGTCGGTGATGAGTTCAAGAAATCGGTTAACGAGCGTTATCGGCTGCTGGAAATCGACATTGATAATGTGTTCCGTCGTCTTCTTCTTCATGCAAAGAAGAAATATGCCGCTGTCAACATGACTGAAGTAGACGGTAAGTATGTCGATAAGCTCGAAGTCAAGGGATTGGATATGAAGAGACGCGAATATTGCTCGCTGTCCAAAGAAGTCTCCCAGAAACTGTTGAATGAGGTTCTTTCCGGTGAAGACCAAGAGATTGTACTCAACCGAGTCCACGATTACCTGCGTGAGCTAGCAGAAAAGATGCGCGAGTTCTCGGTCCCGGTTCAAAAATACGTCATCTACACGGTATGTCCTGATTAATCGACATTGATCTCGGAGACACACTAACTCCTCGCATAGAAACTCTCCAAGCGACCCGAAGAATACCCCAACAAGGAATCGATGCCCCCAGTACAGGTTGCCTTGCGTGAGCTCGCCCGAGGAAAGTCGGTTCGTCCTAACGATGTGATATCGTACATCGTGACGAACGGTGATGCAGAGACTGCATCTCTCCCACCAGCCAAGCGGTCATATACACTGCAGGACGTGATGAAGCCCGACTCGGGGCTCAAGCCCGATATCGAATTCTACCTCCTCAAGCAGATATTCCCACCTATCGAGCGTCTCTGTGCACCTATTCCTGGTACCGATGCCGTTCGACTAGCTGAGTGCTTAGGGCTTGATGTCCGCAAATACCAGATCAATAGCTCTAGCGGGAGCAACCAGCAGAATGCCGATATCTTCCCGCTGGAATCACAGATTCCGGACTCGGTGCGCTTTGAGAATGCAACACGGCTTACGCTCACCTGTCGGTTCTGCAAGGAGAGATCGATATTTGAAGGACTGGCGCAGTCAACTCACATGTGCACTGCCAATGGTATCGTGTGTCCCAACCAAGCTTGTCAGAAGCCGTTTTCGGTCTTGACAATTGTTGCCCAGCTCGAGGCACAGATCCGAGCTCAGACTTCCAAGTACTACGAGGGCTGGCTTGTCTGTGACGATACGGCATGCGGTAACCGGACCAGACAGATCAGTGTCTATGGACACCGGTGTCTTGGACCCCGGGGCCACGCTGAAGGCTGCCTTGGCCGCATGACATACGAGTACTCGGAAAAACAGATGTACAACCAATTACTCTACTTTGCTGGACTTTGGGATGTGGACAAAGCTCGGAAGGCGGCAGAGAAGGAACCCACTGGGGAAAAGAAGGACAGTGTGGCGGCACTGGTAGAATTCAACCGCACGCGATTTGGAACCATCAAAGGTGTGGTGGACGCGTATCTAAGGAAGTGTGGCCGGCAATGGGTCGAAATGGACAGCCTATTCCGCTTCATGCTGCCATAGGTCCTCGTGAATTCCCGGTTTTGTATATAGGTATATCTGGGCGGTTTGGATTTGGGATTTTGTCCTAGTGTGAATAGCGGGCATTTGCTTTATCTAGATGATGGTATGAGATTAATAAGCATGAATGACATTGTGATTCCTTCAGACGATTCATGGATTGTCCAGGATTGCCTTGTATCGATAAGTGGGATGCTGCTCGATCTCACCGGGCCAGCCCCGCACCCCGCCAATCAAGCACGCAGCTTTCTCTGCCCGGCTCTGGACTCTCCCGCCATTCACCTCGACTCCGCGGCTCGCTCAACCCTTGCCCCAATTTTCTCCAACCTTTTTCTCTCCGAATTGTTTTCTAGGTATCGGTCAGCTTCTGCAGTGACCATCGCCATGTCAGTCGCGCGGGTTCTGGTGATTGCGGGATCTGACAGCTCGGGTGGCGCGTACGTTAGCACGGATCATCACAGCATTGAACCTGTCAAGCTAATGCAGTTCCTTCGGGTCTAGGGGTCTAGAGGCAGATCAGAGGGTTCTAGCTGCACATGGCTGCTATGCGCTCACAGCCACCACGGGACTCACGGCCCAGAATACCCTAGGAGTGCAAGATATTTTCATCATTCCCGCGGAATTTGTGAAAAAGCAGATCAACGCCGGTCTGGAAGATGTAGGTGCAGATGTTGTCAAGTTAGGTATGCCTTTTGTGACCCATCCTGATGGTCCTTTGCGCTCTTTTTCTCTTTCATTTCCTTTGGGACATCCACCTGTAGACTAACTGTGTGCAGGAATGCTCTCTTCTGCGGAGACAATCGACGTCATTGCTGAAGCATTGACTGTTCACCAAATCCCTGCGGTGGTGCTGGATCCGGTAGCCTTGCCCAGTATTGTATGATGATTTATCGAGGGCTTCTATCTCTGACTCCAGGCGAAACAGGTCATGGTATCCACCAGCGGATCACGGCTCCTACCGGAAGCAGCTATCCAAGGTCTACGTACGAAGCTGCTCCCCTTGACGACCATCCTTACCCCGAACATTCCGGAAGCTGTGCTGTTGCTGAAGGACGCCGGCCTAGATGTGTCCGAACCAACGGACCTGCCTGGTATTGTTCAGCTCGCAAAGCAGATCTGTTCCTTGGGACCCAAGGGGGTCCTGCTAAAAGGCGGTCATTTGCCGCTCACTAGCGATAATCGGACCGCGCAAAATACGGACGAAGCCTCCAAGGTCATTGATGTGCTTTACGATGGGCAAGAGGTCACCTTATTCGAGACTGATTATCTGGTGTCGAAGAATACTCATGGCACCGGCTGCTCTCTTGCCTCGGCCATTTCGGCCAATCTAGCCCATGGTAAGGATATAAGACGGGCGGTTCACTGTGCCGTTCGATTCGTTGAGGCAGGCATCAAGACCAGCTTTGATCTTGGAAAGGGCAGTGGGCCGATTAATCACTTTCATTCCTTCTACAGTCTACCTTTTGCTGCGTAAGTGTGATTGTCATCAATAGAAGACGAGGTCACCTTACTAATGGGACAAACAGTGGTCATTTCGTGGAGTATGCTCTAGACCGTCCTGACGTCGAGTCGGCATGGAAGCGTTTTACAGAGCATGAGTTTGTCAAGCGGTTGGGCGACGGCACACTTCCCGAGGAAAGATTCAAGTCGTATCTGGTGCAAGACTACCTTTACCTGGTACGGTATTCAACGATGATATTCCACTTGTGGCCTCTAACAGATCGATGTAGATTCAATTTGCCCGGAGCAATGCACTAGCCTCATATAAAGCAGGAAACATGGAGACCATTGCTGCGGTAGGTATCCCCCAATCCTCTATCAGGCGGCTTCATGCAACTGTGATTAAAGGCTGACATGCAGTATCTCACCACAGTCAGCAAAGATCGTTCTTCACATCCAACGTGAGACTGCGTTGCACCTCGACTACTGTGCCTCCTTCGGGCTGTCCAAGGAGCAGATGGAGAGCACCCCGGAAACTATTGGTGGGTGGCGGCCTCCTGGCTTCTTTGTGCTTTGTAGAATGATTACTGATACTTGGTTCTCCCATGAACAGCGTGCACCGCATACGGCCGGTATATCCTTGATGTAGGACAATCGGAGGATTGGCTCGCATTGCAGGTGGCCCTTGCGCCCTGCTTACTTGGTTACGGAGCCATTGCACAGAGGCTGTACACTGACAAGGACTCCGTCCGTGAGGGCAATCGGTATTGGAAGTGGATCGAGAATTATGTCGCGGAGGACTATACAGAGGCAGTGCGCTTGGGATCCGGTGAGACTAAAATGTCCCCATGACGTAGTAGTGTGGATATCAGCAGCTAACACAGGTTTAGAGCTACTCGAGACCCAGATGAGACGCGTTTCCCCCAGCCGGATGGAGGAATTGATTAAGATTTTCATACGAGCGACAGAGTTGGAGATAAGTTTCTGGGACATGGGCATGGGTGGCAAACACCTCTAGGGGCGAATGTACAGCTTTCGGGCCGGAAAGCAAAGCTAGCAACGCGGGGAAAGGGCCGGTAAACAGTGTACATGGACATAGACTTGCGGAGAAGACGATCATCCATTCAAGACTGGATCGGAGAAGCTGTTGTGCTGGCGTATCGATCTATCTCCCGGCGGCGGCGTGAGGGCGCGGCGCAAGTGCTGGTCGCCTTCCGCCTTAATCAGCGGTGGCGGCGGGGGCCAATGAGAGGGCGGCATTGACGCATTTTCTGCGCTTTCGAGTCGCCATTTCCCCTGCACTAAGCCCAATCGGCCAGTGTTTGCCTCCGCCTCCCGTCGTTTTTTCCTTTTCTTTTCTTCGCTTCCCGCCCGGGGCTTCCTTCTCTTTTTCTTTCTTTCTTCCTCCTCCTTCATCATCATCTCTTTCTCTCTCCTCTTTCCCTTTTATTCCTCTCTTTACTCCCCATCTTTGTCTTTGAAGGTTGTGTTACTCCCTTCACTGCCTTCTCCCGTTACATTCGCTTCACCTGTGTCTGTTTTACGCCTCCGTCTCTCTTCCTAAGTCAATAAAAACAAGTTTTTGTTAATTTCATCATGTCTTCCTACGGCGGCGGCGGCGGCTACCAGCGCGATTCGTATCGGTAAGTTATTTCTTTTCATTTCTGGCTCTGGTCTAGATGGGTTGCTCCCATCAGATTGGCCCTGTCGGTGCACTACAGGGACTGTTACTGTAGTCGCCTCATGCGTGCCTCAGTCTCGGTTGCAGTCGGTCACGCGATGCGGTCAGTCTTCAATCACCAGACTTGCCCTTTGTCTTATACTTCCACACTGGGAATTTTAAGTTGAATTTCATCCAATTTGGCTCGATGCTAACATACTATGTAGCTCCAGAAACGGTGGCGGCGGTGGTGGTTACTCTAACGGCTACTCCAACGGCGGCGGTTACGGTGGTGGTGGTGGTGGTTACGGCGGCGGCGGCGGCTATGGTGGCGGCGGCTATGGTGGCGGCGGTTATGGTGGCAGAGGTGGTGGTGCCGGTGCTGGCGCTGGTGGAGACCGCATGTCCAACCTGGGCGCTGGCTTGAAGAAGCAGGAATGGGGTAAGTGGTGAAGTTACATGGCAGGATATATTAGCGGTTGCTGACATCTTACTGCAGACCTCGATGCTCTTCCCAAGTTCGAGAAGTCTTTCTACAAGGAACACCCCGATGTCGCCAACCGCTCCCAGCGTGAGGTCGACGAGTTCCGTAAGAAGCACGAGATGGCCGTCCAGGGCAAGAACGTCCCTCGCCCCGTCGAGACCTTCGATGAGGCTGGATTCCCCCAATACGTTCTGGGCGAAGTCAAGGCTCAGGGCTTCGATCGTCCCACCGCTATCCAGTCCCAGGGTTGGCCCATGGCCCTCTCTGGTCGCGACGTCGTCGGTATCGCTGAGACTGGTTCCGGAAAGACTTTGACCTACTGTCTCCCGGCCATCGTTCACATCAACGCTCAGCCTCTTCTCGCCCCCGGTGACGGCCCCATCGTCCTTATCCTCGCTCCTACCCGTGAGTTGGCCGTTCAGATCCAGGCCGAAATTTCGAAGTTCGGAAAGTCTTCCCGTATCCGCAACACCTGCGTCTACGGTGGTGTCCCCAAGGGTCCTCAGATTCGTGACTTGAGCCGTGGTGTTGAAGTCTGCATTGCCACTCCCGGTCGTCTGATTGACATGCTGGAGGCTGGCCGTACCAACCTTCGCCGTGTCACATACTTGGTTCTGGATGAGGCTGATCGCATGCTGGACATGGGTTTCGAGCCCCAGATCCGCAAGATCATCTCCCAGATTCGCCCTGACCGTCAGACCTGCATGTGGTCCGCCACCTGGCCTAAGGAGGTCCGCCAGCTTGCGTCGGACTTCCTCAGCGACTACATCCAGGTCAACATCGGTTCGATGGATCTGTCCGCCAACCACCGTATCACTCAGATCGTCGAGGTCGTTTCGGACTTCGAGAAGCGCGATCGCATGATCAAGCACCTCGAGAAGATCATGGAGAACCGTGGCAACAAGTGCCTCATCTTCACCGGCACCAAACGTATCGCCGACGAAATCACTCGCTTCCTCCGCCAGGACGGATGGCCCGCCCTTTGTAAGCTACACACCATGCCCTTAAACCCCAGATCATCTGCTAACATGCACTCCAGCCATTCACGGCGACAAGCAACAGCAAGAGAGAGATTGGGTCTTGAACGAATTCAAGACGGGCAAGAGCCCAATCATGGTGGCTACCGATGTGGCTTCCCGTGGTATTGGTATGATGAAATCGCAATCTCCCCCCTTCCCCTTCCTTTCCCTCCCCTTTCTTTCCTCTGCCGAGGCACCCTCAACCCGTATTGAGGTTGTGTGACAATGGCACGGTGCTTGACTCTCTTCCACCACCTGTTGGTGTGTATGACTCTTCCAGGCTTTGTCGGGTCTCCTGAAATGGTTCTCAAGCCAGGAGGACCTTGGACTCACAGTGCAGTGTAGCAGACGTTTTACATCTTCTGTTCTGATTCACCATCTCTATCTTTGAACTTGACCGGTAGAGGGATGGAAATTCCTCTTCACCGACTCGTTGAAGCTGCATTCCAAGGTTGCTCTAGGACCGCGATTTTTGCCGCCCTCGGACTCGTCCATCACGGATCTTTGATGAAAGTCCGAGAGAGAGAGAGCGATGCATCAAGTCTCACATGACCGAGAAAGGGCTCCTAAGCCACGTTGCTATTTTGACTAATGCTCTGTTTGCTAACGTTAAATGTGTCTGAAGATGTGCGCGACATCACACACGTCCTAAACTATGACTACCCGAATAACTCGGAGGACTATGTTCACCGTATCGGTCGAACTGGTCGTGCCGGTGCTAAGGGTACCGCCATCACCTTCTTCACCACTGACAGTAAGTGCCCGCCTGGTCCTTGACTTCTGGTTGATGCTAACAGCCCTCGGCAGATTCTAAGCAGGCTCGTGACTTGGTCACCATTCTCACTGAGGCCAAGCAGCAGATTGACCCCCGTCTCGCCGAGATGGTCCGCTACAGCGGCGGCGGTGGCCATGGCCACGGTGGTTACGGCCGTTGGGGTGGTCGCGGCGGTGGTCGTGGCCGGGGCAACAACTTCACTGCCTCCAACGCGGCTCCTCTCGGTGGCAACCGTCGCTGGTAAACTGACCACGATGCCCAGTCACTGAGCTTGTATTCCATTGTCACATCGGTAGACCTTTTCCTTTCTCCTGCGCATGACTTACCATTTCTTCGTAACGGTCCGGGCGGCGTTCATCAATATCACGATAGACCATTCGCGTGTTTTTGCTCAGTTTACAACAGGTTCCCCGGCATGGGACGACCTCGAAAGCCATACGATTGCACACTGATATCTCACGGATACACGTTAATTTTGTTCTTTTTGCGTGGTTTTTTTAAAAAGTTATGTGTCACTTGGCTTGTTCCGGAACGGATGGGTCTAGATAGTGTGTAGCTTCAGTTCTTGCATGCCGATAATTGGAGAGAAAATGTACCTATCTGTTTCTGGTTTTGCTGTCGAAGTTATCGCGAAACGAGTTGTTAATTTGACCTATCCATCCTATTCCCCGTAGATCTACATAACTGGTGTTCCCTCGGTCCATGCTTGCATGCCTTCCCCCTTGATGCAGTCAAGTTGCCTACATTAGTGGCTGCATCCCGATACGAGTCTACTGACTAGCTTGACGCAACCCCGATTGTCCAGGCCCGATCTGCAGCGCACACAACGAACAGCAGATGCAACTGCCGGTGGACGTACAAGGCAGCTGCAGCCGCCGCCGCCGCAGTGAAATTGGCAATCGAGCCAGTCTTGGACCGGGTTAGCTGATCGACCAATTAACACAGTAGACATCATCCTCGTGGTGACATGGGGTGGTTAATAGGTGGTTGCTCGCTTGCTTACCTGATCTGTTAATTGATTTAATTAATTCTTTTTGTTGTTTTTGGTAAGTAGATAGATGGAACTCGATGATGTGATCGCCTGAATGAATTGTGAGTACGGAGTACTATCTAGTTGTTTGAAGTTAGGGAGGTAGGTGTTGATAGACACCATGGATATAGGGGGCATAGTGAGATATGTCTTAATTGTGGAGTATATCGTAGTAAAGAAGTTAGACGTTACGGTGTCTTCTGGGCTGAGGTTTTGGTGGGGGGTGGGGGATTGAAGTTAAGGGTGGTGATTGTTGAGTACTTTGTATATATTGTATATAACTTGGGATTATTTTGGAGGTGGGTGTTGATTTGCAACAAGTGATGATTTTTTTTTTCTTTTATGGTCGCGGGGAGAAGACCATTTGTTCTCTTTCCTTTTTCTTAAGTCTTTGTTTGTATCTTTGGTTGGTTTATTTTGATGAGAAGGGTTGTTTAAGTATGGGGCTGGGGGTTCTGGATGTGTGTGGCGTGGTGTATCTATATCATATATTTGGGTATTTTGGGGATTGAAGAGTGGTATTGTAGGCCTGTATGTGGCATTGGGGACTGGAATTGGGTCCTGGGACATGTGTTTGGATTGCTGGGTGCACTGTCTTTGAGCGCTTTACATGTTGAATGGCAAGTGTACATATCACGTAAAGATTGTGTCTGGTGTATGGTAAATTCTTTGCATACTAGCTGGCACCACATGGCGGAGAATATAATAAGCATCATGCTATTTAGGTTTCAACAGCCGTAGTCACATACTGGCTGTAGGGCGCTGCATATGGTTGTCAGAGCAGATCAACTAGACCACGCCTCCAGCTTCTCCAGAACAGCACTGGCCAGTATCTTATGAACGTGACTCGTCATGTGCCCCGAGTTGTACCAGAAATATGTGCTCAGAGGTGTTGGACACCCGTACGCTTTGTAATTCCACGCAATGTCCGGCTGGTCATAGCCTGCGCAGAAATTTGTTGTGTTCACGATGCCGTACTGGCTTGGGTGGTCCAGGATATAGCTGAGCTCACTATGAGCGTCGAACAACATCACGTTGGTGTCTGTGTAGCGTCCGTGGAAAGCTTCTGCGTGCTGCGATAATGCATCGTTGTACCAAGTGATTTGTGTCGCATTGGGGCTGGGATCAGCACTGCCTAGGTTGCCTGGTCTCCGGTCCAGCGGGGGAAGGTTCATGAAGAGATAGGAGCGATATCCCAGAGAGTAGATTGTCTGAACAGAGGAGAAGAGTGTATCCATAAGCTCGTTGTAGAAAGTCGGGAAATCGACGTCGTACTTGGAACTGTCGCCGATGTCGTTGATGCCGATCCAGATGGCCACCAGCGCATGCGATTGATCCACAGTCTGCTTGAGGACGGGCTGTGCGTAGTCGTTGAATTGTTTGACCTGGTTGACGAGCGAGACAGTAAAGTTGTGGTGGAGAGGCGTGCTGTGGTGGGTTAGAGGTCAGTGCAGGATGAGCCATCGCAAGTGCGTACTATTCAACCGAGATGTCTGCCCCTGCAAATGCAAAATCCCATAGCTGTTGTTCGCAGTCAAAGGGCGAGGTAACGCCCTCCACGAGCCCGCAGCCCGTTAGGTATTCTACCCAGTTTGGGCCTCCTTCTGCAGTTGCGGTCTGCATTCAGAGAAGTATATCAGCAACGGGACTGAATAGTAAGACGAGTTATCTGTGATAGTATAGAGGTTGTCCAACCTGGATTTGGACAATCTTGTCAGCAAGGAGAGTCTGTGGATCATATTCAAAATTTTGCAGATCGCCGATGAAACTGTAGTTCTGAAGGCCATGTGTTCCTTGAACGTATGTATACGAGTCACCGAAGGCGATTCTGGTACCCACGTGTCAGTAATGCCCCAAGGAACACCCAGATGCTGTGGAATATGAGCCCAGGCACAAACAGGTATTTCGTAGAGTCCCATTCGAAAGGTCTCTTCTGAAGGATGCCGGAGGGATATGCTGAAACCATCGGAATGGCCACGAGGACCAGAAACGGCCAGGTTACGAACATGATGCAACTTAAGGTCTATTTGTGCTTCGAGAGTTGATGAGGGTGTATGCCAGACATTGTCACATTATTGAATGCGGATTTTATACGCATTGCAGCAGAGTCAGTCTCTCTCATACTGCCCGGTTAACCCCGCAGAAACATTCAGAGTCCGGAGAAATCCTAGCACGGAGTGCTCTTACGGAGGATAATTTTCCACTTGTAACTAGCTGCAGCTCGCTGACAAACAACAACCGGGCAGATCTGAGAGCAACCCCAGATCTGCAACGGGTCTCTGAGGTATCACTTCTGGAGGAGCTTCTCGATGGGCCAATGGACCTGCCCGCGCTCTTGTAGGGATCCGACTGGGAGCCTCGGCTCGTAGATCGACTGGCTGCGGATAGCACCGTCACTGACTCGGAGTGCGTGGGGGCACTGGGAGCTGCCTTGCCGAGCCATCTGGCCATCCAGCTTGCCGACGCCGGCAAACTGCGCATCCAAGAAAGAGGACTCGCTTGAGAGCCGCCCGCCTGTCAGTTGTCTAGATGTTGGCGAACCAAGCCTGCCGATCCGCGCGCAAGGAGGCCAAGATTATCCGGGGTTGGAGGGCCCAGGGGAGGCTCAATCGACTGCGGGGAGTTAGTCCAGCCAAGCGAGATCGTGCGCCTGGAAGCTCCGGTTTGCGGCGACGCGACGCAGAGGCCGTTGACGGACAGGCACGCTTCGGATCGAAAGTGCAGGGCACTCTGTCTGACCCTTTTCCACGGAGAAACCACAGCAATAGATGATGGAGGAACGGAGGGAAATCGCGTTATCTCCCAGACATTGACGGGCAGGTGATTGCCTCCAGCTGAATGCCGCCGAGTACCACCTCACTATCTTACTGTAAGATATCGCGTAATAATGAACCCCGAGTGGGGACTCCGACCTATCCAGTCACCCAGTCTCCAGTCCCCAGTTCTAGGAGGGTGTGTCATCCCAGCCAGACCGTGACTTGTTGGTCAATACGGAATAGATATCTCTTCAGGGAATGGCCTGCCAGACCCCGAGCAGCTGCGAGGAATTAATCATCGGAGATAGCTAGTAGTATATTGAGATAGAGAGATAGAGTGGCCGGTATGTACCTGCCTCCTTGGAGCAGATACTCCTCACAGTACGGAATACGGAGTAGATAGTTAGTCCAAAGACTACCTATCTACCTTGGGGACGCTATGTACTGGAAAGTACCATATTACGTACCTCCAGGGGAAATGGTACTGGTAAGGACACGGTACGGGTGGTCCGCACTAGTTCTCCCCGGTACGACCCAGTTACTAGTGAAGTAATTTAGACGAGCCGGGGCCAATGAGAATTACCGCAGCAAATGCAGGTTTAGGTAGATACCGCTAGCCCCGACGGAGTTAGGCCGATGAAGCGGGAGGTAGGGGTGGGTTCCAGTTCGGGTACGCTAACCACTAAGGTCAGCCAGGAGCAGGACCGTGAGCGGGCTAGGCTTGGGGCTACCTGACTAGTCGGTTAGTCCAATATGCGGAAGTCGGGAATTCCGCACATAGTATCACGGGGGGTCAAGATTGGACAACCCCCGACTAGGTTCCGGTCAGGCCTAACGTAATAAGAATGGCGGCCTTCAAGCCTCATCAGTCACCGGCGTAGAACATGCATGGAACATGTAACCACTTGCCCGTGAGCACAACTGCTCATAGTCCACGAAGAAAAAGCATGGGTTTATCTCTGCAGTAGTGTGCCTGTGAAGGAAGATCTCAAGTCGAGATGGGTACTACTAGATCGTGGCATGTCCGGTCCGGTCCTGGCTCCTGCCAGTTTGCCTACCAATCCTGGATCTTGATTCCGAAGGACCGCGGGCTTGGCGGTCCGCAGAATCAGAACTATGGCATTATCGTATATTAACTGCTTGCTCTCCATGGCATGAATAATAAGACTGACACGTTGTCCGATAAGTGGAATACTACTTCGGAAGAACTCGGGCGCTGATTCGTTCTGCGTCGCTGACCAAGGATGGATCCCCCATTACATAAGGAAACCCTGATAATAAGAGATTATTGTCCGTCAGTAAGGTCGGAGGCGTGTTTCCGGCCGATGTATCGTCGAGTCCCTCTTAAAGAGTCTTAGGAGCAACGGTAGGGTTCCCGTTGCGGCTAGGTCGATTGGTTGACTCATTTGTCCTGGAGCTTGGACCTTATCGTTAGACGGTTAGGGAGAGAGCTCCCTAGTGTAGCCGATGTTAGTACACACCACACAGTAGTACTATGGTAGATGGGGAAGCACCGTCGACACCTGGGACTGTCTGACTCTGATCTTCCGGGTGGGCCAGTCAATGGTGGGCAGGCTCAGACAAGGCAGTCCGACGACCGGACGGAGCACGGAGGACTCCGTTCCTCCTCCCAGATACCCAATTGGTCTGACACCGAAAATTTCATTTAGGATGGACTCGTTAATCGCGCGATATGCCGTGATCTTGCCCATGATGAATCGGCGTGCAGCGACACAAGGTTTTCGCTACCACCGGTCGTCACGGACAATCATCAGGTACGGAGTGGCGTACCGATTTCCGACCTGCGACTAAATTGACCCCATTATCTTAAAGGTGCCTTAGTCTACCGACTTAATCAAAATCCTAAAGCGCGTGAGAAATTGCTGCTCATCTCATTGGCCCATCCGCGCGAATTCCCTGCCATTTGCTTTTGGATTTTGAGTTTGGGGACGGGGCGACGTCGGTCGCTTTCCTGATTTTCGTTTAATTCACTTACAACAAATAACGATATCCATGGCTCCATGGCTCCATCGTGCTCCACCCAACAAAGGACGGAGAGTGAGCCGCAGAGCCGTGGTGGGAATTGATGGCCCTAAGCACTGAAGCAGACAAGCCCGGACGCTCTGCTCCATCGAGTCCATACGGTGTCCCAAGACAGCTCCGCGGTATCGATCCTTTGGGCTCTTCCTAGGCCACTACAGGCAGTTCCTCGGCAAAATAAGGTGAGCTGAGCGATTTCGCAATCTCATCGATGATAATTTAGCGGACAATCGGGTCACTTAACCAGCCTCCGCATATGACCATTAGATAGACATTAGGTATTATCTCTATGGCGCGAGTTTTTCGACGCAGGCCGTTCTCACCACAATGATCGTGGACGCGGATTGGTTACGGAGTACGGAGTACCGTTCCGCAGTTTAGTATTGAGGGCGACTGCGGTTTCATCCTGTTGTACGGAGTAGGCTCAGGGGCACCCAGAAAAAAAAAGAAAAGAAGACGGCAGCGCGTCTCACTGCCTATTATCCTTCCCCCCTCATTATCCCATCTGCCTCTCGGCTAAACTCACACAAACCCGAGCATTGGGTTGCATCTGGCTGTATCTGGTACGGTGCTGGGAGCTGTACAGCCTCGGGTCGCTCGAGAAGGTGCCGCTTACTACTGTCTCAACCATGACCAAAACATTCTAAGACGCGCTCCTGCCAGCTAGCCAGCACGTGGAGCAACCTAGCTGAGATCATACCAAAATAGCTTGGTCACGGACGTGACATCTAACAGCGGAGCTATCCGCATAAGCCAGACTACCAAGCCTAGGAGGCTAGGAGCTAGGAAGCCGTTTATTCTACGAATCAGTGACAATGCCATACATATGCGCATGAATGCATCCACATGCAACGGCAGGAAGGTGAATCAGATACCAGAAGCAGGAGTGTACAGAGGACGGAGTGAACAATCTTCAATTGACCGTGTTAAGGGAAAAGAAAAGGAGAAAAAAAAAGACGCACGCCGACATCATTTCAGCGTCAACAATCGGTAGGCCTACCCCTTTCATGTGCATTGGTAGGGTTCCCCCAATGGGGAACCTCAATAATATATGATGGTTTGGGACTGATCCAGCTCTCCTGTGCTGTCCAGGTGGGCCCTCCGACAATACCGGCTCAATACAACTGCAATACATACGTTCTCCATCCACGGTCATCGACCTCCTCGGAGAGGATATTGTTCCAGAACATATGCATTGTGCACTCATTTTAGGTATACAGCACGGATGCCTAATGAAGGACGTTACAAATCCTAGTACGATAAGGGTGGTTGACCATGGATGGTCATTGCTCAATTGGACTCGGTTTAGGAAGGTCCATCGGCATCGTTATTTATCAGCTTCTCCAAAGCGTAGCTGTGGAGGTGCCCTCCGTACCAGTAATACTCCTCAGAAAAAGTCCCGATCGACGTCTATCTCCAAGTCCCAACCTACTAATGCTAATCGGCCGGCGTCCGAAAAAGTATTAGTTGTGGGAACGCTCTTCCCTAAGTCCCTTGGGCTATCCAGAAGGGCTGGTAGTATTACCCCATACATCCGGGGATGGGAGGCTTGATTCCGCGCCCAGATGACACTTCAATTGTCGCGTTCTAGTGTCCCCGGGCAGAGAGAAGAGGACACAGTCCAGCGGGTTTTGCTGAGAACCTCCATGACTTTTGCAATGAGCCAGTGGATCATTGCTCGAATTGATTCTCACTAATCATATCAAATCCAGCAGAACCAATCATTGCCACCTCCATGGTTCTGCTCCGATTTGATTTGATCTTGTTCGTAGGCATGGTGGGAGGTACGGAATGATACCCCTTGAAACTGATACCAGATATTATTATTGATTCCTGCGATCCACCCGGAACTCATATCGCATGATGGTTGCCTTGTGACCTGCTGATTCTCAACCCTTTGCCAATTTTCATTTTTTATGGTAGAACTACTAGGAGAGCAAGCCTTTCCATCCAGCCAATGTGGTTATCAGGTAGACATCGACGAGGGACCTACTCCGTACTTACGTATACTACCAGTGACCATCGGAGTATGGAAATGAGCGTTTCAACCGAGCCCGTGGATGAGCTGGAATGGTACGGACGGTATCACCAGCCTGAGTGTTTGTCCGATTTGCTCCCTGGTTCATTCACCGGCAGTGGGTGTGTTAGGTTCCGCCTGCGCGGGGTATGACCCAGTCGGAATACCAATCACCCAATGTACATCTGCCCACCCAGGGCTTGCCTGGAGCAGCGTCCTTCCGAGATTGGAGCCTTGCATCTTCTCGCGTCCCCTTCTTCCCTACCTTGCGCCTGGCCTTCCTATCAAGAACTAGTCCACTCTTCTTGCTTATATCTCGTGGAAGGATATGATGGATTTGTAGATGTAATCAACCACAGCAATTAATTATTATTATGGATACTTTGGTTTACTCCGGAGTAGAGCCGGTAACTCGCTTCTGCATGGGCTGTCAGATAGGAGTTGTTTATCACGTCTTCGACGCATTATCATCCTGGGAAATCTACCCAGCATCCAGACAGCGTACCATGGAAATACACTTGCGACTTTCCTGGTAATTTTCGGCAGCCTTACCAAGTCACTTGTATCTCTATATAGTATATGCAGCCATACATGCGACCATATGAATTACGATCTTATTCCTGGTTCATGTCTACAATTTCTAATCCGCAATGGCCAACGTTGCGCGCGCAGGGTTTATTACTATCACTATAGCTTACATTATTCAGAATATCCGACTATCGTTACGTAGGCTGATACCCCTGAATCGAGACCGAGACTGAACAATACGACCCAGGTAAATAGTGACTCAGTAGCAAAAGTACCAACAGCCAGGCGATGCCGCTGTCTGCAAATCCTACGTATGAATGATGGAGTTATCCTTAACTTGCCCCCTCATCAAGCCTGTTAACATCCCTGGTCATACCTACATGGTACATACATTCTCTTAGGTAATGTTGAAGTAGATTTATCTTCTCTTTCTTCAAGATCTAGATGCTTTTTGTCACAGGAATAACATCCTCACTAGCGTTGCCCATCCGCTTAGCCTTGGAGGTGGTTGGCATATCGCCTAATCCGTCCGACGGTCTGATTATTTGTGTATATCGATTGGACTGCGAACCCTCGTGTTCCCCACCGACGCGTTCCTGACTTGCGCAGATAACGACTGGACTGGCTAGACCATATATTGTAGATAGGCGCTTTAAACCGAGTGCATACACCTGACTGATCTGCTCCATTGTACTATATAATTGCGAGTCCAGAGGGGCTACTCTGTACTGGTTGGTGAACGGAAGGGTGGTTATGGGAAAGGGGGATTCCAGTACGGTGTACTCCGTAGTATTTCCTTAGTTCGAGCGTCCTTGGTACGGCGAGAGGAAATCTTCCGATTTGAAGCGACAGAACGGAGTAATATGGAGTCAGAAGCTGTAGTTATCTCAAGTCAACCCTCGACTCCACCAAAGGGCGTGCTTTTGATTGGCGATCTGACGGTCATACTTCGGTTTGTTGCTCTGGTTCCCCCCTGAAGTCGGCCGTACCGCAACAGGTGACCGGCATGTCCTCAGCGGATACGGCTGGTATCGTTGTCGTTCTCCCTTTTCCCACCAGTAGCAGCAGCCAAGACTTCCCTTCCCCCCCTCTCTCTCCCTCCAGTGCCTCCACAACCTAACTCTACTTGACTTTCCGTCGCGATCAAGTACACACACCTTTTCTGGCCGTGCCAGGACCTATCGCCGGCATCGATCGCTGTCCTTTTCCATGGATGTCTTAATATACGGATGCTATTGTTAGCAGCGTAGGATTTATAATACATCTTTGATATTGACTTTACCCGCTTCCATTAAACTCGCGCCACTCTTTCCCCTTTCTCGTCGCTTGGACAGGCCTCTTGTCGAGCCTCCACTACTTACGGACCCTGCACGCGGTCTTCGCTTCCCCCCGACTTACGCTACGCCTACTTTTTCACTAGCCTTGAGTCTCTTCGCAGACCGTTCCAAGCCGTTCCTCGGGCACGCCATCCCTAGCCCATCGTCGTTTGGTCCTAAGGCCTGATTACCTACTCCCGCAGCCGGGACGTTGGCCAACGATCTTGGTTGGTATCCACGGGCGCATACGCTAGGTTCACGACAGTCTCCCTGCGACCAAACTCGACACGCGCACCGTCCGTCCCGAATCGCGGGTAGACTATCCAAGCTCTAAACCCCTATCAAGTAGTATATCAACATCAATCCCCTACTAAGTTTATTTTCAACTTCATCTCGCAACGCTTTGGTTGCAAACTTCACGCCACAACGGAGAAGCGAGGTGGGGTTGACAGGTTGGAAGAGATAGATAGTAGGAGGAGGATAAGAAAACAGAAAAGGGGGTGTCGAATTTCAAAACTTACTTTTTGTTTTCTTTTTTTTTGACCATTTTTTCTTTCTTTCTTCCTTTCTCCCTTTTTATTTACTTATTTTATTTTATATATAAATTATTTTTTATTCTGTACCTCCTTTCAGTTTCGCCACACTACTGGCGGAGTATTCCGCCCCAAGGAGACAGGCCAGAGAAGGGAAAAGAGAGAGCCATGACATGAAAAAAGCACCCCCAGACAAGGAAAGCTTAGCCGGGTTACGAAAGAATAACCACTGTACTCCGGGCGACAGTTTGCGCAACTGAGGGGAAGCGACCAAAGAGAGAACAGCAGAGAAAAGAAACGAGAGCGAGCAAAAAGATAAAAAAAATAACTAATTGAAAGAGAAGGTATTACAACCACCACTCTTTTTGGGCCCTGATAATTCATCGAAAAGGAGTGGGTCCAACTACTTACTGGCAACGGACCCGTCACCACAAAGCGGCAGCACTCCGCTCCAAGGGCGAAAACAAAGGACGAATCAGAATTAATCCTCCGGGCGGCCCCTCCAGTAACCGTAGCGTGACCTTACGAATACCGGCCCCCCCCCTTCATGGTGGTTTCCTATTACCTACATGTTACCACTACAGCCATCCCCCTACTACGGTGCACCACCACGACCGGACACCACCACTTTTTGCCTCCAAGCTCCCTTTTCCCCTACTCCATAGGGAGCGAAAAATTACGGGGCCCACGCGCGCTCCACCGTACACTCGGATCCCACGAGGTGCTGCTCTCTAACCTGCGTTTTTCCTCCTGCCGAAAAGCCTCTTTGCTCGTCCTGTCCGAAGCCTTTTAGGCCGCGTCTTCTGCCCAGGTCTCTCTTTTCCGGGTTGAGTCGAACCATTTTTTCCTCCGTCTCGATTTTAGGGTGATTGTGCTATTGCGTTGCCACCTAGATCGAGGCATCGACCTTAGCGCTATCGCTGATTTGACCTGGTGGAATCTTATTTTATTATTACTCGTTTCTGTTCGTCCTAGCCAAAGAGACTATTTTGGCACTGCCCTGGCTGCTTTCTAAACCCTCACCCACCCCCCCCCTCCCACCCAAAGCTTGCCCGAGCGCAGACAGGACCGTCCCTTTCCATCCTCCCGCGGGTTCCTCGTGCTGTCGTGCTTACCGCCACCTGCAAGGCCATTCTCCGTCACCCTAACAGGCGACTAAGGCAATTAAGCATCACGATCCAGCGCTACATTTCCCCCGAAGACCAAATACCTCGTCTCGGTTTCCCTTTATCTTATTCGTGATACGTTATTTTGGTTCCCTTTTCTGACCATACCGACTCTATTCTGCCTCTCTCTCTTCTCTTTTCCTCCCTCTTCCTCTCTATCTCTCTTGTCAGTGTATTGAAGAGGATCAAAACCATACGCGCCAGCTTACGCGTTGGTTCATTCTTTTATTTTCTTTTCACTTCACTTTCATTCTCTCCCAAGGCCAACACGCCATTTCGGGACGTGCAGCACCTGGTGTGAATCTTGAATACGATTACCTGGTCTGCCACTCCGATTCACTAAATAGTACGTTCCAACAAAAAAAGAAAAAAAAAAAAAACACAACCAAAAAAAAAGGGAACGAGGATACTGGCAAACCCACCTTGGCCACCTTACCAGTCCTGATCCTCCTGCTTTCCGAAGCAATCTTCTTTTTCTTCCCCTCCCATCTATCACTGCGACATCTCTTTACATCCTGTTGACAATCACAAAGCTCATTGTGTTCTCTCGACGCGTCTGTCTAGGCCCGGGAGTTTCTTAGTTTTGGAGGATTGTCAGGGATCACTCAAACCGCTAGCGGCGAAGATTGTATTATATGGACAACCGACCTGCCTCGGAGTACGCGCAGTCAGGTTCGCACTTTCCATATCCACCGTCTGCCGCGACGCATCATTCTGAACTTCCAGCTGCAGACCAGGCTTCTGCTGCTGCCACTGCTCAATACACCCCTCAGCCTGAGGTCCGCCCGACTCCTCAGTACACCCCCCAACCCGAGGTCCGCCCCGCCGCCAACATTTCGTCCTCCAACACACCGCAGTCGGACTACGGTCTGAACCAGCCGCCCGCCGCGCGCTCTCCTGCGTACCCCGAATACCTCGCCCGCCCACCTCAATACCATCACGCCTCCAACACTCAAGCCGGTGGTGCGGCAGGTATGGCTCAAGCAACAAGTCCGTCCATGACCACCCTCAGCGATGGGCAGCACCATGACCATCGCAATCACTCGAACCTGAAGTCTGACGCGACCGTTCCTATAGATCCCTCAATCGCGGCATCCAGCCCCACCTATCCTCCTCCCTACTCCCCCTACCAGCCCCAGGGCCACGACATGGCACAGTATCAAGGCCACCCCCCGCCTCCTCCCCCTCAGATGTATACGCGTCCGGAATGGTCGCATGGGTATGGACAACATCAACACGGTCTGCCTGGACCCTATACCACTCCTGCCACAACGGTTGGTCCCGCCTCCCCTGCTGCGACCGCAGGGCCGCGCCCTGGCCAGGTATGTTTTTGATGATTTTGGCGTCTGTTTCCAAAGGCTGCGCACTTGCGTTGGTTTGTTGTCTCGGACGTCTAGTCAGGGCTGCTGCCAGGCGGCCTTGCGGGACGCGGGAAGCAGCGCACTTTTTCATCTGCTTTATGTCACGGGAATCATAAGCTCATCAGGCGCTTTCTTTAGGTATACTCGTTCGTTCCAATCCCTGGCGCGCAGCAGCACAAGCGGCCCCGCCGTCGGTACGAGGAAATCGAGCGTATGTATAAGTGTGGCTGGAACGGATGTGAAAAGGCGTACGGAACCCTCAACCACCTGAACGCCCACGTCACGATGCAGTCCCATGGCGCCAAGCGCACGCCCGAAGGTAAGCCTGTTGCCCGCCGTTTCGCGTTGAGTCCTGGACCCGCGAGCTTGCATGTGTTGTTTTTGTTGGTCGCGAAACTCTGGATTGGGCTAGTGCGGGTGGCACGCGCTAGTCGTGTTACACTACCTTAGCGCCGCGGATCGCAGTAGCGTGACAAGCCGGTGCGGAGGTTAAGCGTCTCGACGACTAGGTCTGCCTGTCGCGCCTATCCCCCTCCCTCCCTCCCCCCCCCTCTTCCCACCCCACCAGCCATCACCACCCTCCCAACGTTCACTGCGTCGAGGTTGCCTCCCATCATCCCTAACTAATTCGTTTTGCAGAATTCAAAGAGATTCGCAAAGAATGGAAAGCACGCAAGAAGGAGGAAGAGGCCCAGCGCAAGGCGGCGGAGGAGCGCGAGCGCGCTGCCGCTGCTCAGGCTGCTCAGGCCAACCAGGTCGATGCGCCCAACCCTGCTGATCCCGCGCAGGCTGGGCAACCCCCCGCCTACCCTGGTGGTGTTCGTCCTCAGCTCCCTCCGATTGGATATCAGCCCGCCGACGGTCAGGTACCTGGGCAGTATGGAGCTGGGGCTGGTGGTATGGTTTACCAGGGCAATGGGCAGATGGCTTACCCGCCAAACTACCCTCACTCTCCCTATGGACAGACCGGTCAAGTGTATCAGCCACGTAAGTAGTCAGTCCTTTGTTATGTTTGCCTTATCAGGACCGGGTCATGAGGAAGTCTCGAAAGAGACATGAAGAACCAAAAAAAATCAAAAGAAGAACCAAAAGGGATACACGACCACGACACCCGGGTGCAAGAGCGAAAAAAAGGTTAAGGAGGAGGTCTTTAAATCTATTGCTGTAAGGTCTGTAGCTGATCGATGATGGCTTCGCAGAAAACCAATCGACCAGCTACCCGCAATAGATGCCCAGCTTCCCTTACTTTTTTCAGGTTGCATGTTCTAATACAATATCTCCTAATCCCGTATCGCCATCCCCGGATCTAATTCTCTAAGTTCCTCTGCGCACATGATACCATTTTCTGGCCTTGATTGTTCCAGCCAAAAAGAGTGGCCTTGCGACTTACGCTTCTGTCCCAGTTATGTTTTTTTGAATTAGATCGCATGAAAAAAAGGCTAATTGAGGGGGTTCGTTGTTTTTCCTTCCCTGCGCGCGAACACCGGCTATGGGATTACGACTTGGGATGCTTGGTGGGGCCTTCTGCATTGTCTAGCTTTCTTTTCTCCTGTGAATTATGCGGCAACTGTTTCTACTAAGTGCTCCCTCTGTGTTGTATGTGGCTTACCTGCTATGATTCTTGTGACTTTCCTCTTGTGTGATTGTCTTTCACCGTACTCGTGCTCATGTTCGTTTCCTCCCTTTGCTGATGTTTTGACCAAATTATGTTACCCTGGGTTTTTGGTCCCCGAAATTGTGCAATATTTTATCCATGTCCTTTGCACCGCGGACCTGGCATGGTCGCGGACTGGTGGCGGCGGCAGTCTTCGGATTCTGATGCACATGGTTTTCTCTCCCACCGTTGTTGATGTGAGCCGACTGGGTGGCGACGCTATTGTCGATGGCGAACGCCGTATGCCTTGGCTGCAGGTGTGGAGATAGTGGGTAGTTACTCAATTGAAATGACAGTGTTCTACTGCTCTGTGGATACTCTTATGGATTCCGTCTAACGTTCTATTCATTTGGTGGGATTCAAACGGTCGAGGCGAAGGGCGCATAGCTTCATGGGCCTGCATGCTCGAGGGACTATCATGTATTATATCCGGAGAACGTGGTCCATCTGAGTGAAGTATCTGCATGCCGATCGTGCATTAGTGGTCATGGTTCTGCAGGCGCCTCCTTCGGGCGCCTTTCTGTATACCGGCACGCGGTCTGACTGTGGCGAGCTGTCGTTAACTTCAATAGATCTGCAGCACGCCCGGTGGCGATGCCCCAACTCCTATCTAGTAGGGCAACTATTGCAGGAGGGAGCCACTAACAAAGTATGGGGAAAAGAGCCTTCAGGAATTGGGAATGCTGACTACGGAGTACCTCCGTCGGTATGCACCTCGCCATGGTAGTCGATCTGCAGAAAATCTTCCACACCGGGATCGGTAGAATTAAAGTTATCTGCCACGGAAGAGCCATGACGGAAATTAGTGTTTAGCGGTCTTCTGGACAAGATCCGAATGAGTGACAGGGCCGCCAGAGACTTGGTTCTGGTCCAACTAGCGGCTTCCCCGGCAGTTAGTTACTAGTGAGTACTAACTTACCTGTACCTGGCTGTACCTGAACCCTACCACGTACTACGGTTCGTTACTAGTCAGACTCGCTGCTTAGCGGCCGTTTGCGCGACGTCGTTTGCCCTGCGCTGGGATGCCGCAGCTCTTGCCGCCCGCCCCCCCCTTCATGGATGCCTGAGCTCAGGCCCCAAGGATCCGTCCTAGCGGCGTAAGGCTGAGCTACTGTCTGTAGCTAGCTGGCCTAGTCCCCGGCATCGAGCTAGGCATGGATGCGTGCGTTTTTAGTGTTTCGCCTGCATGCCTGAGGTTGGGCTGGTATGGATACAGTAGTGGTACCGGAGTTGGTGCCTGAGGCAGTTATATAGCGGAGCGGAGTTACTTACTAGACGGAGACCTTATCGGCTAAGCCCCATTGGTTCTAGCTGCGATAGATGCGATACGGCGGAGTTTGCGCTTGTTCGGAGATCGACTTGTTTCTTTCCTGTGCCTCTGCTTCTTTCCTTTCTTCAGGGCCGGAGGGATTTTGGGATCTAGACTTATTTGGCTCTGTTTCTTTTTCTGTGTCGGTGTGCATGAAGATCGTGTCCGTCTTCTACCTCCTCCCTCTTCCAAATTTTCCTCGCTGATCCCCGGCCTCCGAGTTTCGACGGGTGACGCCTCTCATGCTGTTCGGCATTCGGTGGCAAACAGTCTGACATACGCCTTCCCTTCCCTCGATTCTCTCTCCTCAAGAAACTGGACTCGACAGCACGGATCGAAGACGGACCTCTCCATATTCAATTTAGATGCTTCGTTGCGGCAATGCCACCGCCCTCCGGCTGGCGGCCGAGAGAAGCCTGGGAGTGAGAAACTCTCTCCGCCCAGCAGGACTCCGAACGATCGAGGACAGACTCTCCGTGCATCGTATTCAGTATGGAGGTGCGTTTACAAGGCAAAAATCCGACCATGTCCATACCACAAAAGATCTCGCCATCCGGTCTGCGAACTCGTCTACCATGGAACCCAGAGATCCGCTCATGGAGGCTGCCAATCCGCTCGACAAAGACACGCCGCAGAAATCCACAACAGAGGATACAAAACAGGAATTCCTGTACAAGTTGGCCTACACGGGAATTACTCACAAAAAGGGGTACGATTACTATGTTCCCTATCAAGTAGTGGATAGGGAGATGAAGTGGTTGAAGGATCCCCGGGGGCTAGCGGATCGAGTCGCGGCAGTGTTGCAAGCTGATAACCCGATTCTCGCCTTGGCGCTTATTCGATGGGCACATCGTAGAGATATCTCGACCGTTGTGGCTTATAATCGCTTGTTGGAGTATTGTCTGCGCATGAAGGCTCCGAAGGCTGCATTTAGGTTTTGGAATGATGTGAGTGCTTCCTCCTCCTCCTCCGCCGTCTCTGTTGTAGTAGACCATATGTAAAGTGTGTGGAGCCGTGGCTGACTTGTTTCGTTTGGATGTAACAGATGAAAAAACGAGGAGTTCCTCCCAATTTGAGGTCTTACACAACTATGTTGGATGGGCTAGCCCAGCCTTTCCCGAACGAGCGAGTCAAGCCGGTGGAAATCGCACTGAAAGTCTACCGGTCTCTGCGAGAATCCAAGTCTGGTGTCGAGCCCAATATCATTCATACCAATGCGATGCTCAAGGTGTGCTGGCACCACGGTGACTTGGATACTCTATGGCTGGTTGCTGGCGAGCTGCCGGAGAATGGCCCGCTGGCTCCGGATACGTATACGTACACTACCATACTACGAGCTATCTCAGATGTCACCCAGTCGCAGATAGCCGCAATGAATCAACGAAATCTCGAACCGATCCTGGAAAGGAGAGCCCAGGGTATCAAAGAGGGCAAACGGATATGGTCCGATGTTATCTATCAATGGAAGAAGGGCCGGCTGGCTCTCGACAGCCATCTGGTTCACTCAATGGCTCAGCTGCTGGAGCGCATTTCGAGTTGTGACCATGACATCTGGGAGGTGTTTGCCTTGTACAATCAAACTACTGGCCTTCCAATTCTTGCCAAGGAGCCCCCAATGGGGAGAAACCAGTCATTCTCGAAGACTAGGCATGAATCTTCTGCCATGAAAGACAAGCGTGTGGAGGAAGATATCCCATTTGTGGACGAGGGCGAGAGACTCTGGGAAGACAAGCCCGAAACTTTAGCGCAAGAGGAAGGGGAAGAAGAAAATTTCGATGGCCTTTTCGACCCTGTTGTTGAGGCCGGTGATTCATCGACGCAACACGCCTCGGAAAAAGGCAAGTCTGCTCCGTCATATCTGCCAGTGAAAAACGTAGAACTGTCGATGATTCTACAAGCTTGCATGACTATGACCCAGGCGTTTGGTGTCGGAAAGAATTACTGGCGGTACCTTACGCAAGAAGAGCACTCGCACAGCGTCATACCTGATGGGCCCTCATATCATCAGTACCTACGCCTTCTGCGGAATTCACGGTCCAGCCGTGATGTTGTCCGGGTGATTCGCGATATGATGGAACCCCAAGGGCTTGCGGATAGAAAGTCCTTTTATATTGCCATGTCCTGCTGTGCTCGTGACCGCAGAAACCCCAATGTTCTTAAGTACGCCAACGAGCTTCTAGACATCATGAGCAAGGCTCTTGTACTGCCTGACGCTCGGGTGTTGAAGCGTTACGTCGATATGGTTCTATGGCTGCAGCAAAACCCGCAATTCCTGATGACGCTCAACGGCCTCAACTCGGGCGAAGGGGCTAACAAAACCGACCTGAGCGCTCTGGGCAACAGACTGAAAGCCAGCTTGCTGACGACTGCAGCGGAAAATCTTCATTGGCATATTTTCAAGCTCGATAAAGCCGTGGACCATAGTCTGCAGCCAGACCAGCGTATGCAAGACCGACTGGCCCAGGCGGCCAAGTCAAGCCCACACGCCGTGATGCTTGGGGAACATGCTCTTATAGCAATAACCGAGATGCGAAGACTACTTGACTTGATCAAGAAGCACTTTTCGAAATATGTCGCCTCCGATACGCTCGCGGAAATCGAGAAGCAAGCTTTGGAGCTGAGAAAATACTCTGGCCAGACGTTGACCAAGACGATGCGGAAGAGCTTAATTGGAGCATCTCCCAGCTTGGCTATCGAATTGAATGCGAAAGGTTCGACGAGTCCCGAGACGAGGGGACCCGAGTCCTTCGAAGATGGTCCTCAGTCGAGTTGATGAACCTGTTTATGTACTATAGCGCTGTATAATAATTCTCTACTATGTACGAGGTCTATACTCCGTATAGAATATGATACCTACTGCACGGGATCTCCTGTTTCAGATGGCGGCCGCGGGGGTTTCCGCCTACCGAATTCAGCCCGGGCGGTGCGTACGTAAGGAATGCCAATGCCACTCTAGCCTCTCCCACGCGGCCTGCTCCTCCAGCTTCTCCAACTCATAACTCACCTCGTGATTCTTTCCGTTTCCATCCTCTGGGTACAGCCGGCCTGTCCAGTAACCTTCTGCATCTCTCGGAGCGGGCAATGCCCTTGTGGTGGTAGTTGATTTACTCCGCGACCAACCCGTACCTGAACTCAACCAGACCAGTTGACCACAACTCTCTGCCAGTCATGGCCAGCGCACACGCACACTATTCCCACGGGGACATCCGGGACGATGAATCAATTCTGGACGACGATGTGATTGAAGCCGATGACGGTGAGCTCCCTCCTGCCTCCATTCTTTCCCTCCCGCTGGCTTGGTCTCCGCCCACTTTCCATGTCTGAACTAACACCGCTCGCGCTATCCCGACAGCCATCGATGCCGATGACCCTCTCAACGATACCTCTGATACAGCCCCCCTGCGAGGGAACATTCAGCCCGAAGCGTCGAGTTCCCGTGGCGCCAATATTACCGGTAATTACCTGACCTCATCGATTCCCGGCGAAGACCGGCGCGCGACCCAGAGCACCATCGATGAAACGGTGTGGGAGACGCTTTCGCGCGACTTGCGGGCGGTCTGGGAGAAGATGCGGCAGGTCTTATGGCCCAAGTACTTGATCGGTGGGATGCTGCAGCGGGGAGGAGGCGGCATTGGAGCGGCGGAGCGGGGAGAGGCCACAGGTTTCGGGGGTGGTTTGAGGAACATGGTAGGACGCTGGCCGGATGCCGATGTTGTGCTACAGGGTGGTATGAGTGAGGGTCTACGTGACTGGGATCTTTGGTGAGTTTCTCGGATGCTGGCTGGTGGCTACGGGGATGCGCCTGGGCTTGAGGGGGGAGTGCTAATGACGATATGTCCATATTTAGGGGCCCGCTGATTTTCTGTCTCCTCCTGAGTATGTTCCTGTCAATGCGCGCCAAGGGCGACCAGGCGTCGCTGGTTTTCTCGGGTGTCTTCACGATCGTGTGGATTGGCGAAGCGGTGGTGACGCTGCAGATCAAGCTGCTTGGCGGAAATATGTATGTGCTAGGTGGCTCCTGATTGGTTGTTCGATTGCTGATGCTGGATCTAGCTCCTTCTTCCAGTCTGTTTGTATTATCGGGTATACCCTGTTCCCTCTGGTCATCGCGTCGGTTCTGAGTGCCTTTGGACTCCCGACCATTGCGCGGATACCGGTGTATCTCGTGCTGATTGCGTGGTCGATGGCGGCGGGGGTGAGTATTCTGGGGGGCTCGGGCGTGCTGCGGAACCGGGTGGGCATTGCAGTGTATCCACTGTTTGTGTTTTATGTCGCGATCGGGTGTCTCTGCTTCATCAGTTAGGAACGGACCGGGACATATCGGAGGGTGTGGTGGAAGGCAAGACTCGAGGGGTGGCGGGGATGTTGGTGTTGGCGTGGCTTTCGTGTCGTATTGACTCCGAATGATTTTCCTTCTGTGTTTGTATGTTGTGCGATAGAGAACTGGCCCTGCTATGCTATCCAATGGGTCCTGCACAAGTCGTAGCTTGTAGGAGAAGAGCGAGAAGAGGGGAAAAGCGAGCGGTGACGGGGCGACCACCAAACCAAACCGAGCCCGTTCCGCCCGAGCGACAACAAAGCACTCCGTCACCCGCTTTCGTTCGCTCGTCTCGTCCAACGCTCGTCCGACGAACTTCCCCCCCCTCCTCGGACCTCCTTCTACTCTACCTTCTTTGCCTTGCGAACTCTGGGCCCTTCATCTACCGACCTCGTTGCAGTCGCCCTCCGACTTGCTGACCATCTGGCTCCTCCGTCCACCAGCTCGGACCCGACCAGACTTGACCTTCCCCTCAGCCTCAGCGCTTTGCTATCCGTGCAGCTCCCGCCAACTCACCTCCCACTGCATGCTCTAGATACGATATATCTTTCTGTGCGTAACTCCACCCCTTTGGATTTTCCAAGCTTCTTGAACGCCATTTTTCGTTCGAGCACACGTCGCACCACCCATCCCACCTACCTGCAGATAGGTTTCAACCTCGCATTGCGTACGCACCGGTGGGAGACTTGTCTCATGTATCGGCTGTCACTGTTATCAGACCTCTGCTTACCTGCAAGTGTACCAATGGACTAACATCTTCTTTTTGCCGTATGTTGCAGAATTCTATCGTCTACGTTCGGCCCCGTCTAGATCGCATGCTTAAGCGTGAAGCTTGATTTTTACAATTTTGTATCTTGGCGCGGGAATAATTCTTGAGGTTGTGGTTCGACTATAAGAAGTCTTCGTCATGGCTGCGGATGATAATCAGCGGAATGGGGGAGTGGAAGATGAGATTAAGGATAGGAAGGAGATGTTGGAGAGGCAAGGTATGTGCATGTTTGTTTTATCAATTGCGGTGGACTTTCACTTGTTGTTGGAGAGAGTTTGGTTATGCGGTGCGGTGCGGTGCGGTGCGATGACTGACTGACATTTGGGTATGGTAGCTGCGGAAGATTCGCAAGCCTCTGATAATGATGGTGGCGAGCGCCCCGTCCGGAATAAGTTAAAGCAGACGTCTATTACCTCGGCGCCTAAGGTTACTACGGAAGATGATAATATGTCGATTGGGAATACGCATGAAGGGGATTCCAGCCGGGCGAGCAGTAGGGGTAGGAAGCGGTCGTTTGATGAGGATCCGCCGGAGATCAATGAAGATGAATCCGGGCATAGACGCAAGCGGTCGCGTGACTCAAACACCGAGGAGGAGAATACGGGTGATGATAAAAAGGAAGAGAAGGTGGAGGAGCTATCGCGCAAGATTCTGAGTCCGAAGAAGAAAAGGAGTAGGGACCAGTTGGATAAGGATGAACCGAAGGTTGCGGCTGCCGGGGAGAAGTTGGCTCAGGTTACTGCGGAGGAGGCGTCGACAGAGAAGTCGGGTGTGGAGGGACAGCCTGAGAAGAAGAGACATACGGATGATTCAAGAGAAAAGGAGACGGTAAGTGCTGTGCGTGGTCTTGGGAGGTACAAGCTGATGCGCTTCGGCAGGCTCCGATTACCAGTGCGTTTGCGAATACGTCGTCTGTCTCACCGTTCGGTGCGATGGGTGCTGCGAAGTCGAAGGAAGAGGAATCACCGAAGCCGAATGCAGCCACGTCGTCATCTGCCTTTGCTGCGTCAAGTCTGGCCGCGTTTGCCAGCTCGGAACAATCGCCCTTTGGCTCTCTGGGTAGTTCAACTCCCTCCATCTTCAAGTCTCCAGCCTCGACGGACTCCCCTCAACCGGCCGCGACCGGATTTGCTGCTGCAGCTGGCTCATCGGGATTCGCTGCCCTGGGCTCTGGTTTCTCGGGATTCAGTGGTGGTTTTGGATCTGCCAAACCCGCCGGCGGCCTCACGAGCTTTGCCTCCCCTGCTGGACCTGGTATTCTGGGCTCTTCCAAGTCCTCTGGTTTCGGCGCCCCTGATGATGAGGAGGACAAGGAGGAGGAGGACGAAGAGGCAGGCGCAACCGGACCAGGCGAGTTCGAGCAAGATAAGACGGATGAGAGATTCTTCGAACGGCCGAGTAAGTGACCTGTTATGTCCCCGCCATTGTTGGGTGTGCTAACCCTGGGGGTAGTCGAGACCGGCGAGGAGAATGAGAAAACATACTTCTCATGCAAGGCGAAGCTGTTCCAGTTCACCGATAGAGAGTGGAAAGAGCGCGGCATCGGGACCTTCAAGGTCAATGTACGCGTCACCGATGGTGTGGAAGACAAGAAGGCGGCTCGGATGATCATGCGCGCAGACGGTGTGCTGCGCGTGATGTTGAACACACCCATCTTCAAGGGCATGACGGTAGGCGACGGGCAGGGCAAGGAGCCCAAGTCGAAGCAGATTCACCTGGCCAGCCTGGAGAACGACCGGTCCATTCCCATCCTACTTCGGGTAAGCCCCCCTTCGCCACTTTGGAAGCATAACTGACCAGCGTAGACGGGAAGCGAGGATCTCGCCAAGGAGCTGTACCGCGTGGTGCGCGAACTCCAGGAACACCAGTAAGGATTGGATACTCGCAAACGCACATCACAAAAGCGCCAGTAATTAGTCAATGCGACGTCTACATAGCACCTGAACCGAGAGGGTTGGCATTTTGCATTTGGGCCGAGGAGTCAGATAACTGGAGGTTGGAGCCGCGCGCATTGCTGGATTAATTGATTGACTGCTTTCTTTATAATATTTCCTTTCTATCTCTATGAGTATACACCCACCGTCATCACCTTCGTTGGCATCTCATTTCCTTCGTGTATGTTTGTTCCCTTTTGGTTAGTGGATCCGACAATTACATAGGACTTATGCTACATGGCTACTGAATGTATCGTGCAGTATGACATATTGATACTAAAAACATGACCCACACCAGCTCAATCTCAAAATGATACATAGGTAGTAGATATATGGTCCAGTCCTGTCCTGATATAGTCTAGCTTCGCATAGCTTGGCCTGTTTGATCGACACGCATGTCAGAACTCAGAACTTAACTCCTGCTTACTTACTTACATACATACGTACATACATACATACCGTAGTACCTATCAAGTAATAAGTTAATCTTATCAATTCAGACATATGTCCATTGATTAGGTGGGTATGTTGATCATGCAGGTAATACATAGATACACTTGTACTAGCTCTGTACTATTCGGTTAGTTGGACACTGAGAGTTGATGGATGCATATGATACATAAGATTCATATTTCGTATTTGGGGTTGCTATCATCGCGTGTTTGGATAGGTAGTATTTATTTTATAGGGTTTTATCTGATTTCTTACTGGTTAGAGTGGGTGGTACTACTACTGGCTTGGTGTCCGGGTGGGGGTCAGATCTGGTTGGGTAGATCTTCGATTTGGATGTTAAAGATGGTTTCCTTCTTTAGGACTTGATCATGTTAACTATTCCATTGGGGGAGGGAGGTCATAGAGATTAATTAGTCGTGTGGGAATGAAAAGCAGGCAGAACGAAGGTACAGTACCATTCTTGATGGGAAAAGATGTATAGAATGGAAAGAATGGAAGTCGTCTGAGATTTAGCTATAGTAGCCCGACCAGCACAAACAATGAGAATGACAGTGTCGATGAGAAGGTATAAAGCGTAAGGTATAAGAAGCAAAGAATACATGTATATCTACGAGGCTAGCTAATCATAAGCGAATAAAGCAAAGGGTGATTACTGTGTCTTCAGCAACCATGCCACCGCACCGATCATTAACGCGGCTAAGATGGCGGTCAGAATCCATGCGCCCGCTCGATCCCCCGTCTCGATGGGGTCCGAGGCTGACGGGTCCTTCTCATCATCGCTCGTGTCAATATGGTGTTCCGATGCGTCAGGATTTTCAGAGATGGTCTGCGGGGACTGTGAGGACAGTAACATCAGGTTGGACGTGATGCCGCCCAGCGCGCTCATCTGTACTTCCAGTCCTAATGACCCGTCCCAGGAGTCTTGGTACCAGCGGACACCGCAGAGGTTACTCATCCCGTCTGCTGTGCCGGAGCATTGCTTGGAGATGGCGGAGGCGGAGCCCTGCAGTTTGGGCACGATGCGGTCGCTGGTGGAGGGGACGAGTAGCGCCGTGAAGGCAAGCCACATGGCGACGTACCCCTTAAAGCAGAGCTGGTTGCGGTCACAAGAGAGAATGGGCTCGCAGGCGACTTCGGACAGGACTGTGCCGTTGAGGTAGGCAGCCGGGAAGAAGCGGGTGAACGTGGAGTCGAGCAGGTTGTTAACTCGGTTGAGCCATATGGCGGAGCCGTTTGTCTGAGCCTTTATTAGTATGATACTGTGTAATGCGCGGATTGGAGGCTTACGTGGTTATACATGAATGCCGCTCCAACCAGATACGTCCCGTAGTTATAGGTCCATTGGTTATTCCCCGCGTCTTTGCAGTTGGCTTCGTTAGACGTGCTGTCGGCGATATTCCACGTGCTTGTGTTGGTATTGAGGAGCGGCGTCGTCGCAGACCAGTCCCAGATCTTCTCAGCCCATTCAGCGTAGGTCTCGTTCTTGGTGAAGCGGGCCAGCCGCGCCGAGAGCTCGAACAGCCCGCCGTTCGAGATGGCATTCTTCATCGTGTACCCAGCTTGGTAGGGCCATATCTGCCAGCGCATGCCGCCATTGCACGCGGTTTCGTCCCACCGGTTGACCTGCATATTGAAGACGGCACGCGCAAGGGATGTCCATGACGGTTTGCCGGAGACCTCAGGGAAGCCGGCTTCGGAGGCGGTGATGGCGGCGAGTCCCCAGAACATTTGGTCATCATTACCCTGGACGTGTGAGTGGGGTTTAGCTGTATTAGGACGAGAGGGTACTCACCAGCCACTGACTGTAGTTGGCGGAGAAAAAGTCATAGTTCTCGCCAGCCTGGAACATCAGGTCGTGCTGGACGACGGAGTTATAGTCCTCCACTCCCGAGGCCTGCCAGAACTGGATGAGGGTCATGAACATGCTCCCCGCGACATACCAGGTGTCTGTGAGTTTTCCGGGAATGCCTTCGGTTTGATTCTGTTTGTAGAAGACCATCAAAGGTTCGGCGATGGCCTTGCCGGCGCTGGTGAGGGAGTCTGGCGGACATGCTGGTGAGAAGCAATCCAGGAGCGGTGGAAATGGGTGGAGAATGACATACCAGCATCGCCAATTTGGACATTGAGATCAGAGTAGGCCCGTTGACTGTGCAACAAGAGCAGCAGCAGGGCGCCGATGTGCTGGAGGCGGCGCATGATGGTGATGGTCTGTGGATGGCTACCACTTAGGCGGGAAGTTGCAGCCAGAGACCGACCGACCGCAGATAGACTGACGGACTGGCCGGATCGAAGGACAGCAGGCAGCCATGATGCGATAATGCCGTGGAATTTTTCAGGGGGTCGGACTGAGACGCCAAGGGCCTTGCCTCCCTTGGCACGCTCGGCCAAGAACCTTTCTTCTTGTTGTTTGGGGCGGAGGGGCCGGAGCCAGCAGTCAGGCGCTGGGCAGACTATATTTGGATCAGAGAGAGGCCAAGTGTGGACAGTCAGCAGCGAGGCACAAAGAAGGCCGGGTTGCAGATGGGAGGATTGTGAAGAACCAGCAGGATCCAGGGTCTGCGGGCAGGAGGACCCTTCCCCGGATTAAGAGGCAGCTATGATCTCCGCTAGCCAGCCCTAAGCCACTCTACCCGTCAACCGTCCCCGGCGTGAAACACGCCTTTCCTGACAATTGATCAGAGCGCTGCAAGGAGATGGCCCGCTATAATTAGAACACTCCGATTTCCAATTCTGAGGTCACCAACGTCCGAAGCGGATACTCGGTGCCACTTTCCAACTTGCATCTCTTGGATATAACAACGTCAACCCAATATCTGATCGGAGAATAATCCCACCCCGCAAAAACACCCCTGGAAAAAAAAAGAGATGTCGACCGAAACGCGGTTCGAACGCGCAACCTTCTGTGCCGAAAACAGATGCGCTACCATTGCGCCATCCGGCCATTTGACTGGTTGACTAAGACCCACCTGTGCTGTTGTTTGCCTTACTGGATCCGCTGTTTGATTGCTCTAGGTCATTCTTACTGGTTGAGGCTTTGAGTAGGCCCCCCACACCTCAGTCACTCAGTTGTTTGCCAAATTTGGTCGGTGGGTGTTCGTTCCCCTTGCGGTAATATTGCGCACGTGACAGCGCGTTTTGCCTCAGGGCCGAATGGCGCCCTCGACTCCATCCATACCGCGAATGCGAACCCTTCATAATGGGGTACCAATATGCCCGGCTCAAGAGCACAGGCAGGCCCCGCAAATGCTCCGTCGGGCAGGAAGCGAGCCAACACTGAGCCAGTGTCCGAGGATCCTGCCATATCCAACGACAGCGCGTCGACAGACCCGCCGCAGCCGAGCACAAGGAAACGCCGCAAATCTCTGAAACTTCTGGCAGAAACGTCAGAGACGGACGGAACCAATGGCGATTCCACGGCGAAGATATCTAAAGGCAAACAAAAACCGGCTCAACTGAAGCGCACCCCGTCCGCACCATGGCCGGAGGCGCTCAAAAAACTGTCCCGGACCCACAGAGCCTTGAACCTCGTGTACACGTTCTGTTGCACGCGCAAGCACTTCGCAACTACGTTTGATAACATCAAAAATGCCGTACAGGCCCAGATGCAGGGCCAGGAGTTGACCGTCGAGGATGTCGCGCGGGTCAAGGTGCTCGTGCCGCGGGCCGTGCGCTTTGAATACGTGGATGAGGCAAAGTTGGAGGTCATGACTGTGGGGGAGAAGGAGGCAAAGCAGCTGGGCTACGGGAGGGATATGCTGGGTGATGGGAGAGACTCAGAAACGAAGACTCTTCTATTTGAGCTAATAGATGGGGATTTGAAGAGGGAGGTGAAGCACCCACAGACCGGGGAACCCACAAAGCCCGTGCGAAAGATGAAGAATGAGGATTTGAAGATGCCGGTGTACAGTCAGAAGCAGATGCTAGGACTCATTGGGAAGCGGAACAAGAAGTTCACTGATGCGATTGATACCTTCCTGGTACAGTGTGAAGATGAAGGGGTGGATCCAGTTGAGAAACTGGAGAAGGCCAAGGAAGCGTGGATTCCTGTGCCTCCAGATATGGACACGGGTGTCGCTGTGTCTTCTGCTCCGCCGCAGCAAATCCCCAAAGAGCGCAAGTCAATGTCAGAGATCGTGGATGATATTCGCGAGATGGATTGGTATACGGCGCAGATTGTTCCAGAGGGACATAGGGTCTTTGAAGCGCAGCCTGCCGTTTATGGGGAGCTCGCGTTCCAGCTTTCACAGAATCTAGTCAACGCCTTGTATAACACCAAGGGCATCACGCAGTTCTATGCACACCAGGCAGAAGCGATCAACCGTCTATATGAAGGACATAACGTCATCGTTTCTACCTCGACTAGCTCCGGAAAGTCGCTCATCTACCAGGTGCCCATGCTGCACGAACTCGAAAAAGACACGGCCAGCCGCGGCCTGTACATCTTTCCTACCAAGGCCCTGGCACAGGATCAGCGCCGCAGCATGCAGGAGCTGCTTCAGTTCCTTGACGGCTTGCAGGGCACAATGGTCGAGACCTTTGACGGAGACACCCCGATGCCAAACCGGAATGTCATCCGCGACGAAGCCCGCATCATCTTCACCAACCCGGACATGCTGCACATCACTATCCTTCCGCAGGAGGGCTCCTGGCGCACGTTTCTCCAAAATCTCAAGTTTGTCGTGGTCGACGAGCTACACGTCTACAACGGCCTCTTCGGAACCCACGTCGCGCTCATCATGCGACGCCTGCGCCGGATTTGCGCAGCCGTAGGGAACCAGCACGTTCAGTTCATCTCCTGCTCGGCCACCGTGGCCAACCCCGAGCAGCACATGCAGGCGGTGTTCGGCGTCGAGGACGTCAAACTGATCGACTTCGACGGGTCCCCATCAGGTCGGAAGGAATTCATCTGCTGGAACACGCCCTTCAAAGACCCCAACGACCCGACATCCGGGCGCGCAGACAGCGTCGCTGAAACAGCCCGACTCTTCTGCCAACTCATCCTCCGTGGTGCGCGCGTCATCGCCTTCTGCCGCATCCGCAAAATGTGCGAAGTGCTCCTGCAGGCCGTCCGGACCGAATTCCAAACCCTCGACCGACTCGAGATTGGCAAGCTCGTCATGGGTTACCGCGGCGGATACAGTCCCCAAGACCGCCGGACCATCGAGAAAGACATGTTCGAAGGTCGGCTGATGGGCATCGTGGCCACCAACGCTCTCGAACTCGGCGTCGACATCGGCTCCCTCGACGCCGTCATCACCCTCGGTTTCCCATACTCAATCTCCAACCTGCGCCAGCAGAGTGGCCGCGCCGGGCGTCGAAACAAAGACTCGCTCTCCATCCTCGTGGGCGACCGCTATCCAACCGACCAGCACTACATGCGCAACCCAGAGGAACTCTTCAGCAAACCCAACGGCGAGCTGCAGATCGACCTCACCAACGACCTCATCCTCGAAGGTCACCTCCAATGCGCCGCCTTCGAAATGCCTCTCAACCCCTCCACCGACACTCTCTACTTTGGCCCTCTCCTCCCCTCTCTCATCTCCAGCCGCCTCACCCGCGACCCGCTGGGCTTCTACCACTGCCACTCGCGCTTCCTCCCTCATCCCTCCCGCAGCGTCTGCATCCGCGACACCGAAGACCAGCACTTCGCCGTCATCGATACGACCAACGCCCGCAATGTTGTCCTCGAAGAAGTCGAAGCCTCCCGCGCCTTCTTCACCATCTACGAAGGCGGCATCTTCCTACACCAAGGCCAAACCTACCTTGTCCAAGAACTCAACCCCACCCGGCATTTCGCGCGGGTCACTCGAGTGCATGTTGACTGGCACACTCAGCAACGCGACTACACGGACATCGACCCGATCGAAACGACGCTCATCCGCCCGATCCGCCCCTCCTTTCCTCACCGGGCCTTCTTCGGCACGATCCGCATCCACGCCGTCGTCTACGGGTTCTTCAAAGTAGACAAACGCGGCCGCATCCTCGACGCGGTCCCAGTCGACAACAACCCACCCATCGACATCCTCACCAAAGGCGCCTGGCTCGACATTCCCCAAAATGCCCTTTCCATCCTACAATCGCACAATCTCAACATCGCGGCGGCCATCCACGCCGCTTCCCACGCCATCCTCTCCCTCCTCCCCACCACCATCATCTCATCCCCAGGCGACGTCCGTACCGAATGCAAAGTCGCCAAAAAGGAACTCGGCCGGACGCTCAAACAAGCCTCCTCCCACAATCAATCCCTGGACCCTCTCGAATTGAAAAAGCTCCAACCCCCTGCCCGCCAACGCCCCGCCCGCTTAACCTTCTACGACGCCAAAGGCGGAGCCTGCGGCAGCGGCATCGCCGCCAAAGCCTTCGAATTCATCGATGTATTGCTAGAGCGGGCCGTGAAACGGATCGAGAGTTGCTCATGTGTCGGCTCTAGGGGCTGTTTGGAATGTGTGTGCGATGAACGATGTAAGGAGATGAATGAGGTGATGAGCAAGGCTGGGGCGGGGGTGGTGTTGAGGTGTCTGCTGGGGTGGGAGGTTGATGTCGACAGTTTGCCTTGGGGCGAGGAAGTGGAAGTTCATGCGATGGATGGCGAGTTAATGGGCGGGTTGGAGACTGTTGTTCCTGCTGTGGAGGTGCCGATGTCTAGGTCTGGGGATGGAGATGTGGATGGAGGTGGTTTTAGAGTCTAGTATACTACATTCTACGGAGTGCAGGATGAGTATGCCCGGAGGTCACGGCTATAGAATTAAGAGAAACGGAGTCGAGAGGAGGAGGAAGGGGAGGAGGAAGAGGAATGAGGGAGGCAAAAGAGGGGGGGGGGTTTATACTCGCGGGTGTTCCTCGATTAGGAAGGAGGTAGCTACTACGGGCAGCTGCCAGAACGCCAGCACGTCTCCTGCAGCCATCTCCAACCCCACACCCATTTCTAGTCCCAATCCCACTACAGCAGCCCAGCCCAGGGACATCTATCACTACGGAGTACCGCGAAGAAAAACACCGATGCGAGCCAGCGAATTCAACTCGTTCTACGGCCGCGAAATAGGAATCAAGAACTACCATTGAAACACGAAGAGCTTAGGAGAGAAAATAAGAAGGTTACGAGGTGAGCGATTCTAAGGGCAAGGTGAAGCACTCCACGAAGAACGCATGAGGATACCGATCTAGTATCAACCCAAGGGGCTACACGAAGGCTAGACTAAGCCCTCCTAGTAGTAGATACTCTGTACAGAGTACATGACCCAGTGGGCACTACTAATTTACGAGCAAAGCACGACAAGGGTTCTAATTGCTTGAACCAGAACCAAAGACTGCCATTGTGTAGAACGGTCATCCGAGTACGTACCTGTTGAACTGAATGGGTGAGGGGTCATGGTATACCATAAGGACGCACGGGCCTGTACCATTGTGGCGTAGCAAGCCGTTGGCGATTTTGGATAGCCTGGATCTGGGTGTCCGGGTTGAATTAGTCGATGAAATGTACTCCGGGCAGATGACCGCTTCACGATGGATGAAATCATCATCTTGAGGGGTAGTAATGAGTTATGTGGGTGGATGGGGGAGATAAGGCATTGTGGTTGTAGATGCACTGCTAGCGACTAAGGCGTGTGTTGAATGTTTTGACCTTGGGAGACCCCATGCGTATGCAGTTGACGGCTAGACGTTCCATACCAAGGCGCCTTTCGATCTGTCCCGTGTTCTTGGGCGGAAATTTAGCATTGTATAGCTTACAGAACGAAATAACAGTACTACTAGATGGATGTGATCTTCATGTGAAATTGCAAGAATGCATTGACTATGCTGTTTGGGTATCTAGCGTATGTATATGATCCAAGAGCTATGTAGGCATGTCAGTATGTAAGTATGGTCCATCATTGGCTCTGACTCAATCCGGGTATCATTTCTCTCATATGTACGGAGTACTGGTCATGCATCATCACATTGTCCGAGCGGAAAGACATGGCTAAGCCACGACGGAATTAGAAAGTGTGACGGTAAAGAAGGGGTGACCGGCAGGAGGGGTGGTGGAAAGGTCAGGGCTGGACGGATTCACATCAGTTCATGGGGTGTTATGCACGTGCTTAGGGCTAGGTCACAGAGGGCAGCACTGTAAGGGAAGCCTTTGTCATGAGCGTCTGCTTGTGAGACATCTCAGCCCTCCGGTCGTACAGGGAACCACGGTGACTGGTCATATTCACCGGATGTCCGTTCCCACCGAGGTGGGACTGCTCTCGCTTTCAGTGTCGTCCAGAGTGATGTTCCAGAACAGCGTCTTCATATGGCTGACGTCTTCGCGGAAGTTATCGCGAGGGTGGCTCGTGCGTTCTTCCGTCATCGCTCGCACTTCACGAATGATGCTCGGGTATCCCTCTTCATCAGGGAGCCACCAGCCGTTGATTTCGGGCTTCTGCCAAAGCGCCGCTAGGGCAGTCCGGAAGGCCGCCGCAACAACGTACCTAGGTAATTAATCAGCTACGGTGCAGCCAGGTACCGGCGCAGAGAGATGGCTCACCCGCTTTGCTCCAATTGAGCGAACTTCCGCCGCGCCCACATGATGTACCGCTCGTCCCGAGGGCAAAACATGGCGGCCATTCCGATGCTATTCTTGAACGACAGGATATACCCGTTTTCCTTCACTGGCCACCGATCCACGGCTTCCATCAACCGGGCCAGCTCCATCGAGAGAGCTCCCAGTTCTTCTACCGATGATTGTTTAACCGATAAGAGCGTCTGATACTTGTACATGGCCTTGGTGGAGTAGTAGTCGATCCACGTCATGTTGACTTCCCAGAGGGGCCCGTGATGCAATCCTCCGGGGATGTACGGATCCACAATGTCCTCTGGGGTCAAAGGGACGCGATATGGATAGTCGCGCACGGTGTACTCCGAGTTGTGGAAGGTCTCTAGGATGCCTCTCACTCGCTCCAAGGTTTGTCCCAAAACCTCATTGTGAACCATAAACTCGTTGATCGGGATCAGTCCGCGAGATAGCTTGGCATACAGTGACGCCATCTCCAGCCCAAACCGACGGTTGATCGAGTTTGCCAGCGCCAGCTGCTTCTCCACATCGCCCGGGTGCAGGGCGGCCTGCTGGGCATCATACTCTTCTTTCGCAATGTACCATTCCCGGCCCAAGATTGTCTCATTCCCGGCCAGAATCCCGGCGACCACATCAAAGCGGGCGTACCAAGTGAATATATTGCTATGAAGCTCGTTCAAGCTGGCTGATTCCGGTGTCAAAATCTCCCGCACCAAGGCGTGAGCCGCTTGATGGTGGCCAATGAGGTTGACCCAGTCCCCGATGGATTCCTGAGCAGTCAGTATGATACTGCAAAAGCACAATTACTCCGGGAAAATGTCTTACCTCAAACGTGGTGAGGACTAGCACCGTGATCAGCATGGCCTCACTATGAGGCTCACCAGAGCCCAGGGACTTGCGAAGCAGCGTCAACGCGATGTTGTAGTACTTCAGAAAGGTGTACAGCTTCCCACTATCAGTCTGAACACAACGGTGATATGCTGAAAATCCCACCACCGCATACAGCAGGGGATCATACTGCAGTGCCAGTTCGATGATACTTTGATGAACGAACCGGTCATTCGCCGGTTTGAGAAAATAGTGTCGATATGTGATGAACTCTTGATGATAAGTGAGATAGAATCGCAGGTCGTCGGCCAAATGAGTTATGCTGGGCAAACCAAACCCTGCTGGGTCGGGCAGGGAAGCGCCAACGCTGGCCGACCGAGCGCTCAACGAGTCAAATCGAGATGACGTATCTGTGGACGGTGAAGGCGAAGTACTGGCCTCGATCCGTGAGTTGCCTGGCTCGGTAGCCACAAACGGCTTCCCCCCGGGCTGCCTCAGGGACTGCCCGGTCTGTCTTTTGGGAGGGCTTGGCTTGGGCCATGTTGTTGGAGTCGGGGCGGTTGACGGTGACAGATGGGCACTCGACCCGACGCTAGTCCCATCCTCCTCCTCATCGGCGATGGGCTCCAAAACGCGAAGCTCCTCGGATCCCGCCTGACTGGAAGATTCAGTCCCGCGCAACAACGACCCTCGGGGCTTGGAGACGGCACGAGCTCCTGACTTGGACGCGCCCGCAGTGGCCGATGGATACACACAGTCACGGTTCCCTTTCCGACATCTGTCGCAGATGGGGCGGGCCTCATCACACTTGATCCGACGGGAGCGACAGGTGAAACAGCCGCTGCGGGTGCGCTTATGCTTCTTCTGGTCTGACGCGGGTTGTAGGAGAGACTGGGGCTTGGGGGGGCCCGACGGATAGGAGGCGGCGATGGCGGCGGGAGGAAGTGGAGGCTGGGGTTGCGCGGGCGGATTGTGCCAGAATGCGACGCTCTCGGGATACTGCCCGGTCCCCAGGATCGAGTAAGCCGACAGTGGGGGGTTCTGGTCCTGGAGCGATAGAAAGGAGGGCGGATAGCTTGTCAGGGGGGCCTGGGAACTGGGGTATGGAGGTGCCATGGTGCGGATCGCATCGAAGAACCCAAGCGGATGGGGGTCAAGCTGGCCGGCATCGACTGCACTCGCTCAGCACCGGAAGAATGGGCACCGATGGCGGGAAGGCCCGATCCGCATAGCAAGTGATGGCAGAGAGGGTGATGAAGGCCGAGTTCGACGGCGACAGGCGCTGATGGAGATGAAGAGTGAAGCAAACTGACCCCGGTGACTTGGCAGCAGCAGACAAAGCGGCCCGCGGAAGCAGAGGCAGCGACGCTATCAGCACAGCACAGAAGGCGGATTCCAGGGAGGAAGGTGAAAATGACGAGGAAAGCACCGTGCGATTCGGACCAGAGACAACAAGAGGAGGAAGAGAGGACACGAGGAAAAGGAAGAGAGTGTGTGAGAGAAAGCAAGAAAGAAAGAGAGAGACAGAGATTGGGGATGGGGCTGGCCGGAAGAGGCAATGCATCAATCAATGATGGCACCTCAACTTTAACTGCCGCCAGCGCTAGATGGAGTCCACGATTCCCACCTTATTCCTAACCATTTGTCTTCCGGCATTAACTCAGTTCCTTTAGCTCCGAGTCAAGCCTCCCCGAGTCCGAAGTGGTCTGGCCGCCACTTAGAGTATCGACCACCAGACTCTATAGCAGCACCCCGAGTGGGCCGCCCTGGATCGGAATGATCGTCCACCGATGCACCATCTACATAGATAGTATCTAGGTCTTTCGGGGGATCGTATAGAACATACTATATCTAGTATCTTAAACGCGGGCTGCAGAGCTGATCGCCCGCCGAAATTTCTATTCTTCCACCATCTGGCCCCCTCGGGCCTCTTGATCCCCTCACGACTATCTACGGATAAGTTCATGACCAGGCGAAATCTCCCTCCCACCAAGAGCTTCAGGCACGAGAGTTGGGGATGGTTTCCTCCCCGCTTAGCGGGGACGGCTTCATCCTCAGGAGGTTCAGCCACCTGCTCCTCCCCAGCGAAAATCGAAGCCATGGTTCCATGACTTCCACGGGCTTCCGCGGAAACACAAAGACCATAGCATTGTCTCAAATAAAGTAGAAGCTAGTATGGAGGACCTTCGCTGCCGTCGTCATGATTCAGGTGCGTCCTTCCAGCAGTTTGGGACTTCCGGAGCCATGGGTGGGTGGATCCGCCCGGTTCCGGGAGACACCTTAACAGCCACCAGCCCAGAGACCGAGCGAACGACTCCTGAGTCCTGCTGAACCCGATGGCTCATTCATCAGCCGGGCGTCTGCACTCTGCAGACTCAACTAGCGATATCCCTGCGCAAATCTCCAGGTGGCTCGCCGGCCGACCGCTGACTTATGAGGACATTGAAATCGTAAAACTGTCCACAGCTGGAAGCTTATACGAATGCGGATCGCATTAGCATTCATAACAAAGTACACTTTCCACCATCTCATCTCAATCGGGGTGGGATGCGGTCAAACCTTCTTTGATGGGCCAGCAACCACTGACGCCGTAGCATTCCAGCGGACGACTCCGCCAGCCCCAGCACGGATCCACTTGATACCACCAGAATGCCCTCGGCTAATCTGAAACTGCCCTTGTCCAATTACACTCCCCGATCTGGGAAATATTTGCCGAGACGTTCGTCCGCCCGTGGAGTCGGAAAAGGTCTAAACCAGCCTGGGGTCTCCGTCTGTCACTGGGGAAGGGTTACGGAGTATAGAAGCCGTTAATATAGCCGGATCTTGATAGCAGCTATCGTCGGGCCAGCGGGGAAGGCTGGAGGGCAGCGAAGTTGAGGTGCGCTGACTGTCCCCGTCCGCCCTTTTCTCAGAACCGGTCGTTGCGTCGTCAGCCAAGGAGCCAAGGGATGGTCACCGCGACGGCGTGGCCTTGTCGCTGAGAGGCAAATTGGACTCGGGTCAGTCGGATGTTCCTGATCGACACTGAGGGTTTGACAGCTGAGCAGGCTGTGTCCTCCGCTGGTGACTGGTCGCCGTCCAGCCCACCTAAATAGATCTAGGCTGGGGCCACCAATCTAACCCGGCACTGGGCGATTCTGACGGCCCTAGTCTGCCGTAATCATTAATCATCTCGTCCTGCATCGTGTCGTTGCGGCCCACACATGCCCTAATCCGATATAGCCTTGTAGTCCCATGTCAAAAAAAGGGAGTAATAAGAAAAAGTAAAAAAAAAAAAAAAAAAAAGGAAAGGAAAGGAGAGGAACCACGACTCTGGTACTCACTATTTCCCGGGTCTGGTACGCTCTGAAGGTAACGTGGCAGGGGAGAAGGTTTGGTGAATCTTGGTGCCGACGGTCGCATGTTGGCCTCCATCCAGGTCACTCATGATCAAACAGGCAACCACCACGAATTGCGGACTGAAAGTAGCTATGCACCCCTCTCAAAGAAGCTAGGGGTACGGAGAATATGTGGGAATACCCATGTGGACAGCACGTTTGTTCTTCGTGCCTTATGGAGGGTCGGCCAATCTGGAATCATGATTTTTATCAAGGTGTGCCGAAGACGGACGGCATTCATTTTCCACTGCAGAAGCGCCATGGGGAATCTGGACCTGATCTTGGTGACCAACGCCACCAATCAAGGAGACTAGGGAAATTGAACGTACATTCCTGGAGCCTCGGGCGGCTGGACAGACGGAGGTGTGGATGACGGAGTCCCCCGTCTGTGGGAAATGAGGCCCATACAATGATTGCTCATAGGCCACCCAGACTAATAACTGACTATCTGGTCCATCAGGGCGATCCCTGCAGTTCCCCGGCAAGTAAAACGGCAACGATATCCTTCTTTCTCCATGCCGGTGATAATTTTGGATGTTCTTGTTGATCACTAGCTATGAATAGAGTGATTATCCATATGATTTTGCGTTGCTGCCCCCAAACAGTCCAGAATGATGAGTGAACGGCAGATATTGGCCAGAATAGGCTTGCATTCACCGCATAAGACGCCGACAAGAAGGGAGTGGTCCAAGCCAAGCGTCTGGCGTATGGCATGGACCGCGGGCTTTCTAGTGCTCGGGGAACACAATCGGGGTTCCCCAGTGACCCAGAAAATCCGGCCAGTTTGTACTCCGTAATCACAGACAGCTCCACCGCGGAGTTCTGCCGTCGCTGCTGAGTAAATTAATACATGGGCTTGTGGCGCGTATGTACAGGCTATCAATCAGCCAACGGTTTTCGATGGGCCTCTAGCAGGGCAAGGATCGATGTCGCAGCACTAGAGGCTTCAGGTTGTTTGCCCTTGATATACAATATAGACAGTTTGATGTAGACTTTGTGTAACTCGCATTGTAAGTACCCAATCAATGATGTTATCTTCTCTCCACTCTTCTTGTCACTCTGCGTCCGGGATCTATGGTAGAGCGGCGAGAACCGCTGTAGCTACCAGGAGAACGCCAGCACCGGGCCGGAAGCCGGAAATTTGCCTAGTTGAATTGGCTACTAAGGAACCCTGTTTCTGATGAAGGCAGGCAGCGAATGGGGCGAGTGAGGGTAAGGGGAAAGGGTTCCGTGCTAGTACGGTGACCACTAGAAGATGCATGGGGTCAGAATCTGTCTCATGGTTCTATAGCCATACAGCAATCAGCTAAGTGGAGCCAACGCGCATACCTTCCTAACTCAGGATAATAGACGCCATTCCGCATGTCCACTTACGATGCTACCTAGTGCATGCTTAGCAAGGACCACAGTAGAGGTACTTTGCTTGTCGGGGAACGGAGTGGTCGTGATGCAAATCAGCCGTTAGATCTCCGTCCTGGCCTATCAGGGCGTGGGCCCTCTGAAACCTGAGGGTTTTGTCCCACAGTATAGTGCCATCTGAGAGAGCTCGTGACGAGCAGAAAAAAAAAGATGAGAAAGTGAAGAGCCAGGAGATGTGTAAGTGCTCTGTTTTTATTAAGTGCCCTAGAGTGAAGTCCTAGACTGAAAGGCATCTCGGATGAGGCCTCATGCAGCTAAACTAAGTAAGCCTTTCAGTTAAACAGTAGTAATGACCGTTGACTAGATGGGTAGTATTGTGACCTCATGGGAAAAGTGGAGGGGACCAGGGAGTGGGGAGACCAAAAAGGGTGGAGACGAGGCATGGCATGACTTCGAATCACGGACGGGCCCTTGAGGGTGAGTAAACTCAGTAAAGATTATTCTCCTGAGAAGGAGTCAGCGAGTCGATCTCTAGTGAATTTGGCCGATCTTGACTGTGGCCACGCCCCAGACAGGATTTTCGGGATCAGAATGCGTGTAGCTGCCGATGTGCTACTCCCAACATGGATGTAGGAGAGGTTGACCCTCGTCTGCCAGTCGTCCGAGCTCGTCGGGAGGAAGCTCCCCATGTGACTTCCCTGTGACCGGCCGTTTTGGCACTGTGACGTGACCTTGTACCAATACATGGGCCTTGTTGTTGGGCCTACTGCACTGGCAGGGAGTTATACCAGGCCAGCAGAAAGATAAAAACGACTCAGGGATCAAAGACACCAATCAGCCAAAGCATCCACGTAAAAAAAATGCCCCCAGCAGGATTCGACTAGCCAACAAATACTTGGCGAGGATATTGGTTCCAGTCGGGGCCATGTTTTGCACCAATTGACTTTGCTGTATCTGGTCATCCGATAGTACGCCGCCACAGGTGCCTTCCGATCTCTGTATCATTCAACAAGAGACAGGATCCCATCCAACTGAGTCACAGCATTTCACTCTGAATATTTCCAGAGAAGCTGAACCATCTCACTCACAATGCACACCTGATGCTAGATTCCATATGAGTATGAATGGTGTATTGGAACTATACGCATCCCGGAGAAAGCGGCATTGTTTCTCCCGCGGATATTATACGTCTCATTTCATTTATGGTATCAATCATGGACCAAACGCCCCACCACTAATCACCTCTACCTCCCCTCCTTGACCTCCTGGATCGTAAGCTGCACCCCCTCAATGACTACCCCCCACTCAACCTCATGTACCTTCTGCTCGAACTTATGCAGATCCTCATCCTCCCCCTTAACAAAGGGAATTTCTCTCACCAGAATCGGGGTCCCCATATCCACCTCCGAAATGACCTTATGAATCATGACTCCCGTCTTATCGATCTTCCCCTCTAGCCAAGCGGCATGCGCGCGCTCAATAGCATTCTACCCACCCCCATCTGGTGTCAGCAAACCTTCCCCCAGTGGCCTTTAGATAGAATAGAACCTACCGCGCCATTAAACGCACCGGGCAAAGCCGGGTGCAGATTGATAATGTTAATTTTGGCCTCCTCCAACGGCTCCAGGAACCTTGGCGAAAGGACATGCATGAAACCCAAACAAGCAACCATTTCCGGCCTATCGGCCAGCACCAATCGGGCAAGTTCGGCGTCATACTCTTCGCGGGCGGCCTGGACGCCCTCCGGTGTGGCGGGGTGTTGCTTCTTGTACTTCACGAGGTTATGATATTGCGTGGGGATGTTGGCCTGTCGAGCCCGCTCGAGACCATACGCATCCTTGCGGTTGGAGATGACTCGGACAATCTGGGTTGAGAGTTGCCCTTGGAGGGTCTTGTCGATCACTGCTTGAAGGTTGGAGCCGTTGCCGGAGATGAGCACGGTGAGGCGCACGGGGGTATCCATGGTGGTCTTGATTCTATTTCTTCTCTTCGTTGTGAGCGTCGGGTCCGGATTCGAGCGTGGGTATTCGATGTCGGCGGTTTATCGCGTAGCGGGGTAGGACTGAATTTTTTTTGAGGTTTCTGCATGTAGATGCTCAGTAACGTGACCCAATTGGCCCACCGAGAGGATTATTTGCGCACCAGGGGCCGGACTGTCTCTCCAATAATGACTCGGGAAATTGACCGAAGAAAGTCGGGATTCAAGGCACATACAAGCTTCGTGCTGAGCCAGTGAATTGCAGGACGCGGGGTGGTCGACGGCGGTGGGCTGAGTCAGCGGACGGGCGGAGATGCGGGCCTCCAGGCCGGGGATTGGCTCCGCTCCGCCAGTGGGAATGGCGTTGGTCCAAGCGCATGCCTGGTCTCAACGACGTAGTAGTACACGGTCCGCAGGAGGTTTGGGGTGAAGCCGGGTTCCTAACCAGTTGTATTCAACTAGAACGCACCAAGCCAAATGCTAAGAGCCACCAGAGTACTGAACGGAGAGGGGAATAATACAACAATATAAGACCAGTAGAGACCTCGAATGTCCGAAGATATGTCACATAACAGAATCCTATGCACTCGCACGCAAGCCCTCCAATTCACAGCATCCTGCAATGAGCTTAAAATGCACCGCTCTACCATTGCGTCACGCGTAAACCGCCGGATTTCCCGGAGGACCCAGATTCCAAGGATCATAACCAGAAGGAACCGCCTGCATAAGATAGACAAAAGTAATCGCCGTGCCTGCCATCCGTAAAGGGCCAAATCAGCTAGTAAAAGACATTCGTTAGGGTATGAGATAGACGCTCCATGCTAAGCTTCAAGCAATTCAAGGTTAGTTAAAAAAAGATGATGTATCGGCGGAGAATAACTAGCGTAGCACACATTAACACGCTCACGCGGCTGCAGCGTTAGGCGCATCTGGAGTAGGTCGGGTATTTGACGTCTCAGCTACACCTTGCCCCCGACAAAGAGGGCATGAATTGCGACCCGTGGTCAGCCACTAGGGAGAAGTCAGTTGGATCCGAAATTTCTTATTGTTAAAGAGATAAGCGAACCTGGTCTATGCAATCTCGGTGGAAGAGATGCTTGCATTTAGTCAATTGCCGAAGCTCCTCTGCCACCTCATAGTCACTGAGACAAATCAAGCAACGCTCGCCTTCGGGAAGTTGGATGGTGCCAGCGCCTTCCAACCCTTCGGCAACCAGCGAGCCGGCATACTCTACGAGACGGAATATCCCGCCGGCTGTAGAAAGATCCTCCTGGGTGGCAACGGGTGGCTTGACAGGGCCAAGAAGAGAAGAGAGCAAGATCATATCTTCGTACGTTGGGTTCTATAGCCGCGTTAGCTACAGACCATACCAACTCACTAGGTATTCTTACGTCAGTGAACAAGCTTGGCGTTGCAAAAGCAGGGTGGTTCTCAGAGAGGTTAGTTCCGACAACGTAAATTAGCCAGCTTCGGCCTGTAGAAGGTGCAGCACTGTCGGGTTCCACAACACCGTTGCGTCTAACGGCACCGGACCCAAGATCACGATGGCGCGCATATTCCGAGTCACTCCGGCGTCGCTGGCGCGTGTTCAGCGGAATACCGTCTTCGACGGGATCGACCGTAGGCTGCATTGGCCGGCCGGGGTCAAGCTGGGGCAAGGTACTTGGTGACATCGCCGATGCAGTTGATGGCCTTCGGCTGGGAGTGGATGCACTAGATGATACGGTTGACAATCCCGGTTCGGCTGGCGTTGACGGAGGAGGATGAGGACCTGGAGGGCTTTCCGAAAGCAGAGAAGGAGCTGTAGAGAGTGAGTTTAGTGGAACCCGGGTGCCCATCTCAGACAATCTCGGTAATGGTGTAGGGACTCCTTGTTGCGTGGAAGTGTAACCACTCGCGTTGGGTCCGCTAGGGGCTTCACCATGGATCCGAATGGGTGGGAGCATTGGCCGGCTCTCGGGACGTGGTGGGAATCGAGGACGGCTGTCGGGGTTGCGTACAAGGTTTCCCGGCGTCAGGAACGGTAGGCGAAGCAGGGCGTCCAAGCCAGTTCCCGGGTTACTAGGCTGATCTGCGCTGGGCCCATTTCCTGATGGGACTGATCTTACCCCCACCACAACCAGAGTAACAGTACGCCCCTCTGGCCCATCGGTAGGATTGTCCACATCCATACCACCGCCGTTCCCATCATTCTCAGAATCTGCCGGGGAGCGATTCAGCGGAGCAGCGGGGCGAGTAGCATCCGAGTTAGCAAATCGGAAGACTCTGAGGAAGTTGACCGGGGTCGGGGGCCTATTATCGCCTGCCACATTCCCTGTATCATTCGGTGTTGTCTGGGAGGAAGTAGCATGTTGTAAACTTTGTATAAAATTCTCCAACGAACCGTCGAGGCCATCGTTACCCAGGGCCTGAATGTTGGGCATGGCTGGGCCAGTTGTGCCAGAAAGCTGGGCAGCGATGGCAGTGGCGGCCAGCTGAAGGACACGCGACAAAGGGGTTTGTTCCTCCCGACGCATTGCCCGGGATGGCCTTGCTCGCAACAACCCCGGAAACTGCCGTAAACCAGGCGGGCCTTGCGCAGACTGCGAAGACATAGGTGAGGTAGGGCGTGTACTGCCCACAGCAGGCTCCACAGAATCAAGTTCATGGGGCTCGTCGAAGTCCATCTGGCTATCCATTGATCTCGGGTAAGGAATGAAGCCTTCAGGGTCCTCAGTAGGCACCGGGTCTAGAGGCGGCCGTGGGGTTGGTCCTGGTTCCGACATATTCGAAAGGGATTGGCCGAACATGTGGCCGATTGGTCCTGACAAAGAATTCCGGACACGATGCAGCCTAGCACTACGGCGCCAAGAGCTTCGCGTAGGTTCAGGAGCGGTTTCAACCGCAGGCTCAAGAAACGTGCCGGAGTGAGCGGGATCCGACGCGAACGAGGGGTCATTGCGGGGAATGAAGTAAGGCCCACGTAGCGAGCGTCGTCTGGATACATTCCTCGAGCTCAGAGAGCTGAATGGGCTGAAGCGAGCGCTACTATGCGTAGCTTCAGATCTCGGGATCGACCTAGACACAATCCCATGACGGTGAGCGTGACCTTCCGCAGGCGTTTCTTCTTCACTGCTCAGCAGGCCACGAATGACCGAGTTCGGAAGGATCCTGGACCCCAACCGCGACATCGTGGACTGCCTCCTTGCAGCCATTCGGGCAAAGATGGCTGATCGGTATTCCCGCTGACCTGGCTCATACTGGGGGTCGTGTTCCTCCTGTATAGTTCTCATTTGCCGTTCCTCATCGACGGGAACACTAGGATGCCATATTTCGGCGGTGGGATTTAATTGAGCGGACCCTATCGGAGTCGTCTGTGTACGGTCATTGCCTAGTTCTGTTCCCGACTGGGGTGGATGATCCCCAGTCTGCTCCGAGTTGTAGCCGTGATTCATTGCTTCATCCCTATTGATGCGAGCACGATTCGCGTGAAATGATAAGAAGTGTTCTGGCGGGGTACTGTGGCGACGATTTCGTTGCGTAGAGGAAGACTGTCCCATAGTAACAACAACGCAAGGACGTGGCGAAGGGAGTCTATAAACCGCCTATTGCCATCGAAATATTGATGACTAAAGGTACAACTAACATTAGTAAGATGGTACACAGCAGCGACTCACTTCAGGCACAGATCGATGGGCAGAAGTGAGGGCAGGGAAGTTGCGGCCAGGAACAGATGAAGCGGTAGTCGATAAGACAAATCTTCCAGGCGGCACACTCGGCAACGCCACCAAAAGAGGTCCGACTCCTGAGGACCCTGCAACCGTTTCTGGCAGAATCAGGACGGACGTACCATTGGACAGCTTTAGCAAAACAACATCAATCCAGTCCTTGGCGGAAATGTACTCGGGTTCCGTTCGGGGATCAGGGAGGTTACTGCGGGCGCGCGTTGGGGTAAACGTGCCTGATCGCACCGTGTGGTAGGCCGTTCGGGGTCAAGGCTGCTGCGGCCGAGAAGGCTGGGCAATGGGAGATACTGCGAGACGGAGGGTCGAGAAGAGCGGATTATCCTAGTAAAGAAACCGCTATGCGCCTTGGGAATCTATCTGAAAGCCAGCCGGCAGGTGCCGATCCTTTAAAAGGGAGCCACGAAGGAGAGGACGTGTGGTGGGATTAACGCCGTACGACTTTCGGGGGGAACCGACCCCACGACTAACCGGGGACTGAGACGGTGGTGGTCGAGACAGTCGCCAGCCACTCTCCTCCAATGGAAGAGGATGAAAGGGAGTAACAAGAAGGGACGTATAAAGAGCCCGGGGGCTCGGAGCGATGATAGCGTACAACGGGACCAGGCGACGATGACGATGATGACGACGATGGGGGAGTGAAGATGAGATGGATGATAACAGTTGGTGTTGGTTTGGCCGCTGGTCGGGCGGTTTTGGTTCGGCTTGGCTTGGGTTGCTTACTTGACCTACAGTAGCCTAGTCGTTCCCTGTGGAGTGAAGGAGTCCTGCGTAATTTCGTCTGGTTGGTCCAGATTCCAAGACGATCTTGCCCGTGATTCTAAAGACCCTGGAACGGCTTAGCCGCCCGGCGGTTTCGGTGGTTTCGTCTGAGCTGGATCCAGTCTAGCGCCCAACGTGTTCAAGGCCGGCCTCATTTATGGCACCGCTGATTGGCTGGCGGATCCTGACGGACGGCCTCAGGTTTCTGCCTGGATCTGCTGGATTTTTGGACATGTCCCGCGGGCCTTGTCTATCTCCGACTTTACACCTCTTGTCTGAGACTCTGAGTGTTATTACTGGTCCGGAGTCGGTTCTGAAGCACGGCCGGGGAAATCTAAAACAAACACTGAATATCCCCCATGTGGTGATTCCCGTTGTCAATCCCCATGGGACCTCCTCGAACAACAACCCTCCTCTTCCCGGAATAGGCCGTCGGCTCTTTGATCATCCGGGCCTCTATGGCCTCTGTTCCTGCAGCATCGGTCTTCTCTTTGCCACTCACGCCATGGCAACAACCCTCTAGTGTGCGCGTGGCTCAGTATGAACCTAGGAAACGCAAGAAGGATCTTGGTGACTGGGGTGACGACGATAACGATGTCGACGGAGACACAACCGATGCTGCATCGGAGGCAGCTCTTCCAGGTCCGTCACTCACTTTGTCCCCGGATGAAGCTCATCAATATCGCATTGCTGGCCTTTCCTTCGACCAAGAATTACCAGGGGGAAATTTCCCGCATGCCCCGGTGAAGGATCCACCAACTCGCTACCAGACACGGAATCAGGTTCTGAAAGAATTGACCTCCCTATCATCTCCAATCTATCCTCCCCAGTCTGCGGCTCATCAGGGAAACCTTCGTCTACAGCATCTGGCCGTGCTGTCTTCCATTCTCCACCGTTGTCTCCTTCAGAAAGACTTCATCCGAGCAGGAAGAGCGTGGGGGTTGATTCTCCGCGAAGAGGTTGGGGGTACTCCAGTTGACGTTCGCGCTGAAGGAAGATGGGGAATCGGGGCGGAAATTTTGCTCCGACGTGGCCGTCAAATCTCGGACATGACATCTGACAATATGCAGGAGCGTGATGCAGGACAGTCTGCAGCACCGTCTTCTACATTACTTTTCACGATGGAAGGATTTGAAAATGCCAAACAGTACTATGAAAGGCTCATTATTCAGCACCCGTATCGAAAAGCTGCTCCCGATGCCATTAGTTCTTTACATTTCTACCCTGCCATGTTTGGACTCTGGATATACGTCACGCAAGAGGAAAGCAATGTTTCTCGGCAAAGGATCTGGGATACTCATGGTGCTATTCCTGACGACAACTCGGAGGATGAAGATACTGCGGCCGAGCTGCAAGGTCGCGCTAGCTCCAGGCAGAAAACAAATGCGATGATTGCCGGTGTTAGGAAGAGCGAGCTGGACCAAGCACAAAAGATCGCTGCCAGGATGGATGAGATTCTCGGGTCCCCTCCATATTCTGATTCTCCGGAGTTGCTGGAGATTCGAGGAATGGTGTCACTCTGGATAGCTGATCTTTTTGTCTCTTCATTACCTTATAAGCAGGAGGATGGATATATGAGTGATTCCGATTTTGATGACGGCAGCTCGGAATCCGCAGACGATCTTCAAGATTCACTCCAGGAACGGCGGGAACGCCGGCTTGCGATCGAGAGGAAAGAGTCCGAGGTGCAGAAATCTCAGGATTATTTTGCGAAAGCCAAACAGCGTGGCAAGGGGGTTACCTCTACTTTGGGAGACTTGCATATTGATGATGATGCTTCATTTGGGTATATAGATTGATTTGAGCGAGGGGATATACATATCTTGTTTGAGGTTACATGAATAAATCTACTCCAATAGTCATTGTACCAGTCACTCTTGGGATCCTTTTTGGCGCTGAATTATTCGTCCGTAAATACCGCATGACTTGTCAATTTACCCCTGATTTTGACCTCAATATTGAGAAAACAGGGGAACTGGCAGCGATTGATGCCCATCCTCCCACGTGACCTCGTGGATGCCTCGCGTGCCTGAAGATTCAACGCGTTGCCAAATTCGACATCCTCTCGGCGCCAGCAATTCGGGGAACTCAGAACCATGACTGGAACCACCCGTCCTAGATAACAAATGTAATTCACATGTCAATCAGAATCGGTCCAGCATACACCACAGTTCTACCCCCTGCTGTTGTTTGTTGAAATCTTCCTTTTCGTCTCCTCACCCCGCTCCGACTCGGGTAACCATGGGAGTGGGCGATTATGTGCATGCAAAAGAGGCTGGCCACCCTCGACCACGCACAAATGATGTCTCAACCCAGTCCCGGCAAGCTCTAGCTGCACAAGCAAGGGTTGAAGTCCCTCCGATAAATCTGGTGGCGCCGGTGCCCCTGCCAGTCAACAAATCAATCCCTTTGGAGCATTATGGAGCAGCGTCTTTTCCCGAGCAGATGCCTCAGGCGCCCGCGGAAAATGCCGTGCATAGAGACATGTTCGACACCGACGTGGAAGGCATCGAGGATTCCACCATTGCGGCGACAAGTGTCATCGGAGCAGAGGATGTCCCAGTCCAATACCAATTACGACCCGCCACGATTCCCCAGTATCAAGCAGCGCCGGTGGAGGAGAGGCCGCTGCACCCGTCTCGACTGCCACGCCGTGCATACGATGGCAAGTGGTACGAGAATCTCGGGGACAAAGCTATGAAATCGGCCGGATTTGATTCAGAAGACGCCGATGACGCAAGCCAACTGACCTCTATGGCTGGAGATGATGAACGATCTGATACGACCGAGGACGGAAACTATGCCAGCAGATACAGATCATCGACCGAGGAGCCTCTAAGCAAGCGCCTGCAGAACTTCTGGACTGCTAGCAGAAGATCCTATCAGAATCCTGAACCCATCGCATACCCAGAGCCATCGAAAGGTCCTCCTCCCAATCAATCAACATCCGATGTCCTAATGACTAGTCAAGTTCTACCCAACAGAAAAGTCACACTCCAACGCAGCATGACCGCAACTCCACGGACGCGCTTCAGCCCACCCAAGCCGTCTCTCCTCGAGCAGTTGGACCTAACCCCTACGCGGCGAGCCTCTGGGCCTCGCCCACAACCCGGCAAGGAGACCGGGATCACCAGCACCACCAACCATCGCGAGAGCGAAGACGATAGCCACTTATTCGGGAACGGACATGGACGACGCGACAGTCTACCACCACTAAGCGCCTTCGACATGACCAACATCGACGATCTGGACGACGATGATGACCCAATCAACGACCCATTCGCGCGACGCGGCTCCGTCCAACGCATCATCCCCTCCCCCAAACCCCAATCCAAGAAAAGACGAGCCATCGAATCAGACTATCCCACAGACGTACTACGCCAGAAATCATTCAATGACCTCCAATCAGAACCCTTCGATCAGACACCAGCCGCAGCACCCGCCGAAACCAAGACCACTACTGTCTCCAACTCCACCCCAGGACCCAAAGCCACGCCAGAAGACAAAATGTCTTTTCTTCTCAACTCAACCGACCAAGGCCTCCGGGACTTCTTCTCTACCCTCTCAATCGACACTTGGGAAGACTATGGTGACCTCTTAATCGACCAATTCAGCGACGCCCTCTCCAAAATGAAAGATCTGCGCCACGCTCGGCGGAAAACCGCCACGATGTTCGAGGCCGAGATCCGCCGCAGAAATGAAGTCGTTGAGGAACAATCCGCTGATCTGTCGCGGAAATTCGAAGAGATGCGAAGCGGAGGTACGGAGGTTCTCCGTGGCCGTACTCCTTGAACCTCTTATTATAAGAGAATGGCTTTGAACGTCATGCATATTTTTCTAAGATTATGTATACATGATCTGCATCACCCTCTCTGTTTACGAATCCCATAATTGTTACTTCTTTCTCAGATATAATTTCTCATATATTGTGTTGAAATTGTGCCTGTCTGTATCTGTTCGTTCTTGTTCGAGTTTTCAGAGTTACGAAATAGAGCTTACGTGAGGATGACCAAATGATGCCAGTGTTGTTTGTATTTGCCAATAAGTCGTTATATTGACTCCTGTTACTTTGTGTTCTTCTCAAATCCCTCTGTTAGCAATTGTCACTATACCCCCGCCGAATTCATTGTTTGAAAAAAACTGCATTTGATTAAGTACTAGCACTGCTAGCGATGCCTTTCGACCCAATGGCTGAAAATGCAAGACATGAACCTGAACACTAAACACTGAACACCAGCAGTGATCTACAAATTCAATGGTAAAATGAAGAACGAGCGGTAAATCGCCACGGAAATACGGCAAACAGGAGGGGGTAGTATGAACAACCATGTGGGAATCATGTGCCTTGAAGAAAGAAAAGCGAAGCTTCAACTCAGGCAGAGCTTTGTTTGGACAGTGCTGCAGCAATGCGCTTGTAGTCCTCTAGCAAAACAGATACGTCTCCGATTGTGAGCTCGCTGGCGTTTTGCATTTGGAGGAAACGGTGAATAGGCGGGTCAACCCGCTCGACCCGCTCAACCCGGGGCGGGGCAGTGGGCACATTCGAAGACGATGCCTCGCGCGAGAGGATCGAGGCTCTGATTCTCTCGGTAGGAGTGTTCGGAGACGGCATGGGCCCAGGGGTGTCAGGAGTGCCTGGAGCGGCACGTCCAAAGTTCCTGATCATGCCGGGAATGTGATTGAGCGGGTTGAGAGTGTTCCCGAAATTCCGCATCGATTCCAGTGGCGTAGTAGCCAGCGATGCCGTGCTTGCCGGGGAAACCTGGGACTCTTCTTTCTGCGGGCCCTGAGAAATCGTGGTTTTCCTGGAGCTGCCTTGGGTCCTAACGCTGTCCACACTCCGATCACGTGGAGTTCTCTGGCCACTAACCAGCCCTAGAAAAGTATCCTCTGCTTTGGATCCGATGCGCCTCAATGGAGGCCGATCGGCGGGACGAGCCTCTCTGGCCGAGTTCTCGTCTTGGCTCAGATTGTTCCCAGTAGATATGGGGTTCGTAACCAGACGTCGAGCGTCTGCCAACGTCTTCGGTAAGACCGGATCGTTTCCGTCTTTGGCAGGGAACTGGTTGGACTGCAGCTCTTTAAGGCGGCCAAACAGGAAATTAAAACTGGTGTCCAGGGACGCCCCAATGTTCTTGAGTCCCTGGTCTGCGGTGTTACGGACAGCATCATTAGCAGCCCCGAGTACCTTTGCAGGCGGCTGGAAAAGATTGTTCAGCCGCCGTTGTTGAGTGCTTGCTGACGACTGAGGTCGGGGCAGACTGCCAGAGGCGTCTTGCCCAACTGGTTTCGATAGTTCAGGCGAGGCTGTCACTGGTGTAACCGACGATACTGCTGCTTCCTTGGAGGCGTTAGGGGACTGGAGAGAATCATTCCTCCCAGCCGAAGTCGAATTATCATTGGCTGCCTTAGTCTGGCCCTCAAAGGCTTCCTCCCCGCGGAGTTCAGAGAGGTCTACATTTTCGAGAAAGCTAATAGCCGCTTCAAGGTTAGTCAAGCAATATGCGGTTTCACCGTCTATTTTACTAGACGACCTAAACCGCTGGATGAAGAAGAGATTGCTAATGATGTTGATCCCCTCAGGAGGACAGGTGACGAGCGAATAGATCAGAGTAGGCAGGATTTCATCAGCAGAGGAAGAAGACGGCAGCAATTTAGTCAAGGCGTCAACTATTGCCTTGTGTGCGGCGGCAAGCTGTTGGAGTTTGCCTAGAGGATACTTGTCATCGTTCATTTTCGCCAGGCATTCTCGTGCAGCAGAAAGACATTCATCTGCTGCTTTCTGCTTCTCTTCATCGATTGCACTGATGTCGAGATCAACACCGAGATCCTTTAAGTTAATGCCAACTAGGGAGAGCGCCGCTGTCTTGGAGCGCAGCTTCTCGTCTCGGATTTCATCCAGAGTGCTATTATGCCTCCATATTTTGTCGTAGATAGTCTCACAAGCTCTCCGTTCCACGGCTTCTTCTAAAGCAACACGTTTGGAAGCAAGATGCTTACGTGCAATCCTCTTCTCCGTGACCTCCGACGCTGTCAACATTTGACGGCCATCTGAGCCTTTGTTACTAGACTTTCCCTGCGTGGCACGGAATGGAGAAGGATCGCGGTTTATTCGAGACGCCAGAGCAGAGATATGAGTGGCTATGTGGGATTCCGCTCGAACGTAGAATTCTTGGAAGCGACTCGAAACTCTTTCGATCGTGGGGGGAGAGGAGTGTACCTTGGCAGTAAGCGAGTGGACAAATCTACCCGCGATAATGTTAGCAGCCCGTTAACGAGCATTTAGGAGAGGAGGGGTAGGACTGTACCTGTCTGTCATACTTGCGAGCTCAATCGGTAGCTCCTCCGTGTGACCCTGACTGCCCCGTGAAAGCACCGAGATCTCTTCAGCCTGCTGCCCATCGTCGCCCAAGTCGGAAGAGCCTGGTTTCTCGAACAGGTCGGGGCTTTCAACCCGTTCCTCATCAGATGTCGACAAGGATAACGGAAGGGCCTCGGCATCTACCAGTTCAGGTATTGCCACAGACTGAACGGTCTTGGCTCTGGAGCGAACGAAAGGGCTCGTATCGGGCGAGTCCATTCTTGGGAACGAGCGGGCCGTGTGTAGGCGCGGCTTCCCAGCGCCATTATCCGGAGCATTGGTGGACATGATTGTATTGATGAAGAAGTAGGTATGAATCAGTCCGACAGTAAGTTGGCGTTTGAAGTCCAGGTGACCGACGCATGCAGATCAAGTATGTATGGGCCCAATGCGTATACTGCATAAATGACACCTGGAACTTCGGTCCGGAAACCCCCAACCAAATGGACAGGGTCAGGGTGAGCGGGCAAGAACAAGGTCTGGTGGAATTAGTTGTTCGAGCCAAGCATGGTGAACGACACCTCGCAGGCCAGGCTTCGCAAAGCGGCAAGAGTCCACTATCGGAGGACCGGATCGAGAGGTAGTCAACAATTGGCACTAACTCGGAATGCAATGATGCGCAGCGGGCGGAGTAAGCCTCGGAGAAACCAGTGTCACACGCCGATCACGTGCGGGAGGCCTACTAATCACTTGATGCGTCATTCACCGCCTGGCCGATAAGTGATCATTGCCCTGCTGGGGGTGGTGACAAGACTCTCTCCTCCATCGCCTTTTGCTCTCAGCATCATCCCTGCATCTGCTTTCATCACACTATCACTATGGAGAGCCGGGCTAAGAAGCGCTCCTGGCGCGACACAAGGCTTTCCCACCTGCTATGGTCGGTGACACTGCTTCCAGGCCTCGTCTCCGCTTATCAGCCTGAGCCTGTATACTTCGGATCCCGACAATCGTCGCCCTTTCTTCCTCCCCAGATCCCGCTGGCCGATCATCCCTCGCTCTCCGGCACTCATGAGTTCGTAAGTAGGCCCCATGTCTACTCAACCGCGATCCTACTGACCGTTACGACAGACACTTCGCCACATCTTTCACCGAGGAACTTACCAGGACCCTGAGCTCCACCGGAGGCTAGATATCACACCCGAAACTCGCCTTCGGGCCGCTTCAGACGATGGCGTTAAGTTCGATACACCGCTGGTTGCCTCGTCCCGCCCACTTATGATCGAACGACTTGCAGATCGGCGTCTTTCAATAATTGAGCAACATCTAATGGCTGCAAGGTCGGGATCGGTAGCTGCGCTGTCCCCATCCGACTGGGTCCTAGATACACTCGCCGGGCCGAATGTCACAGAGAAGGAGACAGTTCTCGCGTTAGCAAAAATGACTGCAAATGACTATATCGAAGAGCCGGGTACGGGTGATTGGCAGGATATCCGTGATCGATTCAACCATTCAGGAAGCTTTGGGTGGCAAGACGACGGGCTCCGAGGTCATGTATACGCCGACCAGACGAATACTACAGTCGTTATTTCCCTCAAAGGGACATCTCCGGCCCTGTTTGATGGCGAAGGCACCACTACCAATGATAAAATCAACGACAATCTCTTATTCAGTTGCTGTTGTGGTCAGGGAGGCTCGTATCTCTGGCGGCAAGTGTGTGACTGCCAAACCACCCTATACAATGCGAACCTGACCTGCATTATCGAGGCCGTGCAAGAAGAGAACCGATATTATCGCGCTTCGATCGATCTATATACCAACATCACCGCGTTGTATCCAGACGCAAATATTTGGCTGGCTGGCCACTCTCTAGGGGGGGCTGTGGCCAGCTTACTGGGTCTGACCTTTGGAGTGCCAGCCGTTACTTTCGAGGCTGTTCCGGAGGCACTGCCCGCATCTCGTTTGGGCCTTCCAAGTCCAGAGTCGCGTAAGTATACCGGATCCTACCATTTCGGGCACACTGCGGATCCTGTATACATGGGGACGTGCAACGGAGTCAGTTCCGTTTGTACATGGGGCGGGTATGCAATGGAATCTGCATGCCATACCGGCCAAATGTGCGTTTATGACACCGTCGAGGATAAGGGTTGGCGTGTTGGACTTGATAAACACCGTATCAACTATGTCATCGCAAACGTCCTTGCTAGCTACGACGATGTGCCTCCCTGTGCACCTGAAGAGGAATGTTACGATTGCGAGCTGTGGAAGTTTTTCCGCAGTAATGGCTCTGAGATTACTACTACTACCTCGGCCACTTCTACGTCCACCTCCACCAGCAGCACCAGCAGAACATCAACCTGCAAGACTCCGGGATGGTGGGGTTGTCTAGACAAGACCACAACTACGGAGCCAACCTCCACCTCAACGTCTATATCAACGACGTCCACATCGACATGCAAGACCCCAGGGTGGTTCGGTTGCAAAGACCCAACAACTACGTCTGATATCACATTTGTGCGGCCAACAATCACTACAACAGAACCACCCAAGACCACTAGCTCCTGCAAACATCCCGGGTGGTTTGGCTGTCGTGACCCCACTACCACCGCTGCTCCAACTCCCCCGCCGGTAGTTGACTTCTAGTTGACATCTAGAGTTTTGAGCTGTTATACTATCTTACATTTACCAACATACGACTATACGGGCAGTCGGTCATATCTGAGCGGGCGTACTTGTGCGACTGGTGTTCTTGCTTTACAGTTGTTATTGTGTTCTTTCTGTCTTGGATACAATCGTTTGGGAAATCAGCATACATTGGATGGAGCATTTTTGAAATCAATATATAACACAAACTGTTTGGATTGGGTTTTGGTACAAGAGGGGACAAGACGGTCTCAGAGAGAGCAAGAAAGAAAGACATGGGCTTCTTTTCAAAGCCATCAATGGTCAAGGGTGCACGGAACAAACTACAGCACGTGCTTAGAGACGAGGTGCAAAGAAGTACAAGTGTCTGAAATCCCTCGCACCTACTTACTTACTAGCTCAAGAAGCAACTTCAATGCATGGCCAGAAACCACCATTATTAATTCGATTCATATCAATCCAATCCGTTATCCCACTAAAGGAATCTCCATATACCCTACACTCCAAAAAAGCATGAAACACGATTCCTACATACTTCCTTGTGCTCTAAACCTTTTTCTATATCCTCCTCCCTCGCAGACCAAAAATACCGCGGCAAAACACACCAAAAGCTATAACAATCCACCAATCTAATACCGATAATACACATCCTCTCTCTTACCCATCCTTACAATACATCCCAGGCCCACGCCATCAGATCTCTACTATTGTTGATACCTCAATGCAACACTCGCACATTTCAACTCCGAAAGCCTAGAGACAAAGTTCACATCACATTGCCCTCTTTCTTAATGGTACCAGTAGGCTTAAGCCCCTCGTATACCAGGCTCAGAGATAGTAAGTAGCTAGGATCCTGCCTATTCGCAAAAGAACTCCAGAACAACCTGCCATTGTTGGAGTGTGAATCATGTATTCTGTGTTATCTGTGGATATAGTCCATGATCACGTAATTGGGGTGTCGACACCATTAGATAAGTCTAGTAGATCGGTCAGGGGATATGTGCCAAGATGGTAGATACGGCAGAGTAAACTTGATGTGTTCAATGTTTCGATAGTTGGGTGTTGTCATAGAGTTGGTCATACTACTAGACAATTGGGGACCGGGCCTCTGCTCGGTTACATATCTGTGAGGAATACCAACGGTGAGTTACAAGTCATGGCAAAGAAAATCAGTGTACGGAGTAGCCATCTTTGTATTGCTGATCATCTAGGGTACGTTCAATATATCCAAGGCAAGCATGCAAAATGCAGTCAATTCGAGATAGGTATCATATCTTTTTAATCATCATTTATGCTGGTCATGCCCGCCAATCAAGGCACAAAGCTAAGGAAGCACTTGGGTAATGGCTGATTTACAGACGAGCGGTGTTGTTGGCCTTGGCCTCCGTGGCCTTCTCAATACGAGCGCCAAGGTCGGCATTGACACGACGGAACATGCCGTAGGTAGCCTTGCGCACACGCTCGTGGGCAGCACTCAAATGGGAAGAGACATTGTGAACGAAATTGTTCTGCTGGCCGGGCTGACGGCCCAGAACCTGCCAGAGACCATTGGCCTGGACATAATCGTCATCGGTAACAGGCAGTTGCTCGACAACAACAGAGCCGGACCACTTCTCGTGTTCCTGGCTGGCCTTAACGGGCTGGTAGCGGATAGGGCGGAACGTGGAGGGATAGTTGGGGTTGGCACCGTAGTTGCCGTGCACGTTCATGTAGCCATCACGGTGCGTGGGGTTGAAGGAGCGCAGCGGGCAGTTGACGGGGATTTGCTCGTAGTTACCGCTCAGACGGTGGCGGTGGGTATCGGGGTAGGAGAAGAGGCGGGACTGCAGCACGGGGTCGGCCGAAGGCTCCACACCAGGGACCATGTGTGAGGGGGAGAACGCAGCCTGCTCAACCTCCGCAAAGTAGTTCTCAGGATTCTTGTTTAGGGTGAGTTTGCCGAAGCGGCGAAGAGGCACCTCACTCTGAGGCCAGACCTTGGTCAGGTCAAAGATGTTCCAGCGGAACTTCTCGGCCTGCTCGGGGCTCAGAACCTGGACATAGCAGGTCCAGGAGGGATTTTCGCCCCGCGCAATTGCGTTAAACAGGTCCTGGGTGTGCCAGTCGGGGTTCTCAGCCGCCAGGCGAGTGGCCTCCTCGTTGTTAAAGGTCTTGTTGCCCTGGTCGGTCTTGAGATGGATCTGAACGTAGTTGAAGGTGCCATCGGGCTTGATCCACTTGTAGGTGTGGCCTGAGTAGCCGTTCATGTGGCGGTAGGAGTAAGGAGTACCACGGTCACTGAAAAGGTGCATGATCTGATGGACAGCCTCCTGGTGAGTGGAAAGGTAGTCCCAGAACATGGTAGCATCCTTGAGGTTGGTCTGGGGGTTGCGCTTCTGGGTGTGAATGAAGATGGGGAACTTGGCAGGGTCACGAAGGAAGAAGACCGGGGTGTTGTTGAAGACCCAGTCCCAGTTGCCCTCCTCGGTGTAGAACTTGATGGCGAAGCCACGGGGATCACGGGCACTATCCGCGGAGCCCTTCTCACCACCGACAGTGGAGAAACGAGTGAACAGCTTGGTCTTCTTGCCAATGCCCTTGAGCATGTCGATGACGGTGATGTCGCTGATGTCGTCGGTGACCTCGAACTCACCAAAGGCGCCAGCACCCTTGGCATGGACGACACGCTCCGGAATTCTCTCTCTGTCAAAGTGTGCAAGCAAATCGATCAGGTGGAAATCCTGGAGCAGAAGGGGCCCGTTTTTGCCAACGCGCTGAGCGGCCTGGGGGTCCATAACCTGGGGTGTATCAATCAGTCTTCGTCTACCCTTCCGGAACCTAACAAACGCCTTTCAAACGTACTGGACAGCCATTGGAGGTAGTGTAGATGGGGGTCTCATTGTAGCGGTAGGTCTCTGTAGGTAGGGACGGATGTTAGTTTCTATTTCTACTATAAACGTGTGGAGAAGCACAAGCCAAACCGGTAAGACTTACTAGGTTGATCGTCCTTGCCCATGGTGACGGTATGTGAAGTGGTTGAATCCGAAAAGGTTGGTAGGAAGAGAAGTGGAGCGAAGATGGAGACAAGCTACGGAGTAGAAGGTAAATGCGGGGTTTAAGTAAGGACGGGGGATGTCAGTCCGTCGATGGAACGATGGAGTCCTTGGACGCTGTGCGGGGAAGAAGGGGCGCCGGAGCTAGAATGGTAGGGATGAGAAATAACCGCAGCAATGTAGGCGACGATGCCAGGGAAGAAGGGATTATAAAGATTTGAAGGCCGGTGGCTCGTCGCCGAGGGACGCGAATGAGGAACCCCGTCCAGCCCCAGCCAATCGAGACCCACGGGAAAGTCAACGCAGGGGTTCCACGGAACCGCCTGCCTCCATCATTCCCGCGGCTCTAAACGAGGTACCTCTTCCAGGTGCCAGCCAAGATCACTTGAAGCCATATCTTTGATACTTTAGGACTGCATCCAAGAGACCAGATCGCTTCTACTACAGCAGTCTACAGCAAAAATGACCCATTAGAGCGAGATTTTTAAGTTACAGAAACGCAACAAACAAAATACAGCAAAGGAGCTATCCGATACGCTAGTTACCCCGCACATTGCATCCAGCTCGAGCAGAGATGCCCGCCAATCAGTGCCCATCCAATGTCAAAACCCCATCCAGTGAGGAGATCCGGTATGGCTCATAACGACGTGGAGGAGGTCACCGAATGACTCGTTAGCTGGCATGATTTACGGATTATACCTAACGGGTCACCACGGAGGCGAGCACTGAAACGGCCCGAGGTGGACATGGAAAGCACCCGACTGTTTGCGACAATCCACGCTAAAGTTCCCAGGTGAGTCCATCCGCTATCGTACCTCTGACAATCGATCTTAGTCAGTGGACCAGGCCAGACAGCCGGCCCTGCAGGCGACAAGTCGTCTGGACCTGCCAGTTCCGCGATCGTCATCTCGTCAATACTAATACAGCCTTGGCGGAAGTGTTGCCTGTTTCGGGAAATGGCTAACGGCGGTGATTCGGTGTCGCGCATACCGTGTGGCTGAATTCCGCAATAGGAAGGCGATGCTCAATGACTTTCTGGATCGAGTCTCGATGGCACTCTGATACCACCACTGAAGGATTGTTTGTTCTCCGTTACCTAATACAGATGCTTAATGAGATCTAATCGTTCAAGATAGGTATGTGACCACGGCGGACAGGTGAAACTAGCTATCGCGATACAGCGATCTCCACGCTCACCAGAGGGCAATGTTATCTGATTGCATACGGAGGACTTCCGCCCGATGTGTTGTCCATATATGACGGTACAATGTCCATACTCCACACACAGCTACCTACCAGACGCAAGTCTCAGGCGTCGGGTGCAGCAAGCGTAAGCGTGGATCAGTTACCGCAATGAACAACCGATCTCAATCCACCACCCCATGATTCCCAGGGATTACGAAGCACTCTCACGCCGGAGGGTTCCCCGCGGAAATCTCCGGCCTCCGAAGCGGAGCGAGACTCTCCTAGTGGAATGGGAATCCGAGCGGCAGAGGTTCGGAACGTCTTCCGCTCGGTTCCGATCGCCGCTAAGACCGGTTTCTTGCTTGATACTTCAAGAATTTTCACATTGCCAATCTGACATGAAGACACTGTTCGAATAGATACAGCCGAATGATCAATAAACGTCGTGTCATACCCGATGGAACGAGCAAAGAATAACATCCACAAGCATTTGCATTACAAAACCATATTCCATCAAGTCATAACCCAAGTGGAACTTGCCATCACCCTTACTTTTGCTGAGAGTTTCCGCCCGACCTGTCTCCGTTGATGCTGCTCAGAAGATCTCCTGTCGACTGTCCGACGCCTCTCGTTGTGTTTCCCAAGCCCTCGGTGGCCCCGCCAACGGTCTTTCCCAGACCCTGGGTGACTCCTCCAACAGTCTGACCTAGTCCGCCCACAGTGTTGCCGACGGTGTCTCCAAGACCGCCCACGGTCTTTCCTAGGGTATCGCCGAGACCTCCAATGAGGTTGGCTGTATACTTACATTAGCAATGACTGGGAAATGGCAGCGTGGTTTATCGGGAGTTGGTACCCAGAGGTGCGAGGACTTAGGACGCGCTCAACTAGATAAGCCAGAGTATAGACGAAGGGGACGCGCAGAATCATCAAAGGTAGGTGCAAGGGTCTGTCGACACTTACGGTTGTTGTTGTTGTTATCGTTTCCAGAAGACATAGTTTCGAAATGGTGCAGTTAAGGTATCTTCAACGGTGTGTTTGAAGGGATGGGGCTGCTGTCTGCAAGCGAGACTATGTGACACTCGATCAGGTCAACGTTGCGATATGAACTTGAATAACAGTCAACATTGAGATAAGTTGTTCTTTTTATATACAAGGTACAGCGTTCAAGGTCGTCGCCACGGGGCGCTTCCATCCCGCTATGATATCATCGCGCTCCGAAACCAAGTCGGCTGCACAACCGGCAGCCAATGGATTCGGGTTAACGAGGATCTGAGAACGGCACCGGATGATACCCTTCAGCATGATGATGAAATAGGGTTCTGGGTGTTATGGCAGTGGCTTGCTGTCCCCTATTTTGCGATGCTGGCTAATGTGCCTATTGGCCCCTTGAGCGTCCGAATACGTAGAAAATACGCGGGTCAAATATTAACCAACCCGTGAAGATATTGCAAAGGCGAGGACCGCGGGTTGAAGATCAAGGGAGCGCATCATACGTCATGGGGTATTTCTGTCTGTAGCATGAGTGCCATGTGGTAGGCCTCCATAGAGAAGGAGATGGGTGACTAACCTGAACAGTAGAGGTATCCATCTACCATGTGTGATATACTGATGAACTGAAAGTTTTGCTTACTAGGGCCTACATATAAACTTGAATCCCGATATAATACTCTGACGGACTAAGAGCAGTAGGCAGACTAGTACAGGGGCTGGTCACTTTAGAACTTCTGCAAGCACTTCGGGCTTATGCTTTACATGTCTTGAGTTGGCCACTCGGCAGCGTGAGTAACAAGACATGGGGGATGGGAAGATGAACTAAACGGCCGAATCATCGTTTCAGCGAAGAGGAAATGTGCATTGTATCGCCCAGCTGATGGGGAGTGCCGTGAGAATTATATGTGAGAGATGAATCGAGCATATACGCACTACACTGGGTACATCCAATCAGGTACTGCGTCTCCCAGACATAGATAGCCGGTCGGCTACCGCTTAGAACATGGCCAATAAACAAAATCAACTAAGCAACACCATCCTTCACTACCTTAAACGTATACGCGTTGGTTTGACATCGTGTAAGATTTTGGGATGTCCACAAGATACGAGAAGCAAGTCATCCACTGGAAATGGAGCCGCGTATATAGGCCACTGTGCTCCGACCAGTCAGCCCCTTTTTAGCCGGAAGACGAACATAAAACTAGGTTATGACGCTGCAGCAACCTGGCTGGCGATCTGCATATACGCCATGTGCTCAACGGTGTGAAATCGGTTGGCTATTGGGTGTTCAGGGTGGTCTGAATCGAGGGAAATCCTTTCGTCGCCCAGGTGCAGGCATATACGCGCAACCGACGATGGCCGGCCGGGTCAAGCTTCGTGCACCCACCAGGCTTGGCCGGGAATGGGATAGAGAGCAGCCAGGGCTGCCAGAAAGGGGCGGCAGGCCGATCCTCCAGGATTAATCTTATCGGAGAATGTTGGCTTGCATGTCAGCCACGAGGCTCTTGCAGACGATGCATCAGATCGTGCATAATCGCCATGAGAAAGCAGCAACAGCCCACCATGTATGTGGCTAAACCATGAGTCCACAACCCACCAAAACTCAGTATACCGTAGAGTTTAACCTACCGGAAATTTCTTTTCTCTCCGATCTCTGACTGTGTCTCAAGCTCCCCTGCCATCGGGAATGCGACACCAATCAGGGAGCCGCGATCAGCTGGGCACCAGCCATCCTCCAGGCCCGGACTGTCCCTTTCCCCGCAAACCCCTCGTGTCGGTCCCGGGCGTAATTGCGCCTGGCTGACCTAGTCGGAGTTTATTCTGCTGGAGAATCCTGCCCATCCGTGTCTTTCACCTCAATTGAGTCAATTCAGGAGAATCATCCACACCCGGGAATCCGAGCCACCGACTAAGGAGGCGTCAACGGTCAAGAGTCGAAGACGCCAAACCGGTTCCTGCACGCGGTGGGGGCGGGCATGGCACCTAAACCTCAGCGAGCGCTCACCACCGCCGGCCCCGCCGCGGCCATAAAAATCTAACGATTGCCGTCCCACTGCCAATGCTATCCGGTGCGGAACGTCCCTGATTTTCCTCCTGCCCACTGCCCTGGACTGCCTGTCCCTTCCTCCCTCTCTCCTTTCCCCTCCACCTCCTTTTCAACCCTCCCTCACCTCCCCCGGGCCCTGCAATTGCTCGCCAGCATGGCTTCCTCCAAGGCTCCGGATGCCATTGCCCCGGTCGAGCAGCCGCCCTCGCCCACCATGGAGCGCCAGGACTCGTCCACCTCCTCGTCGGCCAAGATCATCCAGAATGCCAAAGCCGCCACGGATAAGGAGCAGAAGATGACCTTGCTGCAAGGCGTCAAGCTCTATCCCAAAGCCGTGGCATGGAGTATCCTTATCTCTACCTGCATCGTCATGGAAGGCTACGATATCAGTCTGGTTAACAACTTCTACGCGTTTCCCCAATTCAACCGGAAATATGGCGAGTTGACGGCGGATGGAGCATATCAGGTGCCAGCACGGGTAATGCCAACCCCCTTCCCATCCAATCCCTGATAATCCTTCCAGTTACACTCTCTCCGGCACGTAATTGAGTGATCGCGTGACATGGTGGCTGACACACGTCTTCTGTCCAGTGGCAATCGGGTTTGAGTAACGGAGCCTACGTCGGAGAAATTATTGGCCTTTTCATCAATGGGTGGGCCTCGGAACGCTTCGGATATCGCTATACCATCATGACCTGTCTCGTTTTGATCACCGCATGGACCGCCATCTTCTTCACCGCCCCTAACGTTCAGACCCTGCTGGCTGCGGAAATATTGGCCGGGATTCCCTGGGGTGTGTTTCAAACATTGACCATCACCTATGCCTCTGAGGTGTGCCCGGTTGCCCTGCGTGGGTACCTCACGACCTACGTCAATTTCTGTTGGGGGTTGGGGCAATTGATCGGCATCGGCGTGATCAAGGGCATGATCAATCGGGACGACCAATGGGCTTATCGAATCCCCTACGGACTGCAGTGGATATGGCCTTTGCCCCTGTTTATCGGCATCTCCCTCGCCCCGGAGTCCCCATGGTGGTTGGTGCGAAAGGGCAAGACTCAGCAAGCCAAGAAAGCTCTCCTGCGACTGACCAGTGTGAACCGGGAGACGGACTTCGACGCAGATGAGACCATCTCGATGATGGTGCATACGACGGCGCTGGAGAAGAAGATTACCAAGGGCGCCAGCTACCTGGACTGCTTCAAAGGCAGCGATTTGCGCCGGACCGAGATCGTCTGCATGGTCTGGGCCATCCAAAACCTGAGCGGCAATTCCTTCTCCAACTATTCGACCTACTTCCTGGAGCAGGCGGGCCTGAGCACGGACGACTCCTATGCCTTCGCCATGGGCCAGTACGGCATCAACATGGTCGGCGTGTTCGGGGCCTGGTTCCTTATGTCCTTGGGCCTGGGCCGGAGAACGCTCTACCTGTACGGTCTCTGCGGGCTGTGCGTCATGCTGCTCATCATGGGATTCCTTGGACTGGTGCCGAAGGAGCACAAAACACAGGCTGCCCTCGCCACAGGCAGCATGATGATCATCTGGGCGCTCTTCTACCAGCTGACCGTGGGAACGGTGGCCTATTCCCTGGTCGCCGAGATTTCCACCCGCCGCCTCCAAATCAAGACGGTCGTCCTCGGTCGCAACCTGTACAACATCGTCGCGATCATCTGCGGCGTCCTGACCCCGTACATGCTGAATCCGGGGGCCTGGAACTGGAGCAACTACGCCGGGTTCTTCTGGGGCGGAATCTGCTTCCTCTGCATTGTGTACACGTTCTTCCGGGTACCGGAGCCGAGCGGGCGATCCTTTGCGGAGCTCGATCTCCTGTTTGAGCGGGGGGTCAGCGCGCGCAAGTTCGCCCAAACCCAGGTGGATGTGTTCGACGAGACCATGGAGCATGGGGCAGTCGATCACTACCAGACGGAGAAGACGGCGACGGCGGATGTGGCGGCGGTCAAGAAAGAGCCCGCGCCGCAATGACCAAAATGTGCTACGCTTTCTTGTAATAATTTAATATCTTAATGTACATAGACACCACTAATCATGAATATGAGACGATTAATGATCGATCCGTTTTCATTCTAGGGACACTGCTGATAGGTAGGCGCTGCACAATCCTTTTGATGCTGACAAACGAACCATCACTTCCAGGTCCATCCAGCATTACACCCTCCCAGCCCTCCAAGGGCATCTACTCATTCGACCACTCGGGCTTTTTCTTCTCTGCAAACGCCGTCATCCCTGCACACCCATCAGCAAAAGTCAGAATAGGGAAATGAGAAGAAACCAGGCTTACCAATCTTCTGATCCTTGCTCCCAAACAGCCCATGGAACAGCCTCCTCTCAAACTCGACGCCCTCCTTCAACCCAATCTCATAGCTCTTATTCACGACCTCCTTGCCCGCGACCACCGCAACCCTCGAATAACTCGCAATTTTCTCGGCCGTCTGAACCGCCTTTTCCAGCACCTCGTCCTTCCCTCCCTCCACCACCCCCGCTGCAACCCCCCACTCGCCCGCCTCCTTTCCGCTAAAGTTCTGCCCTGTCAGAATCAGCTCCATCGCCTTACTCTTCCCCACGGCCTTGGTCAGACGCTGTGACCCGCCCGCCCCGGGGATAACTCCCAGCTTGATCTCAGGCTGTCCAAAAGTGGCGGTCGCAGTGCAGTAGATGATGTCGCACATGAGGGCGAGTTCGCAGCCACCGCCCAGAGCGTAGCCTGAGACAGCGGCGATGACGGGCTTGCGGATCGTGTTGGCGAGGTGGGACCAGGGCGCGATGAAGTTGTTGCTGTAGGCGGTTGAGAAGGTGAGAGGGGCCATTTCTTTGATGTCGGCGCCGGCTGGAGTGTTCATTTATTAGTGCTGTGTGGTTGGTGGTGGCTGAGGAAGAACGGTAAGGTACCTGCGAAGGCTTTCTCGCTGCCGGTGATGATGATTGCGCCGATGTCTTTGTCGGTGTCGTAGGTGGTTAGGGCATCGTTGAGCTCTTCGAAGAGGGGGCTGGAGAGCGCGTTTAAGGCCTTGGGACGGTTGAGAGTGACTGGATTTTACAGATTACTTGCTTAGCTTTTGATAGGGTTCCAAGGGGGATGGCAGGGTTGAGTACTTAGTCCTACGCCTGGCTTGGGAGTCGAGGTGAGGATGTGCTCGTATGCCGAGGTTGCGGTTGCGGAGAACGGACGTCCGCGGGCAAGGTACGAGGTTAGGGGGATGGCGGTGCGAGAGGAGACCAGACGGGAGCACTGGCGGGCGAACATGATGATATATATTATTATTATTATGCTTGGAGTAATGGGGGGAGTGGGCAGTCAATTGGGGGAGGAAGTGAGGAAGGGCTGGGGAGTCGGAGAGATAGTTGGACTTGGATGATGGGGATGATGGGAAGCTCCCCGCAAAGCTGCCGAGGAAAGTCCGGCGATAGCCGGGGGTGCCTGCACGCACGTGAGAGCTGAGTCAGCGGAAAAGCGGCCCCTGAGGCGCAGTCGCCATGACAGTGGCTGGAGCACCCAAAGGAGCCTAGCGGGCGCTGACCGGCAGTGGCCAGTTTTCCCGCGAGCAGCTGGTGTCCTTCCCATCATCGCTGAGCTGCAGTCTTGCTTCGTCGCATTCAGTCTGACTTTTGTCCGTGCTCACTGCTGTCTCTAGTCCGCTGCCCTATGCGCTGAGCCTGCTGAGGTCTTTTTGTCGGCTTCGTTCCATCTCCCCCAATCTCCTCTCCTCTCCTCCGCTGCCTGCTGGGCAATAGATAACAATCCGCTTTCACCATGGACGTTCCTGAGCCTGAGCAGACGCCTTTCACTGCCGTCACGGCGCAGACTTCGAAGCTGGCGAGAGTACGTTTATTGCCTATTTCCTCTATTTGCGATCATCTCAAATTCGCATCGCCAGCACAGCTGCACATGGCGCCCCAACGAATCCACGCAACCACGCTAATCTCCCTCAGCAATTCCAAACCTACCTCGACGCTTCCACTCCGTTCACGGCCTACCGCTGGACCAGCACCGTCGTTCTCCTCCTTGTCTTCTTCTTGAGGATCGTCGTCGCCCAGGGCTGGTACATCGGTACGACACTCCATTTCCTCCGCACCCTCCCCAACATTCAACCCACTCACTAATGCAATCCCAACAACAGTGGCTTACACCCTCGGCATCTACCTCCTCAACCTGTTCCTCCTCTTCCTGCAACCCAAGTTCGATCCCTCTCTCACCCAAGACGAGGGTCTGGAAGACGGCGACGCCGCCGCGCCCAGCCTGCCCACGAAACAAGACGACGAGTTCCGGCCCTTCATCCGCCGTCTCCCCGAATTCAAGTTCTGGTTCTCGGCTACCCGCGCCATCCTCATCGGTTTCATCTGCTCGTGGTTCTCGGTCTTTGATATCCCAGTGTTCTGGCCCGTGCTGGTGGTTTACTGGGTGATTCTGTTTGTGTTGACGAGTATGTCTACCTTATACCCGTAGTTTCAGGTCCTGGATGAAGGAAAGTTGGCTAATCTTGTTTCAAAAATAGTGCGCCGCCAGATCCAGCACATGATTAAGTACCGTTACGTGCCGTTCTCGTTCGGCAAGACGCGGTACGGCCGGTCATAAAGGAAGACCATTCCATCTATTTCCGCTGAGATAAGATGAGATGCGATTCGATGAGATGAAACGATGATGTGGTGTGATGATCGTCATGTCATGCATGGCTTTGTGCGCTGGCCGGCTAATTGGCTGGCCGGATCGTCCGCTTCCTGTCCCTGTCCCCTCTGTTATCCTCCATCCATCTGTATCCCAGAATGAATGCGGTACCAGGGTCATCATGGACAGGAACCGGACCCAACTACAACCCTTTAATTTCGATTTGATGATGACTTTGTTGCGTGTGACCTGACCTGACCTGAACTGACTTCATGAACCGGGATTTCAATATCCTCAATGTACAGAGATTAAGTCTATGCCGTTTATGCTGCTGTTGATTGATTGATTGATTCGTTTCTTGACTTGACTTTACTTCCCGGTGCTACTAGAGTTGGAACTTCGTGTGTAATCTACTGTGATGGTGAATAGATAAAAGTGCTCTACTTTAACCTAGGCATGGGGTGTAGGATAGGATAGGTATGACTTGGTTGTTATAAGGGTATGTGAGAAACCAACCTCATTGTCTGTAACCCTCGTGCGATCAGACTCAAAAGGATTAGTCGATCACAGAAGGGTATGATATGGTCCGGAGTAGTGCAATCTACCCGGTAGTTTAGATGGACTGTTATCATGCAAAGAACGATATAAGAAACCGAGCCAGAGCATGACTCGTTTTGTGACATAGATCTTGACCGTGCTCTACCTTACAATTACCAATACAACTACCAAAGCACATCTAGAGTATCAGAATTGGTTTGATTTATTTTCCTGTCTAAGACTTTTAACTATTTGCATCTATACTTCTCATCTAGATAGCATGTGTAGGTAGGATGTGTGCGGGTAAGTCTGTCTGAAGTGAATGATGAAACAATAGGGTAAGGGCGCTGGGTATGAAAGGTCATTCATCGAAAGAAACATAGGAAAAGAAAAAGGTACAAATGTCATATTGCCATTAAGGCCGTAATGTATCATCATCATCATCGATGAAGGATCAGCGGGGAGGAAGGAGTTAGTACTAAGCGTGGGGTCGAAGGCTTATATCTCGAGATGCTCGACACTGTTTCTCTTCGGGGTGGTGTTGTCCAACGAAAGAGCGGACATGGCGCGGCTGGGGGTTGGGCGTTCGTGTTCTTGGGTTTTGGTGCAGATCCAGGTTGAGGCGTACATGTTTACACTGGTCTCTCTGTTAGTATGATTTTGTTCTCGGGGTTGCATCGCTGTTGATAGGCTTACCGATCAATGCAGGTTCCGGGGAACCGGGAGCCAACACGCCGCGCGGTGAAGCCATTCTGCTCGAAATGGCGGATGTACCAGGGATCGATGCTCGCGGAACGCAGCAGTATGCGGCCGCCCATCTTCAGGGCGTGGTTGAGTTTCTGGGCTTGGATGGCGGCTTCACTGCCTTCGGGGTCGAACCAATCCATGGAGTCCATGACCTGTTTGATTAGTTTTGGCTTACTTGGGGGGTGCTAGTTGGGTGGGCTCACCACGGCGATGGTCAGGCTGCGCGGCGTGATACGCTTGATCACTTCGTTGATCTCGTCGGTGTGGATGCGCAGGCCATCGAAAGCTCCGGGGGAGGATAGCTTCACGTGGGCCTTGGGGGAGAGGTATGCAGGGTGGCATCTGTCGCCGTTAGCTTGGTTTATGGGAGCTCCTGTCGTCTCATCTTACCTTCTGGAAAACTGCCCCTGCAGACACAGGAAGTAAAAGTAGTTGTCGTTGCTGATCAGGGTGTCCTGGACCACAGGGTCCAAGGTATCCACCACATACTCCCAGATCGACTGGCCGCTGACATCCTTTGTCTGCTTCATGTCCTTGTTCAACCCGTTTCTCTTGAAGAAGTCGTCGATGATCATGTTGCGCTGGTTGCGGGGCACGCCTGCGGCCTTCCATGCAAACCATTCAGTTCCCACCACAGCCCAGTGGAGAGGCTTGCTCATCAGGACGGAGCGGATGCGCGGCCAGATCTTGCGCTGCTCGGCCAAGGTCTGAGCCTCACAGAGCTGTTGCACCTGACCCTGCAGACCAAACACTTTGAAGAGGTAGCGGACCATCTTGATGGCGTGGCGCGATCCGCCCGTCTCGTAGAGTCCCTTGCCGGAAGAAGAGGTGAAGACATGACTGTGCTCCAGCCAGTACTGGAAGGCTTGACTGGACAGGTGTGGGCTGAGTTTGGAAATGAGAAGGTTGCGGAATTCAGTGTGCTTTCCTTCACCGAAGATCTTCCACACATCACGGTGGCCCAGAGCCATGAAACTGGCCACCTTGAGCTCCAGCAGGTGGTTCTGGTTCGGGTTCAGGTCCACCGCATGTACCCGACGTGGGCTCTTCTGAAGGTAGTCGAGGATGTTGTCTCCGGCGCTTGTGATGGCCAGAATGACATCGTCACGCTTGATATCTAGCAGTCGATGATCGACGCGAGGATCTTCCCAGTTAAAGGCATAGATGTACTCATTTCCGAACTGCGTGTGCTTCGGAAGTAGGTCATTGTAGAAAATCCGATGGTGGTGGTTCTGGTAGAAGGAAGAGGGGAGGGGCAGGTTCGCGCTCAGGTTGACCACGGCAGACTCATAAGCCTTGGATTTGATCTCCTGCGTACTGTTTTCAACGGCGGTCTCCATCTCCTTGCGGTGGTTGGCAGGAGCGAGATACGGCGATTCCGTGAAAGAGGCGTTCAACTTCTCAATGGCCTCGCGGCCTGAGTAGGTGGTGGAATCCTTTTGGCAACCGACAAAGATGTAGTACGGAATGCCACCCAAAAGGTAGTTTCTTTCGCTGGCCGAGATGACAGTGCCAAACCGGTATTCTAGGTAGTCACGACGAGCTGCCTCTAGACTGACACGGTCCACATCGAACCAGGCCCGCCAGAAGACTCGACCAAGCCAGTTCACATGACGGTTGAAGGCGCCGCCGGTATAGTTACGTGAGGAGACATCGACAATGCTTTGAACTATTCAGGGTTAGAAGATGCCCGTCAATCCAATGTGAAAAGCATACCATAGAAGTCACAAACGCCGAGAATGCCGGAGGATTTCAAGAGCGCGGGAAGCGCGTCGATGACGCTGTAGTAGTCTGCCTTGTATAAGCATAATCCTCCAAGGTGCCACACAATATCGCAAACCTGGAATCATGGACAAGCTATAACTCATCGTCGCCAAGTCCGCACCGGCGCTGCCTCCGCTACGAGGATCGACCTTGTCATCATCTGGCAAGCGGAAAGTGCGGGCATCCTGGCAGACGACCCGGACGTTTTTCCATCCCAATCTTTCGAACCGTTGGCGGGCCACCTCACAGAGGGAGGGAGAAAAGTCGACCAGATATATGTGAGAGAAGAATTCCTGGACGGGAAGGAAGGCAGCCATGGCTTCGATGTTGTATCTGATTGTGATTAGGATGTCATCTCGGGGATGCTCGTCTCAGAGTACTCACCCAGTGCCTCCGCCAATCTGAGCTGTCAGTCAGGATTCAGACAATGCGATTCGGGTTATTGACTTACATCAACCCAGATGGCCTTGCCGGGCTGGAGCTCCTTGTTCTCGACCTTGTGTTTCAGCTGGGCTGCAGCCAGGCCCAGCATATCCTCTCGACCACACAAAAGGCGCTTGCGAGTGGCATCATACACACCAGCCTATACCCATTCATGTCAGCCAATGCCGCTGTTGAAACGGCATCTGGCTCGTCTTCCGACATACCTGAGTCTTGTAGAAACTCTCGAGCGCATCCTGCTGGCCATTGCCGTGCTTCTCGTGCGGCTTGAGGAAGGTCGCATAGATAAACTTCAGGTAGGTGAAAACACCGCGGTTGTAGTCAATCTTGCGCTTCTGCGATGACAGCATCAAGACCACTGCGACGAAGCCACAGACCAAAAAGGCGGTACCAGCAATATAGATATGGAGCCAGTCCACTGGGCCCCAGAAGGGCCCGGCAATACTGCTGAGCGACATGAGGGCACAAAGGGGGTTGAAGAAATTGAGACAGGGCCTCCTGTCAGAGCAAAGAGGGATGAGAGGCGAATATTCACCCCCCAGGATTGCGAGGAAGGGCAGCTTCTTGAATCAATTGCGCGTGCAGTGCCGACAGCCCGATGCGGAGAGAATTGGCCACAATCTTTGGGATGCACGCCCCACTCGAGGTCGCCCCTCTATCGCAAAGTAAGTTGGTTCCAAAACCTCGACCGTAGCGCGATGTCCTATCAGGGGGACACATGGCCCGGAGGTGATAAGGTGCATTGGTAGGAGGAGGAGGAAGGATCCCCGGGTGGCTCCCTGCTGGCCAGCTGGCACCGAATTGGAGGACGTGCTGGGCCCGACCTGCCGGCCAGAGTTGAAGAGAAGGGGATGTGCACTTGCCATCATGGAATTTGATGCGGGAAGTTCAAAGGTTACACACCTCCTGCATATACTTCGGGTGGGCCAATCAGGGCGTGCAGTGCCCGCACGCCTTGGGCAGCCCGAGCCACCCGGGGCCAATGAATCCCGCACGACAGCCCCAGGGACCAACATGCCCGGACCGATTGGTGGAGTCGGATCAACGGTCAGCTTCCTTTTAGGATGGACGATTCTCTTAATACCTTAAATAACTTTGGCAGCAATCCCTATGTGGACTGGTCTAGTGCAGTCACCGAGTTTCCCCTCTTTCTCTTTCATTAGTTCCTTTGACCTCCAGCTATATACCTTCTAGGGGTTACTGTAGTGACCATTATTTCTCTGAGACTGGCCCCTGTCTGGTATATTATAAGACAGCCGCAGTCAGCTGGAGTATCACAGTCCATTGATCAATTCTAAAGAACTCAAGTGCCCGAGAGCATCAATGGAGTATCCATGCAAGACCCATGAAATACCGCGCATTCACCCGATCCATGCACACCGTTGAATTTGCAAGAGATCCTGCCACCTTGATTCATGCTTCACATACCCCTCATGCAACCGCGACAGCCGAGGGATATTTCCAAACGTAAATATGTATTGTACAATTGCACTGGCTTTTATCTCCCCAGTCCATTGCTTTTACGATACTTCATCCTACAGTGTGTGTCCTTTCCCAAATCCGATTTCAGTATACCAAGTGAGTTTTCTAAGACTTTGAATCATGAAGTTTCTCCAGCAAGGGTATATGATTAGACTGCCAACACCATACATCTCACCAGCCCTAGAGGGGCTACTACATTACCCCTGAAGTGTCAACACTTCCTTCTCATTGCACTGCAACTTCCCCCTTGCATTACCATCATAGCCGGCTACAATCAAATCTGCAGTAACAAAGCCCACCACACGCTCTGTCTTCACTGCCCTCACATAGCTCTTTTCCCTGAGACTTAACGAATCCGAGCTAGTACTCTCGTCGAGGGGCTGGGGAGAGGGCCAGGGGTAAAACTGAAAGTAAGTTATCTATCCATAAGGGATCTCATACCTGCCCATGAGCTGCTAGTTCACATAACAGTGTACTTGCTTCGCACAATTGGACTGCCCGACAACTTGAGAGTTGAGACAGAGGACCGGGGCAGCCCCACCTACTATATAGGAACGGCCCCACCCCCGGTTTAACGGAGGGTCCGCTTGTTTCGACAGGTCTTTAGTCTTGAATGAATTGCAAAACTGTCTCTTTCAGAGACTCAGTGTACACTGCTGGACTGCAAGAAGATGGTTGACAATATACACACATAGGAACACACATTCATGAAATAGGTTCAATGGCAGCTCAATAACTCCAATCAATGGTCCGCAATCCCCGAAACGAGATCTCGAGCCAGCCCTGCAATGATCTCTAGCGGAGTCATCTCGCCGTTGGGCGATCTCAACCGCTTAGCTGGCCCATCAAGGCGCTTCCACACCTCGAGATACTTCTGATTATCCTCGTTCAAGCCTAGCCCCCGTAGAATGCTTCGCATACCGTAGTACTCCTTGGCTTTCTCGAAATCTGAGAGTCGCACAGCTGTCGATGAGCGTCTACCGGTCTGTCGCATCTCCATTTCCGCCTGTAGAATGCCAAGGCGGATACAGTGCAGTACAAGAGCAGCGAGTCCTGCTGCTAGAGCGGTGGAGATTGAGGAGCCCGACTTTTCCTCGGAGTCAATGGGTAAGCCCTTCTCCAGGTAAGGATTCCGCGGGGCTACACTATGCCCGGGGAAGATAAAGCTGAGGTGCTGTGGGTTGCCCGTTGGATCATACACCCTGCCGTCAGCTGTGGCAGCGCCAATCCTGAATATGCGTCTGTCGTAGAAACAAGGGTATTCGATCTCAGTCACGGCCCCTTTGTCGGAAGCAGCACCAAATAGCAAGATATTCGCATCCAAGGCAGCCCTTATGGCGTCCCGTAGTGCGCTGATGCTGTTATAGTTGTCTTCCGTTTCCCTTATTGTCCAAGACATGGATATGATATCCACTTTTTGCCGCACAGCCGCCATGACAGCCTGATAAACCGTTAGAGTGACTTGCTAAAGTCGCGATTATGAGGACTCACCAACGCAGCACTTTCAGCTGAGATTTGCCGGGGACCACCATCGGGATTGGAATGCATCTCCAGTTTATAGACAAACAATTTGGCAGTGGGGCAAACTCTGCAGACCATGTCCGCCATCATGGTTCCATGCCCTCCCCCGGAGATATAGTATGGGCTTGTCCCATATCCATCTAGACTTCCACGGTCGAAAGATTCACCTCCGATGACCTTTCCCTGAAGGGACTGAATATGGATATCGACTCCATCGTCAACCACAGCAACTTTTATATCGCCTTTCAGCGCCGGTATATCGGTAAGAGGCACCTTCACGTTTTGGATCTCGTCTGCGAATTGGTCTATACATTCCAGCCAGCGATTAGGCTGTAGTCTTCTCTTGCCGATGTTGGCTAAGACATTGGGGGGGCCGACTGTATTCGCGTGTCGGCCGTAAGTCGAAGCCCTGATTTCAAGCTTATCGACGACAATGGGTTTCCGTTGCTGAATTTGGTTACCATTTACGGCCCCATGCCTTCTTGCCGCATTAATCTCCCCCACTGCTTGGTTCAATCGTATTTGGAGATGTTCCAAAGCAGATATAACTTGCTGGGATTTTTCAGAAGTCTAAGGAAGATTTAGAAACGCCAGTGGCAAGCTCGTGGTGATATGCATACCTCTTCAGCATTCCATACTAGATGCACACGTTCCAGGTTTTCCAATCGTGGGAGGCCGTCCGGCTCACCCCAAGCCTTCAGTATAGACATATTGCCGCTCCATTGTAGATAAATTTCTTTCAACCCCCTACAGGCATTGAATAGCGTCTGAGGATTCAGGTCAGACTTATACCAGGCCAAGGTATCTATCTCGAACTTTCTGAGACAATCTTCGATTGCCGCATCGGTGTGGGGCGCATCTTCTACATCATAAACGACAACTTTGAGCATGTGCCGGACTTTCTTCTCATGAAGCCAGTTGAAGAAAAAGACAAGATCATTTGGACCCTGGTCTTGCTTCAGAGTTTGAGCCAGTTTCTTTGCTAGCCTCGACCCTGGAGCGGGTCCAGGTGGCTTCTGTAAAAGAGTAGGGCGGAATGAGACATATCGCAGAGTTTCATCGAAAACCATATGGCTGTAGCTCTCTTCAAATGAGTCTTTCGAGATAGTCAACGGACCCTGAGAAAAGTCGAATGAAAGGTTAACATCTGGATTTGAGGTTAGAACATCGAAGGTAGGTACCCCGGTCTGTGCAGCAACATACTTCGTATATTCGCTCCATAGAGGAACTTCGACGCCGCGAGCTGGTCTCTTATATACCTTCCAGGAGCGCTCTCAAATGTTGAGCGAAGGTAACATAGCTTGATCTCTTGTCGAATATTGTCCGCATATGTAGCTATGTCCTGTTCTTGAGACATCTCTGTCCGTTCTTCTAGCCTGCGAACAGTCCTAAGCGGGGCTTCCATGTTATGCTGCTGCGTGTTGAAGTACTTCTGCTCGAGTTTGTCTCTTGATTGCCGCTCCCTGTGGGCATTCTGATCAACTGGCAACTCGTCGAAGGGCCTTCTGGCCTTGCCTACTGAAGCTTTTCGGTCTTCGATAACCCCTGACCGAAGCTCTAGCAATGAAGTTTCCACTGCCTTTGCACCATCTGCCCTTCTATGAGACTTCTCCCGCGTGTAATTGTGATACTCGTAAACTGATAGATCGGGCGGGTTTGTCGTGTACTTATCGAATGCTCCACCCCCGCGCGCGATGAGAGCCCGTACAATATCCAATTGTGAGGCAGAGCTCCGATCATAATCAACCGCCAGATGCAAAGGCGTAAGACCATTGTTATCGCTTGTGGAAAGGGTGATGTCCGATGCCTTTCTAATTAATTTCAGGGTACAATCCTTGTTCAGGGAGTGTTGGATGGCAGCATGAATGCTGTTTCGTCCATTTTCACATCTCTCCCGCAGCAGAAGGTCCAAGTCCATGTCGTTGATCTCTTTCAGGACGGCATCCACAAAGGCATCGTTCTTATACTCGATAGCCACGTATAGAGGGGTTCTGTCACTGGTGTCCTTATGATGCAGGAGGTGTCTCTTTTTCCTCACAACATAGCGTATAAGAGTGCTGTGTGCCATTCTGCTCGCTACTACATGCAAAAAGCTTTCCCCATTCATCCGGGTCATCTGGTCAAGGAAATGGCCATACTGGGTCAGAAACTCTGCTCGAGATCTTCCACTCCCCAGATCGAGGGTCTTGTTGCATATCTTTGAGATTATCTCGTCAAAAGTAGTCTGCACTTCGTCCCTTGCCACCAACTGTACTGGCGAATTAGTAAGGTCATCATCCTCGTAATCGGAGTCGATGTTGGGGACTTTGAGAAGCTCGGATTGTGTGTGATGTTGAACAAATTGCACTGGTTGTTTGAAAATCATGATGAGGTCAGTTCTCGGATGACTGCAAGGCTAGCAAACTTTGAGTAGAATGTAGACTTCTAGATAAAAGAGCATTCGTATTTGCGCTCGTTCGTACCCCTATATATATATCTCTTTTCGGTTGGGTTTCCATTGAGATGCTGCACAGCACGCAAGCCCCCTTCATGCAAGAAAGAGGGGAAGACACACTCGGCGCTTCTGAGCAGCCAGTGAGAGCCAGCCGTGGATTCTCGTCCATCGAAGCGGCTATCAGCAGGGCCCCTTCTGTTGTAGTCTTGCCGTCCTCCAAGCAATGATCTGTTAGTTTGCCCATGTGCGACAACTCTCCTGGCCCTGTTAGCGCCGTAATGCGGAAGCTGATGCTTAAGCATCCATCAGACACAACCAATGAGTTTGCACCTTTGAAAGTCTTATCGCTTCTAGATGCAGCAACGGGGTAGGTACCCGCTTATGACTTGTTTCATTGGTCTGGCGAGTTTTGTGTTAGCGCGCGCATCAATCAGCCCTACTCAGCACGCAGCTTATTGGGCTGCGCATGGAGGTAGAGTCCACAGTGCTTCCACATTTTCTGCAGTGCCATAGTACGTTAATCCATTTTCCAAGAATATAATCGCTCATTGTACATAGCGATCGAATCGCAGAGTACTCCGTACAGAGCCTGAAAAAGCCACGGTGCTCCACTGTAGTACTAAATATATAGTGGAGCCCTGCAGGCTGTGCGTTCGCCTTTGAAGGCCGGCGGCAATTGAAAGTTGTTGAGCGCAGAGCCTTTGCGAACAAGACTCCGGTGTCTCCAAGCGTGAAAGCTTCTACTCACGCGGCGTCAGCCTGTAGGCTAAGAGGGCGGATCCATTTACCTGAGATGGCGCAATTAAATTCAGTTATGTTTCGTGGAGCTGATTGAGAACCCTGCAACCAAGGCCGGCGTTCCGGCCGCCATGACAGCAGCGATACTGCTCAAGAGGAAGGATGAAGCTAAGTTCCAGGCCAATGTATCGATCCGGGCGAAGGCGGACTGGAAGACGCAACTGGAATGGCTGGTGGGCTCGACACGGGCAGATGACCCGGTGCTGTTTGATCCGACGATGGAGCCAACCAGTGCCAGGTATGACGATATGGAGCTGAAAATGGGAGACATCGACCTGCAGGCCATCTCCAAGATTGTGGTGGAAAGTGGGAAGAGCATGGCCTAGTGATCTGATTGGGAGTTCCTGTATGGTAGTTTGTCATTTGTTGCTGCGTGTCGCTTTTTAAAGAAGTTGTTTATCAGCTATAAAGGATTCCGAGCCGGGTTACCGCCCCTCATTATTAGTGTAGCGTCTCGTATCTGAACTAGAGAATCAAGTAGCAGGAGATGATTGATTTCCCCACATGAAAAATACACGCAAATGGCTGATCTTGCTATGGGGGTTTAAACGGAGACAAGATTTGCAGAGACTGAAACGAATAATTAGCGGAGATGGATGTTTCGGGCATGTAACTCATACCTGCCATTTACAATTCATTGTCATACAATGAAGAAAGGAAAGTTGTTGCCCCGGTCGCCGCGGCCGACCGCCTAGTACAATGTTGTCTTTAAGAAGCATAGTAAGCAGCTTTCAGAACAACAACAATTCCCAGAGATGAAATGGATCGACTACCAACTGAAATTCTCCTGTTAATTGCGGGGCATCCCGTGAATCTATCCGGCGGGTGGCAGAAGCGTGATTTACTTCATTTGATGCTGTGCTGTCGGCGATTCTATAACATCTTTCAACCTGTTCTTTATTCCCATTTGAGACTGTATAAAACCTCGACTGGTGTAGTGCGATTGGTTATGCACCTATGGAGACACCCCGAGTTGGCGAGTCTAGTCCATAAATTAGACCTTTACTGGTTCCCAGACGGGTCTAGCGATATGAAGGCGGAGGATTACGAAGACGACGAGCAATCCAGAGCCGAATTCATCGACCACGCGCTGCAGGAGATATATACGCCCGAGGAAGAGGATACCAAGTTCAAGTGGAGCGTATGGCTACGCAACTTCGGGTCCGAGGCTTGGTTTGGGGTGCTTCTTGTTCGTTTGACACACCTGGAAAGCATCGAATTTGGCCATGAACGCTCGATATTGATGCCCGACATTCTACTGAAAGCAGCAAACCGGCAGCAGCCTTTCCATGAGACTCCACCGTTTCCCTCTCTACGAGAGGTTATCTTCAAGTGCGAGGAGTTCAGTGAAGGGGTCGATGAAAACTTCGTCACCCCATTCTTCTATTTCCCGAGCGTTCGCTCAATTCGTGGCCACTCAATCTGGGCCAACACTGAAGACGACCAACGCCTCACGGATCCTGCTGATGTCATTCAATCAACCTACTCCGTCAGAGAGATCACAGTTAAGGAAATCTGGTATTGCGGCGGGATGCTCGACTGGCTCGCAGCATGCAGGGAACTAGAGCATCTCTCCCTCCAAACTTCGACTCACCCCGACGATATTGATCTCGTCGTCCCCTTTAATGCTATGGTACTCTACCAGGCTCTTCTTCCTTTCAAACAAACCCTCAAATCTCTAAGCATGATATACGAAGAAGTATATAATTACCTTCTTGTCAAAGGTTATGGATGGACCCTGGAACAGGATAACATACCTTTCGGGTCCTTTCGAGATTTTTCCGTCCTTGAAGACTTAACCATTCGACATGCCCATCTCATGCAAATCTTCCCGGCTTCTACGATTGTTCAAGCCAACAAAATCCATGTGGACGATATGCTCCCCAGCTCTTTACGAAAACTTACCATTCTTGATATTGTGGAGGACTTCTCCTCTCAGCTAGTATCGGAGCTTCAAAGCCTGGTGAGGAACAGGAATTCACATCCCCACCTTGTTACACTGGAACTTGGGAAGGAGGGCATTCACGAGAGAAACGCCATCGACAAGAAATTGTATCGTATTTTGAAAGCTGAATGCGAGGAAGCGGGCATTTACTTGAAACTGATAATGTAATGGGGATTGGTCATAGAAATTATTTGCGGTACTCAAGAAGTGCTATCATTGAATCTAGCTCGGTATAGTAGCGGGGATCATTGTAATACCTTAATGCTAAGACTTTGCCAAAATTGAATAAATCACTTTCAGTGGCTTGACCGTTTCATGCGCCTATTGTATATAAGGATCACGAAGATGACCATAGAATACTGCTCATGTCATTATGTATAGAAACAGCATTACTTCTTGCAATCGCTCAATAGGATATATGTTCAATTTGTGCTAACTTGTATCTGTTAGTACCTAAAGAGGATTCAGGATCATAAAAAACAGTTCATGCCGTCGACATATAAGTCCACAATGCTAACCAACACCCGCCACAACAATCCCATTCATTCAGGAATGCGCACAACCGCCCTGCCCTCAATCTCAGACCGTCCCAATCGCTGCAACACATCATCAATGCAATCAAAGTCAAAGCACTCAATATGCGCCTTCACATCACCCGCCACAGCCATCTCCATCAGCTCCTCCATCTCCTTGGCGGTTCCAGCCGAGTTACCAATAATCGTTTGTCCTGCCTGAAGTCAGCTTCTGTGCTACTCCGCGGACAGCTACCTATCACTACCACACCTTTAACGATCATATCAAACGGTGTAGCGGGTAGCCTGAATGGCACACTCGGTATACCAACGCACACCAGGACGCCCAGACTCCGAAGCATTTTCATACTCTGGATGTATGCGGGCTCGCTGTTGGCTGTGCAGATGACGGCGTGCGCGCCTAGACCTGAAGTTAATGCTTTTACTTCGCGTTCGACGTCGTCGGTCCTGTAGTCTAGGAAGCTGGTGGCTCCGAGGGAGAGACAAAGCTGTTTTTTCTTCTCGCCGCTGGGCTGGGGGTTAGTTACGGTAAGAATTGATGATATGGATCGTACCTGTCGATGGCAATGACTTTGAGGCCTTTCTTGGCGGCAATTTGAACGCCCCTAGGTTACCGTTAGCCTACTTATGTTGTAGGAATGTATGTGGTTGGGCGTACATGTGTCCTAGACCTCCTCCGGCTCCGGGGAGGACAATCCAGTCTCCGGGTCGGGTTTTTGTCTTCATGATTGAGGAGTACATGGCGATGCCGGCTGCATTGAAATTAGTCTATGCACGGTAGTGTTGTAATGGACTGAGTTGACGCACCGCACAAGAGCGGCGCAGCTACATCTGGTGCCAGCTCAGGAGGAATTATGGTTGCGTGGATGGCAGGGCTGACAATGTATTCTAAGGCGCATACGTTGATTAGCAAGTAGTTTGAGTGTAAAAGGAAAGAGCAACTCACGTTGAAAAGTCCCTGGCACGTTCTGCATGCTATTAGCAACCCAATTGCCGCTTAATACATCTATTCACCTACCGCTCCGGCATTCTTCTGATATGGACAGGCCGTATGATTGATAGCGCAAATCTCACACTCCAAGCAAGAGCTATAAAGCCATCTGCATATGTTTTGTCAATCCCTGCTTCCACACATCAATAGCCATACGAACCGAATACCAACTCTTCGTCCCATCCAAACTTGCTCATCCAGCCCACTTCCCACTACACAAATACCTGATCAGAACATGACCAATTGACAACAAACAACGACAGAACATACTCACCTTTCACCACTTTCCCCACACCTTCATGACCAGCCACATCTGTCAGCATGGGGGTTTCCCCGCGCACACTATGAACATCCGAATGGCATAGTCCGGAGTACTCGAGTTTGACTAGTACTTCTCCCTCCGTGGGAGAGGGAACCGGACGGTCATGTGTAATTTGTAATTTGGAGGTGGCAGTCGCTCCAGTTGGTGGAAGGACGGCTGCGATTTGAGTCTGGGGAATAGTAGCCATGTCGTGTATTGAGGGGTCGTGAAGATGGAGAGGGCGCCGTTGGTGGGATGTTGCGGGGTAGATATGCGCAGGGTCAATACTGACCGTCACGATGAGAATTACACGGGAAAGTGAACTATGACGGGATAATATGTCTTATCCCGACTTGTGATCAACTATGGATTGTAAGATTGAGTAATCACTCATTAATGCAGATAACTATCTGGAGGCTGATCCGAGGCTATATCAGGACTGATAGGCGCTTTGCCAACGATAGGCTCCGCAGACTGATAAGAAGACCCAAGATTTCCACTCGTTTTTGGGGTCTAATACTGCTTCTCCTGGATTCATGTTGGGTTTGTTTGTTCGGATAGGTCTAGTTCGGGGTACTATTCTGTCTAAGAGCTTTCCTTGGAAGCAGTACCCAAGTGTGCCAATTCTGAGTCCAGAGCAATGGGGAGTTACTGATACGGTATACAGTCCTATTTTCTGCTTCTGATTCTGTATGGGCAACAGAGTTTAGATACAGGCAATCCACATGATTCCAGCATCAATAGCATCTTGTCTTCAATCTCGTTCGTAGCCTCGCAACATTAATGCAACCACGGCCGATAACCGCTAAGAACAACTACTTCCATCCAACCAAAAGCACAGCGACTTAAATCTGTCCGGTCAAGGCCGTAAAGCACAAACAAGGCGAGCCAAACTCAAATTCAAATCAATTAGGATATTATGCTAAGTCTGGGGAATTTCGATATCAAAAAGGTATACTGTATGAACGACATGAGCCCTGAACAGAGTAGAAAAAGGACATGGAAGGAAAGACGAGTGAACGGCACCAAGGATAAATGACAAGCATCCATAAGCTCTGCGGAGCCTTATCACCTGAAAGCCGGGAAATATATCAAAAGAAATCTATAACATGTCACAGAACACCGTTGCTCATGCATTTTCGGACTGAAGAGTTTGCTGTGTACGCAAAATGTCAGCATATATCCAGGGTCAAAAGAATGGGTATGCACATACCACCAGCCAATCCATGCCTTCATTAAGACCTTTTCCGTCAATCGCAGAGCATGCGACGATGCTCCAGTTTCTGTCCCGCAGTTCGCCCAGCTTCAGAGCCTCTGATATCTCGCCCGCGCCTTTGGCGCCGGGCTGGTCCTGCTTGTTGGCAAATACCAACAGAGCCGCATCACGAAGCTCGTCCTCGTTCAGCATCGCCGCAAGCTCATCAGCGGCCGTCCCAAGTCGCTCAATATCTGTGGAATCAATGACGAATATGACAGCGGCCGTGTTGGCATAGTAACAGCGCCAGTAGGGGCGAATGGACGTTTGACCTCCGAGATCCTGGCCGAGCGCATATGTCAGCACCACCAGGTCTTCCCTTCTAATGGCAGTAAATGTATCCCACGGGCTCGAGCTTACCCAGACATTGAAATTCAAATTCCGATACGTCACCGATTCCACATTGAAACCAATGGTCGGTATCGTAGTGACCACTTCACCAATCTATTGGCGAGACATTAGCACTATTTTCTGACGGATCATCTGACTGGCCAATAAGTCCACACACCTTGAGTCTGTAAAGAAGGGTTGTTTTTCCCGCGTTATCCTAAAGCGAGAGAGGGTTAGTCTGGAATCGCTAGTAGCTTGAAGTCTAGTGTCAAAACATGCGTCACATACCAGCCCGAGAATGAGGATGCGAATCTCCTTCTTCGTCCAGAGGAAGGACCACATACGAGATAACGAGCCACCCATTGTTGCAACTGAGCTAGTAACACTGGTCAGAGGGGTACGGGTCTCGTCGAGAGAATGACGGAAGGAGATATTGCGGAGGAATGATCGGGTGTCGAGCGGTGGCGGAGACGATGCGGCGAACACGAGAGGAGTCGCGCGGACGGCGGCACCAGCCAAGAAGACGGCAGATGTTCGAGGAGCCCAAAGGAGGTGTTGTTCACTGGAACTGAACGAGAAGCACCATGACACGAGATGGCCACGATCAAGAGCTGACTAAATGGCATGGAGGGATGGTTGGTGGCAACCATTGGTCCGCGGTCTCCTGCCGATCGGCCTGGCCCAAGCTCGAATCAACTAAGGATGGGATGGTTTGGGGATGCGGTTCATTACCGCTCACGCCGTTCGATGTTGTCCCAACCTGCCAATCTTCATTGTCGTCAGATCGCCTCACCTGCCCTCCCCCGGCCACCACGCCATTCGCCTAGCCAGCCTTCTCATCCTCCCGCACGCGCAACACCGTGAATGGGGCGCTCCTGATTTGAACCTCCTCCTTCCGACATCCTTCGCGATCCGCTTGCGATCTTGCCGGACGACTTTCTCTCACCACTCCCTGCCAGCAATTCGACTGTCGGTCTAGCAACACACCATGGTCGGCAAGAAATCGGGAAAGGCTCTCCTTCGGGATGAGGGTATGAGCTCACCAGGCTATCGTCGATTTTCCTCTATACTGACACCCGCATTAGGCCTGGAGCGGACCGATAACAATATGGAACTGTCAAGCTGGCCGCAAATCCCTCCTATCAATCAGAAGAACTACTACACGTATGTCACTCGATGTTTGTCCTCGATGAATGGCGGTCATGCTATTCACTGCCATTTGACTCGCGCCCTCCCGCTCAGCCTTGAACGCTGACCTTGCTTTCATCACAGTGACTATCTGAAGCGAGATGATCAGTACCTGGCATTTAGACTACAAAACGAGGAAGCTCGAAATCGGATGGCAAAAACCGCCAAAGATCGCGATCGTGCCCTAGCCATGGCAAAGGCCAACGACCTGGGACTGCCCGAAGCAGACGCGGACGTGGATGGCGATACCAACATGGAGGATGCTGAGGAGAGTACTGCGGAAACGCTGGGCTCAAAAGTCATTGTCATCCACGTTGGCAGTCAAAACCTACGGATCGGATTGGCTAGTGACGCCTTGCCCAAGACTGTGCCGATGGTAATCGCTCGGAAGGCCACTAGCAGTGAATCGGAAGAGCACGAGGAGCCTTGTCCCAAGCGGTTAAAGATGGACGATGGCTCAGATATGGAACCAGAGAAGATGTTTGGTCCTGAGGTCTGCTCTTGGCCCAATTCTGCCTCACTGGAGTCTGGCTTCTGACGTATTACAGTTTTCCTCTCAGTATACGACGATGATGGCGGATCTCAAATCCCACATGCGACAGAACAAGCGCCGGACACTGCCAAACTCCAAGGAAATGGTAATCAATTTCAACCGAAGGACGGTCCCGGAGACCATCTCAGAGCACAATGACCCGATGCGCGTTGAGTGGACGGAGATCCCGGACCCAGCACCCGAGTACATCGTGGGACAACCGGCCTTGAGGATACCCGATGCCTCAAAGCCTCGCTACAAGCTTTACTGGCCCATCAAACATGGTTGGTGCAACGAGCAAGACTACAACAACAAACGATTACTCTTTCTCGACATCTCTCTCATTCTGGAAGACGCTTTCAAGACTCAGCTGGGACTCACTAGCAAGAAGGACTGGCCCCAGTACTCATGCGTCTTTGTTATCCCTGATATCTACGAAAAGTCCTACGTTACTCAGGTCCTTGAGTTGCTCATGAGGGAATTTGCCTTTGCCCGTGTCTGCTTCATCCAGGAGAGTCTGGCCGCTACCTTCGGCGCCGGGTTCACCTCCGCTTGCGTCGTCGATATAGGTGCTCAAAAGACCTCGATATGCTGTGTCGAGGAAGGCATGTGCATTGAGAACTCACGCGTGAATCTCAAATACGGTGGGTCAGATGTGACAGAGACATTTGTCAAGATGATGCTTTACGATAACTTCCCCTACTCCGACATCAACCTCTGGCGCCGATATGACTATCTGTTGGCGGAGGAACTGAAAAAGAATGTTTGCACCATGAACGAATCGAGTGTGTCGGTGCAAGTTTTTGATTTCCACCTTCGTGTCGCCGGTCAAGATACCCGGAAGTACTCTTTCAAGGCCTACGACGAGGTACATCTCGCCCCGATGGGCTACTTCCAGCCGACCATCTTCGACCACTCCCAGAAGCTCAAGGGGCGGCGGAAGTTGATCGCCCGGTCAGTTGATATCTACGATGGGCAGCCGAACGACCCAACGTCGACTGCCCAGTCGCATATTCTGTCTAGCATTGCTTCTCCGTCTACCAACGGTCAGGTGAACGGCGACATGCAATTGAACAACCTGGATGTACAGGCCACACCAAGCCGGGTCCAGCAGTTCAATGCTCTCAGTCGCGTGCAAGAGCTGGACGCCACCCCCCGGTCATCTGTCGCTGGATCCCCTGTCCCGGAGGCAGTAGGCACCCCCCAAGCCGGCGCTGCCACCCCCGTTCCGGGCGGACAAGGCCAAGGCACCTCACAGCCCCGTGCGCCCACCGTTGAAGAACGTGATGACATCCTGCCAGTATACCCATTGGACAACGCAATCTTGACTTCGATCGCACAGGCTGCTCGATCGGATGAACGTAAAATGCGCGACTTCCTCGGCGGTATCATGGTTGTTGGAGGCGGTAGCTTGGTGAATGGGTTCCACTCATTCCTGGAAGAGCGTCTACAGGCTCTGCGACCGGCCTTTGCCAAGGAAATCATGATCGGAACGCCCCCGAGAGACCTCGATCCGCAAGTTGTTGTCTGGAAGGGCGCAAGTGTCTTTGGCAAGTTGAGCGGAACGAATGATAGCTGGATTGGGCAGTTGGAGTACGACAGACTGGGACATAGACTCATGGCGTACAAGTGCATGTGGGCCTATTGATGTGATGTCTTTTCGATCTCTTTTGGTATTTCTACACTTGAAAGATGGTGTTGGTGCTCCGGGAAGACGTTGTGACCATTCTGTAATTTTATGAATCTTTGGCTAGCTGTGCGCATGATTCACACATATCCTGTGACTGGCAACGAACCATATGAATAATGACAGTGAACTATTTCCTATGATAGATCTATTCACTGCATCCATTGATACAACACTGTGCCAGTGGTCATAGCATCCGAGGCCTTTCTCTCTCCACCCCATCCCTGGAAGATTGTTACTCCGCTTCTCCGCGCACACAGATTCACGCTAACCCAACCAGCCAGGCGGTGTGTGTTTGCAGAATGGCCCAGCCAACCCCAAGTGAGTTTGCCCTGCATCCCGACACTGCAATCGTGCATGCTGTTTTTCGGGTCTCACTGACCAGGCGATCGCTTCTCTCAGACCTCCAGCCGATTGATTGTAGCTGCCGGGGCTCGGCTGGGTCTCTTGTGCCGGAGCCTGCAATCCCGTCCTTTACCCTTCCAGAGCCACGTAAGTTTCAGCGAGCTGTCGCAGCGAGGTCGGAGCTCTACTGACACGGGTCGCAGTATACAGCTCGCCTCCCTCTGACGAACCGAGAGTCTTGCAGCTATCTGTGCTCCACGCGGAAATGTCGAAATCTAAGGATAGCAGCTCCTCCGGGGGCTTCCACCAGGAATATATCGCGTCTCTGCGCTATCGAAATGACCTTCCGCCTCCGGATATGCCCCCGAAGTTTCTCGATATCCCACACGAAGGCTTGGAGCGCTTCCTCACCCCCGGCTTTGCATCCAATCTTGCCCGCCGCGAGGAACCGAATATTGATGTCGATGCGGAGGGTGGTATGCCGATTGACCTGGTCGGTATTCCGGGGCTTCACCTGGGCGATGAAAGTGGTACGTAGCCAGTGCTAGCTTGATTCTTGTCGAGATGGCGGCTAATCTGTCGGACCATGCAGCGATTATGGCTCCTGAGAACCCAGAGCCCATTGATCCCGCTGACATGGCGCTGCTCATGACCCCGGAGCAGCTGAGGAACCCGGCACCAAAGAATGCCAATGTCAGTTTCCTTCGTCGTACACAGTACATTTCCGCCGGTCTTCGCGCGCCGGATAGTCCCAAGGTCACCCCCATCCGATCGAAACGTGGCCTTGACAAAACCAAGTCGCAAGATGATCCCACCTACGTCAAGAAGTACCTTCAGAAGGGTTTCGACATCGCGTATCCCAACAGCAGACATGTCGGTGAGGATACGGCGAGCAAGATCAAAGGCCACACTCCTACTAAGCTTGAACACGATGCATGGGCTCACCCAGTGCATCCGGATAACCCCAAGTTGAAGCCCGTTGGATTCTATCCCCTCCTCCCCGATCTGGCAGGATTCCCGGATCCCGGTGGTTTCGTGCAATTCAAGTTCGACAAGGCGCCTGTGCAGGATGTTTCTGGAAGAAGGGACAAACGCATGGATGTTGCGGTCTTACTTCCGTCGGCGCCAGAGGAGCGCATTTGTCAAGAGCACGCGACGAAGACCGCCTTGCATAAGACCAACCCCAACTTGTACCCTGACCCGGGCCCGATCCCGTGGGATTACGATCTCTTCTTGCCTGAGAAGAAGGAAGCGGCCAAGAATGTCTCGGCGAGTCTGCGCATCACGAACCCCGACCGCGACAATGAAGAGTTGTATACGCATGAGGGAGCCGACAATGCCAAGTTCCATCGTTTCGACCGTCTCCGCACGTATGCGACTAGCGCTCAGACTTTGGGCAATGACCAGAAGCAAAAGGATGTCGCGTTGACCCTTTTTGACCCTTCGGAACTGAAGGAAGGACGGCAAGGTGGCCTAGCCTCGAAACAGAAGGCCGCCTACTACTACCCCATCCTCGGAAAGACGCGTCTCAAGCCGGAGAGAGCCCGGACCATCGCCCAGGCGGGCCTGGCGCCCACACGTCCAAAGACCAAGGAGGACCAGGTCGACCAGATTCAAGTGGTGGTCCGCGACCCTGATGAAGCCGAAGTCTACAAGCGTTCTCTGCATCGGGCTGCTATTGACCCGAAGTTCGCCGAGACGATGCCCCCACCCCCTGAAGAGCCTGAAGCCACCAGGGACGACGATGAAGGTGAACACGGGGCTGACCGTCAGCCTTCGCCGGAGGACGCAGACGACGATGCGGACAATATGAGTGACGAGTGATGTTGCATCATATGGAGCTACGACGGCAGCAGACATGCTCCTCCATCTTTCCCTGAGTGTACTTTTCTTGTGCATTGCACTTTACATACCCTTTCATATCTCATTATACTGATATTCTTTGGTGTTCACCTTGCATGGCTGTCGCCGCGGAGTCCGAGCTACTAGCCGTGTTGTGGTCTGGCTGGTATAGGAGTCACGGCAGCAAAAGGCGTTGTGTGGCATGATGACTTGGAGTTACGTAGCGAGAGTTTGGTTTTTCCCTTGCAGGATGTTCAGCAGGCTGCCATTGGCGATTCATGTACATCCATAAATTACTAGTCAACCATATTATCCTGCACGATTTACTTCCTTCACGGCATACTCCGTATGCTGATCAGATCCACACCGCCCTGCCCTTCTGCCGGGTAAACATTTGACCGCCTCGGGACGTTGACGCAAAAGAACCGGACTCGAGGAATGCCACCGACGTCGATCCACCGCAGCCTTCTGCTTGACTGGAGGTGTACTCGCGGCATCCTTGGCTGCGATCTTTATTACAGTGGACTGACCTGCAGTTGATTGGCTTTGGATGGTGAGTCGTCCACAATTGCCCAGAATTGGTGTTCATTGGCATGGCATACAGGAGGGGACTTGAACCCACGCTACTGTCTGAATATCCAATAGCGATTGATCTGTCTATACAATCTTCACTTAGTGAGACGGCTAACTGATTGCTGTGCAGGTCAATCACCGTGCCAGCCTGCTCATACTCCCTAATCGATCTCCTAGAATACATACCAACTCGACAATGGCTACCAACGCAGTTGCTCTCGCCTGGAGATCCGCAGGCCGGAGAACTCCTGCTCTTCCCTCTCTTCGCGCCACTCAACGGCCGTCCATCCTCCACCGGGATTCGCTCCTCCGTCAAGTCCGCTACTCCTCGGAGGCGGCATCTCAGACCAAAGAAGCAGCCAAGGAAACCGCCGCACAGGTTACGGAAACGGTGAAGGAGACCCCTAAGAAGGCCGGGCGTAAGCTCAAGCGGACTGTCCTGGGCACCTCCCTCGCCCTCACCCTCCTTGCTGGCTACATCTACGGGACGGACACCAGGGCTAGTGTGCACCGGTACGGTGTCGTTCCCCTGGTCAGACTGCTCTACCCTGATGCTGAAGATGCGCACCACTTCGGAGTGGACATCCTGAAGACGCTGTACAAGTATGGCCTGAACCCGCGGGAGCGCGGCGACCCGGATGGTGATGGCTCGCTTGTGACTGAGGTATCACTCAACTCTCCCTATCAATTCCTCACCCATACTCAGTCTGGATAGGTCTTCGGCTACACCCTCTCCAACCCCATTGGTATCTCTGGCGGACTCGACAAGCACGCCGAGATCCCCGATCCCCTCTTCGAAATTGGGCCTGCTATTGTTGAAGTCGGCGGCACGACTCCTCTCCCCCAAGAGGGTAATCCCCGTCCGCGCGTGTTCCGTCTGCCCTCTCAGAAGGCCATGATCAACCGCTACGGCCTCAACTCCAAGGGCGCGGCCCACATGGCTGCTGTTCTTGAGCAACGTGTTCGCGACTTTGCCTACGCCAACGGCTTCGGTGAGCACGAACTCGCCGAACAGCGCGTGTTGAACGGTGAGGCCGGTGTTCCCCCGGGCAGTCTCCGTGAGGGCAAGCTCCTGGCCGTCCAGGTGGCCAAGAACAAGGCGACACCGGACTCGGACATTGAAGCCATCAAGCGTGACTACGTGTACTGCGTGGACCGACTTGCCAAATACGCCGACATCCTCGTCGTCAACGTCTCCAGCCCCAACACCCCCGGTCTGCGCGATCTCCAAGCCGCAGCCCCGCTGACTGCCATCCTGAAGGCCGTTGTCGGCGCCGCCAAGAGCGTCGACCGGAAGACCAAGCCATTCGTCATGGTCAAGGTCAGCCCGGACGAGGACTCTGACGAGCAGGTCTCCGGTATCTGTGAAGCTGTCTGGGGTTCTGGCGTCGACGGTGTGATTGTCGGTAACACGACCAACCGCCGTCCCGACCCGTTGCCCAAGGGATTCACCCTCCCCTCGAAGGAGCAGACTGCCCTGAAGGAGACGGGCGGATACTCTGGTCCTCAGCTGTTCGACCGCACCGTTTCCCTGGTGTCTCGCTACCGCTCCCTCCTGGATGCCACCGCCCCAACCACGCCTAAGGTGATTGAAGCGCAGGAAGCATCCGCCACGGCGACCCAGGTCGAGCCCGACGTCGAGAACCTCCCCCCGGTTGAAGCTCCCAGCGCGTCAGAGGTGCTTCCTCGGAAGGTGCTCTTCGCCTCGGGCGGCATCACCAACGGCCAGCAGGCCAAGGCAGTGTTGAACGCGGGCGCGTCCGTCGCGATGATGTACACGGCGATCACCTACGGGGGTATGGGCACCGTCACCCGCGTGAAGGACGAGCTGCGCAAGGAGCAGCAGTAGATGCACAACGAGCTAAGTAACCAAAAGGAGTGACCGGTCGATGATGTAGGGAGTATAGGACGTAGATGGGACATTGTAAATAGAAGTGTTATTGACTCATAGTGGATGACATAAAATATTCATTTGCATCAATTGATGTTTAATCTACAGTCTGGAGTTGCATTGATTGACTTAACGTAGGGAAAAGATTATAAGGTGGTTTTCATACTATTAAATAATTATCCCTGAGGTTATTTCTTTGGCAATAGTAGATCAGTAGAATAATTCCTTAGAAAATTGGTCATTTAAGAACCCCATCATCCAAATTAGTACAGGCGGTTCGTGTCTTCACGGAGCAGTATTCAGCAGTACAATGGAAAATACCAGGTGCCAGGAGAATATGGCAGACATTCTTCATCCATCACCTGAGAGGCCATTCCTTCACCCACTTAGAAGATTACACTCCTTTCTCCATAAAACTCATTCACTCAGCCTACAAAGCTACCTAGTCCGGGGCTAGTCAGTTACTACACCTCTGAATACGCAGTCTCATAATCTAACCCCTCAGAAGTTAGGGGTAACAGACAATCCCCAACGATCATAAAGCAGGACACGGAGGAATCCGTATACTTCAGGCCAAATAAAATTAGATTTAAACTATACTATGGGCGGGGAGGGGAGTGGGCCCGGACGGGTCAGGTGCGGCCGGGTCACACGTGCAGGTCATGCAGGCGGCCGAAATTTTCTTCAACCTCACGGGACTGTGAAGCGGGAGATCTGGGCCTGGATGGAATCTGCCACCTTCGAGAAGGGGGCTCACCGACTCCTTCATCATTGATAGTTCAGTTCCGTGGATCCTGAATCCACCTGATAGCTGCCGCCGATGGATCGAGTCGGCATTGCCTGTTTTAGAAGCGGGGGGGGGGGGCGAAAGGCCCTGTGTCAATGTGTCATTGTTTAAACGGGCACTGCTCGGGTTGCCTGAATGGGATATCCGGGTGGATAGCCAGCATACTCCGTATAATCAAGAAAAAATGGGGTTGTGTAAATTTCTGTATCCCGCGTGATGAGATCCGTCTAGTAGCAGTAGTGGTGTACTCTCTCGTCCGAGAGTGTCCTGATCCGAGCCGATCATGCCAATGTCTCCTCGACTTCCCTGACTACCTTGCGGACCCCTTCGATCTCGTGCGCGAACCGGCCCAGGAACATGCCATCAACGGCCTTCCCCAGACCGCCCGGGCCCCACAGGCCGGGCCCGGCACTACCCCCGTACAGGATCCGGACGTCCCCCGCACGGGTACCAATCACCGCCTTGATGCCCTCCACTACCGCCGAAATATGATCCACGCCCGCGGGCGCGGGCTTCCCAATTGCCCACACCGGTTCGTAGGCGAAGATGACCGGCGCGTCCGCGGGGATGGCCTTGAGGACGGCCTGGATCTGAGTGCCGCATTCGCTGACGGCCTGACCGATGGCCTGCGAGGCCACGGGGCCTGGAGCTGTGATCTCTCCGATGCAGACGAGCGGGACCATGCCCTGGGCGCATGCGGCGGCGGCTTTGCGGCCGGTCTGCTCGTCTGTCTCGCCGAAGATGTCGCGGCGTTCTGCGTGGCCTAGTTCGACGATGGAGACGCCCATGGAGCGCAGCGCCAGCGGAGAGACTTCGCCGGTGTAAGCGCCCAACGGCTCCCAGAAGCAGTCCTGGGCCCCGAGCAGAAATGGGGCTGGCAGGGAGGGCGTGTCATCCTTCGGGAGGGTGGATTCCCAGGCCTTGATGATCTCCGCACAGGGGTAGATGGTCAGGTAGTCGGGAATGAGGGCCAGGAGCAGCTTGGAGCGGTTCTCCGGGCGGACAATGTCGTTCTGAGGGTCGAGAAGAGCGCGGCAGTAGTCGAGGGTGCGAGCAGGGGTAAAGTACATCTTCAAGGAGATGATGAGCAGGTTCTTCGGCAGAACGGGGTAGACGTTCTGGGATGCCATGGTGGCTTGGTGTGGTGGATAAAACTAGGATGAAGCTCTCCGAAATTGTTTTCCGTCGCAATCAGGAGCACCCAACGGGTCCCACGGTTGTATTAGGCTGGCCGTTATCTGGGTCTAACCTCGATTATACTGGTGAGCACCCACTTGAGATAGTGTCGATGCCTCGGTGGACTGGAGGTGGATCGAAGAGGTGGCCGTGGCGGGAAAGAACAGCGAGGAGGAGAAAGAGGGGATGCCAATCAGTCGAGTACGGAAGTAGTAGCCATTGCGTCAGTGGGCATTTCCATTGGGGCCTGGCGTGCGGCTGGTTGGAACTACGATGTTAGCTCGCCGGTTAGTCTGCAGTGGTAGTACACAGTAGCTGGGAGGAGTACGGAGTAGAGAGGAGACGATCGGCCCACGCGAGGGCAGCTATCGGCTGATGTCAGAGGCTATCGCGATGTTGGAGAGAACCTGGGGAAGAATGCGGGCTAGTGTGGATTCTCCAGACCGTGTACGGGGATGATACTGGCAGTAAGTCGGGTAGTTTGAGATGATTCTGGGGGAGGGGAACCCCTCCGGATAACCAGGCAGCAGTGCCGCAGTCATCTCGTCGAGGCCGCATGGAAAGATACCGAATCGACCGGAAATGAGGTCGTCCCTGATGTCCGGAACGGGACATCCGAGTGGTCGCGAGACGGTAAATTACCGGGGGTCGAAATCTGGCGTTCTGACAGCTCCTCTGCGGTATCGCCCTATCAGACACTGGCAGGTGGGGAGGGCCAGTGGGGCAAGTGCAACTCAGCTGGAGGTCCAGCCGGGACTACTATCAATGGACTACTACCACCACCACCATACAATTGGGAATTTGGTTTACCTGCAGTGATGTTTTACTTTGGTATGCGTCGGTGGTGGTGGCTGGTGTGGAAGGGGAAAACCGGGCAGAGCAGGAGAGGGTCTGGAAATTGGAGAGCTCAATGGCGCAAACTGCATCGGAAGGCAACGCAGCCGGAGGCCTCCCCGGCTAGGCACCCTGGTTCCTGTGCGCAACTTGACTGGTTCCAATGCTGTACCACTGCGCACTGATACACACGGGATTCCTCGCAGCCTGCCGTCCCATCGACCCCAGAATTCTCTCGGGTTGAGCCTCCGGAACCAAAGCACCAGGCCACAAGTCAAAAGACATACTGTGACGGTGGTGAAGATGCATAAGCATGCTGCAGTTGAGGCTGGATGAGCTACCTCATAGGGTACTCGAGCACTGCTAGGGGTAACACACGATGCTATCCGGATGAGCCCACGGGATCCCCTCCTCGGGATACTCGATGTATGCATGCGCGACGCCAGTACTGTGTATAGACTTCCGAACTAGGCCAAGTCGGCCGATGATAGCGTCGCGGCGTGCAGCCCCCACTTGCATCCAGGAAATTAAACCATCAAAGAAAGGAAGGGGAAATCCAGCATCGAGGGGTGAATGCAGCCAGAACCAAAAGGGTGAGCGGGTTGACATCATCGGGACAGATCGACTCGATACATGATGAAGATACCGAGTAGTGAGCATGGGAGAGTTCCTAATTCATCCGAGATAATCAGCCCCCAATGCCATTGGCGCAACAGCAGAGTTGCAGCACAGCACACTTTGCGCGACCAAAGACGGTCGAATGGTGGTTGATGTTGGTCGCAACCTCATGACGCCATGGTGGAGCTGCCAGGACCCAAACATGGCCCGGTCCAAAACCGGCTACTCTGGATCGCCTCGACTGTGGGGTCATCTCGAGACAATCGATGAGGATAATAGCGCTGTTCCGCCATTGGAATGCGCGGCCAGCGAACGTTGGTCCGAGGCACCTCCTCCTCGGGGAGGACAAGAATGTATAAAAGCTGGCTGCATTCCTCGACTCTTTCATCACCATTCCATCACTTTCCTCTGAATCTTTAAACAATAGCAAGGTCGTCCTATCTTGCTATCTTCCACTCCTCCACTATCCTTCACATCAACATCAACTACCAATCATCCTAATCATGTCTGATCCAAAGCCCCTCCGCATCGTCATGGCCTGCGACGAGGCCGGCCAGCCCTACAAGGAGACCCTCAAGGCGGCTCTCGAGAAGAACCCCTTGGTCGAGTCCATCACAGACGTCGGTGTCAACTCGACTTCCGACAAGACAGCATACCCTCATCCCGCCGTCGCCGGTGCCAAACTGATCAAGGAGGGCAAGGCAGACCGCGGTCTCTTCATCTGCGGCACTGGCCTGGGTGTGGCCATCTCCGCCAACAAGGTGCCCGGCATCCGCGCCGTGACAGCACACGACTCTTTCTCCGTGGAGCGGTCGATCCTCAGCAACGACGCGCAGGTGTTGTGTTTCGGACAGCGGGTGATTGGCATTGAGCTGGCCAAGAAGCTGGCCAACGAGTGGGTGACATACCGGTTCGACCCGAAGAGTGCATCAGCCGCCAAGGTGCAGGCGATTTCCGACTATGAGAAAGAGCTGGCGGGGACAGTCTAATCTAGTGCACTAACCGATGCATTAATACGATATTTCCTTCGAGCAAGCGATTTGGTCGGACTGGCTCCGGGCCTTTTGGATAATCGACGAGTCAAGATACCACGAGAGTGCGATACCACAGAGTACGAACTGCATGGCCGGCCCATCAGACTGAACTTTGTACTTAGTCATCTATGCTCTGAATACTAGTTATCATTTTATCATCCAAACATTCCCCGTAGTTGTTACTTGATCTTCTTATCAACCTGAACAACATGAAATAGCCTGCTGACTCATCCCCGGTTCTGCGGGGATCGATGACCTTCGACACTCCACTACACTCTACACACTACACGAGCACTGATATCAAATAGCAGATTCTATCAGGATGGCCGTCTCTACGACGGCGGTTGATCCTCCTCAATCAGGTACAAGTGCCTGCAAGCACCTCCTACGCGAAACCAAATAGAGCCGGATCAGCTCGGATCCACCCGCCATCCTAACATATCCAGCTTCTTTCATATACAGCCTCAATTAACAATAACCGATGCTGTGATATCTCCTTCTTCCGCTGCTACACACTCATTAACACCGTCAATCCGCTCCGCAATCGTATACCACCCGTGATAACTACCCAGCACTACGATAAGTATCTATCAGGAGCAGCTAAGTGAGTAACAGTGGGGCACCAGTGATCCACCCGTCCGATATCCGAGGCCTTCTTTCTTCTTTCTTTCTTTCTCGAAGGGTATCGAACGAACACCTTCCGCCCCTGAAATAAGTGCGCGCACGCACATCGCCAATCACCATGTCCTTTGAATTAAAACAAAAGGGCAATGCCCTTTTCAAAGAAGGTGATTACAATGGCGCAGAGGAGATGTATTCGCAGGCGTGAGTTTCCCTCCCTCCCCAATCCTGGAGTGTTGATCGTCGTGCACGTATACGTACCCGCTTATACGTCCAATCATTTCAAGAACGAACGAATGAATTAATGAGTTAATTGATAATAATGAAGGATCCAAAAGAACCCCAATGAACCAACCTTCTTCACGAACCGCGCCCTAACCCGCATCCGTCTCGAGAACTGGACCGGAACCGAACATGATGCTCGCGCTGCCATCGCTCTCTACGGCGCACACTCCACCGCCAGCCTGAAAAGCGCCTGGTACCTTGCGCAAGCGTTACTCGGCCAGCGACGGCCCCAAGAAGCACACGAAGTCGCGGTCACGGCGTACCGACTGAGTCTAAAGGCCACGGACATCAAGCCGAAGGACAGCCAGACGGAGAATCTGTCGCGGGTGGTGTTGCGTGCGAAGCAAGCGGTTTGGGCGGCGAAGGAGACGGCGCGGATACGGGAGCTGGATGAGACGTTGGCGAGTGTGGAGGGGTTGATTGAGAGGGAGGTGGAGAGGGGAGTGGAGGAGTTGAGGGGACGGTTGGAACGGGGGGAGATTGGGGCGATTGGGTTTGGGGAGGATGAGAAGGAGATTAGGACGGAGTGGGAGGAGAAGGGGAAGAGGTTACGGGAGGTATTTGGGATTGCGGGGGAGAAGAAAGAGCTGGTTGAACGGGTGAGTCCATCTTTCTTTGCTTTTGGATGTTGGGTAGGTGGGTGAGGCATACTAATACCAGTCTAGGTCGTCCCCGATTATCTCATCGACGGCATCACATTTGAAATCATGCATGACCCCGTCATTACACCATCCGGGACCAGCTTCGACCGTGTCGGCATCACCAAATACGTTGAGCAGGCCAAGGTTGATCCGATCACGCGCGAGCCCATGACGGTGGCGGATCTCCGGCCGAACTATGCGTTGAAGGCCGCGTGCGAGGAGTTTCTCGAGAAGAACGGCTGGGCAGTGGACTGGTAATAGTATCTTAATGTAATTTATCACACCATACCTTGTATCCTTGTATGCTACAGCATACTCCCTACACCTCGGGATGTTAAACTAGAACCGCAACCTCAGGCACCAACCACCACCCCACCAAATCAACAAAACCCCCAACCCCACCTTTCCCACCACTCACTCAACTAGCTAAGAAACCCCTCCTCCCCTCACCACCTTCCACCCTCCCAAACACACACACCTACACCACACACCACCCAAACCAAACTAAATACCCAAAATGTCCGTCCCCAAATTCACCGAATCCCTCTCGGCCGCGCAATCCGGCGCCAAATTCACTCCCGCCGTGCAAACCGCCGCTAGCAAGATCGATGCCTCGGCTCTGTCGGCCGCCATCGAGATCGTGCTCGCCGGTGGTGACGATGCCTCGGTGGAGGGTGAGCAGGCTGTCGCTCTGAAGAGCGGGTTTGAGTTTGCTACGGAGTTGGTGAAGATGTTGGGGTCTGAGCCGGGGAGTGAGGAGAAACTTGATGTTAGTGTTATACCCCCTCCCTACTGACCTGGATGTGTTTGGTGGAAGATGGGGATGTGAGATGGGATTGGATGGGATGAGATGATATGCTAATGTGGGTATGGGTGTAGCTGTACAAGTACTTCAAGCGTGCTCGGAATGAGACGCCTGCTGAGCCGTCGTTTTATCAGATGGAGGTTTGTTTTTCTTTTCCTTCTCCCTTATCCTTACACTTCTTGTTGAAGGGGTTTGTTGGTTGTGGTGGTTGGATATGGCTGATGAGTGATGTGTATAGGCCAAGTTCAAGTACAACGCCTGGAAGAGCATTAGCCACGTCAGCCAGGCCAAGGCTCAGGCTCTCTACATCAAGCAGGTTGAGACTCTGATTGTCAAGTACGGTACTCGCGACTAGATAGATCTTGGACTGTTGGTTCACTAGATACTGGACTGGATCTGGATACATGGGTTGCGGTGATGGATGAGTTATGATATTGCATAGTCATCGATTGGTTCATCTCTCTCTCTCTCTTTCTCCCTCTGTATGTGGGTGTGTGTTGGGATGGGAGTTGTAGGCTGTAGATGGGTAGTTGGTTAACCCTCCCAGGTCTGCCCGAGCCAGTCTGGTTCGCTGTGGCTGGCTGTTGCGCACCATGGTGTATCGTCGGCCGTGTATCGTGTCAAAGGCAGGTCGTAGGGCATGCGGAATCCAATGACGGTGTCTGCATCAACGGCTGCAGCTGCGGCTGCATCGGGCATGTCTGTTCGGAAGCAGGGGGCCATTACTGTACTCTTTTCACCCCCCTTTACATCTTCATCCTGTGCACCTTCGTTGCCTGCGCCCAACAAATCCGGCCACACCACAACCCCAATCTCCCAACTACACCCCCTCACCTCCCCATTCGCATTCACGGCCGCCCCCCATGCCTGCGTCGACAGATTCGCTGATGTAACCATCGCCCAATCAATGCGGTCCATTTCCTCGTTCGCATACCGGATATACGTCTTGATATGTGGTGCCGCGCGCCGTCGACCCGCGTCTCGATCCGTAGACTCCTCGCCTGCCCACCGACACAGATACGGCCGTAGATACTGTAGTTGTTTCTGCTGCGCCGCGCTCTGCAACTTCATGTGAATGGAGCCGCCGGACGCATAACCATTCAGTGAGCGGCGGATCTCATCAGGGGTGGGGAATATGATCGAGTAGTTTGGCTTAGTCTCGTCTTTCGGAGCAAGAGACGTGAAGAAGGTCTCTTGGAGCCATTTGGGCGTTTGGCCCAGAGTGGCGACGGAGGATATCTATCCTCAGTATTAACACTAGTCTGAACAGAAAGTGTAGTGACATACCTGAGTCACAATATGCGGTCTCCCCTCCCCCTTCCCCTCTGAAGCTACAGGAACAGACCGCAAAACATCCCTCAATCCCAACCACCCCCACCGCGTCTTTCTCTCATCATACTCGCCCACCTTCAGCTTCGAAGGCACACTAGCCACTAACGCGGCTCTCACGGCCCCGAAATCGTACTTTTCGAGCTGTTCAACCAGCTTCCCTGTTTTGCTGGGACCATATGCCCGTAAATACGAAAGAAAATCTCTTTTAAACTTCCCCCCTGGTCCCATCTCCCCGTGAGGTTGGGAAGAGGTAGATGTGGATAGTGGAAGAAGGGGAGATCGCCACACAGCCTGGGTCATGTTTGTCCAGTCGCCGGGAATCATGTTTGCTGTGTGGATGACTATTCTACTTGGGTATTAGCACAGCTTCATGTAGCAAAGACAGAAAACAGGGAGAGGGGGGGTACATACTCCACCACATCATCCCACCTCACCAACACCATCATCTTGGAATGATGCGTTCCAAACGGCTCCGGCATGTATGCCACTATAGACTCGACATTGGAGTAACGCGTACATGCTTCCTTCGGTTCCTCTATATCAGCATACTATATACATGCCTCTAGTTAAGACCAAAGAAGAGGAAGAGGGACATACATCAATCCTCACCCTATTCGGCGCCTCCTTCTTCCACGACCCATGAACAACCTTTACTTTGACTAACTGCCGTACATCCTCATCGAACTGGCTCATCAGAAAATCCACATCAAAGAGGTAGTTGAATTGCCAACATTCGCGGATTAGCGGCGAGCCGAGGAGGTCGTGGAGTTGGATGGTGGAGAGGTTGTGGGTTGTGGTTTGGGGGAGGTCGCGGATGTGGGTTAGTTGGATGGGGGAGGGGACGGTCTTTTTCTTTTCATTATTTTTGGTGTTTTTGTGGTTGGAGTTGGCTTGGTGTTGTGCTTGGGGGCGAGGTGAGGTTGGATGCGGTGGTGGTGCTGTGGCGCGGGATAGGGATGGGGGTGTGATGGAGCGGTGTAGGGATGCTAGGATAGGGTGGTTATTGTCACTGTGAGTTCCTGAGGAAGGAGGATTGGAGTCGGAGTTGGATAGTTTGGTCCTTTTGGAGGGACGGTCTGAGTCCATTTTGTGGTTGGAAGAAATGAAGTGAGGTGATGCGGAAGGCGGAGGATGTCACAACAGTTGAACTGTAGCTATGTGGTTACAGTTGGCCACAACATACAATTCTATATCTTGGTATATTTTGATAATCCAATGATTCTGAATCGAACACCGCATCTAATATACATAACTATTATACACCAATCTACTATACACTAATATACACTACACACTACAATTCTACCACATGAATCGCTGCACCCTCCCCGGTTCCTGCGGCCACTCAAACCCGCAGTACAGGAAAATGTAGCCCGTCACCGCATTGATCACCAAGAACCAATACGTCTCCAGGAACAACGCCATATTCGTCGCCACCTTCGCGTTCAGCTCCTCCGCTGCATCGCGGGCCCGCTGCCGGTGCACCACCGGCGTCGGCTGCGGCGGCAGATGCAGACGCCACATCACCCACGGGATGATGAAGTATCGCGGCTCCACAAGCGGCGCCGTAATCAACGACAGCGTCGTGGCCGCCAGCCAGACAAGCACGAAGCTCACCTGCGGCGCGCCCTGGTGCTGCTTCTGCCGCTGCGCAATGTGCTCCTGAAGCCGCGCGAACGACTCGAACGGGATCGGCTCGGGCTTGGGCTCAGGCTTGGGGGCGGCCTTCTTGGTCTTGCGACGCTCGACCTTCTTCTGGTCCAGCTTCTGGCCCTCCTGTGGTACTGGGACGGGCTGGGTCTGCGGGACACGCATCAACTGAGGGACCGCGGGAACGGTCGAGAATCCAAAGGCCGAGATGACCATCCACGCGCAGAGAAAGTACACCACCACCGCGGCGTACTTGACGGCAGGGTGCGTGCGCAGCAGAATCCGGAAGACATAGAAAACATAGTGCCGGTTGTCGGCCAGCGTAAAGGGATGCACAATGGTGTTGAAATGGACCACAGCCAGCATCACCGGAAGAACCACCAGCGCCGTCAGCAGCTTCGGAAAGCCCTTTTGTTTCTTCGGGAAGCCAAAGTCGAGGAATTTAGGTAGAAGTGACTTGGGCAGAACCAGGTTGACAACCGGTGACAGTAGAAGGGGCCAGGAAAAGAACACAAAGTAGGGCCAGATGTAGAGCATCTGAGGCAGATGCAGGCCGGCCGTGTGGAACTCCTTGTGTCCTGCAGTTGTCAGTTTAGCACTCCACTCAAATAGACAGTCAACCTACCCAGCACCACACCATCATTCCACAGCACGAACCCACCAAACCCAGCCAGTATAATCAGATACGGAACAGCCGAGCTGACCACCGAGCCCAGGTTGTTCACCGCAACCAGCACCAACGAAACAGCCGTCTTGAAGTAGTCTATTCCAGTCAGCATCATCCACAACCAAGAGCAAGACACTAACCTGCAATTGTCGCCTCCGACACAAACGGATCATACAACTCATTCATCCACCCCGCCTTCGCAACATCCGCAAAGCCCGACGACTCGCATCTTTTCGACGACAGCCGCAACCGCCGCACGACCTGCAACCCGCCGAGGAAGATAGCCACCCAGAAGATATTAGTCTGTCGGAAAGCCAACGCCACCAATCCCAGCACAATAAATACCAGCGTCTGCAGCGGAGCAAACGCACCCTGCGACCGCTTCAAGTCCCAGTTGTATGCCTCAATGACCACCAGCAGCGCCAGGATATCGGTATAGTACAGCCCAGAGAAAAAGAACAGCGGCGGGAAGAGACAGATATTCAACACGGTATGGCTCAGCCATGCGCCGGACGGACGAGTGTTGCGTGTCCGGCGCAGCCGATCCAACAGGGTCTGCAGTCGCAACGGCAGCGCCACGGCAGTGGCGGCCACGTTGGTCGCACGCAGAGCATCCGGGGTCAGCTCCGTGGGGGAACCGCGCAGGAAGAGCGCAACCGCACACAGCACATAGGACCAGAGATACAATCCCGGAGGAGTGGTGATCTTGGGATCCCAATGCGTCCATTTATGAGCCCAGTAGGCCTGAGCCTGGGGGACATGAAAGGCCTCGTCCAGATACGGTTCGGGAACAACGGTATTGATCTTCGCCATCCACAGAGGGATCAGCAGGAGAACAAAGGGGATCGCGTAGCGGGCAGCCAGGGCCACGCCCGACTTGGGTTGCGCGTTCATGGTCTGTCAGATTGGGGATTGAATCATGCTTGACCGAGCTGAATGCCACTCCGCAGTTCCTCCGTAAACTAAAGACCGTCGACGCATATGCAAACCAACCAAACACGCCGCATTGGGCAATACGCATCGCGATCGATTTTCAATTAAACGCTGCAACTCCTTCCTTCCTCCAGCAAACAAACTCCAGAGCATGGGATACGCCCATTCAATTGAGCCGACACGTCCCTGACCCCCTTCTACCGCACCAATACGCCCACCCGCGCCGTGAGGGTCAATGGCCTTTCCCCTCCCGCGGGGCATCACGCCCCCGGAGATCTCTTTCCTGGCCGAGATGGAGATGGTCACCATTCTACCTCGTCAGCGGCTCGAAGGCCTTGAGCTCCTAGGAGTATGCCCACTCCCTCCTAACCAACCCAATTTCCACCACCACCACCACCACCATACTAACAAGCAACCAGGGCCCCGTCGAACCCCTTCTCCCACCCCGACGCGCCTCCCTCCCCCTCTGGCTCGCCCTCCTCCTCAAACGCCAACGCCGCGCCAACATCCTCCCCCCGCCCTGGCTACACCCCGAATCCCTCGAACTGATCCTCGAAATCGAGACCAAAGACGACGACTACCAGCACGTCTTCTCCCCGCCCCCGCCCCTCCCAGGCCAACCCACCCCGCGAGACCGTCGTCCACCCACCATCAGATCCCAGTACACGCCCTCAGGGGAGAAATACCACCCCGCACCTCCCTTCCTACCCGAAAACACAACCCGCGATCATATCCCGCCCGGGGAGCCGCCGGCCCTACCGTTCCATTGGCTGGAGGTGGGGACGATGTTGCTGGAAGCGGCGAGTGATGATCTGGTGGAGCCGGATCAGACGAGACGGTTGTTGAAGGAGTTGAGGGAAGTGAGGATGGCGAAGATTCGGTCGGGCGTGGATGTGCTGGATGCGGCGGCGATGGGGGGTGGGGGGGTGGCGTTGACGGGGGTTGGGGCGATGGAGTTGGGGGAGGGAAGGAGGTTTATTGCTGGGGTGGTGGATGGACTTAGGTATGTTCGATTCTTTCAGAGAATGGTATGTGGTGTGATGCTAATGATGGTAGACGGATTGGAGCGTCAAAGGAACAGGCTCGGCGGGAGGAAATGGCTGAGGGCATGGCCAATGGAGGGTATGATGGCACGCAGGACTATGAGGATGATGAAATGGAGTTTTAGATCGATATCAGAAGCTTTCGCGTTGTTTGTTGTTTCAGGACGGAGTTCTCGGACGGATATATTGACATGCGCATACATGATCGTTCAGATGTATATACCCTATATCAGTGATGGATTGTTGGCAGTAAAGGTCATTCTAGAGGTAGTCCATTCATTCCACCTATCAAACACCATCCGCATGCGACGCTTTGCTTAAACAGAGAGGAGATGAAGAAAGAAGATACAGCAATGGGGACCCTTGTGACAATCTCCAAGGAAACAACAAAACAACAAAACAAGAAACGCAAGAAGTGCCATCGATTGGATCCTACACATGCCAACGCCGACGACAAGAGGTATATAACATCTCCCGCAAAGAAAACCGAAGGAGAGAAAAGGGATCCAAACTGAATACAGAACGAAAAGAACGGTCGTCAGCACCCTGGGACGAGCCCTGAACCCAACCAGCATGCAACTAAGCGACGGTTTGATCCTTCTGCATCATCTTTCTGCGCGCCGCCAGAATCATCTCGTCCCTCCGCTTCTGCAGCAAGCGCTGGCGCTCCTCCTTGCTCTGCGACCAGCCCGTCGAGGGGGCCTGCGGCTCGGCGGCGTTCTCGGCATCGATCTTGGCGCGGAGGTTGTAGCGAGAGATCAGGTCCTGGCCGTCAGCCTTGGAGGTCGTGTGGCTGGGCGCGGATTGCACCGGAGCTGTTGGGGGAATGGCGATCTGGGGTTGGAAGGACGGGGGCGGCTATGTTGTCATTTCGTTAGTTGATGACTTCCGTGCGGGGCGCGAGAAGGGAAGAGGGGAAGGATAGACAAGACGCGCAGAAGGGACCAAAGTATCACAAAAGCAAAGAATCATGAAGGAAGAGCACTCACCACTTCCAACCCCCGACCAGTCAGGATTCTCTCCGTCGTCGCCGCAACATTCCCCCCGTTGCGCTGCAGATCCCACATAATCTCGCGGGCGCTGAGCTGAGGGAACATCTGGGAGATCTGCTCTACCTGAGCTGGGTCGACGACGCCGCGCGCACGACTGCGCCCGCTTCCGGAGCTGGGTTCATCGCGGCCGAGGAACCAGCGGAGCACGAAGAACGACACCACGGCGAGGGTGAGGAGAGAGGGGATATTCAGGGACGGCTCTTCGTCGGGCATTGTGACGGTGTTGGATTAACGGGCGGAGGTGACGAGTAGATGACGCGAGTCGATCGGATGAAGAGTCGCGACTGGGATAGGATGGTGGAGTGAACGAGAGGCTAGCTGGAAGACCAGACTGCGCGTTGGTTGAATGGAGGGTGAATATGATGGGGATGCCGCGGCAGATTGGGGGAAGCGGCGAGGTGGCGGTGGGACAATCGGAACGGGGCGGGCACGTTGTCCGGTCGGGTCTCGGGGCAGTTTGGCCAGGGGATTCAATGCAAAAAGCAACCATGCCCTGGGAAAAGGGATCGAGGCGACCAACGCCCTTTTATACTCTCTACGGAATACGATGTATCGGATCTTCGCGCCATCATTAACATATCTCATAAGATAAACCGGTAGAATCCCGCATCATATACATCATCCGAAACACCGAGCCAACCATGGCGTCATATAGCTCCTGTCCCAGCCAACCAAGACCCCAACGCACCAGAACAATATGGACAAACGAAGAATAAACCACACATCTACTTCATATCGGCAGGGGTTAACGCCTGGACTACACTCGTTCCCTCACTGAACCGCGTCCGGAAGATGCGGTTGGCGTTCTGGAACATGCCGTCCTTCAGCGACACAATAATGAACTGCGATCCCTTGAATCGCGTCTTGATCAACCGACCAATATTCTGCGTATGGGACAGATCCAGCGCAGCGTCGACCTCGTCCAGAATGTACATCGGGGCCGGCTTGAATTGCAACAGCGCCATGATCAGCGAAAGCGCAATGAGAGACCTGCACACGTTAGTCTTATACCTTAAGAGAATATCGAGGAACGTACCGTTGTCCACCACTCAGCTCGGTCAAGCTCTGCTTCCAGACCTTGCCCAGGGACACCTTGACTTCCAGACCTTCGGTGATATCCTTGCCCTCGGGGGGTTCCAGCTTGGCAAAACTGCCAGGAAGGAGATCGGCGAAGATTTGTCCAAAGTCAGCAGTGACCTTGGTCCACGTCTTGTGAAGAGCCTCCTTCTTGTACTCGTTCAAGTTGATGATGGTCTCTTCGATCTTGCTCTTGTCGCGGATGACGGTCTTCATCATGTTCTTCAACGCCGCCTCCTTCTTCTCGACGCTGTCGATCATGTTCATGACCTTCGGGTTGATCTTCTTCTTCATGCCCTGGAACCGCTCGGTCAGGTTGCGCAGAGTTGACTTGCACTCGGCGATGTTCTGATTCTTGAAATCATAAGCCGTGTTGGATCGTCCGAAGTTGTCCTTCTCGTCGGCGATCCACTCATGCTCCTCCTCCATGTGGGCCACCGTCTGCGCCGCGGCGTGTTGGTCTTTCTGCAGTTTGTCGAGCTGGTGGCCCAGCTTCTGGATCTCCAGACCCTCTTCCGTGACCTGGGAGCTCTTGGACTGCTTCGTCTGCTCGAGTTCACGCAGCTCGTCATCGAAGCCGGTCAGCTTGGCCCTTTCATCTTCAAGATGAGCCTGGGCAATGTCATGGGCGTCCTATGGCTGTTAGCACCATCACTAGGATCTAGTCAGTTTCTCATACCTTAATCCGGGCTTGTTCTCTCTTCAGAGACTGGATCTCCTCCATCTGGGCCTTAAGGGTGTTCTCAGTCTCGGCGCTCTGCTCCTCGGCCGCTGACAGATCGCCGCCGACCTGCTCCAGCTCCAACCGGGAATTCTGAAGCTCCTTCTGCAGGGACTTCACCGAATTGGAGTTCTTGGCCAGACTCTTCTTGAGAGAGTCCAACGAAGCCTGCAATTCGGCGAGTTTGCTGTCCTTGTTATCATTGAACTCACTCATATCCTTCTCGATCCGTTTGATATCCTTGGATGCCTCACTCTGGCGAGTCTTTGCGTCGGAAATGTCTTTCTTCAGCTGCTCGATGTTCGCTTTCATCTCTTCAACGGCGTGAATGATCTAATCCGTAAGCTTGGGCTAAAAAGATAATCAGGTGAAACATACCGAGGAGGACGAGTTGCTGCTGATTTGCTCCTCCGTGAGTTTAATCTCGTGAGTCTTAAGGTCCAGCTCCTGCTTGATGGTACGCGCGGCATCGAGCTTCTTCTTCTCCTTCCGCATTGTATCCTCCACTGTAGCCAGCTGTCGCTCCTTGCTTCGGATCTCCCTTGTGATTTCGTTGAACTTCTGCAGAGTAACGAGCACACCACTCGAGTTGGGAGCACTACCTCCAGACAGGGTACCGGACGGGTCGTAGACATCGCCCTCGAGCGTTACACTCTTGATCCGAACAGCGGGGTCGAAAGTGACCCGCTTGGCTGTGTCGGCATCATTGCAGATCAAGGTGTTGCCGAACACGTAGTTCATGGCCGCCGTGACTTCTTCATCGTATCCGATGAGCGACAAGGCAAGGTCGACCTTTCCGGGCGCAATCTTCTGCGCCGCTCCAATCTTCTCCGCCGACGCAACAAAGGACGAGATCTTATTCAGAGGGATGATGGTCACCCGCTTTTTCAGTCGTCCATTCTGGAGCAGCTGCGTACCGGTTTCGGCACTGTCGACAACAACGTTGTACAAACGACCACCCGCACAGATTTCGAGGGCCGTGGCCGCTTGGAGCTTCTCTTTATCGAGGCTAAACAGCTGAGCAACCAGACCCTTGACCTTTGACCGATCGAAATGGGGATGGGGATCGGTGTAGTTGAAGTCAACATTGGCGACCTTTCTTTGAAGCCCGTCAGCCCTCTGGCGCAACTCACGGATCTCCTTCTGAAGTTCCGTCTGCTGCTGGTAGAGCTGTTCCTCGCGGCCAGGCTCAAATCCCAGCCTGGTCAGCTCCGATTCGAGTTTCTTGGCCTGGGACTTCAAGCCCTCCAATTCTTTCAGAAGGCCAGAGTTCTGTTCCTTTGCCTTCTTTGCCCGAGGTTCCTCTTCCTTGATTCTCTTCTCCAGGTTAGCAATCTTGAGCTTCGCCTGTTCTTGTTCGGTGGCGGCTGTGCTAGCCCGGTTACGAGCGTCCTGAAGCTGGCCTTGGTAGCCGCTTTCCTGACCTTCTTTCGAAGCGACACCAGTCTGCAGGGTCTGGAGCAATTCCTCCTTTTGCTCCACCTCGGCCGTCTGAGCGTCGAGCTCTGCTTTCGCGGCATCGTACTGCGCCTGGAGCTTATCATAGATCTTCTTCTTCTCCTTGAGAACCTTTTCCAAGTCGCTCACTGTCCTCTGGACCTCGGTTTTCTTCTCCTTTTCTTCGGCGATGCTAGCGTTCTTCAGGTCGAAAACGGTCGTCAATCGAACAAGTTCATGCGAGTGGGACTTGACCTCGTCCTCGAGGGCCTGGAATTTGCCTCCCTTTCGTAGTTCCTTATCACGAGCGGCTCGGACCCGCTTCACATCCTCTTCGAGGTGAGCGATTTCGCTCTTAAGCTTGGCCGCATTGTCCTCCAGCGCTTGTACCCTTTGTCTCTTGGTCTCGCATTCTTCACCCGTGGCCCGTAGCCGCTCATTGCCTCGGAGATAGTCGTGCGCCACCACCAGTCGAGTCAAACGCTCCAAGTCATTCTGGGTCTGCTGGAAATCGAGGAACGCGCGCTTTTCAGACCGAAGCTTTTCCAGCTTGGGCTCGATTTCTTCCTTGAGCAGTTCCTCGATTTCACGCAGCTTCAGCTCCTTCTTACTCATGGTCTTCACAGCCTTTTCCCTCCTGTCCTCGAACATTCGTGTACCGGCCGCTTCCTCGATCATCGACAAAATCTCGACGGGCTTCATGTTCAAAACCTTCGTAATCCGACCTTGCATAATCAAGAAATTGGGGTTGTTGATATTCAGCTGCACACTCTGGAACAAATTCTGCACTGTCTGTTGCTGCGCACGGTGGCCGTTGATCAGGTATTTGCTCGTGCCGCCGAGGACGATTTGCCGGGTCACCGAAATGGTCGCATACTCTTCGAAGCCGATGGGCGATTTGGCTGTGTCGCGGTTATCGAAGACGATGGTCACACTGGCCTTGGTCACACCGGCTTGACCACGCTTGTAGATGAGATCCTGGAGGTTTTGCGCACGAACGGTGGACATGTTCGTGATACCGAGGACGAAACAGATGGCATCGAGAATGTTGGATTTACCACTGCCGTTGAGGCCAGTGATGGAGTTGAAGGATTCGTCCCTACAAACAAAGCAAGTCAGTCGCTGGCAAAGAAGTCGCCATCTCAATCTCCGCATACCATCCTGAGATCACCGTACGCACGGCGTACGATTTAAAGCCCTGGTCCATGTCAACAATCACTCATTCCAGGCACCCAGTGAGCACAACGTACGTCAATGATAATCTCCGTAATCCTCATAATTGCGACTCTGATCCAGCCCCATGAACTAGAAGATCAGGTGCATAGGCGATGGGATCGGGAGGTTGGCTGCCGAATGTTAACGTGTGGGGAGTGTTTTTGCGGGCGGTGTTTTGCCGTCGGGTGCCATCTGTTTACGGTTTGCTCTTTCGGGCTTGGTGCACGCTATCGGATAATGTAATCATGGAGGGGCTACACGTGATAGAGACAGGGCCCGCACGTCACCATACAGTGTAATAAGTCTCGGAAATATTCCAGCTCAGTGGCCAGAATAGTATGGGAATTATGATGTTTTCTGCCGACCTGTAGATCATGGTATCATCCGTACTGATAATAGTAGGGTTACGTACAGAAGCAGGCGGAGTTCCTCATTACGGATCTGTACTCTCTTAGAAGACTCATTCACAGGCCTGTTGACATAACACACGTGGCATGGCTTTCTTTCTTTGGTCATATTCTCTTTGTCCTATGACTTGGATTCAGTTAAGTTGTTTAATATGACTCCCCCTCACGCTACATACCTTTTGAGTCTTTGTCGTTGAATAGCCCTGTCTCTCGATCTCCATTACTTTTCTTTCAAACACGAACGTCCTGGAATTCCAGCGATTATATACTCCCGGTCTATGTGACTGGGTAATTGTGGTGATACCGAGAAGCTTTTGTGCCGGAGACCGCAGTTATGAGCTAAAAGCCTCCAGGTGCAACAGACAGTATCCTGAAGGCTATTTTCAGACTTTAGCCGTGGGAGAAGATCGAGCAACCAAGAGGGGGAGGGAGAGAATGGAAAGAAAACCGAAGCTCTTGGACTCTAGGGCGTGCTTTGAGGCCTTGGTGCAATGCCATATGCGCTACAGCCGTCTCAATGCTACACCAGTAGAAATACCCCAGGAAACCGAGGTCCAAGGGGCAATGGCAGAAACCACTGGCGATCTCTCCGAGCTTATTATTGCCATGAAATTCTCTCTTGAGGCAGCTAGGACTCTCTCCCTTGAGGAGTTCAGTCAGTTGCTTGTGTTCTTAGGAGACCCTCGAGCCGGCTCAAAATATCCCCAGGGACTATTGCAAGCCAAGCTTACACAGAGGCTCCAGGAATTCTACTTGATAGAACAACAAATGTCTGGTCTGCCTTCTAATGAGCTCTCTATCCCGGGGGGCCCTGTCGATGCGGATTTGGGAATTGCCCTGCATTTGGCGACGGGACGAGATATATCTAGAGATTTTTGGGACCCAAGAAGCGCCTCTATTAGTCTACTTCAAGAGAAAGGCATGAGTGATCGGTTTACATTTGGGTATGACTGGCACTGGAGGGCAGAGGAAGCATATCTTGACAGAAGCGATTGCCCTGTGCGAAAGTGGCCGAGGCATCTTAGGGAACTTCACGATCAGATGTCGGCTGATATCCTTGGGATGCTATCGCTCCCATTCTTGATTACAGGCTCGGCATGCACGAGGACGAACCTAAGCAAAACCCTTAAAGAAACAAACAAACGCCTAGAGATCCCAATATCACTACATACTACACTGAAATTCGACCTCGATTTCCGAAACAACTCCTTACGCCGGATGATTGCTCATGTCTACCACCCATCCTCTGGGTTCACTGCCAAGATATCAATGAGGGAAAGCATGGCTTCCCAAATTGATGCAGGCCTCAACTTCTTTCTCTGGCTAACAGGAAGAAGCTATGATGCAAATTCTTTTCGTCGCACGTACTCCCAGGCTGGCCCTTGCAGGAAAAAGTCCGCACCACTCGCGGAGATGTACTCATACATAAGAAAAGAACGTGAAGAGCAAAGAAATCTAAAGCTGTCAGAATACAGCCCTTCATTTCTCGGTTGGGTAGGCAGGTATCTATTTCAGGACCCGGTTACTATCCTTTTGTGCGGAAACTCTGTCGCCGTTGCAGCGCTTTGGAAAATTCGAACGAAAATGAGTATCTCTCGTCAGAGGCATATCTTAAGAGCAAGAACACAAAAAGAGCTTGAACGAGAACAAGAGAGTGGAAATATTTCAGAAGGCTTTCGCTCCAATCAAGGACAATGTTTGTTTCATGGAAAAGCCGTCGTCGTGCTCAAGAGTGGTTACGTCAAACTTGCTGCACCAGCGCACGATTTTAGATTACATTTCCGCATGGCCGCTAGAGAAGCGAGGAGGATTCTAGCTTTGCAGAAGGAGACAAAAATTTACTTTTTTCCCTATGAGGTTGTCCTACGTGTGGACAATAGCACAGTGTACCGAAAGCCAATCGAACGATTGTTGGCGTCTGTGCACGGTGAGGAATGGCTTGTCCAGATTGTCAGCGAATTAAAAGTCATTCAAGGAGGGTTGGCTAAAGAAACAGGCTCTGGGCAGGTCATTCCAGAGGCTAGGCTTGCTGTGATCCCCCACGATAATCGTCTTGGTAACAGTTGGAGGAATGGTGAACTACAGAGAAAACTATCCATCGGCAGTATTTTCCCATGCACGGAGATAAGTAACTCGGCAAAGGTGGGACGGGTCTATTTTAAAGGACTGCAACTGTATGTTCCTCAAAAAGCCGACTTCAACACCGTCTTTGTCCAGTGTGATCTAGTACCCGAAGGGTTTCGGCACCCCAACGCTTGTCCTGCTGAATCCGATACGAATGACCCAGCGAATCGCCTTGGTATCAGGGTATGTTATAAGGTCAGGGGTTCAAGTGAGCGGAGTGAATTCTGGGCAACCATGGATGGAGAGTGCAACACCAAGATATTGAACTCACTGGTTGATTTTTTAGATGGTAGGAGTGAGGAATGGACCGAGAAGCAACCTCGTCGGTTTTTGCCAAGGAACATCCTCAAGGGAAGAAGGAAGATATCCTATACAAGCTAGGATCGCTGTCTTGCCATGCTTTTGCTTCTTGTCCTAATTTGCACCCTTCACTCGGACGGAGGGCTTTCGGGTCAACATAAAGTTCTCCAAGTGACTGTAAGCATATGACATCGATATTGGAGAAAAGCAGTAGCTATAACATGGGGCCACGTGAATTGCGAATGAACTTCATAGATTCTTTGGAAGCGAATGCTGGGAAAAAAAAAGAAGGGGAAACGTATCTAGTTGCTTTATTACCCGAACGTCCCTGTGGAGGATATTTTGATCATGTGCAAAACGAGTTGGCTTGTGAATGGAATGCCTTTACCACAGCAGTACTACTGTTACTTTTCGTTGGATCATCCTCCATTAGCCAAGTGCTGTTTAAATATGTATCATATAGCATCAAAAGTGAGCACTCTCCAAGAACTCGTCTCGGTGGCGCAATTGGTAAGCTTGCCCTTCAACACTTCAATATCATCAATCAGTTACTAACTCAATATAACAGGTTAGCGCGTACGACTGTTAATCGTGAGGTTGAGAGTTCGATCCTCTCCCGGGACGCATCTTTTTGCATTTTTTGTCACCACTCAGGTGGAGCCATGGTTCCATACTTTTACTTCTCTTTTTGGCCCTGTAGATTTCCAAGACACTGTTGTGTTCTTGCGTGGATGGTGAGCTAGTTTCCAATGTGCGTTGGGAGTATACAGGAAGCAAATAAAACTTCGTATTTGTGTTGAATCCCGTCGGATTGGAATTCTCCAGCACAGCATTACTCGACGTTGCCTCGTTATTCCTCGAGAACCTAAGACCAGAATGACTGAGCTCAGAGATAGACAGAACATATCTTGGAGACGCTAGGCGGGGTTCATCTGCATACACGCAGCTTCCTTCATGTAATCGGCATACGTACTGGGTGTAGTCAATGAAGACTGGCACTGTGGGAGCCTTGCTGGGTTTGTTCCATCTGGTGGATGGCTGTCACTGCGATACGCCTACGGCATTGGACTTTGAGACCTGTGTCGGCTAGGATTTCGAGGCTGACAGTTACCGGCATCGCGTTGGTTTGAGAATGTTGTGGACTATGGTCCTCCAAGAAATTCTCCGTGCTCATGGCATGATGACCTGTTGTTGTGGTCCTACAGTCCGTTTCAACCTATTTTTATCGTGTTGTCGTTGGTGGTGTACATCCATTGCTTCCCGACGTTGTTTTGCTCCAGGCCGATCAATTCTGTCCGATACTGAGTAGTATAAGTGCCAGGGTCCCCTTTCCATCGTAGATGTGCTCATGGCAGCTGGTGTTTATTCTTCTGCCCCTTTTTGGGTTGAGACTTTGTGGGTTGACCATGTACGGAAATGTACACCATTGGAAGGCCATAGAGGACATTGGACCAGCACAGCAAAGTAGCACATCTCCCATGCATTGTTAGAGGTGAGGATTCTAAGCCTTATGCGATTCCGAGACATGTGAGCACAATGCTTTGTAGATAATGCTCCCTTTGATCGCACCCAGAGAATCGATGGCATATTCGAGTGGTCTCCATGTTTACGCGGCATGTGTATAATCCACTGAGTAGTCTGTTCATCGTGAAAATGGTCGGATAGGATATTGGATGCGTTAGGTTTTATTTGCTTCCTGCTTCTAGGGCCAGTCATGCTATAACACGGACGGTGATATCTTGTGTTTAGGCCTGACCGCTATTGGGGATTAGATGGGTATCGAGGCCATGCACGGTAGACGATCTACCGGCCATCGGCACACAATCGTCCTCAGGCATTTGCTTCTCTCAGAAGAACCTTGTCCATTTGGTCTTTTTTTAAATTCGAGTCACTTGTGTGCCGCAGAGTGTGGCCCAGTGCCCTTTGCGTTGAAGAGGACTCGTTTTTCTGGCTATGTTGTTGTTGATTTTCGCCAGAATTTTGTTTTCTGTGTGTAATGGAGCTAGCTATGGTGGTTTGTATCTCCCTTCTGCGTGGTTTTAAAGATTTGGTGATCTTCCCTAGCTGTGGATGTATCACCCATGTAGTGGCATCGAGACCGGTCGAAGCATGAAATAAATAGAAGCGAACCCCCAACATGTACGAAGGACCAAGAGTGAAACACGCCAACAAACACTTATGGCAACCATTTGATGACACGTATGGCCACTCAGAATCATTCTGAAATACATATTTCTCTAATATGCAGTCATTGTCGGGTGTATTAGACGTAGGTAGGTCGAGGTGTAAGATGAGGGTTAAGACGCCAGATCCGATCTATCAAAGTTGGGCATTGATAGTCCCTACTCTTGAGGTCGGCATCAACGAGTTGTCTCGGTGGCGCAATTGGTAAGCTTCACTTTCACATGCAATTCAACTCCATCAGTTACTAATTCAGAATAACAGGTTAGCGCGTACGACTGTTAATCGTGAGGTTGAGAGTTCGATCCTCTCCCGGGACGTCTTTTTTGGCATTCGAGCCACCACTTGCTTTTTGCAGCGCTGATACCGGGCTGCTCCGAATCACTGAGATTTGAACGGACCAATGCTTTCTTTTTTTGCTGGCAGAGGAAGCAGGAAGCCATTATAGCAAGGCCATCGATGTCGGGTAGCTACAACCATAGGCCCGGGCAACCTTGGAACCCCACCAGCAGCCTGCCTGTTGGAGGTAAAAGTAAAATTAAATCAACAACGGGCGTGGGGGTATAGTTCTTGATGCTGCCGGTCCCGACTCGATCATATAAAGGAGATGTGGCGGGTACACGGTGTGGCAACATAGATAGGAGAACCGGAACAAAGCTGATGACACCAGATCACCTGACAGAAGTATAGAACGTCCTAGTGAATTCCACCGTCAACCTCCTGCCGATCCTGGGAACTATCACCAGCCCGGCCTTCTCCAGTCTCATCATCTACCTTATCGCAGCCAGACACCCCGACAGTGTGACCTCCGTGAAGCAGCTATACTTCGTTTGTTGCCACTCGCTATCACTTCATCAGACTTAAGTCTCCCCAGTCGCTAACCAGACGGATGGCCATGGTATCCCATGCTTATATGGCTACTTTGCTCAGGTGACATAGGGACATTGGGAGTGTTGCGGCCAATGAAAGCCACCTTGGCAGGGAGGGGCGCCGAGTCCATGCCCGAGATGATTCTATCCCAAGACTCATGCACCTGCTTCCGCATCCATCATGATGCAATTTACATTTACAACAATTCATTGTCCTGGACTCAGGCCTCTCCGAAAAGTCATGCTTTCAACACCGATGGCATCACAACAATCCCTTTTGGGGTAGCGAATGGGGTAGCATCATGGAGTCCATAGATAGGGGTGATGCTCATTCTAAAGCCCCTTGATGAAGCTATAATCAGACCCCTTCAACAACTGAGTAGTCTCGGTGGCGCAATTGGTAAGCTTCACTTCTCCAAGACATTCAATCCCTCAGTTACTAATTCAATTCAACAGGTTAGCGCGTACGACTGTTAATCGTGAGGTTGAGAGTTCGATCCTCTCCCGGGACGCTTCTTTTTTCATTTTTGCCCTTCACTCTTCTTTTTGCCGAGCCGAACTGGTTTACCAGTGACAAGCCACCGATAGAGCCCTCAAGTTAACCGTTGCCGATGTTGGCCGGTGAGCTGGCCACACATCTTCTTCTCGAGGTCTCCAATACGCCATTCTTCTAGGAATTTGTTCTCTATAGATGCACTACATCGGGTCCCACTTGTGCCCATCATGGCCGTTTACTCCATACAGAGCACGCTTTTACAGCCAAGGCCTTTATCTTTTTGTCGTTCCATGGTCCGACATAACCACAAGGTCCGACTGCTCTGGGGACCGCTTGAGCGTTACAAGCCCTGTATAACCGATATAGACACGGACCCCTCGAGGCAAATACTGCACAGGCCAAACGACATGTCTTGCTCATTTGCCTTTTGCAGATATTCATCTGATTGACATATAACTCCTTTACAAGCTCGCAGTCATGCCGCCCGTCTTCAAATAAGCCCAGTGTGCAGTTTGTAGTAGGAGGCATCGATCGGTAAGTAGACGGCGAGCCTAAATTGAAAATACCCAAGGCAGATCTTCAGATACAAGGTATAGAGCTGTTACTCAGTGAGCACTGTTCCTATGGCATTCAATTGAGCTACCTCAGCCGTAGAGCCCATGCACCGAGATGCCAGTCAATCCTGCAAAGGAGGACCAGCGAGGAGTAAGTAGACCATTAGTCCATCAACAAATCCAGACACCAATCGCGGTATAGTTGGGTGGTGACAATTGCATCTTCCTCGAAGAGATTGTCTCAGCTAGAGCTCTGTACCTGGGTCATGATCTATACTGAACAAGGCATAGATACATGCCAGGACATTCGAAGCTTCACCGGTTCAAAACTGGAAACTGGAAACAGAAAGATCCAATGATACGGGACCTAGACCTATTTGTACCAGAATCTACTTACCAATGCGATGGGAGAATAATCTTACTACATAAAGCTTCTGTAGTTTGGCCCGCCTCCCTCGACATTGTAGCAATGATCGCAGTTGAGTATAGCAGACTAAAAATTCCCCCAGAAATCATTGTAGGAACAACACTGGGTATGAATTATCAATAGGTCTTTAAACAAAGAGTTACAAGTAAGAAGAACAACAGAGCTTTGTTATTGGGCTCGAGACAGACAATGTCCCTTTTTCGGATGGACGCCCTCGCAAGCCAAAGCATCAAACAAAACTTTGCCCCTCATATAGCACATTTAAGCTCACCTTCACAACGAGTCGTCTCGGTGGCGCAATTGGTAAGCTTGCCCTTCAACACTTCAATATCATCAATCAGTTACTAATTCAATATAACAGGTTAGCGCGTACGACTGTTAATCGTGAGGTTGAGAGTTCGATCCTCTCCCGGGACGCTTCTTTTTTTGTTCTTTTTTGCCTCCTCCTGCCTACAATAGGGGGTGGGCATGCTTCAATGTCTTCCTAATCTCTTGGGTCATATTTTTTAATGTTCTTTCGGAATTAACAGCCTGTTGGCGTAGTAAATACCTCCTGTTGCTGCACGCATACTGCCGCCCCCAGGAAGCATAGAAGTATACGAACCTGCGGCCCCTGTGCCATGGTACAGTAGTATACCCTTCACGCTCAACCAACACCCACAATCGGTCTAGAACAGAGCCTGTCAGCCCATCACACGACCTAAACCTCCCTAGCCAATCCCAATCTCACTTTCAAGCCTCCAAGGTGCCCACGGAGACTTATCGGAGACATTTGGTACTCCCAGACCATCAAGCACAGCCATTCCTTCCACGCAAAACAAAGATATAAAAGGCCTCTCAATCTCGAACAATGCTCCTCCAAAGCAACATCCTTTCCAAACCCATTCACCGTTCCACCAAACCTCTTACTTGATCCAATCCAATTTCCCAATCATTGATATCCCATCTATCCATCATGTCCCCAACCCCCCGAATCTCCCCATCCCGCTACCTCACCCCCTCCTTCGTAAACCAATATCACATCGCCGAGAAACTCACCGGCGTCTTCGTTCCCCCGCTCGTCGAACACTCCGGTATCCTTACCCCCTCCCCCACTCCCCTCGTCATCTTCGATAACGCCTGCGGCTTGGGCATCGTATCCAGCTACTTGAACCGGACCTTAGGTGACGATGTCAAGAAAAACTGGAGTCTAACCTGCGGAGACGCGACGGAGATGATGGTTCACTATACCAAGACGAGGATTGAGAAGGAGGGGTGGGTTGGGGCGGAGGCTAGGGTTGTGGATGCGCAGGATACGGGGTTGGAGGGGGGAAAGTATACGCATGTTTTTACGGCTTTTGGTGAGTTGATCATTTCTTTATTTCTTCCCTCTGGAGGGGAGGGGAAGCGAGGGGAGGGGTTTTATTGTGGCTGACAGATGTCAATCGACGGTATAGCATTCATGATGATTCCCAATGCGAGGGCTGCGATGAAAGGTACGATTTGATGAATTAAAGAAACATGCATTGCTGCATTTATCGTGAGCGGGACTAATATGACAATAGAATGTTTCCGCATCCTCCAGCCAGGAGGTATCCTCGCAACGTCGACATGGAAGATCTGTACGTTACCTACTCTACCAATCCTAGCCGTCCCCTATCTGTAATCAAACGCTAAGACAACACAACCAGCAACATGGTTCGTCCTCATCAAAGAAGCAATTGATGGCATGCCCAGCGATCTCAAATTCCCCACCATGAAGGAGTTCCTGGCGTTGCATAACGAAGGCTGGGATGAAGAATCGTTTGTGAAGGAACGGTTTGAAGAGGAGGGATTCCAAGATGTCAAGGTGACTGCTGTGACGAGGGAGACTTCGTTGACGATTGACGAGTTCATGGACGTTAGTCAGATGATCCTGACTATTGTGATCGGTGCGGTTTGGACGCCCGAGCAGCGGGAACAGCATGAGGCGGATGTTCCGGGGGTGGTGAGGAAGTTTCTGGAGGAGAGGTTCGGGGTGGATGGGGTGGTTAACATGGAGCCGGTGGCGGTGATTGCGGTGGGGAGGAAGCCTTAGAGGATTCTAATGTCGTTGATGGGGCTTTTGGGTTGATACGTCAGTACGAGCTACGTGATATCGAGATCAGTCATAGAGTCGTTTGATTCGAGAAATGTCCCTGTCTTGGACCAACCACTAAGCTAGAAACACCTGTTGCTCGACAGTACAACACCTAAACAACCATCGATACCGGCAGTGAACCTAACGCCGTGCTGATCCTACCCCATAATTCTCTGACATTCATGAACCTTGTGGAAATCCAACCCGCGTAAGACCCCGGCTGGGATCCATTCGGTTGTCCAGATCATCGTACCGAAGGATAAACTCGCGCTGTGCCACCTGTCAGCTTACAACGATGGAGGAACGTCCTCAAGAAGAGCAGAAGGTAGACATACTCGGACCTTCTTCCAGCTCGCAGGGTCCCACAATAGATAGACTCCCCTCTCACTCACGCCGCGCTCGACATCGACCGGTCCAGGATAGGTCTCGTCGCGGGTAAGCCAGCACCGTTCGATCTTGTGGTATCTCCATTTCCGTCCCATTAGCTCCTCCGCAACGACCTCCTGCAGCATATCCCGAGGCATGCTGTAGAATATGTAGAACAATGTCTCATCGCTGAAGCTCGGAATCCGCGACTGAAGCGGCTGGACATTGGCAACGCTGTAGCATGACGGAAGAGCGAAGTCTTGCTCCAGAGGAACGCCTGACATCGACGCAACGAATGGGGAGGCGAACGATGTATGTAGGGGTCTAGAACATGTCAGCAAAGCCTCCAGAGCTCCGGCCCGAGGTAGAACATACTCCGGCTGGTTCAAATCCAAGCCTAATGTCATCAAATCCTGCCCTACCGCAAGACTAGAAACATCGGCATTGTCGCTATGGATCATCCGTAACAAGCCGGCAAGCCCGAACTTGTCAAGTTCGCTCATCTCGGCGAATGGTAATTGATCAGTTATTTGCGCCCCTCCTGAAGACTCTTTTCCAGTGGCGGGAAACCCTGGCGGTCGCATGAGGTGTTGTTCGTTGTAGGTACTCGAATTTGATATTACGCTGCTATTCAATTCCTAAATCCAATTCAGTAACGAGCAATAGCACGGGCGGCCACGGTCCTTACCTCCTTTTCTTGTCCCGGGACTCTGCTAGACCCCTGATTCACCGGCGATCGCGACGTTTCAATGCCTGAACAGAGTGGTTAGTTGAATATCAATTGCCACGATTCACCCAAACATACCCCCTGACCCTGCATTGGCAGGCGACATTATCCGCTCTTGCCCGTTTACCGACGCGCCGACCATGTTGCGAGCTTGGGCAGACTGAGCCTGGCTCACACCCGTGAACGGAAGGCCGCCGGTGTAATTGCCAAGCCCTGCGCTTTGCATCAACGATCCTCTCCGATCTTGACCGAGGTCCGTGGGGACATTACGCCCGAGTGGGGGGAATTCCTCAATGTTGCCGGTCTGCGGTTGTGCCCCAGCACCTAATTGCCCGCTGATCCCTTGCCCGCCATTTCGAAAATCATCCAAGCGATTCGCAAACTGAGCGCCCGAGGGGAATACGTCGTCATGAGAGGGTTGGGATGGCTGTTGGGGGTGGTGGGTTTGTGTTTGCGGGGCTCGTGAGGGTGCTTGGGACGTCGCATGCTGCGGCCTTTGCACGGGGGTCTGCTGCATCGCACGTTGGCTGGCATTTGCCCATACTAGATGACTCGGGTTTTGGGTCTGCGATTGCGGCGGCGCTCCGGATAGCGAAGGGAAGTCTCTGGGTACGATAACAGGAGTTCTCAGCAATAAGCTCGGTACGTCCTTCCTAACAGGCCGGCCTCGGAGCCCAACCCTAGAAAATAAGGAAGCCACACTCACGATAGGTCCAAAGGCGTAGCAGGTTGGGAACCGCTCAGACTCTGTGCAAACGTTCCCATGGTCCCTATGCTGCGTTGCTGGTTGCCCTGTATCCCTGGCGTTCCGCTGACGGGTAAATTGAAATTCCAATTCGCTCCGCTGCCTGTTTCGTCCGGCGTCGTTAGCTTTCAGGGCGGTTCTACCAGTCGAGGCCAGACAAAAGTCGCACCAAGTTTGCCGTTTGGCAAGCGCGCCGACGCCAACGCCGCATTTCGAGCCTGTGCCTGTTGTTGTGCGGGGAACCCGGACATGCCTCGCAAAGGCTGGGGGCCTGGTCCTGCAAAGCCATACAGCGGTCAGCGACATAGCCAAGGTCTTGACAAGGCCGGTCAAGGTCGGGGGACTGCTTCAAAGCAAAGCCGGGGGAGGGGCTTGGCATGGCGTTGGAGGATCTTGCGGTCGTCGTGGGAGATTCATCTGAAGAGAGCTTGCAATTGAAGCCAGAAGGGAAACAAGCCGCGGGCCCAAGTACCAGCCACCCTCCACACCGCACCGTGAAGCTCAACGACGATGAAAACAAAAGAAACCTCCGATCGGAGACTGCTGGGGTTGCCGTAGCCAGCCCGATCGGGAGGACAAAGGGAAGGACGTGAAAAAGACAAACCTGGCCTGTTCATGGTGGATATGTGGTCGGTCGAGCGATACTGGTGAAAATTCAAGGTTCTGATACTGAATTTGAGGGGGAAATCCGCGTCAAAGCATGCAAGCGATAAGAGGCCAATGTGCAACCAGGATCTCTGCCCACACTCTGTTGCGACGGGCTCTGGAGGTGGAGTGGCTGCAAACGCGCGCTTCCGCCCGCGCACGGACCACCCACAGCCGCCATCACTTCCATGCATGGCTTCTTTGTTGCTAGGACACACGACCACGCCTGAGATCCAGCTGAGAATTGAGTGTTGGTGACGGGGAGTGGCCTTGCTACATGGCGAGTGCAGATGGGTGAACCTATACAGTTGGAAGGGTTAAATTGAGTGATTGTGTACATGATTCTCTCCAACGAGCTATTACTGGAGTAACAGCAGCATAAATGGCATCTTCCCAGATGCACCACGTACTATCCGCCGCCCAACCAAGCCAAACCCGCGTGTATGCCCCGATCACATGTGTAGAAGGCACCGCATCTATTTTCCGATTTCAAGTTTCCCCCCACGCCATGCATGAGGTTGTCCCAGCTGGTCGCACTGTGTCACCCCAGCCGCAGCCGCACACGTGACCTAGGCGCCAAAAGTCCGTCCCGTTCGCTTTTGATCCCGAGGCCGCAAGGACATCCTCCACCTGAGTCCCTTCGCCGTTACCAGGCTGCCATCCGGTCACAATGCATCGTCAGTCGGTTTTGCGGCTGGCTCGCCAGAGCGGGAGCCTCCCGCTGGTCGAATTGCCCCCTCCCTACCTCGCCCCGTCGCTCCATTTCTCCCTGAACCGGTCGTCCGTCCAGAGCTCGAACTTTTCTACCACCGCTGCCGTCGCCGCTCGTGGCCGTGGTGATCTCAACAAGACCCGCGGCGTGTCTGCTATCCACGCCACCGGTCCCAAGTATCGCCTGGGTGTGTCGAAGTACCCATTGCCTAAGCCCGTCTCTCCGGGGGCCCTCCCGAAGCGCAATCCCACCCCGGACCACGGACTCTGGGGATTCTTCCCTAAGAACCGAGAGGCCCTGAGTACGCCGACATATGACATTGAGTTCGGTTAGTTACGGATCCTTAAGGCCGGAGTGGCACTGATACTTATGATCGATCGTCCAGGCCGTGCGTGGTCCATCCAGGAGCTCCGTGAAAAGTCGTGGGATGACCTCCATGCTCTGTGGTGGGTCTGCGTCAAGGAGCGCAATCGCATAGCCACGTCCAACTTGGAGAGACAACGACTGAAGGCTGGTTATGGCGAGTGGGAGTCTACCGAGCGGGAGCGGGTGGTAAGTCTGCCTGTTTACACCCGGGAGTTGCAACTATATTGTTCTACCTGAAATGCTCTCCTAGAGCACCGATGGAGTCTCCCGCTTTCAGGACTAAGCGCTGACATATTGTTCCCAGATCCGCGTCACGCAAAACGGCATCAAGCACGTGCTCCGAGAGAGATGGTACGCCTGGGAGGATGCACAGCGTCTCTACAAGAAGGGTTACCGGCCCCAGGACCAGGAAGGCCAGGATGTCTAAAGACATGTGATAGATGAGAGATGTCATAAGGAGACTGGGTCTGGAGCTCCGTTAGAAACTATTGGTCTGTACTTTTGTATGTAGTATGTAGTATATGTTCTCTTATTATTAAATCTTTTCCTTTTCCCTCTCCCCCTTATTTTTTTTCCTTTCCATTTATTCATTAATTCTTTGTCTGGACGCAAGCCAGGCTAGTCCAAATTTCGTGACAGATTGTCGAGAGGTGATCGTTCGAAGGATGTCAGATCTAGGCAGTCAATTCCGATAGGGAATTATAGAGCCACGGGGAGATGAGAGCAGATAGTGTCCAATAGTCAGGGAGCTGGCCAGCTGTTAGTTGCGCGAAACCGGACGACATGATCGATCCACCGCGGAAACAGCGCTGGAAAAGGGGCAGGAGACTCAGGAGGCGAGACTGAAGAAGGGAATCCATCAAATTAATTGCATGGCATAATGGGAATCACCCTGAAATGCCAACGTTATTTGGGCCGGTGGAGCCCAGCCGGCGGGCGTCAGAACAAATAACGAATAAATATTTCCTGATCGATGATCCGCGGGGGTTCCAACTTACTTTACCCTGGACCTCCTTTCGCCCTCCCCTTCAAGTTCAACCTCACCGCTGCCGTCTCCGCATCTTCCCTTCTCCTCTTTCTCTGCATCTTCTCTGCTCCCATCTTCTGCCTCGAGACTTTCCACCTTTCTTTTTTGTATATTCTTCTTTGTTAGCCGCCTGCATAATCATCCACCATGGAGGAGATTGCCCCCGAGTATGATGTTGTGGTGCTCGGCACTGGTAGGTTACCCCGCCGCCGCCGCTCGACGACAGCTGTACTGACCCCCTCCTCCAGGCTTGACCGAGTGTGTTCTCTCGGGGTAGGACTCCTTGCTGCTCCCATCCCTCACTGCGGCCTACTGACATTTTGTCTGCAGTGTCCTCAGTGTCAAGGGAAACAAGGTGCTTCACATCGATCGCAATGATCACTACGGAGGGTAAGTTGGGCAGCTTAGCTATCCGCCATCCACCCACCACTGACCGAAGTCCAGCGAGGCTGCCTCGGTGAACATTGAGACTGTAAGTGTTTTCCTACCCAGGTTTTGTTGATAAATTTGGGTTACCTGCGGTCTCTAACGTCTTCCGCTGTAGCTCTTTAAGAAATACGGCAACGTCCGCCCCGGCGAGGAGCCCTGGAAGAAGTATGGTCGCGTCAACGACTGGAACATCGACTTGGTCCCCAAGTTGCTCATGGCCAACGGCGAGTTGACCAACATCCTGGTTTCCACCGACGTTACGAGATACCTCGAGTTCAAGCAGATTGCTGGCAGCTACGTCCAGCAAGGAAAGGGCCCCAAGGCTACCGTGGCCAAGGTGCCTTCCGATGCCGCTGAAGCTCTGCGTTCATCTCTCATGGGCATGTTCGAGAAGCGCAGAGCCAAGAAGTTCTTGGAGTGGGTGGGCGAGTTCAAGGAGGAAGACCCCTCCACTCACCAGGGTTGGTTGAGACCGTCAGGTTGTAGGAGCCGGCGCTAACATCACATAGGCCTGAGCATTCACACCTGCACAATGAAGGAGGTTTACGACAAGTTCGGTCTGGAGGACAACACCCGTGACTTTGTTGGCCACTCCATGGCCCTGTACTCGTCCGATGAATACTTCCTGAAGGCGGGCATGGCCCCTGAGACCATCAACCGCATCCGCCTGTATGTGAACTCGATGGCCCGCTACGGAAAGTCGCCGTACATCTACCCCCTCTACGGTCTGGGCGAGCTTCCCCAGGGCTTTGCTCGTCTGTCCGCTATCTACGGTGGTACTTACATGCTCAACACCTCCGTTGACGAGGTCCTCTACGACGAGAGCGGCAAGGTCTCTGGCATCAAGGCCACCATGAAGGACCGTGACAACGAGGCCGAGTCCATGTCGTTCACCACCAAGACCAAGAAGATTCTCGCAGACCCCTCCTACTTCCCTGGCAAGGCCAGGATCACTGGCTACCTGTTGAAGGCCATTTGCATTCTGAACCACCCCATCGACAAGACCGACGGCAGCGACTCACTGCAGCTGATCATCCCTCAGTCGCAGGTCGGCAGAAAGCACGGTATGTCTTTTGAGTATTATGGGGTTGTCTGGTGCTGACCTTATAGATATCTACATTGCCATGGTGTCCTCGGCACACAACGTCTGCCCCAAGGGATACTACATTGCTATTGTCTCGACTATTGCCGAGTCCGATGCCAACCACCACCTGGAGTTGGAGGCTGGTTTCGAGCGCCTGGGTAAGATTGAGGAGACCTTCTTTGGTTCCCCTATTCCTCTGTATGAGCCTCTCGAGAGCGGCGAGAAGGACAACATCTTCATCTCGAAGAGCTACGATGCCACATCCCACTTTGAGACCACAACCGGTAAGTCTCAAATCGCGCCGCCCGCAGGTTGATACTGACCAAATATAGATGATGTGCGGGACATCTACCGTCGCGCGACGGGCGAGGAGTTGGTGGTTGAGGGTCTCCGAGAGGGCCAGAAGCTTGTGGAGGAGTAAGACCTCCGCGGATCTATATTGGGGTAAAGTAATATCTTGACGCTACGGCGCTTTTGAATCGAGTCACCTAATTTCTTTTGGCTTTTCTACGCTCACGAATCATACCATTATTGGACTCGCACACTCCTTGGTCTGCATTTGAGTAACGGGCTGCATGTCGCCCGATCAGTTGGTGTCTGGCATCATCACTGTGAATAAACCTATCTTAACTAGCGCATTGTAGAATTTTCGCTCTATTGATCCAAAGATGTACATACAAGCCAGCGGTATCACCAAGCCATTCCCTGGGACCGAATCTAAATTGCCGCCGGATCTGTATTCGCCTTCTCATGCTCCGCCACTACACAAATACCCCCATCCATCCTCTGAATCTCCGCCCTCAGCAACACCATCCTCTTGCCCATATGCACCATCTCACACATCACCCGAATCTCCGACCCCACCGGCACCGGCCGCAGATACGTAAGCTTGAGGTTCCGACTAACACCTCCCAACGAGTACTGCCCAGGCTTCGACAATGCCAGCAACAGCGTCGACGACAGAATATCGACAATAGTGGCGGCGCACCCGCCATGCAAGCTGCCGAGGTAATTGCATTGCTTTGGGATCACGGTGAGGAGGTACGAGACGCGAGCCGGCGGTCCCGGAGTGGCGGATTCGAGTCGGAGATTGCTGGCTGAGGGGAAGTAGTCCCAGACCTGTAGGTTGGTGTTAGGAAGATGCACACAAAGAAGAGGGAATGGGAAAGCATGCCTCTCCGCCTTCGTTCGGCGATTGAGGCCCCGTCGAGTAGCTCAGGACGAGCTGCTCGAAGGGAGAGAGGTCTGATATCGGGCGGACGGTGGCTGCGGGCATTGTGGAGGGGAGGACGCTGTGTTGATGCATAGAGTTTCTGGTTGAGCGATTAATTAGATGATGTATGTCTGAAATGACAGTCTAAACATCCATCCCAAAAATAATCAATCGTATTCAGGGGAACGGCATATATATACGAAGGAATGAATCGCGCTGATGCCGAAGCCGATGCTGATCCTGATCCTGATGCTCGGGTCTCATACTCCGGTGTCCATGGATAAGCATCCAACAACCGAGGTTGACGGCAGATCTAAACCTGCTTGCTTGTGCGGGTATCCAACTTGAATTTGAGCATGCAGGGACCGTTTGAGGTCGAGATTTTGTTCGTTTCCTGGTTGGTCTACTGGCAACCTCATATTTTGCCTGTTTGGGGGTGTTGCGAGTTGGTGGTCTTGACCGGGCAAGCTATGCCATGGTGCTTTGGCTGAACCTGTCAGGTATTGGTCACGGACCTATTATCCCCACCTTTACATGGTAGCTTGAGACCAGGCTGCCTAGGCAGTTTGATAAGCATATGAATGGTGCTGGAGGGTGTATGTATCTGAATGCTGTTTGCTCATGCAACTCACCTGACCTCGCGTCACGTATGCTGCCTCAGGCAGAAAGCTCCGTGTCGGCCAGACTTGCGAGTCTCCTGCATCAACATTCGACTCTCTCAAACCAGCGCAGTCTACGAACTCGCCGAATGGTTGGCTGGAATTTTGACTATTAAATTAAATATTCTACTAATTGACTCAGCACTAGTCCGTTCGTATCCTGACGATCCATCGAGCTCGGTCGCAACCAAAAATATTTCCTTCTCCGCATTTATCCCTCCGCGCGCCGTTACGAGTCCATGTTCGCACGCAGCTATTGAACCACGAGATACCTGCCTCAAGTCGTCGGCGAATGGATGCAAGCCATTATTAAGGAGCATATATAAGCAAAAGCGCCGCGACACTACCAACACGATGAAGGATCCGCGCGCCAGCAAGAGAAGAAGGGTGTCGGATGTACAGAATACAGACGGTGATGGAGATACTACGATGCGCGACGAGGTTCAACAAGCATCTGCATCACCGCTGGCTGAAAAGACCAAGGTCGATTCTCTAGCGGCTGAAGAACCAGAAGCGCCTGCTACGTCGAGGTCAAAGCGACGGCGATCTTCACAGGGCGCCGTGACGGAGGAGAACCCTGAGACGGCTGCAGAGACGCCTTCCAGGGCTGGGGTGCGGTCGAGTGGACGACAGCGCAGAGCACCACAGAGGTATGGAGATGAGGCTGTGGACTCGCCTTCGGGGAGACGAAACGGAACACCGGGCCAGACGGGGTCGACGAGGAGCGCTGGGAGGGTGAAATATGTTTCGGATACGGAGGGGGAGGATGAGGAAAAGGAGGAGCAGGAAATGGAGGAAGAGGAGGAGCCGTCACCACAACCTAAGAGGCGACCGACAAGGACACGGTCGAAGAAGGCTACTGTTCGGTTTGAAACGGATGATGAGGGTGCGTCGAAGAAACGGGACGAGTCGCAGCAGTCTCCTACACCAGACGATTACCAGGATGGGTTGGAGGATCTTGTGTCGATGCAGCTACAACAGGATTTGGTCAACAATGAGCAGACGACTACGGATCCATCTGCTGTCAGGGGAGGACCGCTCCCCGAATATGCCCAACAACTCCAGTCACTGGTGGAAGAAGGATTGACAGAGGAGCTGCGACTGCTGACAGGGATAGTTACAGAAAAGCTGAATGGCAAACGACGGGTGCCGCTGAAAGGGCTGGAGACGGAGTATCACAAGGTCAACCAGCTCATCGAGCAGACCGTCACAGTTGGAGAAGGCAACTCGATGCTGCTTCTTGGGTCGCGCGGATGTGGAAAGACGGCAATCATTGAGACCATCATCTCCTCGTTGGCCCAGTCGCACAAGAACGACTTCCACGTTGTCCGTCTCAATGGCTTCCTGCACACGGACGATCGATTGGCTCTCCGCGAGATGTGGCGTCAGCTGGGACGTGAGACAAACACCGAAGACGAAGCTGGCAAGGTGAGCAGCTATGCTGATACCATGGCTACCCTCCTTGCTCTCCTGTCGCACCCGGAGGAGCTCTATGGTCCGTCCAATGATGCGACGGCGACCGCTGCCAAGTCGATTGTCATTATCCTGGACGAGTTCGACTTGTTTGTCACGCACCCCCGCCAAACCCTGCTCTACAACCTGTTTGATATCGCCCAGGCGCGCAAGGCTCCGATTGCGGTGATTGGGGTCACCACCAAGGTGGATGTGACGGAGATGCTGGAAAAGCGAGTCAAGAGTCGCTTCAGCCACCGATACGTCTACGTGCCGCTACCCCGAACCTTGGAGACCTTTTCGGACATCTGCTTCGCGGGGCTGAACCTGGACGACGGGGAAATTCCGGAACTACTGGGCGAAGTCGATGCCCAAGAGCAAGTCATCCTTCAGTCCGACCGGTGGACCCGCTTACTGGACGGATGGCGAGCTTATCTGCAGGTGAGCGCCGCATTGCGTGGTGACCACACACAGACCACGTTGCTGACCCTGGACTAGGGCCTCTGGATCGACGAGGCGTTCGCATCTCACCTACGACGGATATACCACCAAACCAAATCCGTGAAGGAGTTCTTCACGAGCGCGCTGATTGGACTCAGCGACCTCCATCACAGCGCCTACCCTCCGACCTCCGAAGGAATGCCTTCCCTGGAGATCCCAACGGCGAGCACATTCACTAGTCACCTCCTGTCCTGTCCAGACCCCGCCCCTCTCCCGTTCTCCGCGTCGACCACAGCCTCCGCAAGCCCGTCGTCTCTGCCGTTATCGCTCCTCTTAGCAGCAACCCGGCTGGCGGCGCTGTACGACCCGGGCTTGGAGACGACGCAGCCGCAAAGTGCTGCGCCTCTGGCACTATCATTCCCCGCAGCGTACGCCGAGTACGTGCGATTGCTGACGACCGCCAAGACATCTGCGTCCGTGTCGGGGGCCGCGGTCACGCCGGGACGGGTCTGGGGTCGGGACGTTGCGCGCGAAGCGTGGGAGAAGCTGGTGAGCTGGGGACTGATCAGTCCCGTGGGGGGAGGCAGTGGCACGGCAGACGGACGGATGTTCCGGGTGGAAATCAGTTTCGACGAGGTGGTCGAGCTGGCCGGGACGGGAGGATCATTAGGACGATGGTGGCGGGATGGCTGAGCGTGGCTGCCTTGCCTACTGCCTAGTGACTAGGCACATTGCTAGAGCTAGAGGACCTAGATCATGTCAATCAACCTTGCGCAAAGCCTCACTTGACATTCCCAGCTGCATCCATCCCTACCTACATCAAGCATAAACAACGATAATAAGTCTGCACCGTAATCCACTGAACATTAACTTAACTCCGATCCCCAGTCTGCCTGCATGCATGCCTACCGACCTGTAAGCCGGACTTAGCAGTCAGCATTTAGTTAGTTAGTTAGTTAGCTTAGTGGCCATCTACCAACACTTGCCTGGACAAACCAACACTACCACAACCCCTCCCCGTGCTATTACCTAGTATGTGAGTCTTGATTTTGCCCCACTGACCAATATCCATGACTGGACTAGACTAGACTGCTGTGAGCCTGTAAGGAGTAGAGTCTGGACATCTGCACGGGCTGAAAAGTAAATGCTAATCACTCAGACCTCTCTTAACTGTAATCTTCCTTCGTCCGAGTGCTGCAATTTCGGCTTATTGGAAGCCCGAGGGGGGTATTATCATCCGCTTAAGTAATTATATTATATTCAACAGAATGTCAGACTGTATGTATTGTCTCCCGTGGCTGGGTTAGATTTCTCAGGTAGTTATATGTCGAGATATCCGAACCTATACCGGGGGAAAAGAAGTGATGGGGATGGATCTTTCGTCTGGATCCTTCCGATACTGGTGGATATATCGAGTTATATCTTCATAGTCCTATGTATATAGCGAACGAGAGAGAGGGTGAAGTCAAGGCTGAGAATTAAACAATCAATAAAACTATGCGGCATGTGGGATGTATCATGCAAAATAATCCTCGATGTAAGCAAGAATCAATCAGAGTAGGGTAGGGTAGATAGGCTATCGGATCATTCAACGGGGATATCCACGGGGATAAAATCCTCTCTCATATACATCGTATGGTGTGCTCCGTAGTGAGTATTCCACTTCTAATGACTGTACATGCACAAACCCCTTCATACAGGGGAGTACGAACGATCCGATCAACCTCCGTACTTCCGGGATGATTTCGCCCCCAAACCCCCCAATATACTCTGTAGTATGATTCGGACCCCAAATGTCATACATATCGTGATAATTTCTCTCTTCTGGCGGATATGCAGGAACATACTTACATAATGACTACTTATTCTTTATGAGTGAGGTGATATACTTAGAAAGGTATCTTTCGGGGAGGCATCGGATGGGGGGTTACTTAGTCTGGACAGAAGGGAGGGGTTGTGTACATATTACGTCGTGTTACGGAGTACTGGGATAGAGGTATGTGTTACTGCATAGGATGTCTTCCGTGGTAGGGATAAGATCGTCGGTTATTGTGTTGTACAGATGTTCATTCACCGGTCGGGGTTTGAAGGGATATCTCGGATTTGATTATGTACATACTTCCTACATAGTAGACATAAGGCTTGACTGCTGTAGAGATAGATGTGATAATGACAGAAGCATGTAGTGAGTTGTACTGCGTAGGCAAGTAATCAGCCTAAATCTGTACCTACGGCTAGGGTACCTGTGGGGACTGGGGAGAATTGGTCTGTGTCTGCTGAACGGACGGGTTGGCAACGATGTGACTAAAAGAGGGGGCATCGGCAGAGCTGCCTAGCTCACTAACGAGGTACCACCTCATGGCGAAGCAAGGTAGCCGTCCTCATGGCAGGCCAGGCATCACTAACGCCATGCAGTGTCCGCAGAGACCAGACACTGGCCACTGGATGGTCTCGACCAGCCTTGTGCAACCCTAACCACGCCAGACCGCGAACAAGAATGCAGCATCCCGACCAATAATGGACCGCAGGCTGGTCGATCCGTATGACAGAAGCATCACTCTGGAGATTAGGGTCCTTTGACCACTGCCCAGGGGTGGTCAGTGGTCCTCCGCATGGCACCGACACCACGACCATAGGTGACGGTGTTATAGTTAGGATGGAGGCGGAACAGCACCGTTGTTGATTAGTAGTCAGCATGGCTAACTACACAGCGTGGCTCTGAACCGAATCCTGGTGCGATCCTGGCTCCTGACACTAGGACGAATTGGGATTTGGGAGCAGGTGTCTTTGCACACACTAATGCATGAAATCACCTTCTTGAGCTGGTGCTGGTCCAAGGTGGAATCACGGCGGGGTTAGTGGAAGAAAGGCTGCCTGCCTTGCCAGTTGCCAATTGGGGTGTTTGTCTGGGGTGACTCTTCGTTCCTTCATCTGAGTTGGGCATGATGGGCTTCCGTAATCTGAACGGGATATTCCGCGCTACCAAACCCCGTACGGAGTTGATAGTCGTCCTTCAGGCCAAGCCACCTGGGCAGACTGGGCACTAACAGCCGATCAGACAGTAGATACCCCAGCGGCCCAGCCTCGTACTTCGTCTCGCGTCCAATGGTCAAGGATGCAGTCAACCGTCCGCATCCCTGTCAACCGGTCCCTCATTGCGCGGCGTCCGGTCAGCGTCCAGCCGACCGTCTGGCGTGCGAAGAATAGCGGCGTGACCAGAACGATGATCCGAACCATTTTCGCAGCACATATCGGAGGTCTGGAGCATCTTCCTCGGCAACCAGGATAAGCCTCGAATTGAAGCCACTAAAAGCCAGGCGATGATGACTGATGCATTCACGACGCTGGGAAGGTGGGGCCACGACGAGAGACTTGGGAATTCGCGTGGAGAGCAAGGATCAGCGTCTGCCAAAGACCGCATCAAATAGGAAGCGATGGTGTTATCATGCAGCCGATACCCCTTGCTTCTGCAGGCAGAATCGATACCTAGAGGCAGAGGCAGAGGCAGAGGCAGAGGCAGAAGCGGCGGGCCAGACGGCGTGGAAGCCTGGCCATGTGGGCTCAGTCATCGCTCGCTAATCGGGGGAATGCCTTGAATGTTTTCTTCAGCGGAAGCCATGAAGCATGGTGATAACATGAATCGGCGCTGAATCGCAGCCACCAGAGGGTAGGCGAGTGTCAGTAGCAGCACATTAGGTTGGCCCGAAGGAAGCAAGAACCCCGCTCCGGGTCCGACTCCGGTCTGTTCCGGCTCCGACTCCGACCATCCTGGCCAATTCTCGCCCTATTTTCGGTTTCTGGTAAGTGGCCTGGCCGCTTTGGGTCGTATCGTTACCGTGTGTACCGGACTAGTCCGTACCGTTTCCGCTCATACGCAGGGTAACGCTCAAGGTTCGATTGGCCGCCTCCCGGAAGATCCTCCACGTGCGTTTCTGTTGGAAATTACTACCTCTTCAGTAGGGAGCGACGGTCGGAGAGTTTCCTGACTAAGCGTGTTTGCCATCTCCTGAGTCAGTGAGTGCTGGCTGCAGTGAACACCGAAGTCGGACAATTTCCCCAGAATTGTTGATTGATGCAGCGGTGCTGAGAATAGATACATATGTAGACTCCCTCTGCAATGCTGCACTCGTCAGAATCCAAAAAAAAAGTGACAGGTCCACGGTCCAACTTACCTCCGAGCTGAGAGTTACATCACAGCAGCCACATGTCCTCATAGCCAAAGTAAAAACAACCCAACCGTAAACCCGTAAAGCCTAGTCCACCAGCCACCATATCCGAGCCTATACAGTACGCAGTACTCCGTACACCGAGTGATACATCCTCCGACAGGTAAGATTAATCCCTACTAGCCTGCTGCCTCACCCCAACACATCCCACCGGGGCCGGGCCACGGTGACGGACTACCACCCCTTCTAGCGTATTCCAGAATCCTTCCAGAATCCTTCTAGCGCATCCTTCCCCCACCGGCCCCGAAACAAAGAACCACCGCAATAGTGCATCCAAGATAGATTAACTCAATTAACTCAACCGTGGATACACCCTCACTAGTTTGTTTTCTCGAACAGTGAAATCCCGCGAACACCGTATGATTGACATCGTTTCTCCCTACCAGTGCCACCAGATCGGCAAAAATCAGTCGGAAAATTGGGCGGGTGGAGGATTTACCTCCTTGGGAAAGTTGCAAATCCGTCCACTTTCAACACGTTGTTGACGGCCGCAAGATGGGCCTTTGAGTTTTGGGGGGTGGGTTTGGTCGATCCAGAGGTTCGAATTTTGGTGCAGTCGGAGGGGGAGCGTCTTACCTGGTTGGGTAATATGCTACGGCTGGAAATCGGCGTCGGCCGGACGAATCACTCCATTGCGCCGGCGAACGATGAACGTCATGGGTCAAATTTGCGCTAGAAGAAAAGGACCCTGTGCTGGTGATTCTTCGCCACCGAACTAAGTCCTGCACCCGCTGCTACTGTGTTACCGTAGTGGTGGTGGTTGGATTAGACATATCCCAATCCTGATGGATTTTTAGTCCGACTTCTAGAAACACCAGTGCTTACTGTGCTCCGGGGTTCTGGTACTCGGGCGTTACTATACTTAGTGCTGGGAGCGAGGGTGCCCGACAGGATTCATCCCCCCCAGATAGATTGTTTGGGACGTAGGGCGATGTTATGGTTCGTCTCCTGGACAGGGATTGCATTCCTGTTGTTTGCATACGCATACTCCGTACGGAGTAGGGTGATATAGATAGATAGGTGCAGTGCCGGGAACCGAATGTTGCTAAGCTTCACTACAGTCACCTGAAACAACACCTCAGCCGATAGTTCCGATGGACTGGTTGATTTTGGGTTGGTTGTTGGTTCAGGGGCACAGCTGGTATCAAGGCGTTAACTTCCATAGTACATACTATGTTAGTACGTCTGGGGGTTCACCACCGACCATCACAATCCTAAGAGCCAGATAGACTCACCCAGCTAGTGAAGGCAAGACACGGTTATCGAGAGATCAACTCAAACTCTAATGCGTCGAACTGTGTAGAGGCGGAAGATACCGCCTTTTTACACGAACTAACCAATTGACCCCATATACCCGTTACTGGTACTGGTTGAGAGGTCAATTAGTTAGAGGCTTAGAGGCTTAGAGCACACACTAGAAGTATGCTATGGCAGATACGGAGAAAGTACTCCGTATAGTCTCCAACACTTCCACAGAGTACCCCAACTCGAACGACGGTGTGTAGTAAAGAATCCACCATACGCCATACAAACCGCCCGAGGAAAAATTTTCCTTCATGGCTCCATTATGACGACACTTGCGCACACATGGCTTTACCGTATGTCTTTCTTTTTTTCTTCGTTTCTTCCACCTGTAAGAAAAAAAAGGATATGGACCCTCCACGTGGCGTTGCGCCCGAATTCCATACCTATCCAGTCGAGAATTTCCTGGCTTGGGTGGATGGGGAGGGGCTCCACCGAAAAGAGCTTTTTTCCCCCACTTGGCTACCGGTGCCAAGAATTGGACCCACCGCCTGAACTCTGACCGCTTTTCGGGCCCGGTATTGCTTGGTGTTGGGACAGAGACATCCTGCTGTTGGTACCGTGGTTCGGGGGATTAGGCGGGTTTCAGGAGAATACCTGTCTAGGTTGGTTTGGGCCGAGGTAGAGTTCGGATTTGTTGATTACATGTTGCTATTCTTACTGATGTCATGACATTGGGTTTGGGGGTGGTGGCTGTGGTTGATGTGGTGTATTTTATCAGAGTCAGTGTAAGTATGGTGTTTTGGTATACTCGGTAGAGATACCAGATATCTTGTCCTCCGCTTGGACTCAATAAACGGGTCGTGATAATAGCAACTAGCAAGGTAGAGCCAGGGTAGCTAGATAGCTAGATAGCTATATCTAGATCCACTTCTGCAGGTAACTGGTTTGGGTAATAGGTAGGGTTGCATATTTACGTAGTTGGGATTAGGATATTCCATATACTCCGCCGTATGGTTCGGCGCGAGAAGATAGATTGTAAAGCGGCCCAGAGGAATCGAAGTGAAGATGCCGTATGCGACTTGCAACTTGATAAATTGCGAGTGAATCACCTGATATTAAAGGAGCTATGGAGGTTGGCTCGTCTTTCGGGTGAGTGTAGCATCGGTACATCAAAGCTAAGTAGGAACTTTGTGATCGTCCAACTGCCGTAGATACCCGGCTATTCTCGGGACTTTGCATATATAGCGTGCCAAGTGTCGAGCGCAGCTGTCTTACTCGGCATCCAGAGGCATAGACGGTTTCAGGTGTCACTGCTGCCAAGGCCTGTGGCAGGCTGCGCAGAATGATCCAGCCGATGGGCTTGTCTGGTCGAGAACCCTAACAGGCAAGGTCGGCGAGGTCGGCGACAACCTCAAAGTTTATGTTGAATAGCACGGATGTTGACATTTGACCACCCCTGAGTGATAGACATGGAGGACAGACCCTGACCTAGACAGGCCCATGGCGCCCCTATCCGCGAAGGTCGCAAAACAAAGTTGATATGTGGCTGAGGTCTAGCCCCGACAGGCCTGACTCAATCGCCAGCCACATCCCGATGCGACTGACTCTGGTCTTAGCGACAGCGCATGGACGGCCAGGGATAAGGTGATAGTTAGTAACCTCGTCCCGAAGAATATCATCCAATATCGAATAGGGGATGCTGGCGAGGGATCCGACCGTCTAGATGCAGCCTTGTCTGCGACCCGACGGGATCATCCCTGTCAGCCGCGTTACTCCTCGCGTGGCGGTCAGGGATCACCTGTCTGCGTGAACTGGATAGTGAGTTTCGCATGTCGCGGCTAGTAGCGCAGCTACTGCCAGCTAGAGGTTGTCCCCTGGGTGATGGCGGCTCTAGAAGCCTCCGGACCGGCTGTCATGCAGCAGGATGGATACGATCTCACCGATTCGGCACCTTTCGATGATCATGGGGCGCTGTCACTATCGAAAGCTGACGCGGATTCTGTCATACCACAGCCGTGTTCGCTCGCCTTTCCATGAAGCCATGAATCCTCCATGGATCCCCGGGCACGGCCTGATGTCTGACCGCAGACTCTCCCCGACTACGAGATAAGTAGGTGATACTCCGTACTGCGTATCAACTAGCCAAGCAGAACGGTATTACGTGACGGACCGCCGGGGGGTTTCAGCCAAGTCTTTACCGCCAGTCGGTCACGGCTCCAGACGGGCGGAGAGGGTGGAGAGCTCCGAAACGGGGGCATTACGCCATTTTGCAGCCCCTCCTCCCAAGGCTCCAAGACTGCTGGTTCATTCACCGCTTCGTGTTGCCCGGTGGTTTGGGTGGATATGCGAGGCGCCCGAGAGGCAGGTCACCAGACCCGAGTCAAGAGTCAGAGCATCGGGGTGGAGATGGGGATCTGATCGTGAATCCTTTCACCTGCTGGTAGATAGTTTACGTAGCAGACTATCTGACCGCTCCCACTGGCCTGGAAACCTTGTCCCGGAAGTTTTGGTGACACCGTGACGCGCCAGATGATTCTCCTCCGTCTAGATATTACGCCGCTGTAGCTAGCCGGCTGGGGCGCACGTCAGATGCAATCCTACTGCGATCAGACCTGCGTCCCGGAGGTAGGATGAGCCCCATGAATAGGAGGATCAGGAGGATCAAACTGTGTGTTGGCAGAAAGGATCGTCTCCGACCCCTGGTTCCTCATTTCCTTTGTTCCCAGTTTGGGGGGTTGACTTCGGATTGGCCGATGGCCGTGACAGCGCATTGGCAGCTGTAGTATCTCTAGTCGACTGGCAAAGGGTGGTCAGTGTAGCCGCTGTGATGCAAACACTGGTAGTCGGACGGGTCCAAATCCCTAGCGGCTCCTAGTCCTATAGCAAGCAGGAATTGGGCCACCCTGGCGAACCTTGTTGGCGTCCCAACAATGAGGGATCTGGAGATGGCCTGGAGAACCTGGACTAGTTGGAATTGGATGAGATGCCCCAGTCGATCCTCCATGTATGTCATAGCGGTAATCCTTCTTGCCTTCTCCGGTGGTCAACATCCAAGGTATGACGTGACCTGGTTAGACGGCGGCTGTAGCTGACCATGTATACATAGTAGAAGTGTAGATACGTTTCACAGCCATTCAATACAATTGCACCGTGGTGGGTGCAAGCAACTAAGCCGCGACTGACCCCATCGTCAGACCCGACGGCCCAATAATGCGAACGAACGATTGGGCTTGGACCCCGAAGCAGAGGATCTTTGCGAGTTGCGACTTGCAAGACACGCCGCGGGCGAGGCCAAACGGCGGGCGACAGCCAAGCCGCCCGAGAGTCCCCGAGCCACCCAACCCAGCCGCCAGCTCTTCTCCACGTGGACACACGTGGAACCGCATGGGTCTCGGCTAGACAGAAGGCAGGAAAGAAGACACCTGGAAGAGTCATGGAACGGTGGAAGAGCGGGAGACGCATCCAAGAAGGCGGCGAACGAGAGGCATCCACGCGAAAAATACGAGCCATCAGCCATGCCATCAGGCTCAGCCACGCGGGAGTCATCCTGTTTGTCCGCTCCACCGTTTATCCCTCTGGCATCGGGGTGCTACGTAGCGAAGGTACTTTGATGGCCTGGTCTGAAACTTGATCGTCTCGATCACATTATTGAGACGTGATCTGGCAGGGGTTCGCTGCTGGCTGCCTGGACCGATCAGATCAGAACGGGTCCATAGACTTTTATCACATGCAGCATCGCAAATAGTCCCGTTTGACTCCCTACAGCAAGTGACTCTCTAATCCTCACTCTAGGGATGGAATTGATGTATCCATTCTCGTGGCTCCCCGGATGCCCTGCAAGTTGGGGGGCCTGAGGCTGCCAGCCCAATAGAAACCGAGTCATAACTGATCGGCATCAGGGAATTGCTTGGTTCGCTTGGTCCGAATCAGAACCCAGCAAGGTTTTGTTCGGCGGGTTACCCACGTGGGCGGGAAGAAGGAAGAGACGAGCGAGGCTGGGAGCCTGCTAGCCACTATACCAGAGACAGGCAACAATTGAGGATCATCATCGCTGTTGTTGGCGGATGGACAGGGGAGAGGATATCAATAATGGAACTGGATGAAGCCTAAACACTAAACAGTCGACACAAACTGCAGGGCCATGAGGTGATGGGTCGTCCGGCCTGGGATGGGGGTGGGGAAGGATGAAAGTCGGTGTTCGCCAGCGTAAAATGGCGAGCACTTCACTCTGGTACTAGTGGCGCACTAGGCCTCCTTAGGCAAGAGCCTGCCTGCAAGTGTTCGTTACGAGGCCCGCTGACTGGCTGCCGCGCTTTGGGGATTTTCCGGTAATGACCCAAGGATGATCGTTACTTCTTGGAAGCCTGACCAGGCTCGATGAGGTCTTGCTTTCTCCAGAGGGAAGGTGCATGGTAACGTGACGGGCTTGGCGCTGAACCAACCCTGCCTGCTGGGCGGTCTAGCCAGCGACGTACCTTTGGCGGCAGCTGCCCAGTCCGGTCGTCAACACAGAGTACTACAGGAGAAGCGTGCTTGCCACGTTTTCTGCTCGCATCACTGGAGGAACAACGTGCTGCGCTAATTTGTAGACGAGGTACGGAGTACACACGTCGGAGTACACACCCTGGGAGGAGAATCCGACCTCCCAAAGCGATCTCGTCATATGATAAGAGATAGGGTGGGAACTTTTAGATGCACATTAGTAATGGACAAAAGCAGATAAACCAATAGTAAAGTCAGATCACTGCGATGGCTTTGCTGCTGCTGCTGCTGATGATTACCATTTGCTTGTTTCCTTCTTTCTATAGGAAGTAGATATATCTTGATTCCAGTTCCCATCCCCTCTCCGTCTCTCGGGAACCATATCCACCAGTCATCCCGTCGCTGTTGCCGCGAACGCTGCGCGATCTGGTTGAAACCCTTCCCAGGCGTAGATTTCGCTGATCATCCGACGCCAGCAGTTTTGGAAACCGGCCCACTTGGAGGTGGTTAAGACGGAGCAATGTACCTCTTGAGAACGGTACGGTACGTGACACGGGTATTATACACCAAGGATACCTGCCGGGGGGGCGCAGAGGAGGAGGCCCTGGTCGCCTTCACCGTCCAGGGATCTCCTTGCATCAAACCATGACAGGCAGGGAAAGAAAAAGCTGACAGAGGGGAGAATTAACTCAATTTACGTTGAAGCGGCCCCCATCCTCCTTCTACCTCATGTCAGACCGAAAACAGTGCTCGCTTAAGGGGGGAAAGGGCTGCAGTGGTAACCTTACCCAAGGTAGCCTTTCCGGGCAGCGCATCCCATCCCATCCCACCCATCCCACCCTGCCGGACTCTGCAGGGAAGCCGGCCTCTGATCGCCCCAAAGGACGATCCGTCCACCTTTGCCCTTGGCCCACGTTGTCTGGTGCATGAAACCGTCCGCGTGCACAGTGGGTCAAGAATGACAGGCCTGATTCTTCACGCCCCTGGAGACCCTCTTGAGCAGCCGCTGTTCACTTGGCTTTCTGCTCATCCTTTCCCTCTTCTTTCTTCCCCTTCTCATTCTTCTGCTGCCACTGCGCGCTCGCTGTAAGGGATCCATACGATACACCCACTGTACCAAAGCCAGATCGTACTCCAACTCTGGGAAGTCAAATCCACGTTACTGACTTACTGGCTTGTACAATTACCTGACTAACCACCACCCGAATTCCCCGCTTGCTCTTTTCGTCATTGGGGTTTGGATTTTATTTTATTTTACTTTTTTTTCCCAATTTTTTCTGGGTCTGTTCCAACTGGCTTCGATTTTTGGGCCTTTTTCTTTCCTTCACTGAAAGGGTATTATTTTACCTACCTCGTGTTTTCATTTTATTATTATTATATTTTATTTTTCTCTTGTTGCTTTCCCTTATCCATACATACACCCACCCCTCCACCCTCCCCTTCTTTTTTTTTTGCCCTTGACCCTCTTTTCTCCCTTTTCGAAAACGACATTTTTTTTTTACCCTTTTTTTTCTTTACACATACATACATACACATTCCCCCCCCTCCTCTTTTCTCCCACTCCGTCTTGGTTCGCACTATTCAATGCCAACCATATCCTCCGCTCCTCTCGACCAAGGCTCTCCTCCTTCCTCTCACCTTCTTTACTCTCAACCTCCCCGATCTTCTGCTGTTCCTATCCCGGTCTCTACCTCCCCGGTTGAAACTCGCCCTCGTACTGCTTCCGCTCCCTCTCTCCAGCACAACTCCGCACCCTCCGCTGTTGTCGTCCCCTCCCAGCCCACCACCACTACCACCACCAATCCAACTGGCTTTACAGGTTCGGTCATTGGATCGATCTCACGTCGCAACCGCCGGTCTTTCGCTGCACTAGCTCGTGAGAAGACCTCGAACGCCCTTGCGAATCTGTCCGCCATTGGAGGCCCGAATTACCCCCTCCGCTCCTCCGCCTCTTCGGGAAGCCTGTCTAAGCATTCGCGCAAGGCCTCGCAGGTCAGCGTCAGCGAAGTGCTCAGTGCCACGCCGTTGACTCCGCCATCGTCCGACGGTAGCGCCAGTAGTGAACGGTCAAGTCCTGCGCCCATTGACGCCGCTACTAACCGCTGTGCCCCGGCCGTGGTTGAACAGCAGACTAGTTCTGTTGAGAGGCGCCGTTACACCCTTCAGCGTGCCCCGTCCCCACTAGAACAACTGCCCGAACTCGGACCTTCTGTGTCCCCCGCCAAAATGCATCAAACCTCATCGCGTTTGTTGCGTATGACGGAAGATGACCGTCCATTCACAAAGGTAAGGTGATCCAATGTTGCGCTAAAGTGGCCGGTAGGGCGAAATGCAGTGAATGTTGGACATCAGGGCGGTTGTGTTAACAAGGATGGTTTTGGCTAGGATTTCATGGACCTTTTCTCGACCTTGATGGTCAGTTTGAAGTTGGATTCGCATCGTGTACGATTTACGAAATATGACCATTCGTTCACTTCGGAAGAAGCCATCAACAACCTTGGATCCCTCAAGTTTTCCCAATCGAATCGCATGCCCGACCCGAAAGACCCCTCGCGTATCGTCACGACCACTACGACGACCACCTTCTCCATGGCCAAGGAAATGGCTCGCTCGGTCTGCCAGCGTTTCGTCGACGCCCGCTTTATCGAGTCTGTGGATGGCAAGGCGGCACAAATATTTCCGTTGAAGGGCGCGTTGTACCAGCTTACTCCGAAAGGCATCAATATCCTGCAAAGATTCTGCCAGAGAAACGGTATCACTGCTCGCCATGTGATTGACGTGTTGGAGTCGCCTCGCAACACGATGCAATTGGTTAACCTGGAGCGCGATACCGAGACTGACAAGCTGTCACACGATCGAGCGACCATTGAAGTCATATTCCGCCGTTTTGCGGGGCAGGATGGTCCCAACGTGAAGAGCAGCATTTCCACCTCGGATTCGGATTCATTGAGTGATTACTCGAATGGCTTGGTCGGTGTGAAGATGGCCAAAGAGCGCAAGATCAACGACAAGATTTTTGTCAACACGTTTACTGGCAAGGCTGCGGTGGATTGGCTGATGGACTGTTCGACCACGATTGAGCGCCGCGAGACCGTTCTCATTGCCGAGCTTTTCGTCAAGTACGGCTTGATCACCATGTTGCAGGAAGATCGGTTTATCAACCAACCAGACGACTCGATAGTGGCATTCCAGCCTTCGAAGAACGCGATCTACGGGATGACGGACCGGGGGCAAAGGGTTTGCGGGTGGATTGCACGGGACAAGTCTCGTGAAACCACCATGTACGACAACCGCGGTATCCCCAAGGATTCCAACAATGCCCGCTTGAACCACATCCTTCACGATCCTGCCCTGCGACTGTTGTTCCGCGAGTTCCTTCGCTTCTCGCTGTGTGAGGAGAATCTGTCGTTCTACCTGGATGTGTCGGAGTTCACGTCGGCGTACCACAAGGCCGAGAAGTTGGGCACATTCAGGAAGCCGGATTCTGTCCGCGAGACGCTTGCTGCGGCATACGGTAAGCTTTTTTCCCGATTCAGTGTTTGGTGATCCGCATCTAATTGGTTGAACAGGTCTCTACAACGCGTTCCTCGCGCCTGGATCTCCCTGTGAACTGAACATCGACCACGCGCTGCGCAACAGTTTGGCAAGCCGCATGACCAAGGCCGTGGGTGACGATGAGTCGATGCTTAAGAGTCTGCAGGAGGTGGTGCATCTGTTTGAAATGGCCCAGACCTCGGTGTTCAAGCTGATGTCAAGTGTAAGTTCATATCTCTTTGATATTTTCGCACCATGCTGATGTCAACAGGACTCTGTTCCCAAGTTCCTGCGCGATCCCAAATGTGCCAGCATCCTCCAGGAACACGACGTGGATTTGATTGGCGCCCCCCGGGCTTACTCGCCCACTCCCGCCCCAGTCCCGGAGCGTTCGGCGAGCCGCTCAGCACGGTCATGATAGGAGCATCATGTGTGTCATGCAGGGATCCGAATCCTGTCCGAGCAGGCCTTGACCTTGGTGATTACTAAAGGATCTGACGGCACGTGGCCTGCTCTCGGACTTCACCGATCAACGATGAAACACACCATTACTGCGCAGCGCGGTGCTAATTAACGGAACGACTTGAACACGATTTGGCTTGCTGTGACTCGCTCGCCTAGTCGACGAGGTCTAGCCAGCGACCCCACCAAAAAAGTTTGGAAGCCGTCCAAACTCCTGACACGACATGATACACGTTATGCGTCTCCGATACGAACGCTCTTCTGTTTCTATAATCTCTTTCCCTTGGTTGCCCGTGAGAGCCCCCAGGCGGCTTGCCATTGCCGGCCCGGGATCCATGGTGATCAAGTTCAGCACGACCACTTGAAAGACGTTACGATCTATGGATCATGTGATAGAGATGCCGGAACCGAACCATTTTAATACACCATTTCCTTTCTTTGATTTTTTCCTTATCTGTGAAACCCTGACGCATGGACGGAGACTGAAGAGAAGGCTGAAACACGAGAAGTATTCCAGCATTAGAGCGGCGTTTAATTCTCGGTTGAATTCTTTCCTCCTGTTGCATATCTGCATGATTCTCAAGATTCCTTTTCTTTTCTTCTGGTTTCCTATATACTACCAATTTCCTTTGTTCCGTTGATGTGTATGTTGTGATACGTCCCCTGCATTGAGCATGGTAACGCGCATTTGATTTGCATTTTCAGGGTACAGCGAATTCTTTTACTCTTGTCACTACTAAACCGCGAGATTGACTCGCCACAAGAAATAAACCAATACATTCTGACCATCACTTATGTACAAGCACTAGGCAGCCCCATTAGAACAAATGACTCAATCACTATCCGCACGTCACTGACAAACGTAACCCCTCTTCCGCATTCAGTAATCACCTCCCCTCCTATCTATCTGCTTACGGATACCACTTAGTACCTCGGCAATTCAACCTAACCCAAATCCCGACCGACCATCAAATCCCTCTTCATCCATCCACCCGATCTCGTATCCCAATTACCTAAACCCGTAAGCATGGACACTACTACCTCTTACCTAACTCGTAAGCACGTACACTACTATCTATTCCCCCCCCACCCCGGTAAAGGAGATCCCCTACTGGTTGAATCCTTTCCATCCAACCACATGGCATCTCGGTGCCGAACACGTGGTGAACACGAGGTGGGAGGACACATGACTTGATCTTGACTTGATGTTATTTGGCTTGGCTTCGTTGGGTTGGGTTGATGGAGTCAGGTTAGGTCGAGTTCGATTGGGATTGGGTCTGTTTGATCGTTGCATTCATTGCAGAGGTGGATGTAGGTCGGTAGGTAGGTAGGTAGGTAGGGATACTTTATGTACTCCGTATCGGTATCGGGGAGGTACTTAGATACGTGGATGTATTCACGTTTGAATCCTTGCTTGGGCGCGTGTGTGTGTGTGTGTGTGTGTGTGTGTGTGTGTGTGTGTGTGTGTGTTTGTATTTCGGACATATGAAACTACGTACTGAACTACTGAACTAGGTATGTAGGTAGCTGGGTTGGGTATCAGTGAATTGGGTATGGGTTGTCCGACCTGATACTTATGTTAGGGTACTAGGGGGGTATTGATGAAGGATATCTATGTTCTCAATTGGATACTATTCACTAGGGAGCTGGAAGGGAGTAGTATAAATAGACCAGAATAGATATGACATGATAATCTAAGCTAAGCTAAGCTAAGTGAAAGTTATAAACATACATACAGAAGCTAGAAAGGAAGAAAGTGAAATGCAACGCCAAGGTCCCTACCATACGCCATGTCTTGAAACCAACGGAGAAGAATAGTATAGCATGATGCAAAAATAGCTGAGATAATGATGGATGATCAACGACGTAGCGGAGCGGCCGGAGTTTAGCCCGGATTCGGGGGTATCTCCTCCGCAATTTCCGGATCGGGGTGGGGAAAGGATGGGGGCTGGTACGGAGTACTGTGTAGGTGGAAATGCAGGCAGGTGGTATTTTTGGAGTGGTTGCTTGTCTGCTTGCTTGGTATCCGGGCAGCCCGCTAGAAGTGGTTGGATATATCCGATGGGATGGATCGTCAGGATGAATGGTGATCATGAAACGGGGCTTGTTTCGGATATTCCTCATTTCTCGTTCGGACGGACACGGCTAAACTGGGTGAAGAGAGGGATGAAACATGACACGGTGGTAGCCAACTGACAGTCTACTTGGACCCCCAGCCTCGCAGTCTCATCCCCTCTTCAATGGCCGTCCAGATCCCCTCGACGACTTCCCGATCACGCCACCGACCCGCGCCATGGGCACCCCCCTTCTCATCCCAGCGCTCGACCCCGAAGCTCTGGACGCCACGACCCCAGCTACGCACCTCCCGCGGAACATCATCCCCACGCCACCCGACATGGATGCCTGTGGCGTGTTTGAAGAGCTCCGGCGGGGATGACCACTTGTATGACTTGAACTGCCAGGTCTGGCCCGTTGTGAATACGGCAACCAGGCGCTGCCAGTAATCCGGACGGAAGTTGGCCGTGCTATCGACCAGGATGAAGCGGGTGGGTTTCCGGGATGTCGATTGCGAGGAGCTACCGCCCGGCCGCAGAGAGGAGCTGGACGGATCGGCATTCATGCGTAGCGGGCGGGAGATGTAGAGGATATTGGAGTTGGACATGGAGAGACTGATGTGATCGGGAGGAATAAACACGCCGTCTTGCAGGAAGGAGCGCACGTTGGACATGCGGATGAGGGACGAGGCCGACGGCGAGAGGAGAATGATGGGATCTTGCGTCTTCGAGCTTCCCTTGCGTGGCTGCGAGAGGCCAGCAGACGGCGAGGGCACCACCATCGACGACGGCGGCTTGCTGCCGGCCTTCACACCTGCAGGGTATTGGCCTGGCCGTGAGCGGTTGCGTCCCAGGATGGATTCGGCAGTCTTGCGGACATGAGAAAAGTCCTACAGAAGTTAGCATGGCGGACAGCTTCCCTCATTTCCACGCCTGAACCTACCGTTGGTTTGATACCCCGTAGAACGCTATTCCGATCTCCCATCTTCCGCTCTCCATTGTAAATCTCCTGCAGCCGGGGATCAATGACCTTGGCCGCCTTGCCCTGCTGGGTCTGCGCAGCCCCCCCCGGTGCACCACTAGGCACTGCAGACACACCCCCTGCAGCGCCTGAAGCAATGCTCGCCGAAGCCTGTGCTTGAGCAGCTGCAGAAGCCGCCGCTGCAGCAGCCGCCGCACCCTCCAACGGCTTGATGTACTCACTCTCATCGGACGCGCCCTCCAACCAGGTGAGGAGATCCAGACGCTCGACGAAAACCAGGTTCTGCACTTTCTCTTCCTCCTCGCCCTCCTTGCGCTCCTTTTGCTTTAGCGACTCGTTGAGTTCTTGTGCGGAGGCGATGTACTCGGGAATCGCAACATCTTTCTTCTGCCACGCGAAGAAGATGCTGCGGAGGTCGACAGCGGAGTCGGAGGAGCTGGAGACGAAGCGGGTAGGTGTGCTGAGGGAGATGGTCTGAGGGAGGGGGTTTTGGAAATAGAGATGGGTCGCTTTCGCGAGGTCGTCGGTGGCATTCTGATCCGAGAGGTCGCTCGAGGTGGTCGGCGTGGGAAGGGTCCCGGCCGCAATGGCGCGACGCAGCGAAAGAAGGGGGTCTTGGAGAGAGGGATCGGTGGCCATGGTGGCGTGTGAGGGGGAGGTAGCTGCTACCACCGCTCCAGAGGTCCAGGAAAGTGAGCGGGAAGATGGCAATGGACGAGAGTGGGCGGTGTTACTCGTAGCTTCACGTCCTCGACTTGGCGATGCGCAGGAACTGCGGAGCGCACGTGATCTTGGCCGTCCTCGATATTGGCCTCCGATTCACCAACACTTGCAACGGCAATAAATTACAAGATACTCTAATTCCACTCCTATCTGTCAGAGCAGGCTCTCAGATGATGCCAGATCCAGCTCCATCCCCCGAAGATAGCCGTCACGCCCGTGAATAGAATCAACGCCCCGTAGTCGGTGGCATACCCGATCCCTCCGCTCTCCTTGCTCGTTAGAGAGCCTTGTTGCATGAGAGCTGAGCTTAGCGGACCACTAATGACACTGCCAATGCCCCTACCTCCGGCCAACAGCCCAAAGACCAATCCCGTTTCCAACGAGGGTACCTCGCGCTTGATCTGGGTGAGCACTCCCGACCAAGTGGAACTGAAACCGCCCGCAAAGAAGCCGTATGTAATGGAGAAAAGGACCAGAAGGGCGATAGCAGCTTGCGAATAGCTTCCAGAAGAGGGAGATGTTGATAGCCCCCAGAACAGCAAGACGGAGAGCCCCGAGCCTACGGAGGAGAGCAACATGATGTTGGTAACGGCGAAGCGATCACAGAGAGACCCCAACACTATCCCCCCAACGACGGAGGTGGCGTTGAAGAGTGCCAGAAGAAGGGTTGCTGTGGTGTCCGATAGACCCGCTGCGGTGGTAGAGTATGACGGTAGATAGGTGCTGGGCAAGAAGTACCCGAAGCTCTGGATGATATTTCCTACTTGAAGCATCCAGAAAGTGGCGAGCTTCAAGAAAGCGAGGTCCAAGGGCTGTGGAACCGTCGACGATGCTGGGGGGATCCGTGGTCTGATGAAATGCAGTGCCAGGAGGGTGGTGAGTAGCTACGATGTTTAGTTAGACCAAGTATGAACTGGGAGGTAGCAAAGACCGACCGTGACTATCGTCCATGCTCTCAACGTCGTCCTCGCTCCAAAACGATCGAGACAGGCACTGGTCACAAAGGGCAGAGCCACGCCAGAGATGCTTTTGGCAGCCCACATGATTCCATACGCGAGGCCTTTGCGGCGAATAAACCACTGATCTAGATAGAGGGTGGTGGGGCTGAAGACGAGACCGTTTCCAAGACCACACATCACGCCCTCAGTCGCGATCAATTGCCAGACGGTGGTGGCAAACGAAGAGAGCAGAGAACCGCCAACGCTGAGGACCAGTCCGATCGACGCACAGTATTTCTGGAGATATGGGTAGCGGGTCAGAAGCGTGAACGTCACCGGGGACAGGAGATAGAGGATTCCCTAGTAGAAGAAACGTCAGCCTTACAGAAAGTACATGATGTATTGGGTTGAAAGGGCGCGCTTGACAACCGTTGATGTCGTTCCCACCATTGCCAGGCCCCCTTTGCCTCCCTCGAGGTCATCGTGTGTTGAAAAATATTCCTGGAAGAGGCCAGAAACAAGGGAAAACCCTGACCGTCATGCGTGAGCATAAAGCTGCAGCTGGCTTAGATCAATGCGTACCCCAGACTGGCAGTTGAATCAAACAGCACGAAGCGAGCATCAACCAGGCGCTTTTGCCTTGATCTACGGGCGGCAGTGGACGTTGCTCCAACTCAGAATGCGGGGAGCCACTGGAGTCCTCGAGGGATGGGCGAGACGAGGAATGAGATTGAACGGGGAACTCGGTCAAGTCGTGGGATGACATATTCGAAGGTCAATGACCAGCGATATGAAAAGAAGAGAGAAGGGAGACCATATAAAAAAAAGAGGACGACAGCGGATCCAAGGTTACCCCGCATCCTCCGAGGCTCAGGATGATTCATCCAAGGATAGTCATGACGCTCATCATATTCATGTTTATCTATGTACAGAACCAATTTTCATAAGGGGTTTTATAGCGGGATTCCAAGGGTCTCCTTGATGTCTTCTCCCCGCAGCCACCGCTCCATGGCCTCGTACATGCCCCGGAACTTGTCGTTATCCTCCATCGTCGGCAAGTCCAGCTTGATCTTGTGGCCCAGTCTCGCCTGGCAAGCCCCCAGGTACCGGTAGCCATAGGGGTAAGGCTGAAGTTCCTCCACCGAAAAGTCAGGCACATTCTTGCCGTCCACGGGCAGGATCTTGTCCTTCTCGTAGAACAGACGCTTGTAGTGGACTTTCCATCCAGCCGGGTCCTTCTGGCACCACATGATGAAGCGGCAGTCACATTCTACATCGAACTCGACACCGTCAAAAGAGAACCGCTGGGTGATGGTCGCCTTCATCTTGCCGACGGCACGGCCCGTCTTGGAGTTCAACTCGACCAGGGTACCGTTCTCACGATGCATGATGTGATCACCGTTGCGACGGCCTTTCTTCGAAACTTCAATGAACTCATCAATTGGCATTCCACCACTCCATGCTGCAGATGATTAAACCAATTAGCAAACGTTGCACGAGCAAGGTCCGAACGAAAGAGGACAGGGAAACGAACTGGTGAAGATATAAGCCTGTTCGGCGAAGCAGTTCCGGTAGTGAGCCCATTCAGAGGCATCTCGGTATACCGGCCATCCCTTCAGGAGCTCGGTGACACAGAGCCGATCGAGAATCTCCTCGGTGGTGCCATTGATGTGGCTGTGGATGGTGGGTTGGGGGTCTTCGGCGGTGATGTTGACAACCATGGTGGAGATGTGCTAGGTATGGAAAGGAACGAGATAGTTTTAATTGGAAAGTGATCCAAATCTGCCTGATATCATCCAGAAACCATCCCGGGCATCCTTGCGAAATATATACTCCATAAATTTGAAGTCCCGTTCGGAAAGCCGAAAGCCGACTATCAAGCTGGTCTTGATGTCATCCGATGGGAATGATATCAGGCAACCAACGACCCGTCCTCGTCATTCTCGGTGGGCCGGTGGAGCCGACTAGCGTCTAGATGAGCTTGTCTAGACACCCACCCCAATTTTAGATCCCTATCGATGTGTAGGAGTCCATACTGGCCGGTATCCCGAAAGCCCCTCGGAGCCCAAGTCAGCTTGACGAACATCATTCTCTGTGGCTTAGTTCTCGTTGCTGAGAATTATAGCTCATCATCGTAATGGACGGACAAATTCTCAGCCGTACCGTTGTTTCATTCCAGATAACGAGATACAGCCTTGATATGGGTCACCCTCGAGACTACATCAATCGCAGTCATTGGAGCGGTCCATGGCCGCTCCTGCTATCACCATGGACAGCGAGCCAATGATGGAGTGAATAACTCCCCGTGCGTCAGGTCCCGAACAGTCTGGAAGGGACGAATGCATCGCTGTGGCACCATAAACTGCCATTAGTCCGGGAACAGTCTGAGAAAGGTTGAATGTAGCCCCTGCAGCTTGGTAGGGCCAGGTGGATGCCGCTCGAATGTATTCTAAGCTGGGAACTCCAACGATTCGGTGAGTGGCGCAGCGGAAAAAGTCTCAAGGTACAGTCACACAGCTGGTAATTCTTTATCCGGCTTGTCTCAGGGGTGTCTGGGCTGATGAGTTCACTGTCCACGTTAGTCATGAGGAGTCCTTATCTACCTTATGCAGCCAGCTAACTTGCTAGCCCTCTCACGGTGGAATGGGCCAACGAATGGTTGACTGATGTTGGTGGTTGAGAATGAGATTCTATACAGCGTAGCTCCCGATCACATGGCTGGCTGGATCCCGGGGCCTGTCCTGCTTGGGACGGCCTGATTCCTCGGGAACAACTGCGGCGAGGCGGACCCGAACCCTGCATCTCAGGATCACCCATGAAAAAATGGACCCTCGCATCGTATTGCGAGGCCGGTTTCTTCGAAACTGCAAAGTTTAGGCCCAGCTGGGTCGGACCCTTGACTGACGTCATTGAGGCGCCTCGTATCCAACCCATGGTCGGCACTCAAGCTTCGGATGGTTACCCGAATGCCTCTCTACCGGACCTTCACCTACGGTACCGAGTATCAATGTGATCGAACAACGTTCAAAGCTTTCATTCGTCATGATCCGCTCCATCAGGCCCGGCAGTGCGGTACCACTGGAGCATTGTCACAAATATCCTAGTAATAGAAGGGGAGAACGGAAGAAGACAGAAATAATAACGACAATCGTGAAGCAGGTGCTCACATCATGACCTGTATAGGTCCTCCTAAACCATTTCCCATGCCCATAACCCATCCGGAGTATTTCCCTAACCCGCTCCCTTTCCAACACGCCGAATACGCCGCTCAAATCAAAATAGCTCCCGCCGGCTGAACGCCTGTCAAGTCCCATCGTGTACAAGTCGAAGAAGAAAAAAGTGAAGAACGGACAAAAAGCAGAAAGTGTTCCACAGAGAAAGTAATCAACGCATATTATATCGTGCAACCCCCGGCGGTCAGGGTAGTAGTCCACAAGAGATAGCATCAGATCGTCACGTCGCTGAGGGTATGTGTGAGGTCTGCGTAACCCCGGAAATGTCCTTTAGGGTGACATTCTGGCCAACCCGATCATCGGGCTTGGCCATGTCAGGTTCCCCGGCCGTCTTGGTATGGGTGTATGACTTGAGTCCAGTGGCCGCTCCATCACGACTGACCTGGGGCGGAGCAGGTGGGGTGGGCGGGGGCATCGCGGTGGTCTGAGCTTGGGTCTTCTCAGACGTAGGTGTGGATAGGGTGCCCCTTCGAATGAGATAGTCACCCAGACTGAGTTTCTTCTTCACTGGACTAGGGCCTGCCACGCCAGAGACAGGGGTGGTAGGAACATGGGTTTGTGAAGCTGCATCGGTGGAAGGTGATGACAGCGTCGATGGCGCCACAGGCCCCGGGCTGGTGGTTGACGGATGTGGGGGTATAGTAGCGGGAATATGAAGGTCGGGGCTGCAGTGGTTCTGTTTAGCGTTGCTAGGTATCCGAGCGTTGTGGGCAGCAGTTGATGGCCACGGAGGCGGCAATGGTGGCTTGACCGACCCCCGTCCTGACAGGGGGGATGCATCCAGATGTATATCATAAGACCGTGATGGCGAGGTCTCCACCGGCGAATCGACATCTTTCATCTCGGTATCCGGTTGATCTGCAGACACGCTGGGGGTGGTGGCTGTCAACGGTGCTGCTTCATGTGGGCTCATGGAAGTCGGCGACGAGTCTTGATGCTCAACAAGGATTGTTCGAGGAGAAACAGGCGACGGACTGTTCTGTTCGAGCCTAACACGATCGGAATAACATCTTTTCAGCAGGCGTTGAGTTAGAGGAACGAAACTTGGTCGTCGTGGTGACGGCAGACCAGGCGAGAGCACACCATCGCTGGTATCCGGTTCGGTTTGCATTGCAGAGTCCACATAATGTGAACGTCCCAACGGAGACCGGACAGGGGGTGTGCTGTGACTGCCAGACGTCTTGCGCGGCGAGGCGTGACGCATTCCGGGTAGTGAGCCCACGGGCCCGCCTGATGGAGGAGAGTGTGACTGGCGGTCGCGCACGCCTTGAGTGGATTGGCCACTGGTACGCTTCCTCTTTCTGTGTAGTGCCTGCTGATCCTGCTCCAATTGTTGAAACTTCTTCTCCGCCGCAGCAATCTTGCGCTTTTCCCGGGCCGAAAGTTCGGATTCCCCAAGCACGAAGCCTTCGGTAGGAGTCTGCAACGTAGGGGTGAGATCACGACTGCGAGTCTGGCCGCGCACTGAGCCTGATGCAGAACGGTTATCGGCCTGATCGTCTTCCTCTAGGTTCTTGGTGGACTCACTCCCCGCCCGGCTAAGAGCCGCAGGTGGGGATATATTTGTCTTGGGCTTGGGCTTCTTCCGTTTAACGGTCGCCGGTTTCGCGAGAGCATCCACCACATTCGGGTGACGTCGGCGATCAACGCTAGCCAGCAGGCAATTTGACGGAGGGACACAGGCGCACCCACCGAAGTGGGCAAGGACATTACTGATGCAAATTGCCGCATTATCTTGAGCATTGTCATTGGGTTCCTGCTTGACTAGACCATTGCTTGATTCAAATAGCTGAGGATCCAGATACCACATGGCAGTGATCTCGGAGTCGGCAGCGATATCTTCCTTGGCAACAAAGCAGAAGTGATACTCCACCTGGTTCGTGATGTAGGTCTTCATGGTGACATTCGGACGACACGAACGCCGTACGTAGCGAAGCACACTCCCCTCATGTCGACTATCGACGTAAATTGGGAGCTGGGGGTGGAAGAAGACAAAGGGCTCTGGGTGACGGAGTTCTTGCCATCGATTGCCGGGATCAAGACAGTAGTCTCGCAGAAGACCAATCTTGCCGGTGATCTCCCCGACAATTTCATCCTTGCCCACACGATCGCGAGTCTTGAGGACCTTCCACGTTGGGTGTCGTCCTTCAACCTCGATGTTCGAGTCCGTGATTTTCTCAGTAGATAATGTAGGCCAGCGTGACCGGTCAAGCGCTGCACCAGACCACGTGAAGATGTCTTGTGCGGAGCGCCCATTCGCAATCCGGGCGAGAGCCGCGGGCTCCGTAACCCAGGAAGCCAAGTCTGCCGCAAGAGGAAGGTTAACGAACAGATTGCTGTCCATGCTCGCGTAATCCTTGCCATGGTCGTAAAGATGAAGAAACTCATGTGAATACAGGGGTATGGAGGGCCCTGATGACTTTGTCGGACTCATGGAGGGTGCTGCGCGTTTGCGCGCATCCGAGGGGAAGTTGGGAACACCCGACATAGAGCTAACGGAGCCAGAGGCGCGATGATTGGTTTTGACCTTCTTCGCAAGGGGCGGATCCCGAGTACTCGATTCTGACCGGTGATGAAAGCCGTTCATTTGATCGCCGTGCTCCTTGGCCTTCTTCTTATGACTCTTCGCTCCAGACCGCTTGGCTTTCCGGTCACCGCCGTCGCTCTGTTCTCTGAGGCGCTTCTGCCGTTCAGTGGCGCGCCGGCCGTCAAGGGGACGAGGCTCGCACTCCACGCAGTTGTGGACTTCCGGCACATCCCGACCATGGTAGTAGCATTCGATATGCTGCCAGGTTTCACACCCTTCGCAGAAGACCGTGTTACCATCATCATCCTCGAACGCACAGATGCATTTGATGGTGTACGGTTCCTCCTCGTCAGGGGCGATCGAGTCGGAAATGGTGCCGTTAACAACGGGCGAGTTCAGAGGGACGGTGACCGGAAAAGGCTCCGTGGTTGGATGCGTGATGGCGACTGGGGAGGTATCTGTCATAATCCGACAGAATACCCCCTCTCAAGCTGAACAGAAAAATGCGCTGTGGTAGTTCGAGAGGACGAACGGGTTGAGGGAACCTGTCAGATCCCAGCACGCATATCACCTGCCGCCTACTGGTATGTGTCGCCTGGCCTAGACTCTCACGACAGTCAACAGTGACGAGACAGATGGTCTACCTAGTAGTCCGACGGTGCCAGACGATGTAGTCCACAATGTGCCGCCCTCTTATCGAAGAATGGTCCACGAAGGAATGAAATCGTAGGAGGGAATTAGCGAAGGAAGGATCGTGAAGTCGTGGCAGGTTGTGTCGATTCACCGGATTCGAAAAGGGACAGGTTGTTCGAGGTCTCAGTAGAGTCGTCTTCCTCGGTGGCGCGTGCGACCGTTGGAAAGCAGGAAATCGAGGATCGGTAACCGATTATTGGGAACAGGCAGACGGGCCACGAGTCGCATGGAGGAATGAGGAGGCCGAAGGACAGGAGGAGACAAGAGAGGGTGGAGAGGCCAAACAAGGATGATGTTCGTAAGGAGAGTTAGCAGTAGGGGGACAAAGGCAAGAAAAGGAAGAAAGGTCGGAGGGAAAAGGTGAATGAGATGACGGAAGGTGGACGAGAGAGGAAGGCAAGAGACGAGAAGGTGAATCGGGAATAGGTGAGGAAAGACTGGCAAAGAGGAAGAAAGGAGAGCCAGAGGGAGAGAAGCGAGGATCAGAGGAGGGAGGGAGAGCGTGAGTGAGAGTGAGAGAGAGACAGAGGCTAAAGCCACGGATGGGCCATTCAAGCGGCGCGTCCAAGACCCAGAGTGAAAAGGGAATGGCGTGGAATTTTTTCTCCCACCCGTCCAGGCTCTGGGGAGAGCCGGTGCTGGGTAGTAGTTAGTTGTCCTTGGGATGAGCTTCAAGTGCTTGGTTTGTTTTTCTGTTCCCTTTTGCTTTTTCTTTTTCTAGGGGGGGAGGAGAGGGACCTTTTCCCTTGAAACCCCCGTTGGGGAGGGTTAATAATACACACGGCAGAATCGAAGAATGAGGGGGGTGTCGTGGGAGAACGAAAGGGACAAAACCGACGACGGGCTGCCCGGTCAAGGAACGAATTGGAAGCTCGAGTGGACGGAAGGGAGGGGGGGACCATGGGGAACCAAAGGGAAAAAGGCGAGATTGCGAGGCCGGCCGGAAACGAACCCACGCCAGCCTGGACTGAGCTCACCTCCCTCGAACCTCAGACCTCAGACCTCAGACCTCAGCTACCGGGCAACCTGGCTAGTCTGGAAGCCTGGAAGCCTGGCACCCGGGGGGATTGCAGGCCTGAAACCTCAGGCGACAAAAGACCAGTGCTGCCTTGGGGGGGGGGGGGGGGGGGGGAAAAGGAAGGGAAACTCGGGTGGGGAATCCGGCTTGTCTGGTTCCGGCAGGAGCGGTGCCTCTAGCCCCAATCGGGGTAGAGGCCATGCCAAGTCCCAGTTCGGGCATAGCGGGGGAATCATAGGCTGGCTGGCCATCAGATGAAAGGCAGCCAGCTCGATCGGGGGAGAGGATCCAGGCATCACCAGAGAGAGAGAAGGCAAGAGACTCGAGTCAGTCCCAGCACTCACCGGCAGCACCGGGATCGTGGGTGAAAGAGTGGGAGAAAAGAAAAGGATAGACGACAACAAAATCAAGGTGAGGGAAAACCTAACTTCACCTGGCTGTGGATCATTCTAGCAGCACTTTTGGGCAAGAGTCTCGCCTGTCGTAGGCCAGTAACCCGCCATACAACGCATGCATGCGTTGTCTAGCCGTGTTAGCGGTCAAGGAACAATGCAGAATATGTGAAGCAGCAGGGCGGTGGAGGCTGACAAAAAAAAAAGAAAGAAAGAAAGAAGAAAAACAAAGAAGAAGTTAGTTCGAGGAATCTGGTTAGCATTAGAGCAATGGTCAAGTCATGAGCAAAGTCGAGTGTCCATCTTGGTCGCTTATTGTACCTGCCGCCAGGCGGCAAGGTCGACGAGCGGCTGCAGGCTTCACGGTGAGGCCACACTGAATGCAAGTGACAGATGGACTCGTAGTTTCACAAGAAGAGAAGTGTGGCAAGTCAAAAATTTATGAAGCCCCAGCAGATGTGGAAGCCACGATCTCCCGTGGGATGCAATATCCAAGCACGATATCAGGCTCGGGGGTCTTCTGGGTTGAGGGAGGAGAGAAAGAGATGGGAGGTCTTGACAGAAGTAACAGGATTCTCAGCGATTTATGAGCTGTCGTCGGATGTGAAGGGTTGTTCTGACAGTTTTAAGGGAAAGGGGGGATTGGAAGGGGAGAAGAATGGTCTGTGAGTAGGGCCGACGATTGTGCTTTAAAAAAAAAAATCAAATCAAGAAAAGAGAGAGAATGGGAAAATCAAAAAGAGGCGACGGTTAGTTGGGATTCTCTCATGACCTGCTCGACTCATTAAATTACCCATTCCAGCCCGATGGTGGAGGGTGCTGGTAATGGTATCGAGCGTTACAATGAGGAGGGGAAGACGGCGGACGAGAGACGCCAGGGGAGAAGGACATCCGGATTATCAGGATTAGATATGGAGTTGGGATTTCTCCGATAACATGATCTCTGCTAGCAGAAAAGGTTAAAGGGTTAAAAGGGGGTTTTGGCAAAAGTAGGGAACTGAAAGAGACCGAGGGGGGGAGCCGTGGCCTAAATTAATAGCGAGCGAGCAGGTGGTGGTGTTGGCTGCTACGACGATGAGGGACTGCTGCTAGGCTGACCTAAAGCGGTGGTGATGATGGCAAAAAGACGACTGAAGGGAATCATCCCATCGCCATTATTCATTATTCCTTATTCCCCCCAACCCTCTAGAACCAGTCGGGCTAGATGCTCCGCCCTGCCGATTTCCTCTAGCTATTGAGAGATTTGATTCACTAGCACTGGCTTTCGGCATGAATGCCAATTACTGAATCATGGGCCCGATTAATCGTCTACTCTTGACTACAGCCAGTGGACGCAAGTGGTATTCTTATGGGCGCTTGCTAGTGCGTGAAAAATACGTTAGGGGCTGACAGGCCAGTCCCGTGCGTGGCGACCCGCCCGGGCCTGCCCCAATGGCCTCTATCTTGCCGGGCAATACGGAGTACTACTAGTAATGCTTCCGCCCTCCCCGTAGCACGCGTCCTACCGTGTACCTGCTTGAGTGCAACCGACTTCCCTCCATAACCTTCTCAACCATCCCAGATTCCTACGGGGAATCATCGGGGAAACGGATCGAGAAGATCAACTCTCCACAAACGAAATCAATAATCGGGAAGAATATCACTAAGGAGGCAGGCTTTCAGAGACACAACGTATCATGTGGCAAGGTGGGCGCCCACCCACTATCAATACAAGCCATATCAATAATCGCAATGGCCGACCGGGAGATTAGAACCACTCAAACAATACAGGTATCGGAAGACTTTCAGGATGGGAACGCTACTGACAACCACTTCTCACGGCTCCAACGTATTTGGCGTGCGAGCATTCCGTGAAGCAGCTGGTGACAGCCCATTACGCTCCGACCACAAAATCCTCCACCAGCTATGGTGGGTGGCGGCATTGGCTTCCACGCTGTCCCGCTCCGATTTGGACGTCCGTTGTAGAATGATGGCTCTCAACTGGTGGCCAAAGTACAGCGAACTAAACGCGGTAATCCCCAGGTACACGGGGATAGCATTTCCGAGTCTCAATTCAGACCAGGACTCGACAGGAGTTTCCTCTCGCGACGGAGCCGGAAATGCAAGAATGAGAGCGTTGGCAATGGGCAGCAGAGTGCAGCCCAGGATTCCGAGATACACTCCGTAGGGCTGGATGCGAGACTGGTGGACTCGGAGAATGCCCTGCTCGTCCGTCTTTCTTCGGAAACGAAGGTATATAATGCACGAACACAGCCATGAGATGGAGCCGGAAGTGGTGATAAAGTACATCAGCGAGTTGAAAAGTGCAGAGCTGGACTCTGCCAGGGAGAGAAAGGCAAACGCCGAGAATAGTGCAGATGTGATGATGGCCACATAGGGTACGTCATATCTGTTGCGCTTCGTGAACATTGCAGGGGCATGCCCATAGTCAGCCAAGGTGTACAGTGTGCGAGAGGATATGTAAAGGAACGAGCGTCCAGAGGCGACAGACGAGAGGAAAATAAGCACGGTAAAGACAATCCGCAACGCTGGGATATTGGCTCGGATTAGGCCCACGACGAACGGCGACATTCCGGCGCCCATGCCATGATTGGTCAATTGAGGCTCGTCAAACGGACTGACGAAGGTCATCATGAAGACACTCAGAAGGTAGAGCACGAAGAAATGGATGCTGTCAACCCGGGCCATGCTTAGGATGCTAGGACCTCGCTCCGTGTTGGAACGCTCGGCCCTTTGGACGGTTATCTCTGGAGTCAAAGTGAAAGATATCACACTGCACAGGAGGCTCTGCAGAAAACCCAAGAAGCGTCCCGGATTGCCCCGAACTAGGTACTCGTTCAGGGGTCCAGGTTCGTGCCAGTAACGAAAGCCTCGTATAGGGGTCCCCGGAAGACCTCGGATGGCCAGATACAGCGAGAAAACCACCAGTCCCGCAGTAGTTACAAATTTCAACCCTGTAAACACTGCCTCTGTTCGTCGGAAGGCCCGTTGCGGAAGCATGTTGAAAACAAGGATCAGGACCGCGACCATCGAGATTCGCACCGCCATTCGAGGCTCAGGACTCCACAGGCCAAGATTGACCATGCCGGTGGTGATTTCAAAAGGGACCATCATCGCCAGGGAGTACCAGCGGAGGTAGCCCAAAGAGAAACCCAGATGATTCGAACCATATTCATAGCTGTGCGCCACCATGGTACCATTGAGTGCCGGCCGGTGAGCTGCAATCTCTGCAATGGCGGTTGTCAAGCAGTATGTTAACACAGATATCAGTACATATGAACCGAGTAATGATGCTGGACCCCCGGCAGCTAGGGCCTGCCCGGCCCCGATGAAAAGGCCAGTCCCAAAGGTCGGAATAAGAGCCATGATGCGTGGTTAGGAATGGAGGCGTAGTGGTGCCCCGGAGCTCTACGAATGCCGTGGAGCTTTCCCTTGTGGAAAAAGCTGCCGCAGACATAGTTGCCGGATGTGAGGCAAGGGTACGTCCTTCCTTTTCCGACAAAGCACAAGAAACGGAAGGTTGACTGAGAGGCCTCCACATATGCAGTAGTCACCTTACACAACGTGGAGTTGAGAATTAAAGAACAGGCAGGCCAAAAATCCAGGGGTATCATTGTATGCCAAACAGAGCAGGAATGACTGCAAGATAATCAGTCCGAGATCTAATCTTCCCCAGGGATAGACCGCAATAAACGCCAGTTCGAATAGAATGGTGAAAAAAGCACATTGCGAACGAGCAGAAGAAAAGCTTGGTCAACTATCTGGGCAACAGCGATCACTGATAAGCCATATCGGTCTCAGCGTATTCGAGCCATTCCCCGGAAAGGGACTTTTTCCAGAATCGTACGATACCATCATCGCCAGAGGAGATAAGACAGTCACCTATGTAGCAGTTAGCTAAGGGCAAGGTAGATCACAGGGAGCTTCTTGCAAAAGGCGTGCGCGACTTACCGGCGTATGAGAAGCCTACTTGCCACACGTCCAGGTGCTTGCTGTCGATGCATGCAACTTCCTTGAATGAATGCTTAAATTGGGAATCCGCGGGGGCTGCACGGCTGGACATGGACACAGGTGCGCGGCTAGCAAGGGCGGAGCCGATACCTGACTGCGTTGTTGCACGGATTGATGGGGATTGGGTAGAAGACTGAGCATGGTTGCCGTTGGGATTTTGGGACCCAGTGCCAGAGGCAGTGGTGTAGACCTCGAAAACCCGAATGAAGCCATCCTTGCACCCGCTAGCAATGAGGTCATATCCTCTCACCGAGCCATTGGCCCAAGAAATGTCTCTCACCAGGCCGCCATGTCCAGTCAGCTCGATGGCGTGGTAAAAGCGCCGACTGGCATCCGTGCGATACACCTTGACGCTGTCCATGGCTGCTACCACCAAAGAAAGGCTCTTGCGATCCGACGAGGGCAGGACTGAATGGGTGATGTCCGAGGGATCGTGGTGAAACTGCACCCTGAAGCTTGTTTCCTCTCCCCTCTGGGGAGCCGTGCAGACTCTGAACTGATCCAGAGGCTGCCAGTCCGCGAGGGTGTCCGGACTTACGGGCTCCATGACCATCAGGTACCCATCACGAGTAATGACCGCCATCCAGGATTCCAGGTCGATGTTGCGGAAATCAATTGAGACAAAGGGGTGGCGCTGAGGCGCGGTCATACGAAAGATGGATCTGAAACGGCGGCCTGAGTTCGGAGGTTGCGTCACATCTTCCTGCCATATCTTGCATTTCATATCCTCACCCACGCTGCCAATGTGCTGGCCGGTAAAAGGGCCATTCCAAGTCGCCTGAGTAACGGTTAAAACACCACAATACCAGACCAGATACCAAGCAAACGGGGCCACTGCGGTGATTGCTTACATCACGGATCTCCGCGTCATGGGCACGCCAAGTATCTACGAGTTGCCATTCCCCATCCTTCTGGTCCCAAACCTTCATGCGGTGATCAGTCGAGGCCGTGACAATGCGATTGCCATAGAAATTGAACTTGGTAACTGAGACCAGGTCCCGATGACCAGCGTCAAAGTCGGCGAATCCAGCCATGGTGGGTTTGTTGCGGTGTCCCCAATCCGAGACAATCAGAGAGCCTGGCCACCGCCTCCAAGCACGAACCTCCCCGGACACGTCAAGAATCAGCTGCAGAAACCTCAGAGGGGGAGTGAAGCCCTTCCCAGACCCATGTAGATCCGACTTTTCAATCACCTATAGAATCCAAGCAAGGCGTGCATGTGAAGCGCCGGGATGCGTTCACTTGGGCCGATTAGGTAAGGCCGGCCGATGCCGCTCCAGCAGTAGTTCACCGCCTGCTGCAGCGGTCAGTACCTGCCGGCAGAATGTGCTGCTTCCCCCGATTTCTCCACCAGTCATTGATGCCACCTTGCCTTTCTCCAGCGCGCTCAAGATCTTTCCCCTGACGGGTGTGAGGATCTATCTAGCAGGGCCCACGGGAGACATGTCGATACTGAATCTCGTCTGATGACAATGGCCAGTTCAAGCTCCCTTTCCCACCAGGAGACCTGGCGTCTCTTCGCCTTAGTGGGAGCCTGCCTCAGCATCCTTCTCAGTACGTTTCAAGGCGATGGCGCGCCCTTGGTGGCTTCCTTCGCGTTCAGCGGCATCGCGTTCGCGGTCACATTTAGTATGATCCGATGGCTTGGACCGGTTTTTCTGAAGGCCGGCCTGAAAGGGAGGGATATGGCGAAACCGAGGAGGCCGGAAATGTATGACTTGCCCATGTTCCTATGTCTTGTTGTATGATAGCTACGTTGCATTCTTGGAAACCATGGCCAATGCTAATGGGATTGTCGTTAGACCTGAAACAATGGGAGCTGTTTGTGCGACTGTCTATCTCCTCGCACTAATCTTCTTCATTCCGTTTGCTTTCTACAAGGATATCGTGGCGGCCACCTCGGGGGGAGGCAACCGAGATGTTGTGATCGAGGTTGGCCATGTTGAAACGGGTCGCATGCTACACCGATTTCCTCATGGAAAGGTCTGTCATCTTTGGCACTTTGGTCTTGGTAGCCTACTGACAACGCGACATCGCAGCTGGCGTCCTATCTCTCCGGGCTCCTTTCACTGCAATGTATTGTTATCCTCGGAATCGGCGACGATCTGCTTGACATTCGTTGGAGACACAAAGTTCTCATCCCCGCATTCGGTGCGATTCCCATGCTGATCGTCTACTTTGTGGACTTTGGCGTCACCCAAGTCGTCGTGCCAGTGCCACTGCAGCCCTACCTGGGCTCCACTATCGACCTCGGCTGGTTATACTACGCCTACATGGCGGCGGTGGCCATCTTCTGCCCTAATGCGATCAACATGTTGGCCGGGATCAACGGAGTGGAGGTGGCACAGTCCCTCGTGATTGCGGTCTTGCTGATTGCGAATGACGTCCTGTACCTTGCCCCCATCACACCATACCCACATCCCGCAACCGACTCTCACCTGTTTTCCCTGTACTTCCTACTGCCTTTTGTGGGGGTCTCATTGGCTCTTCTGTGCCATAATTGGTACCCTTCGAAAGTCTTCGTCGGTGATACATACTGTTACTTTGCGGGTATGGTGTTTGCCGTCGTGGGCATCTTGGGTCACTTCAGCAAAACGCTGTTGCTTCTCTTTATCCCACAGATCTTCAACTTCCTGTATTCGACCCCACAGCTCTTTCACTTGGTCCCTTGCCCGCGCCATCGTCTACCCAAATTCAACGCGGGCACTGGATTGTTAGAGGCATCAGTGACCGAATGGACCGTGCCGCCTTCGCCGCTGGTCGCTACCGCCCTGGATCTTCTGCATCAGCTGCGCCTAGTGCGCGTGACCAAGAACGAAAAGGGCCAGATCGTGGAATCGACGAATCTCACCATCCTCAACCTATGGCTTGTCTGGGCGGGACCAATGAAGGAAAACCAGCTGGCCTGGAGCATGGTGGGCGTACAGACATTCTGCGGACTCTTGGGTCTGTTCGTGAGACATCGCCTGGCACTACTGGTGTTCCGAGAAGACAACCGAGCATTTGGGGGGTCTGTATAGCGCAGATTGCAGTGTTTTATAAACCATTGTTAGTGTAATAAGCATCATCTTCACATCACCTTTCCCCCGGCTGTGCGGGTATAAGCTCCTCCCTGGATGATAGCCTCCGTAACTTTGAAACGACTACATGACCAGTGCATTCTATTCTCTCACCCCCCACTCATCCTACACCTGTCCACGACTCGTAGCGTGTGAGGGAATTTCCTACGCAGAGCAAGGAAACAACCCCCCTTCCCCTTCAAATGAACCCAAACACGAACACCCAACACGCTAGAAGCAAGCGGGGTGAAGCAATATCACCCCCTCATAATCCAATCCATACCTCCCTAGCTAGCCCAATTAAATTTACGCAATAATCCCCTCGCCTCATCAGATACCTACAACCTACATAATCAGTCAACCTCCTTCCTCTCTCTCACACACACACACACACACACACACACAAAGTAACGATACTATATCTGCCATGTTCACCCTTAAAGATAACACAGCGACACCTCCACAATATCTCCTCCCGATATTATCTAAGGTCGTAGAGCCCAGAACCCAATCTCCGCATGCCGAGTAATTCACTCATTAAATAGTACTACCTAGATATATAAAGAGAGGATAAGAAGGAACGGATACATGATCGCACTATCAGACCTAAAGCGCCGATATTATTATTATCCAGATAGGCTTGCTCTCAATGAGTTTACCTAACACCGTAGTGCTCAAGTAAGTCTCCGAAACGGCCTCTCCCACATCAAACTCAACGCGAATAACTGCGCGGCACAGAACCCCAGGACCATGAGGAGTTGTTTGTGATAGCCATCTGCGAAAGCCGTTCGGATGAGCGTTTGTGTATGTGCGGGGAGGGTCTCCGCTACGGCGATATCTTTGAGGATGTTTTCGAGGATGTTGGGTGGTAATTCGGTTCTCAGGTGGTTTTCGACGGTGTTGTTGAGGAGGTTCGTGGCGGTGGAGACGCCAATGGCTCCGCCGAGGATTCGGAGTTGGGTGATGCTGCCTAGGGCGACGGCTGTGGGAGTGGGTTAGACTGGGCTGGGGGAGAGGGGGGTGGGGGTTGATTGTGGGTGTGACTTACAGAGGTTGTGTTTGCCGACTACGGAGGGCATGGTCATTATTGCGGTGGTGAGGCTTAGACCGATTCCGAGTCCGGATAGGACTTGGTAGCCGTAGAGTCGCGCGGAGAGGGTTGTGCTGGGGTGGACGGAGTAGAGCAGCCCGACGCCCAGGACTTGGAGGATGGCGGCAGCCAGGAATACCATGAAGGGCGGTACTCGGCCACGGGCTGTGAGTCCGCCGGTCAAGCCTGAACCAAAAGCAATGGTCAGAGTGAGGGGTAAGATGCGGATGCCTGCATCCAGACCGGAGTCGTTGTTGAGGGTTTGGAAGCGTCCGGGCAGCTCTAAGATCAGGGTCATGAAGGGTACACCTGATAGTAGGGCGGTTCTAAGATGTGGTTAGGACACAGCTTCAGGGAGTAGGGATGCACGCAGGAGGCTTACAGGCATAGACCCATCAGGAATCGGTTTTTGACAAACTGCCATGGGAACACGGACTCTCGGGTGGATTTGGTCCGGTATAATTGCCACTCCCAGACCACAAAGGCACCGAAGAGAACAATTGATAGAACCAGGAAGACGATCACCAGAGCAGAGTCCCACGCGAAGGAGACGCCCGCCTCCTCGATAGCCACAATCAGGAGGATACAAGCCACCAGGAGGATGAAGAATCCCGCATAGTCCACTTTGCCGCGCAGATTGACCGATCTTGGAGCACTCCACAAGGTCGTTGGTTTGGACACATCAGGGAATGCCGCTGGCATAGTAAGGCAGATGAGAACGATACCAATGGCACCCACCGGGAGATTGATATAGAAAATCCAGCGCCAGGTGGTACTGTCCGAGATTGCGCCCCCAATCAGAGGCCCAAGCAAAAAGCTGATGGCGATTGCTAAGGAAATGAAGGAGTTATACAGCGCATACCGGTCGGGGGAGACCATTTCCGCTGTAACAATGGGAACCATGCTGAAGATTCCCGCACCGCCGATACCCTGAAAGGCACGAAGAATGATTCTGCATTCCGGTCAGTAACGAGATTCCCAGAGACTGACGCTGAGAACGACCTACAATTGTAGCATTGTTTTGGCTCCACCGCAGCCCCCCGAGAAGGCCAGGAAGAAAATCACGGCGGTGACGAGCATGGGTTTTCGCCCAATAAAGTCGCTCACTTTGGCCCAGATGATCATAAAACCTGCTCCACGTCAGATGGATGTTAATTTAGTCGCGCAGCACAAGCCTACTGAAGTAGCAAGTCAGGTAGCTCGATACTACCCAGCTGCTTTTCTCGAAATTCTGCAAGTCCTTTGCAATAGCAGTAAGGGAGGTGCTGACAATAATAGAGTCAAGTGCTGAGAGGAAACAGCATAAGCAAAGCCTTTCCATGTTAGTCAGGACACAACTGTTGTGAGGGTTTACTTGACGTACCCGATGGTGAGAAGCCTCAGTCGCCATCCACAGAGGGCGGAGTGGCCATGAGCAGCGGTGACTGTGTCTTTCTCTGCTGGTGGTAGTCCGACAATGTCTGTCTGTATGGCCATCTCCTTGGGGGTCTGCTCGGAAGGCGCCATTGTTTCTGCGTTGACAACGTTCAGATGAAGAACGAGGATAGCAGTGCTAGACCTCAGTATAAAGCTTCTATACTGTCAACAGCTCTGGAGCTACCAGGGGTAGATGGCGTTACACAAGGAGTCATCTTGCTGCAACTAGGGCTGCTGCATGTAGACTTCCGCCCTCGTGCCATGTATAACATCGGATTCATATCTTGGACGCCCTATCAAACATCCAACGGCAAGTGAGAAAGCTTCTTATCCCTTTTCATAGTCCAGTGCTCCTTACTCCGTACAGAGTAGACCATCCAACAACTGACTGGGCTTACTTGACGCCCAGAGTTCCCTGAAAAGATTCGTTGGGTGCAAATATCCATACTGTAAGGGTCGCGGTACTAGGATGTTGCTGTCTGGGCTCTTGGTGGCAGACCTTTTGGTCGAGCATATTTGCCAGTGATCTTTTCCTGATAGGTTGGGCCACTCCCACCAATCACTTCCGGTCGAGGCACCTGCATCAGAATAAGCAAATCCTCCATAGCTGGTTCTGTTGGAAATGTCCGATCAAAGCCGTTAGCCTTGGTGACAGGACATGTGCTGATTGCTCAAACGCCAGAGCTGAATGACAGTCGATCATTTACCATGTTTAGCCAATGCCATGACAGGTGTCCCCGAGTACACTAGCCTTATTTTGGTTTATGACATGACGGTTCACTTGAAATATACCCCCGATGTTTTCGGTGCTCAAGATCGACTGGTGATCATCACTTCCCAGGTCGTACCGTATCGATGCTACATCTGGGAAAGGGGATTGTGATTTTGGCGCACACTTTCTTTGTACCAAGTCAGGCAACCCCTATTCTTGCTCAGTGGAAAGGGTACCAACCAACGGTCAAGACCGCACCAGCAAAAGGATAGGCTGAGAATGATGTCGGGGTCACCATCACACTGCATGGAGCGGAACGGAACGGATATCCACGAATAGTCCAGCCGCACAAACTCTCTTATCAGCTGTTCGGCGCGATCCCTGTATATAATAGCTTATGTGGAAGCTTAGATGTTCGTTTCTTTGTCTGCGGCTGCCCGTCGTGGCGTCAAACTTTCCAGAGCTGGAGGATCGTCGGTTGGTACTATTCCTCATCTAGTAGTTCCGTCACTTCTTCCTGTACGTCGACCCACAAGTTGGTAGACAAAGGGAGAGAGGGAATTGTTTGATTGCGCGTATTGTATACAGAGTACTCCAAGTGCAATTTGCAGTTGTATTATTCTGTTGAGTTGGATAATTTAGCTTGCTGAGTCTGATGCGTCTTGCGAGTGACAAGAGCCAATGGATAAAGCTTGCTCCAAGTCAATACAACGAGTGTTCCCTATAGTGTCAAACGAATGTAGGGCTTCATGGAAGTTAGCTCGTGTATCACCTAGACGGCGTGTTTGACTTGGACACGAATGCCCGGAGAATCACGAGCTTGCGCTCCCAGCAGGTAATCCCGGCTCCAATCAATGTCGCGCTCCCTGTTCACCCGGGACACATCAAAGTCAAACTGCCGGAAGACCACCGCGAGAATCAAGTAAAGCTTGGCGCGGGCCAGATTGATTCCCAGACAGGCGCGGGACCCGCGACTAAACGGAACAAGGTACCGCTCCAGGCGTTTGCCGTCTGCCAGCCATCGTTCGGGTTGAAAGAGGTGTGGTGATGGATAAATCTTCTCATTCTGGTGAATGAGAACCCCAGTCATTCCCACCGTGGTATCAGCCGGGATCACGTAGCCCTGGTAGGATATGGCCTTGTCGGGGTATTGTCGAAGGATACAGTGAGTCACGGGTCCACAGAGACGGAGTCCTTCTTGGATGATGACGGTTAAGTATGGTAGTCGTTCCAGTTCTGCTAGCGTTGGAAGGTCGGATGGATCAGGAATGACGGCGCGGAGCTCATCATACAGGCGTTGACGCACCGCTGGGTTGGCGGCTACATGATAAGCAGTTCCAAGAAGCACATACGCTCTGCCACAATGGTCAATCAAGAATGAACCCCCGGGCTTTCATGTAACACCATCAGCACCACCTACGTTGTGCCCGAGCCAGCAGTAATCAGGCTAAATGCCTCATCTCGAAGTCTGTCTCGTTTCAATTCATTGGCGGGTAGCTTGCTCTCAAGTAGCTCATGAAACACCGTCCTATGATAAACCTTCTCGTACGATTTATCATGACCATGACGAATAGCTTCGACTTGTCGTGAAAGATCCTCCTTCTGTTCAGCATTTTCCACAGCAATAATGGGACACTTACCAATCGAAAGGCTAGAACATCTGCCATGGTGGGCGATAGTATCTTCTTGACACTGTCCTAAAAAGTGTAAGTCTGTCTGCCCGATAATATGCGCAAGACTCACAGGCAGCGAATAAGTAAGCCGCATAATCCAGGGCATATGAGTATTCTGCCATCTCATTAGCCACTCTGCTCTAGCCCCTTCAACATTCACTTACCCAAAGACTAACAGCTATAAACCCATTCACATCATCAAACCCCTTACGACCAAAATCGGACTTGAGGACGCTCTCCGGCTCCCTCGCAAAGCAATGATCCTTGATAATATCCAACGTAACCGCCGCAAACATGTACTTCAAATTCACCGTCCCTCCATCCCTACTGACTTCTTTCAGCCGTTCGCATAGCATATCAATCGGTCGCCTGATGACCGGGACCAAATCAACGACCGACTTTTTCGAAAAGAAGGGGTTGATAGCACTTCGTCGGATGCGATGTAGTTCATGGGATTGAGTCGCGAGCGTCTAGATTCAATCTGTTAGTCAATCCATCAAACAAAGTAGCAAATGTCCCGTACAGAAGAATAAGGCCCAAAAGCTTCAGCCGTCCGTCGTGGCTTTACTGCCCGTCCATTCCTTTGGCTGTACAACTCGTCGAAGAAATCGGGGTCATTTATATGGACTTCGTCGGGATTGATCCTGATTATGGGGCCTGATTGAATCATAGTTAGATAGTCTGATCGTTAGGTTTCAGTGTAGGTGCTTGTGTGGAACGTACCGTATCTCTTGTGCAAGTCTTTTAGTTTGAAGGTGAACTGGCCCGGAAGGTAAATATCGTAGTACCACTCGTAGAGATATGTCGTTTTGGCGAGCCATGGACCGGGGAAGTGGACGAGGGGGTGGAAGTAGAGTCGGTAGATGACAATAGAGATGGTATAAAGGAAGGAGAGCGGTATCGAGGTTGTCACGATGTGCCATGATTCGAGCATGATTGTTGGGTATGAGTGGTTGAATGCTAAGTGAAGATAGTCAATGATGGCGCAGGAGAAGGAACTGAGACTCTGATGTATATGTAAGAAGAGGGAGGACCAGTCGAGCTAGTAATTATCGCTTTATATATGGGTAATTATCACCTTGTATACCAACTGTAATGTGTGTAACGCACCTAGAGCGGCAGGTCACCAACGAAACAAAGAGCTCTATAGTCAAATTCAATGATTACCGAAGATTACAGAAATTGTCATGACTTTGAAAGACCTGACTCCAAATTCTTTACATTGTATATAGCACCAATCCCTTAATTGCCCAAAAGCTCCACAAGGTCTAAGCTGCTACAGACTGGCCCGACCCTCTCGATGAAAAAGAGGAACTTTAAAGCCGAAAGTCTTCTTCCACATGAGCTCCCGCAACTCGGCTACACTGAAAGGTACCAATCGCTCTATATCCTTTGGCTCTACCACCAAGCCCTTGGCCTGAACATAACTGGCGCTCGAAGCGGGCTTTTCACCCCGAGAAAACCGGAGGATAGCCTGTACCCAGTCTCCCATAAGCTTCTTGGTCTGCGGTGCATGGCGAAAGAAAAAGAAGAACGTGTGTGGCATGTTCTCGTATTCCTGATGGGTGACGGAGACGCCCTGAGAATGGGCCACCTGCGCGATCAACAACGCTGCATCAATGGTTTGCTCCTGGCCAGATGCCATCCAGATGGGACATGATCCCGACCAGTCCTCTGACGCCGCCGGGCTGACCATTGGGTGAGCTAGCATGCCGGCTTCGCAGTACAGATCTGCGCGCGGAGGCTGAGTCGGCCAGATCGAACAGGTGGGAAAGCCAGGCTGCAGGAATGGTAGCTTCTCGACGGGAACGGGGAATATATCGGTGTGCATGTTTCGCTCGTAGGAGGGAAGAGAGTTGGTAAGCTCGGTTATCGGGCGGACTAAAGTCAGTCCAGCAGGCACTGTTGGCTGGATGGTCTGCCCATGGAAGACAATTGACTTTTCCTGACGCTGAAGTCGGAGCAAGATCTGCAACAGACTCAGGGCAAGACATGTCCCCGAGCTATCACCCGTTACCACAATCGATGATGGCGGAATAGCCTCGTGTGGAGACCCGGGAGGAGGGGCCAGGAGCGTCAGGTAGGCTTGGAAAACATCAAGCAGGGCCGCTGGAAAGGGATTCTGCGGCGCCAGACGCTGATGTACCATCAAGACTTTAGATCCTGTTGCTTTAGCTAGGAAGCTGGCTGTTTTGCGATAGCAGGATGGAGTGTTGAGCGTAAAGGTGCCCCCGTAGAGGTAGAGAATGGCCAATGGACGTTGGGTCTCCGAATTGAGCCTCTGGAACGTTTCCACCTCGGACAGTGAAGGCTGAGGCGTGTCCATCCCAACATTATTGCGGAGTCCGACCCACTCGAAGCTGAGCGGCTGAGAGTCTGGACGGTCGTAGCGGACATGTTTATCATTGAGCATATCAATCAGCGCAAGGAGAAGGTCCCGCGATGTATCTTTGATGGGCTTGGGAATGGTGAATTTCGACACCCAGATAGGGCCTTTCACGGGATCATCTCTGAGGGTTGACGCTTAAGACAGCGAGATCGGGGTGGTTTCGGCGTATCTGAGATACTCCGACCGGAGCTTCTGTGCTGCGGCACGAAGATGGCTAGGGTTTTCGAAATCCATCCGAAGAGCAGCTAGCCTCCGTCAGACAGCTGTAGACAGTAAAGGTAGGAATGAAGATGAGAGAAGACGGGGTGAAGGAAGGCTGCGCTACTTTAGTCAACCCCGAACAAAGAAGTCATGTGAGATGTATCTGCTATTTCCATACGATTACCATGCCACTTTGCTAGTTATGGGATTTGTAAATCTGTCATGCAGTCATCGAAGCAATGCCCCAGCCGCACTCTTCGAAATCATGGGAGTCACTATATCTTTCTCCCACCCTTTTTTCCAGCGGTTGACCTATATCTATGGACAAGAAACATCAAGAAACAAAATCAACATACCCAACTAGCCAAATATCAAACCTAATACTCTCTTCTTCTTTGGACTCTGCGATAATTCCCTCATGGGCGTATACCTACAGTGGTGGGCACCAGTACAAAGCAGTGGCGGAAATGAAGGCCAAGCTTATTCAATATAAAGTAGTCACCCATATTCGCAACGAATGGCACACTTTGTCAAGATATTAATACTATTCTTCTATTGTTGATGGCTTCCTGTTGCAGTATCTCAGCGGACTAATGTTGAATTCTTGATATTTCCCTTTTTATGTAGCTGGATTCATGTCTTCGTGATTGTATAGTAGATTATATCTAACTCATTTCGAGGGAAGTATTACAAAGGGAAAGGATGGCAGTCTGTAGACTATTAACTCTCAAGCAGGAACTCGACTTGAAACGTGGTGATCGAGATAAACGTCTCTGGACTGAGGGCTGGCAGACAACCAAGATGACATATATATCCAACAATAATACCTGCCGTGAGATGATGGAAAAGAACTATACCGGACTCTGACACTCCCGGCAAGCTTGGAAAGGCGATAGACGAGACAACTCAGATAATACTCCGTAGAGGCCAACCAACTGCCCGTCTTCCAACTCACCATCACGATGCGACAGTGCCTTCCAGGCACCACATCCACGAAGACTATGTACCTCGTACCTCCCCGAGAGAACAGCAGTCCCATGAGATTATCGAAAGCCTGGATACTTACTCCGTGCTGCTGTGAGTGCTAGCCCTGCCCCACATACCAAGTGGGTCGGTCCCAGGGCACAGCCTGTGCTTACTGTAGTTGCTTACATTGTGGAGTCGAGTCCGGACATCGGATAAGTTGCCCCAGATACCTACAGCTGCAGGGTACCTAGTACCCTCGGCCTTCTAGGCAGCCAGGTCAGCTGTGAAAATCGCCCCGAATGACTAAATTCGGGCGAAAATGCATAGCTTCTTGGATTGTTGCCTAGAGTTGATTGCTACAGTCAAGGGTTAGAAAATTTGACTATGGAGGGTGATAATCTTGTGCTATACTGCGTGTAGGTGTAGGTACGAAGTATTGTTTTCATATTCCGTAGAACGTTTAATAGAGATTTGTGGCACTATATAGGGTATAGAATGAAACGGGCGGGTCGGCTGGGATGATGGAGTCAAGTTTAGAATAAACTGAAGGCTGTATTGATTACATAGGAAGCCCCGAGAGAGCAAAGAATCCGAAATGGAACTGAAAGGTCTATGAAACTAACAATGACAGAACTGAAAGCGTGTAGTGTGTTCCACATTAAATTGGAGGTCGTCTATCACAATTCCACTGACTACTAGTATCCTTAGAACACAGCGCATGCGCTGACCCACGACCCAATCAGAGGCCCAAAGCCCTCATCCAGAAAAACGACTGAAGCAATCGATACGCTGATTCGCTGCCAGATTCACCCTTTAATCTAGGAATCTCCCGGAAGATGACATGCAACCTGCGACCTAGTTGTAGGGCTACGGGCTATACCAAGTCCGGAGAGGGTCATAGAACTCATTATAGCCCCCAGGGGCCAAGCTGTCAGATGAGCTTGTATTAATCCGCTATGAAGGGACCCGAATAAGGCTGTGGAATTAGTACTAAATGGTATTGTGGGACTGCCGGCAAACACGAACAAGCCTATCATCTTCGGGAGATCTCTTGGACCCCACCGGGTGAGTGCTTAGCAGTCCGGATCGGGCGGTGTCTGTGCTTGAATGGGTTGCTGGGGGTGGTATGTGTTGTTTGCGAGGATTGAGCTGTTGGATATTGGGGGCGGGATGTAACTTGCATTGTGTAGAGAAGAGGTGTAGTTGGGTAGGTTTCAAAGCGTGATCTAGGTAGCTGTTTCATGATGTTGACCAGTAAAGGATGGGAAGGGGAGGGGACTGGGTGGTTGGAATGATCGGAACCTCCTCTACACTGGAAGCATATAAACATATATAAGGGCATCGAACTCTCCAGGAGACTGAACATTTGTAACCATCAGTCACTCTTTATCTTGCAATCATCATTCAATCATTTCAGTTTCCAATTATTATCCATTCGTTCTCCTCTCTCCTTTAGTTCCGATATAGCCCCTAAGCTACAAGCAAAACAACAATGCTCTTCGGAAAGACACTCGTTACCCTCCTGGCGAGCGTAGCCATCGCCTCGGCCGTCGCCATCCCTGCTCCCATCGATAACACTCCCAACGCGTTGGTGGAGCGGACCACCAAGTCCAAAACCAAAACCACCACCACCACCACCAATCCCTTTGCCAAAATCAAGGCCTCGAAAGCCACCTGGGAAAAAGCTGCCAAGCTCTGCAAGTCAGGTGCCTCGAAGCGATCAGACTGGGAGGAGTGGGATGACGACTCCACCGTCCACCTCTTTGACACCCGGACTACATCCTGGCCACCAAAGACCCCCTCGGGCTTCACCGAGGTGAGGATGGACCAGGAGGTCGGAGAGAGGGACCCATTGGGCCTGTGGACTTACGGGCTGGTGACCTGCATGGGGGTCGGGGTGACGGGTACGCAGACGGACTCGAAGAAGAACTCGCGGTTTCTGATGCATTTGATGGCGTCGCCGAGCACGATGGAGAAGCAGTGGGGCAACTTCCAAAAGTTGGTGACCGAGTCCGGCGTCACCAATATGGAGGGCTGGATGAGCATCCCCGACACCTCCAAGGACGTTCCTTCCAACTGGAATGAGGACGACAAGGAACTCAGCGATGATGTCGCCGAGGCCATCGAGGGGATCCTCACGCAGCTCATCGGAAAGGCCCCCAAGATCGTCAAGAGACCCATGGCCCCTGCTATCGCTCATGAGCTGCCTCATGGAACTATGCAGATCGATAAGAACAACGAAGTTGAGATTGAAGGGACCAAGGTCACGCAGTAGATCTGACATCGCTGATGTGGTGGGTGCAGTGGTGGGTGCAGTGGTGGGTGCAGTGGTGGTGAGGAATGTATAATAGGATTTTTTGGCTGATTTAAATGTTGCTCGTGTAAGGCTGCTTTCCTTGGAAGAGTTTGTTTTTTTCTGTTCATTTTCTTCTTCTTTTTGAATTTCTACAATTGCTGCTTCGTCCTCTCTCATCTGAAAGTATTCCAAGGCCGGAGCTTGGATGCGACAGCGACCTAGTTTGTCTTTTCATATAGCCTGACAATTGACTCTCATTTTCGAAACCATCATCATCTTCCCTGGTTAGAATATGTGACAAGCGCACATCCAAAACCTGACCCCACGGCGGCCATTTGACCTAGTTGCATAGCGAGAAACTTGATGGCAGACCCACCTTTTGGTGCTATATCCAACTTAACGCGTGCTGTATTTCCAATCCTGATGATGATTTGGAATATGATGCAAGAAAGGGTTATAATGCTAGGTCACGTTTCAAAATCAGTAACCATGTTACGGAACAATTGTTTCCCGTCAGTAAGATTGACATGATCGGCTAGGGCTGACCAGCAAGCTTGGCAATACCTATAGACTAAACAAAGCCAACTCAGGCCAGTGGCCCGTCAGATCCAGAAGTTGTTTCGCCTTGGATTGGTATCCTTCTGGTTGAATGAAAGCCGCCGGCGAAGGAATCCCCAGGGCTTCCAGAGGAAACAGCCAGAACCCGAACGCCGGTTTCACCGCGTTCTCCAGATCCTCATTCCGGTACTTTTCATGCTTCGCCCCGACTGGCCATTTGAGCTTCTTTTGCCGGAGAATTTGACCCAGTGGGGTGATCGGCTGGTCTTCATCTTCGTAGGGTTCCCCTTTCCATATACAATCCTCCTTCCGCAGCCATCGCTCTGCGCCCTCCCGGTTGTGGACCTTATCAGTACCAGTCGGAGTGAATGCCAGGAGAAAGCGATATGTGACATGGAATGAAGGAGGAACGCTCCACCGCCGCAGCAACCGGCCCCAGCGATCGAACATGTCCCGCGGATCGAACGTGCCCACGAAGACGTGCTTCAAGTCGTCGGAGATCTCTCGTGGATCCTTGGGGAGCCGGTCGAACGTCGTCGACGTCGCCATAATGGGGAACGAGCGGTTAAAGATCGTGTCGGAAGTGAGCAAACCACTATGCCAGCCGACAATCTGCCGTCCCGCCCGGGCGACTTCGACGAAAAAGACCTCGCGCAGCTGCATCAGGGTTTCCGTAAACGACTGTCGCACCGGAGGACTGATATTACCGTCGGTAGGATCCAACGTATGGAGGTCATTCGCGTTGAGGTCATTGATGTCCATTGCTAGGTTGAGGAGGCCAACGCGGCGGGGGTCATGAATATGCTTTAGGTGATGCAGAAACTCGAGCAGAGTATTCCGGACTGGGAAGCGGGCGCCAATCCCCAGGATGTCGTACTCCGGGTTGAAGTAGAAAGTTCCCCGGGGCATTGGTGTCGTCGTGTTAGAGTCAACGCGGAACTCGCAGGGAATATGCACGCGGTAGAACTCCAGGGCTGCCTCTCGGGACTCGTGGTTGACATGTAACAATTTGCTCAGCACGGACCTGCCATTGATTACCACGCGATATTTCTCCGTCGCGCCCTGGGCTTCTGCTGGAAGGAGCCGTACTCGGATAAGGCGCGGGCGTTGCATTGAATAACGCCATATCTGCAGCCGAAGCTCCGTCGGCAATGAAGGAAAGGGGTGAAAGGAGATCTCCGTATGAGGAGCACGGATGTAGTTGTAGATCTGTAATTGTGGTTGATGTGACATTTTGGTTAGCGTTTGAACAGGGTAACCACATGAGATGGAAGGGACATATTATCAAGTAGGCTTGGAATCATCTTGTCTCTCAGGATTATGGACCAGATGAATGTCAAGCTAACAACCCTGTCAGCTGAGTCAGATTGATTCAACTAGTTAGTTATCTAGTCAACGAGATAGATGCTAGAAATTTGGACAGCCTTGGTCAGCATCACCTTGGGGGCCACCCCAATATACGGGCAGGTTTTCCGAGTGGTCCCAAAGCTCTTGAAGTCTATGACAAGGGAAGTGCGTGCAGCAAGATACTTGATGACTAGCAGAACTATAAAACATCGGATCACGTGATGCAGCTGTCACCACCGGAACAGTACTCCGTCGGAGTCCGCTCCCAGTGGGAACCGGGATTCCTTCGAAGACGAAAGGTTTTAGGCAACATCTCTATGATTTTTTGATAAGAAGTTGAATTGATACAATTGATCTGGAGAGTCTCATGCAGTACGCACCCGTTACCCGGAGTATCGATGAGGGCCAATAGGTATATACTTGGTCTGGAAGTTTCCAGAAGATAAATGTAGTAATGGGTTTGTTTGGAAGGTCTGAATAACGGTGAAGTGACTCATGTTACTCCGTAGTCCGGCATGGGTTGGTTGAGTCGCATGAACATGACGTGCCTGCCTCTTAGAGTTATCCCTCAGCAGCTATACAGCGAACTCTTACGCCGTAATTATGCGCGAGTGCCAATCATTCCGGCCCGGTTAGTCAGGGAAGCGTCGGTTGCCGCGTCTAAGCGCCACCCAGGCCGGTGTCGGCCCCCAGAGTTTTCCCCGGCAGCCAATCGCCACCCATCCATTGGGCGCTGACCACCGACACCGGCGCTGCCCCTCGACAGCCGCTCTGCGACATCGCGGTTGACGCCCAGTTAAAACCACCACACCGTCTCCCCCAGTCCAGGCATCGGGTTCATTATCATTCTATCAAATCTCCATTGACCTTCCCCGTGTCTGGGTTTCCTCCATCTCCTCCTCTCCCCCAGATTTTCCCCTCATATTCTACTCCCCCGTTGTTCTTTCATACTTCGCCCCTCATGCCCGGTGCCGATAGGAAGCCCAAGACCTTGTATGACAAGGTCCTGGATCACCACATTGTCAACGAGCAGGAAGATGGCACTCTCTTGATCTACATTGACAGACACCTTGTTCACGAAGTCACATCTCCCCAGGCCTTCGAGGGTCTTAAGAACGCTGGTCGTAAAGTCCGCCGGCCGGACTGCACTCTGGTGACCGTTGACCACGTATGGCCTTTCTTCCCTTCTCCTTAAATGCCATCAGTACTGACCCAATGGCAGAATATCCCCACCTCCTCCCGGAAAAACTTCAAGAATGTCGATGAATTCATCGAAGAGAACGACTCGCGTCTGCAATGCAGCACCCTCGAGGAGAACGTGAAGGATTTCGGTCTTACATACTTTGGCATGGGCGACAAACGCCAGGGTATCGTCCACATCATCGGTCCCGAGCAGGGTTTCACCCTCCCCGGCACCACCGTTGTCTGCGGTGACAGTCACACCTCCACACACGGTGCCTTTGGTGCCCTTGCCTTCGGTATCGGTACCAGTGAGGTCGAGCACGTTCTCGCCACCCAGACTCTCATCACCCGTCGCAGCAAAAACATGCGCATTCAGGTCGATGGTGAGCTGCCCGCCGGTGTCACCAGTAAGGATGTCGTTCTCCACATCATCGGTGTTATTGGTACCGCCGGAGGTACCGGTGCCGTCATCGAGTTCTGCGGTTCCGTCATCCGCGGTCTGAGCATGGAGGCCCGTATGTCCATGTGCAACATGTCGATCGAGGCCGGTGCCCGTGCCGGTATGATCGCCCCCGATGAGATCACCTTTGAGTACCTCAAGGGTCGTCCTCTGGCCCCCAAGGTCGACAGCGCCGAGTGGAAGAAGGCCGTCAACTACTGGTCCAGCCTGGCCTCCGACGAAGATGCCGTTTACGACACTACCGTCGTGCTTGACGGCAAGGACATTATCCCCACCATTTCCTGGGGTACCTCCCCTCAGGACGTTGTCCCCATCAACGGCGTCGTTCCCGGCCCCGATGACTTTCAGGATGAGAACCGCAAGCTCGCCTGCAAGCGCGCTCTGGAGTACATGGGTCTGACTGCTGGTACCCCCATGAAGGACATCCAGGTCGACAAGGTCTTCATCGGTTCCTGCACCAACGCCCGTATCGAGGATCTCCGCGCCGCCGCCAAGGTTGTCCGCGGTAAGAAGATCGCCTCCAACATCAAGCGTGCCATGATCGTCCCCGGTTCCGGTCTGGTCAAACAGCAGGCCGAGTCGGAAGGTCTTGACAAGATCTTCACCGATGCCGGCTTCGAATGGAGAGAGGCCGGTTGCTCCATGTGTCTCGGTATGAACCCTGACATCCTCTCCCCGCAGGAGCGCTGCGCCAGTACCTCCAACCGCAACTTCGAGGGTCGCCAGGGTGCTGGCGGTCGTACCCACCTGATGTCCCCCGCCATGGCTGCTGCCGCCGCCATCGTCGGCAAGCTCGCCGATGTCCGGGAGCACATCGTGACCAGCCCGGTTCTGGGCAAGGTCCAGCCCAAGATCGATGTCCAGCAAACCTACGAGGAGCCCGAGACCGAAGACGAGCTCGAGCGGATCATGGACCTCCCCGCCGACAACGAGCCCCACACCAACTCCTCTGCTACCGGCTCCAGCGCTGGCCTTCCCAAGTTCACGACTCTCAAGGGCATTGCGGCCCCCATGGACCGCTCCAACGTCGACACTGATGCTATCATCCCTAAGCAGTTCCTAAAGACCATCAAGCGTACCGGCCTCGGCAGCGCCCTCTTCTACGAGCTCCGCTACAAGGACGGTGCCGAAGACCCCGATTTCATCCTCAACCAGGGTGTCTACCGCAACTCCAAGATTCTCGTGGTTACTGGCCCCAACTTCGGCTGCGGCAGTTCCCGTGAGCACGCGCCCTGGGCTCTTCTGGATTTCGGAATCAAGTGCATCATCGCTCCTTCTTTCGCCGATATCTTCTTCAACAACACCTTCAAGAACGGCATGCTCCCCGTCGTGATCTCCGACGAGGCTGTTCTGCAGAAGATCGCCGCCGAGGCCCACGCCGGCCGCGAGGTTGAGATCGACCTCGTCAACCAGGAGATCAAGGATGCGCAGGGTGCCAAGCTGGCTTCGTTCGACGTCGACGGCTTCCGCAAGCACTGCCTGATCAACGGTCTCGATGACATCGGTCTGACTCTCCAGATGGAGGACAAGATTCGCACCTTCGAGACCAAGCGCACCCTGGACACGCCTTGGCTCGACGGTAGCGGGTACCTGAAGCGTGGCAACCGTGGTGCCACCATGGTTCAGGCAGCACCGGTGCCCAAGACCAACCGGGGTGATGTCAAGACGGAGCCTTTGGAGTGGTAGATGGGTGTTGCAGATGCCTTGGGATTTGTTGATATGACACGATAATGCAGCCGGTTTGCTGGGACGTGTTTATTTTGCTTACTTGATTTCGGTTCTATATCACTTCGTTTTGGGGAAATGGAATGACTGGCCTATGGGATGACTTATTGCATTGGAATGGGAAGGGGGCACAATACTACGAATCAGCTAATAGAGGACGAGGATGGTGAAAAGAAGTATTTCATACAGGTTACTATGCAGTGCCTTAATAAAGTTACAAATATTTTCTCATATGCAATGTAGTATGAAATTTGCATCAGCTGTAGCCCTCAACTTATATTCTATACCAATTCACACTCATGTCCATTATTGATCATTCATATCTACATCCAATACTCACATCCCAACTCCTCGTATACATCAAGACCAAAGGAACACTCGAGAGTCTCCCGGCTCCCTCAAAATAATCTCCAACCCAGTCCTACCTTTTCCAGCGACAGCCACAAACAGAGCGAACCCTCTGCAACACTTCCACCACGTGAGGCCTCATACTAACTTCAACAACCTCACTCGACCATTCATGTTCACCTTCTGCACCAATCATCTACTAACAACAACAATTCTTTCCCTGAACCATCACCTTCCCATCAGCATATCAATCGACTATCGAACAATATTTCCAAGACGCTCATACCCACCCCAGTCTTATAAAACACACAGAATGATTGATGTGATGAGATTAGCATGGAATGCCCCCTTCTGTCAATTGTGTGAACCCGCCCCTCAAACAGACAGGATTAACTCGAATTAAACGATAGGACTCGAACGGACTGGGTCAAATCCTCGCTGCTGAGATGGCGCGCAGGCAAGATCGATTCTGTTGCGAGTTTCGCTTCGGACACGGGAAAGTGCGTTATTGAATCGACCGATCATCGCGATCTCGATGAGCAGATATAATATAACAGTGATGAATTGGTAGATTGTATGTGGGAATCCTCACTTTCGGAGTCTGGCGATTGGTTACATTGATTGTCATGTCTATTATTCCCAGAAAGCTGTGGGGTCCTGGACTTCTCGTATAGAGTGGGTAGCTCGGAGAATGACATGCCTGATTTGCATGCGTACTCGGCCTGCACCGAGCTATTGGTGTAGGTTTGACTGTTGAGAGGGGTAAATATTGGTTTAGATTACTTCTTCGACCTCAATCACTTCCTTACACAATCGATAATGCTTTAACGGATACGGTGCTAATCCAATTACATTTAGGATTATTATGTCTGTCCGATCGATTACCCTCATCCATCTGTGCGATAGCATCCAACAGGAACTCAATCAACTCAATCAATGACATCAAAAGTATAGCAACCAACAGCAAAACCAAACAAAGTATAAAGAACCCCAGAAATATATTATAAAACGCATCATCAATCCAAAACAAGCAGATCATCCTCCCATGGGATCAGACTCATAACAGCAATCAATCAATAGCCCATAATCGTGTACCCAAATTGCAGGCGTGGTATCAAACGAGCGTAAACACATCCGGGTCGTTAAAGAATGCAGAGACTTCGTAGCCAAAATAGAAAGAACGATAAAATCACGCAGGTATATATACGTGAATGTGGTATGATGCAATGCAATGCAACCGGTCGTGCCGATGAGAGAGAGGATGGATGGTAATATACAAGGCGTGCATATGTGAGTGTAGATGGTGTGTTGAAACTGTTCGTCCCCTCTTCAGTCTTAAATTATCGTGAATTAGACTCAGCCTTTAATGGTCGAGCCAAGTAGTGAGAATGAAGCCGGATTAAGGCTTTGTGAGTTGTTCTTTTCGGAAGAACATCAGGAATCCAGCACTGGGACAATGTCAGTCGATCCTTGCTATATCGGCCAGAGGAATGTGCAAACATACCAAATGAGTAATTGGAAAAAGAGAGCAAGCCAGAACCAAGCATTCGCCAGGCCGCCTACTTCTACCGAGATATCCGGGGATACGGGTCCGGGTCCGATTTTGTTCGGCCCGAATGCCCTTGCACATATTGTTGCAATCGAACCCAGCACTTGTGATGCCAGAAGTGTGAAGCAAATGTGCATCCTAGTCAGCGTCTGGAGTAGAATCATACCGAACCCGACGCCCTGCAGGGAGTCCAGGACTCCAAGCCACAGCCATAAACTGCGGGAGGCAAGGGCCCCCGAGGTATAGCCACCTGCCCAGGGGAGGAAGAGCCCTATGCCGGAGACACCCCACCATATCTGGGCCCACCGGGGGGCACCCAAACCACAGGCGAAGACGGGGAGAATCCAACTATGGCGTTTGGAGAGGTATCCGAACAAGCCCAACCACGCAGCCCAAACGAAGCCGAAAAAGACGACACAGAGAATTCCAACTTCCCAGGCTTTTGCATGTGCTGAGTTCCAGAGGACTGCAGATGGCTGTTAGAATGAAAGTCCAAAGCAAGTGATATGAATACTTACAGCTCCAGTTCCGGCCATATGGCGCGCTCAGGAAGAAGTTTTGTAAGATAACAACCACAAAGTTCCAGAGGATGATCTTGCGCCGGAACACCGACTTGTAGAATGAAGGGACTTTTCCGGGTGTCTGGTGATAGTAGCTTGGCAAACCGAAGAAGATCAAGAGCCCGATGACCCAGAGGAAGGCTGCAATGGGCAGGCAAATAGCCCTGTAACGTGTTAATAAGAACTCAAACTATGGACAGAGAGGAACTCACGTCATCTTCCACGTTTCCGTAATACCCGCTTGAACGTTGGTGTTTCCATTCTGGACCGCCTGGGAGATGCTTGTGCCCCAGTACCATAGTCCAATCACGTAGGCCTGTTGACTACCCTGGATCAGACACGCGCGGAACACCCACTGTTTGACAGGAGCTCCGCCCTCGTCGCCAAAGTTGAGGGCAAAGAACAGGGATCCACTGGCTGATGCTGCAGCGTACACGCCCGCACCAACATTTTGAATCCAGCCGCGAGCGAAAGTGTTACCTTCGAAGTGAGCGACTCCGATGATAACGAACGACAGTCCGTATAGAAGCCAAGGAAGTGAAAGGACAAACACCGACTTGAAGAAACGGAAGAAGAACCACCAGACGATCGAAGCGACCAGGTACACAGTCGCGATTCCATAGAGTTTTGTCGCCGTTTCACCCACTTCGCCAGTCAGTAGAGTGATTTGGTAGGAATTGGCCGCGATGATTTGCCCAAGGCCAAGGAAGAGTGAATACACCGGCCAATCGCCGATTCGGATTTGCATCCATTTCCTGAGTCCAGTGGGGGGAACATAGTCGTTACCCAGAAGAAACTCATCCTTCTCTCGTTGTTCCTCGCTTCCGCTTTCCCGCGAACCCATATTGACATTGGAATCTGAGCCCATGGGCGAACTGTTTTCGAGCTTACCGTGGAAGATCGAAGAAGCTGGGGACTGATTGCGGCCAAGTCTGGCATCCCGGAACTTACCAAACCACTTCTTCTCGCTCTTGACCAAGTACTCTTCAATACAGAGTTGTGATTCGGAGTTGTGGCCGTTCAAAGCCTCCAATTTCTTCTCAAAAGCTCGGTAGTATTCACCGGTGCTGTCCGTGAAGAAGGGATCGACTTTTTGTAACTTGAAATCTTTCTTCTCACCAATGATGGAGTCAACCGAAAGCACCGATGCGTTGCTCATGCGGTTTCCAGGTTCGTTGGGAAAGGGTCTTGCGGGTGACACATAAGCCTCTTCGGGCTCGGGGCTTCCAGGGGAGCCTGGAGAGAGCACAGATCTGGGCGGCAGTGAGCTCTGGCTTGCGTGTCTCACGCTAAAGAAGTCTCTGGCTGGGGGTTGTCTTTGGGTATCCAGATGATGCGCTGCTTCCATCCGACGGCCTTCTTCCGCTTGTTCAGGAGTAAGTGTGTACTCATCCTCACCAGAGTAGCCGTTGTGCATGATATCGTCGTCGCTACTCTCCTCAGTGTTTGACGCGTTGGCACTCTCTTCATGACCCATACTATTTCTCAGACGGCGGCGGCCGCGACGTACGCTGTGGCCTGGTCCAGATCGCACACCAAGTGATAGATGCCTGCCTAGTCCTGACTTGGGGGTTTCGTTGGCGCCAGGAGTCGGAGGTCGGCTGTATACGATGGTGTTTCGCTGCTGTGGTCCCAATGTGCTAAGGCGGACATTTGAGTAGCTTCCGTCTCGAGAGTGCGCGATGGGGGGCGTCTGTACTCCACTGGGAGTGAGGTGTCCCGAGGATGCAATTGTAGGGGTCATCATTCCGCTTGGGGTGTCGTATCCTGAGGGCGATAGCGGCTGGCTGTTCGATTTTCCTAGCCCTTTGGTGTGGATCCGCATTGCAGTGGACTGGAGGATCTCTAGGTCCTCAACCCACTGAGCGACTGGGAATCGCTGCTTGGCAGACCGAGCCCGCATCTTCGCCCGAACTTGAGGCTTGGAGTTCAAGGCACTTCCAATAGCAAGTTTGAACTGGTGCAAAAGGTGAGACGTCGTTGTGGATTCGATGTTATACCACCAGCCAGGCATTTGACCAAGGCCACCAACACGTGCACCAATACCCAGGGCACCCTTTCGGCCGAACTCAACAGCAACAAGCCCAAATGGCTCATCGCGCGATGGAATCAATGCAAACTCGGCTCCAGAGAAAATGTACGGTGGGAGGGCTGTAAATTCCGGCTTTGAGAAGACACGCCCAGGGTAGGCCTTCATCATGCGGTCCAGTTTTAATGCAGCAAATTTACCATAAAGGTCAATGACTGGACCAACGCAGATCAGTTGTACGTTGGGACGTGCTTCCAAAACAGCAGGCATCACATCAGCAATAAGGTCCACGCCTTTTTGCATGGACCAACGGCCCACAAAGACCAACAGGTCTGCATTGGGATTTTGTTCCAAGCCGGCCCATTCTTGCGCTTGCCGTTTCAGCTCTGCTCTGCTAGCTTCGTAAAGCGGATCAACCTGAATCTCACTCTCCTTTGGCAGCTCCTTGTTCCATTCTCCGGTATCAGAGGGATCAGGGTTCGGCAAGTTGCCTACCTTCTTCAGACCCCAGAAGATAGGATAACGTGCATATGTGCGTTTGCCGTATTTCCTGGAAACACCAACGGCTCCGAACCCTTGTTGATGGATACGGAGGTAGCTTGCTCCGGCATGAAGCATATTGAAGACCTCACCAAACTGGACGTAGCGCCTTGCGGTGCCAGTGTCGAGATTGAAGACTGAGCAGACCTCATCTCTCTCCTTCTGAGTGCGCATGGGCCAAAGTCCCTGGAACTCAGCATTGTGAAGCGAAAGGCAGACCGGAATTGTTTGGGGCAAGAGGTACAGAGGAGCAATAGACCCATGGTAGTCATTGATGTGATACAGATCGATTTGGAAACGTCTGATCGCTTCGGCGATACACTGGTTCCACGCAGAGTAGTAGATCGCACTGTCCAGATCATCCATGCGAGCAGGGTAAGGCTCGGCCTTTGATTGTTGGCGGAAAACCGGAGCGTCCAGCAGAACATAAGTGATGTTCTTCACAACGTGATACTGAATCTTGACCTCGTACTGATCGCCAAGGACTGTGACATACATCGATTCGGCAGGCTGGTCAACCGGGTAGTCCACTCCACCAACACATGGAACAACCCAGATGAGGTTTTGCTGTCCCAGGTGCTTCCCCATTAGCTGGGCCATAACACCTAAGCCACCAATCTTGATTTTGATGCCCCAGTCTTCGATGTCATATTCCATGGTCGCAATAAGTGTCGTCCTCTTCCGTGCTGCTCCTACGCCGAAGGCAGACGTACTCTGAAGGAATCCTGACCTGTTAGCCAAGCGTACCAGGGCATTCGTGGATTGACCGTCGCGGCTCCGCTTGCCAAAGATTGCTGCAAAAAAGGATTTCTTTTCGACCACTCCGACCTGGTTGAACTTCACTTGATAGAACGACTTCATGAAGGCGTAGACGCAAGCTGCAGCCGTCACGATCGGTACCAGCCACAGGAGGATATACACGATTAGTTGGACAATCCGAGAACCAGTGGGCTCGAGATTAAGCCGCATATTTCCATCATCCAGATGAACGTTCCAAACGAGGTATGGGTATGGGGGGATCTTCGTGATGTTGACAGACAGTTTGCTAAGCGATGAAGGAGGCATGCGATCCAAGACTCCATCACCGTCCACATCACCGAAGACAAACGACTCATCTGGCTGCCCATTTGGATCCATGCCCCAGACGTTGAATTGACCTTGTGCTGGGTACTCAGCCACGACCTTGAAGTTCCAGTAACCTTCACTGTCTTGCTTCACAACATTATCCAAACCAGCGTCAAAACCGTACTGGTTATAAGGGCCATTGAAGAAAAAGTGCGGGAAGCGTCTCTTGGGCCCATTCCAGTCATAATCACCCTCTTGGACATAGTCGCTGCTGCCGGTCAGTTGGCTCCAGTATTCGACTCGCACATGTTTGCCCTTCCACCGTTGCTTTTCTGTACCGGACCAAGGCAACTCCTCAATGGTGTCATTACCGCCGGTGTAGTTGAGCCACCCCGAAAACGTGGTTCCCCAGTTTGTTGAGTAACGGTACTTGTTGGCCCCAGCTGCCTTGTGCTGAACGTAGAGTGTTCCATTATCGTATTGGTGCAGAATGCTGGTGGAGTAATTGGCAGTGGTAAACACTATCGGATTGTCACTTTGACCGACGCGAAACAGAAAGTGATCCACGGCCGCCGTAGAGTCCTTCTTATCAGAGCTGGTGGCATTCTTGACAGTCAATTTGTGGACTCCATTGTACACCCCGGTCAGCTTTGCGGACCACGCCCAGGCACTTGGGATTTGACCAATGTACTGCGTGTCGTTGGAAGCAACAGTGAGACTTTTGCAGCTGACACTTCCTTTGTCGATAGAAGGCGTTTTACCAGACTCCGTTTGCGACGTAAGCGTAATAGACTGTGTGACGGAGTCACAGTCCATTTTTGTAGAGAATTCGATGCTCACATCAATGTCCTCTGCCTCATCAACCGCAACCGAAGAAAGGAGGGGTACGTCATGGCCGGGTGTGAATTTGGTGATCATGGGTGAAGGGCCAACAAATCGAGCCTTGGGGATGTATGCTCTGTAATCAAAGGCCTTCAGTGTGAGACTGTCAAGGCATCCATTAAGTTCCTTGGAGCCGTTCAGGTGGAGTCTCTTTGGGCTGTCCTTCAATGTGTGCTCATCAAAAGGATAGAACAAGTTCTTGACGGTGGTCCCTGTGGGAAATGGGGCGATCAAAGCACTTGCGTTACTTCCGCAGTCAAACGTGTACTCGACAGTCTTGTTGTCATTCTGATAAACCAACCACACAGACTGGTTGTCCTCGTCAGAGCCCAGGTCCTGGACACTTGAGACCCGGTCTCGCAAGATGGACCACATTCCAGTTTCGGTTTCCACGCCATATGAACCTGGATAGAGGATGTTCGTTGTTTGCTTGGATAGGGTCTGTAGCGAATACCCGTCATTCAAGATAGGATAGTTCTTCCGCATCTGATACATATGCTTGATGATGTTGCGGATGGGGTGAGATGGATCACGGTGATCGTAAGTCACGGTAATATCATTACAGCCCTCCCGACCTTTGGTGATCGGCCAGTCGTAATATTGGGTATCGTCGATAGCAGAGCATCCATGGGTCTTCCATGCTGTAGCAGGCGACATTGCTTGACGGCCATAGACATAGTTATCTGCAGTGGCATCTAGAATGTAAGAGCCTTGCTCTTCTCCCCAAAGCAGAAGCGGGATGCCAGGCATTTGCAGTGTCGTAATGAAGATTCCCAAGAGGTTTCGCTCGACACCCCATTCAATGGCAGGCCAACGGAAAACATCCTGATTCGTGACTCCGTACATGTGTCTGGGGTCGAATTTTCCGGTGTTTGCGTTGATCAAATCGTTGGTTTGCATCATGACATTCCAAGCGTCCACCCAATCCAACGGAGTATCATAGCCCGCAGCCAGATTACCACTCATGCCCAAAAAGCGGGTAAGGGTGCGATAGACCGAATAATGAAAGGCAGCACCGTCAATTGCTTCAAGTTCCGGTTCGCGCAAGAAGTACTTTGAAGAAGACTGGTTCGTCATGTTGATGGCATCCATCGCAGATGCCGGGTATTGGTTGGGCTGTCTGCCACGGCCAAGGTAAACCGAACCAAAGTTATTTCCACCAGTAATTTCGCCAGGCAAAAAGAAGTTTTCCTTCCCGACACTGCGAGCGCATTCCCGATAAGTGTTGGAGATGTCTGCCAGAGCATCCACGGTGGCTTGTGTGGCCTTATCGTACCGAAAGCCGTCGATATCAAGAGCCTTGATGATATTGCAGGAATGGAGCTTGATTCTGTCCCGGACACTGGGATGCCACTCGCGCAAACGATCCTGGACTGAAGCGAATTTGGTCAGCTCACGCTGCCAGTCCGGATAGACACCGAAGGCTTCGAGGTCGCCGTATTGGTCGAAATCACTGTCGTAACACCCAACAAGCTCCTTGTAGACGGAGTCGTCCACTGGATAGCCAGTCTCGTTCCAGAAGCGCGGGTAATCACAGGTTTCGTTGTAGCTATTACCGGGGCGAAAGTCGACATATTCACGATTCGATTTCCACAGGGTCTTGTACTCCTTGACTGAGAATGGGGTTGTCACATTGAGATAACCTTCGAAGCCAATCAAATCTCCCATGCTGATGAGATTTTGTGTCAGAAAGTGCTCAACGATAACCCCAGGGAAGACTTTGTTACTTACGTTGCAACCGTATTATCAAATAGGACATACATCCCGCGTCTGTGAATCTCGTCTATCGTGTTCCTCCATATCTGAATAGTTCCGTAATGCTGATCGAGAAGAGTGGTGTCCAAAATTGAGTAGCCATCCGCACCCCAAGGCTGGTTCATCAGGACAGTACCTGCGAGGTAGATACCCTATGTCAAACGGTCAGCAAAGTGCGCAATGTTATTTTGGCCGAAGGCCCGGGGCGGTCCGTAAAGAGAATGCAAACCTTGATCCCCATGCCTTGTAGATAATCCAACGTATCGACCAACCCCACTGCGTCACCCCCATGACGCATCTGATTCGAGTTGAGGTCATGTTCGAAAAGAGTTCCGTTGATATTATCATTGGTAGGATCACCATTCACCCAACGGTCCAGCATGATCGTGTAGAACGGAAACCGCCAGTTCTTTGGCGAGGCCGTATAGTTGTGACCCGGCCATGTTGGTGGCGAGTAGTCGAAAGGGCTAGTCGCAGTTTGGTTTACATTGAGGTTATAGTCAACCAAGGATGCTTCATAGGGCCAGCCTGTTGTTGTCGATACGAAGAGCGCAAGCAGCGAGCCTGCAGTCCCCCACTTCATCGTCAACGGCCACGAAAAATGTACCGCTCTCTTCCCTTTCGTTCTATATACCCGACATATGTCCCAGATGGCTATCGAGTATTGACGAAGAGGGTGTCCAGCTGGAGCAGTGTCCCAGGGAGGGGTAGTCGAGGAGAAATATGCCCAAGGATCCTGTAGCCGGGCTTCCTTTTTATGTTCTTGGGAAGCTGTGGATGAATGATGTTAGCGAATAAAATGCGGCAGATGAACCTGGAAAGGAAAAAAAAGAGGAACCCACCGCAGATGCAGCTGCTGTGGCGGCAACGCAAGAATAGAAAGAAAATAAGGGAAAAAGAAGGCAATATGCCCGAAGATATGTCCGAAATCCTGCAGGAAGGAAGATCAGAGTGGATAAGTGGGAGGAAGCATTCTGAACGATGATATACAGGCAGATAGGAAGGTCAGTGAGGGAGCAATATAGCCTGATCAAGGAAAAAGAAATGGAGATCTTTCCCAACCTGTTGCTGGCCTGCTGCTCCAGGTTGGAAACTAGCTCTCATCGGCGTACTACTAGACAGATATCAAGGCATATGGAGACACTGCCATGACTTGGAGGGGCGGAGTTTAGGCCATCCTTTCGAGCCCAGCCACCGGCCCCTCCGTGATGACTGGAGTCACATTGCTTTGCCATCCGAAACGAGAAGCTGTAGATGGTTATTGGCTTCGAGGTAAGCTGGCGGGGTGGGAGGGTGGTGCTGGAGGGAGACACGAAGCGAGTGCCCTGTGTTCTGTATGTACGATGTATGTATGTATCCATGTATCCATGAATCGGGCTCCGTCCCACGGATACGGTCAACCTACTTCAGTAGTAGGTACTAGTACTAGATACGGCAGTTGGGTGGGCCTGGCGGGGCATAACTGGGGCTGGGATTGCTCCCCACCGGCGCAATCCGGTAGTGATGATCCTGCTAAGGTAGGCTTCATAAGCCAAAGGCCTGATATATCACATAGTGGTGCTCGCAGGGCTTCGATTCTTATCATGATTCTTGTTGGGGTGGCATTCGAATGCATGGCCCATACCGATCTTCCTTCTTTTTTTGTCATATCGACGCCAATGCAAGATACAACGCATATTCTGATAGTGCATTCGATAGCACATGCCACTCGAGGCTGAGGATGTATTGCGGACGTCTAATCGTGCTGACTCGCCCCATCCGGAGATTGGCCCAGTCGTAAGTAGCTGGAACGCTCGCCAGGAATACCCGTATAGTCTACTACCTGGTGCCTGATTCTTAGTCTCTATACCCTCGCTTCGGCTTCGGTTTTCTCGCTCACTTCCAGTGGGGACATTCTCTTCTAAGGGGTGTACTTCGGGAGTACTTGCAAGACTAGGCCTCAGCAATACGTGATGACACCCGTGTTCCACGAGGCAGTCTGAAAAGGAAGAGAAGGCAAAAGAAAATCATGCACGCTCGTACCATCCATGTTGAATCAGTGCTATATTTAAACTTCAATATCTGCTGACGCAATGGCCTATCAGCAACATGATCCTGCCCACGTACAGTCTAGCCACAGCCTGGGACTTCAACACTGACTATCGCGTAATTCAGGTTGATCGTCCAGCCTTGCATACGCTAAGCCTCGGGTCCTGGATGCGAGTGGCGAGCGCATCACGGAGCGCTGAAGGCCTGGTTCCGCGAACCTCGTAGAGCTTGGCTTATCCTAGGCGTCCTTTTTGGACACGGCAAAAAGCGGGTCAAAGCCATGAGCAGTAATCACTTCGCCGCGTGTGTAAGGCCAGCATCAATGATGGTGTAACTCTCTCTTCTTATCGGAACGTTCGGGATGGCCATGTAGGCGTAGGTAGTTGTCTTTGCATTTCAATCTGCATTGTGATACGTCAGTCCATGATTTTCATGGGGTGAAAGACCTGAGTGCTGGGTCGTTCTCTCTGAGGGGCGAGCTCAGTGCAGCACCTCCGAACCAGGAAATCAGAGGGTCTGGGTTTCTTGGAAGACTTACAACTCAGCTCGAGAGATAGTGGCAGCTTGGACAGAGGTCAGGGAACCCATCGGGTATTCTCGATGCGGTGGATCCCTGTCAGAATCTGAGCCTCTTATCGCTGCAATCGGCTGCCGGAAGTTAATCGTTGTGGTCAGACCAAGGAAAAAGCAATGGTGAGTAGGAAGGTGGAGCAAGGAAGAAGAAAAGTAACACACTTGGCAGGTTTCGGAAATATTACGTAGCAACACACGGGCGCATTCTACCTGGCTACCTACCGACTACCTACAACCTTACTAATAGCGCCATTTTGCGTTTGCTTCCCTTGCTTCGTAGCTTTCTAGAGGGCTTTGGGCATGGTACGAGCTTCCAAGCCTTTCAAGAAGGTATCCGTTAGTAATGTTTTCTGATTCTTCGCAAATTCACTATCTCAGCGGTCGCAATCAGCCCTGTCGAGCTGGGATGTCCATGCAAGGAGACTAAGCGACTGGAACACCTCAGGAACCGTTCAAAGGATGGTTGATACCTATTTTGAATCGGATAGTGCTAACCCTGGAAAAGATCAAAGAAGCGAAATCACCGTTAGTGAAGAGAAAAAGACGACGGATCAATATATAGTCCATAAAGCTGTGACACTTTAGCTTTGTCTACACAAATATGCAAGTTGAGAGCTGATAAAGGTCATCTCCATGTTCTGAAATATTGAAGCCATAACTACTGTGCGACATAAGATACGATATACTTTGGCGTAAGACTGAAATAACTATGCTCGGCTATTATAAATGAGTTTCGTCAGCTCTTTATAAGCCGGTTGTGCTCCTCGCACGAGATAGAGGGAGGAGACTCAAGGGTATGGTGTCATTCGGATCGATCGTAAACCCGTGTCGGGACTTTCGAGGGCATCTCCCTTCTCTTGTTGGGTAATGACCGCGATCCCTTGCTTCAGAATCTCATAGTGCTATGCCCAGTTCGTGGCGTCGGGACAACTGTCAAATGATATTGACATGTAATATGCATGGGCAAGCCACGCCTTCGGGCGGGTTGCAAACTCTAGTAGGCCCAGGCGGTATTAAAATTTGTACGGAGTCATATGCAGGCTCATGACATCGTATTAGGCTTTTCACTACGCTGCCTCACAGAAGGATCAATAGACATACCAGCTTGTAAGTCATTCTGAAGGGGAGCCCCTGGTGTGGCTGCCTTGGTGAAGAGCGATAGATACGGAGCAGAACACGCGAAGATACAGCTAGTACTATAAAGCACTAGGCAAGAACCGTAGCCGTGGTTAGTGAGGCACTTAACTCCCGATTAGCGCGACTTTATCTGCTTCTGTCAATTCCTGATTGGCCCATTATGGCAATTCATCATTTCATGCAGCCTAGAGTGGGGAAAAGCATCCAGACCGCTTGTCGAATCTCAAAGGCGGATGGTTCCTGTTCTTAGCCCTTCCATAATCCATGGGCTAAGTTGGCGGCTGGGGTCTTCCCGATGATCGCTACCAGGGTCCCTGCCCACCTACTGTTGGGATGAACGATGATCAACAACACATCACTCGATCCATTGGATTTCGGCCGTGCTTACCGGTAATCTCCATAACCGCATTGTTCTGTCCTCATGGCAAATACATGGCTAGGAATTAAACGTTCATTGTGCCGCCGTCGCCCGTGGAGCACAGACTGCATCCATAGATGCATCTCTCATCCGAAACGGTCATACCTGGGTTTCTGGTGCGAACGGAGCACATCGCTTTTGTTGTCAGATGCAGTTGAATTATAACCCTCGGAACAACTCGATTTTTGCCATTCTATCAGAATCCATATATGCCGTAGTATTCTGACAAGTCCAACCCAAGGCTCGGGTGCCCCATGCCAAGGTCCACATTAGCTGATGCAGTCTGAACTTCGGCCTTTGGCTAGGCTTAATGCGCTCTCGTATATGTCATGCAGCGATAAAATGGCACAGCAAAAAGCTTCAGACTTTCGAGTGGTTGCATTAGCCTTTGGGCAGGGCGACAGCTAAACTTCTCAACGGCAGCCCAGCCCACAGCTCAATGCTGTTCGATCGCCCGAACAAGGAGCGGTCGCGCCATTTACTAGTTCCTAACTTAAAGTATACTCAAAATCAAACGTGTCAGTGACTGGGGAAGCTTGGATTCCTCTGATATCAGGTAGTTCGCGATTGAGGTCCCATATGCTTGCCATAATGCGGTGTGACATATTAGTCCTTCTCTCGGATGATTCATGATGATAAACTCACCTGGATATCATACAGTTCAGTATGCAGAATAGGGTTGTGAGTGAAGTGGAGAGGTAGAAAGTTATTTAGCTTTACCGCTGCATGGCCTGTGCACAGTGTAGTGAACTTTGCCCATCTGCCATTGAAGGTAATACTGCATCTGAGCTCGAGCTCGAGCACCATGCCCAGTCTCCACCTTCTTGCTCTTCCAAAGAGAACTAGCTTATTCAAGGTGCATGTGCCGGTAAGTCCAATAGGCACATGGTTTGGCTGTGGGACCCAAGCACATATCATATGCATTAGTACTGCAGGCTCCGGCAAAGTTGACTTGTTCGACTTTGCATGATAGTAAGCTTATATATCACTTTTTGTGGGTCACTGACAAGACCTTGGCTTGGTTGGTGACGCAGGTCGTCTGCGAACCTTTGTTGATAGTGCTCTCAAGCGCGCTGGCCGATCAGGCAGACGGAAGATAGTATGGCTAATGATAGAACAGGGAACAGGCAGCCTGGCATATCCACTTCCTACCCTCGGGCCCAAGCCATATTCTGAAATGAAGACTTCGGAGGCCGAGAGCGGGTCCAAAAAGCCTAAATTGAAAAGTAAAAATAGATGGGGAAAAGATCGAAAAAGCAAAATGAATTTACCCGCCTTTTCACCGACATCTCTGAATCCCGAGACACAGCTACAACTTTCTTTTAGAAAGTTTCGAGGACAACATCCTGCTTCCACCTTTTGGGAGTGATCGCCGCAAGGATCTCTTCCTCACCGGCCGCTCGGGGAGGCGATGCCGGATAACGCTT